GGAAATGATCGAGTCAGGCCTAACTTTGGTGGCACCCACTGGTCCCACATGAGAAAGAAATTGCTGTTGGTTTTGATCTGCTTGTCCTGTAGTCTCCTAGCTTTGTCAGTGATATTTTCACAAGAATCCATGTACTTGCAATGGTTGTAGTTGGGAGTATATATACGACAATGGATGACTAGACCACCGAGGCCACAACTCGGCAAAACCCGGCGGTGTCAATTGTTGCGTCCACAGTTCATTTCAGCTAATCATTTCGGCTAATCACAGCGGTGGCACAACTTCAATTTGCATTGACTGTTGCTAAGTCCACATCAAAGGCCACAGCTAGTCGTTCCCTATATAACTGTGTCGACATCCCTCATCATCATCATCATCATCATCATCATCATCATCATTGTCACCACCTCCACCATCACCATCATAATCATCATGTCTGCCCAACAATCCAACGATGCCTTGTCGGTCGCCAACAAATCATTGCGTTCACACCTCAACTGGATCAAACTGTTTCAATCAGATGGCCGGGTGGTGGTTGACCAGGCACATGAAGTTGCCAAGCTAGTAGTAAGTCATTCTTTCTTTCTTTGCAAGATACTCACCTCTCTCAAGTCACAAGCACTCCAGCAACACGGCAGGAATGCATCAGTCATTCTGCCGTTGCTGCTCTCTGCAGCCGCCGAGGTTCAGGCGACAATGAACATTGGTCAGGTCCCCCAATGGGAATGTGTGCGGGTGGATGATTCTCGCATGGAATCACACCCCTTCTTCCCCAAGACACAAGGGCTTGGTGAGTCTTCCTCTTTCTCAATTCACCATTTTTGCTAACATTGTGATAGCTGCACCTGCACTGGCGCCAGTGCCAACCCCACTCCCAGTCCCAGTCCCAGTCCCAGTCCCGCCCCCAGCTCCCAAGGTGATGTCGGTCCCACCGATCGACTCACTTCCCGTCGAGGCTGCCAAGCCGACGGCCGATAAGGGGAAGTAGCCAGTTCGGGGGACTCGGCGAGCCAGGGAGGATGAGTTGGGTGAGTCGGGCAACGTCTTGCGCAAGAAGTGTAGGATTGTGTCGAAGGCTATCATCTCTGACACCGAAGATGATGATGGCCAGCCGGGCGGGACCATCATCATGGTAAAGGCGCGCCTCTAATTCATTTTTTTCTACTCTATCACTCACAGCACCTTTGCCATCTAAGGCGGCGGTGCCTCAGACTCCAGCCCCAGCCAAGAAGGTGAAGCAGGTGAGATTCACCTCGTCCCCTCGGTCATCACCACTCAGAGATGTCCAGGCCGACACCAAGGAGCGCATTGGCCGACCGATGCCGAAGGGTAAGGGAAAGGAGAAGGAGAAGGAACGGGCTGTGACGATCGCCGAGGGTGATGTGGTGAGTTTTGCCGGTTCTATACATGACTGATTACTAACGATTAATTAGTATGATCCACCCTGTAAGAGGTGTTCTGCCCAGTTCGAATGTCTTGCTGCCCTCGGTCGCAAGGGCCAAATCACCAAGTCCTGTGCCAGGTGCTACGAGATGAAGGTGAAGTGTGACCGACTGGTACCTCACAAGCTTCCAGAAATGGCTGAGCTGATGCGGTCATCATGTCCTCGGTAAAAGGCCCCACTCACCTCCACATCCAAACCGCAGCCCAGGGCGACAAGGGCGGCCTCCCATGCATGTCTACCACCGCCTGTGGTAGAATCTGAGGACGCCATGGATGATGAGGGTGAGTCACCTGTTTTTTTGTAAAGGTAAACAATATTGACCTCGATTTTAGATGTCGCTGTTGAGGCTGATGAAGACATCGCCATGTCTCATGCGGCCAATACCGAGCAGAAGACTGATGTCGCTGCAGTGACGCCAAGTGAGACCATCGATTGGCTGGCAGCCATGGCATCGGCGAAAGACTTTCCTGCTGACCATTGGCAGGAGGTCACTGACGACACCCCCATCCTACCACCACCACCACCACCACCTGCTCCTGCAGCCAAACCCACCACCTCGTTGGCCAAACCGACTATCCACAATCGTGTGGTCTCTCTGGCGGCTAGAGTCACTGCCATGGAAATGGCCAACCGCAACACCCTCGCTAGGGTGGATGCGATGGAGCACGACTTCGACTCCTGCATCTCCTCTATGCAGGCCAAGTTTTCCGACGTCCAACTGAGCTTCAATGCCACGGTGGATGTGGTAAATGGTCTTGCCAACATGGTGGAGAAAATGAGGCAGGAACACTCGGTCCTGAACACATCCTTCCCACCACCAGCAATTGGCCCAACCGGTGCTTCCACGGCCACAGACATGGGCATCAGATACTTGACTGGTGTGTTCGGCCCTTTGGTTGCTCCCAATGCTGATTCTGTCGCCGTCAGTCAACCCTCAGCATCTCACCCATTCGGTCGCCCTGATGTGCAAGACAGGACATTCACCAGTGGGCAACCATCATCTGAGTCGGTGCAGGCCGGTCCTTCATCTGCTCCCCCCATCCAATGTGATTTGAGTGTTTCATGCCCTGCTTCTACTACTTCCTCCCTCCCTTGATTGCAAATATACCCTTATGTAGCACACATCAGTTAGTTAGATACTGTTGTCTACATGAATTGAATGAAATTGATTTGGCCTGGATTGAATGTGATTGATAGTGTGATTCCAAGTAGCAATTGCGCTTCGGTAATAGATTGTATTTGACCGACCATATATTTGACCGACCGTGTCTCTTACATTGCATATGACCGAGCTATTGACCGACTATCCTGTCTATCGTCACAGAGGTATATGTTGTAAGCTAGTACATGATGCATCATATTTGACCCGACATGTTTTGACCGACCGACCGACTGACCCCCTCATCTATCATGAGGCCAGTATATTCTGTAAGCTATTCCATTACCACCGACCATGTCTCTCGTACATCACATATGACCGAGCTATTGACCGAGCTATTGACCGATCACCCTGTCTATCTTCACAGAGGTATATGTTGTAAGCTAGTCCATGATACATCATATTTGACCTGACATGTTTTGACCGACCGACCGACCGACCGACCGACCGACCGACCGACCACCTCATCTATCATGGAGCCAGTATATTCTGTAAGCCATTCCATTACCACCGACCACGTCTCTCATACATCACATATGACCAAGCTATTGACCGACCACCTCATACTTGACCGACGTAGTCCTGACAAGTATATTTTGCACAAGTGACTCAGGGGACAGACCCAATGTTCACATATTTGACTGACCGATTGACCGACTTCCCGAGTCTATCATGGGCAAGTATATTTGTAAGACCGATCCATTGACAGAGCAGTGTCCATGACACATCTATATGCTTTGGGTGTCGGCCCATTTGTATATATTGGTACCACTGCCCACTCGGCCGACCTGTTCATATCGGGCACATATTTCATACACTACCTACCACACAATACCTACCAAATGCAATAGGAAAGTGTACACTTATCTACTATACCACATACTATGGGCCCACTGTTGGTATCACATACATACTTGGCATGGGCCCACCTGTATGTATCACAACAATACATTGATGGGCCCACATTGGCTGGCATGTGTAGAACATGGATATTTCAACATTAGTTGTATGTATTTATCAAGGGTAACGTGACTGCAGTATGTGATTTTCCAACTTTTCCCAGTTTGGGGATGATGGAGATGGGGGATGATTGGTAAGGACCGAGCAAGGCGAGTAGCTCCATATCTGAAAAGGGACCCAGGTAACAGCTGGTAGTGAGCTCACAAAGTAGGATTTTTTGAAAAGTGTCCTGGAAGATGGTAAGTGATGGGCTATTAGGCAGGGATTGAGTACAGGTGATGGTTGGGATGTTGATATGAAAACTGTGTTGTAGACCGTGTAGTAGATGGGGGTAGTCGAGTAGTAGATCGTATTGACATAGTCTATCCCCCCAGACTGCCACATTATACGGAGACAGCGGATGGAGTCGTCTGAGCTCGAGAGCAGTTCTGAGCTCCATGAGACGTGGCGAGACAACCGGAACATATGTGTCGCTCGTCGTGTGAGTGACTGCCACAGCCTCGAGCACGTTGCCAATTGACACACAGGGGTTTGTCGGATCCTCGCAGGGTGAGTGACCTGTTTGTGCAAGTGGTAACTGCTTGGAACTTGTTGTCCCAGAGACGTTTGGCCACGCATTCGATGAAGGTGTGACTGTGGCTCCCAAGGCAGACGGCACACACTGCTGAGGAGCGGTTGCTGTGTGCGCCCTCCTGAAAACCCTGCCGGTGCGAGGCCGGTTTGGGAGTGTGTGGACCACTGGTCTTCCTTCCTACCCCCAGAGAGGCAGAGCATCTCTGAGCTGGTGGGGAAGCCAAACACTTTGACCGCCTCAAGCGACGGTTGGAACTGTGTCCACCTCACGAGTGGGAGCTACTGCTCTGGGCCTGTGTACATCCAACATGGTGTACATGTTTGAGATGAAGTGCCCACACAAATGCAAAACGCAGTAATCAGATGTCATTGACCGCGATAAATGCAACACGAAGGTCAAAGGGGACCAATATGCACAAGAGATGGAGTAAAAAGGTAAATTAGAGATTTTTCTAACTGAGTAGTTCAAAATGCGTACCTGAACATCTGGTGCTACATTTGTTGTGCATATGAGAGAAGCACAGTAAACACGTTCAAAGGTTCGCAGGAGAGTGGGTTCATCTATTATAGAGAGGTCCCAGGAACCGCTGGAGGAGAGAATAGCGCTGTGCCATGCCCAGCACTGTTCCTCCTGATAGAGCAGGATGGCGCGACTAGCTAGCACATCCTTGGAGTTCCAATAGCGATGTAGCATGATGGCTCCTCAGAATTGCGCAAGCATCTGGATGCGCTGTTTTGTCCAGTCGCATTCTTCAATAGCTGCCATGATGCGTGGGATGGCTTGGGCAAAGTCTACCGGAGTGAGGTTTCTGTCCGCTATAACTCCTGCTGCTGGCTTCGAGGTCGCTGCGCTGACCCATATGGTGGAACCGTCCTCTCCGATGGAAGGTACCATGCTATCGTCATCGCGAGTGCGGTAATTGACTAAGGCGTCGTCCAGGCCATTGTTAGTCCAGTAGTAGAGCTCAATGTACTTCCCACTATCTATCTTTCGTAACGCAAATTCGGAGACTAGGGCCTCTTTGTCATTGGCAAAAGGATGAGGGTGCATTACTATTGCAGAGTGTTTTGAGCGATTTTTCTTCTTTTCATCTGCTCTCACGGTGTTTTCTTCGAGTTGAAGAGTCAGATGTTCATGTTCGGCTTCTTTGGTAGCACACTTGCGTTCAGCACTCAAACGCTCATCTTCTGTTACTTGATCTTGCCATTGGAGACATAAGTCTTCGTTAGTCAACACCCAAGTGGTGTGTAGGGTTTCAGCCACTTGGACCTCTGTGACGGTAGGTGTGACCATAGCCATACAAGTGGCCTGGTACCTTGCACCCATAAAGTCTAGGCATACTAAAGACTTGGGTCAGAGAAAAGTCTGTCCATTATGTTTGAATAGTAGTAAATGCAAGAGTTTAGTCTATATTGATGTGTTTTGAAACAGGCAGGTCAAGTGCAAGACTATTGCGAGACGATGATAACTAGCGTTAGTAATGCGAGTAGTGGTGGAGAAAAGAAAGAAGGCGTGAGTCTTCCTTACTCGGAATAGGCATAGACTACATTCTAACCACGTGCTCGTTCCTCACACTTTGGGGAGAAAACGATCTTCCTTGTGTGGGTGCCGGTTCACATGCTAGACATTGGCAAGAACCATTTCGTTGACCCACGATCATAATCGACTGTAGATCCGAGTCCCATTGGATGCCTTGAGTAATCAAGATAGTGACTGCATACCGAGGCCACGATGCAGCATCAGGGGTCTCTGGATGCCCACACTTATAAACTTGTTGTAGGAGTGGTCCCAGGTCTACTCATATCAGGTCTATAACCAATGTCCGTCATCGAAAAGCTACAAGAAACCTGGACTTCAAGTTCCATCACGACATCATTTCGTATAGGCTCCTTAGCCGACATCTCTCCCAAGCAGGCTCTTCAGTTCCCGGTTGCGGGTTTCAGCTGGCACCTGGTTGTGAGACAAAAAGGGCCACCGTACCGCCGCAATCATGATAGACCTTGGAGGTGCCAGCTATCTTTTAACTCCTGTGATTGTCCCGGTACATGGCGTGGTACACCGGTTAACATTAAGGTTTCTATTCCGTCGTATCTTGATGGTGATAAACCCTTCTGCGTCAGATCTGACGGCACGGTCTTGGGCACCCAGCTGCTCATTACATGTTCCTATATGCAGCTTCAGGACGCTCTCGTTTCACTGGAGGTTACCTTTACCAACCCACTAACGTGCAATCTATTCAATGTGCTTGCCAACGTCATGCTCATACCAGACGCACCACTGGCAGCCAGTGCTAAAGAGCCCAGAGTGCCTCAGGCCTGCTCCGCCCTTCGTGCCCTCGAGCAATCGCTCAAGACAGGGACATCATTTGACATAATATTCCAAGCTTACACTCGTCGCTTATCTCCCGGAAGCGTCACTAGACCAATCCCAATTTATGCGAACACCGCTGTGCTGCAAACCACAACACTTTTACCAGATTTTGGTACGTTATATTCTTATTTCTTCATGTTCACCGCTGAGCACCGATTGAAGCCGAAGAAGACCTTGATTTCTCCTCCCTCTTTGAACTATCTGAAGGCGACACTCTCCCTTTTACTTCCCTAGAAAGTTATGAATACGAATCTGACAGCGATCTGGAAGACGACAGCGACAATCACAGCAGCAACAGCAGCAACCACAACAATTCGGCGGTGGTGCAACCTGCGGAGGAATCTACCACTGGTGATGAAGCTTCAGCAAGTCATGACGAGCGATCTCTCACCCCAGAATCTCCTGAAGGTTTGTTTATCTGTTGAAGTTTTGATCTTATTGTTTCATCTATTGTCATCCGAAAGATACGACTGATATTGGTTCAATCTCGTCTTTCTCCAACTTTGAAGGTACTGAAATGTGAAACATAATATGTATGTCGAATTAACGTTGTTATGTATTCTTACAGCTGGACCTCAAGAGCAGCCAGATAATCGGCCATTGCTTTTGGAAGATGTTAAGATGATTGGCGAGAACTTGACACGTGGATTCCGAGTGGTCCTCGTAAAAGGCGTCGCCTGGAGGACGTAGGTGTAATTTTTTGTGTCACAGAGGCGCTACTGAACCGAATTTGCAGGTGGCACGCCTTTATTTATTATTGTTACACCGGCATCGTCGACTTTGCAAACTTGCGATCTCAAAGTATATCTGATGTGACGCTACAGCAGAGACCACATTGCTCCCCGAAGTCGATGTATCAACTGGCTATGAAGGTAACTCCATGAAACTTGTGTTGATGCATCTGATGAACTCGAAATCACAGCTTCAAAATGAAACATTATCTCAACTTGCTTTTAAGGCCGTTGTCCGCAGCCAACATACTGGATGAGGCATTCTCCAAATTTACATCCAGGTGCTGATGACCTCCTCATACTTCTTGTTGCTGCTGACCCCACTCAAAGGCATGACGCCATCAGAGAGATGGAAATTGCCCTCCTCCTGCAACATAGGAGCGCGCCAGCAGTTTTGCAGGGTCTCCCAGCTAAAATCAAAGCTGTGGCCACGGGCAATCTGCCCCACGCTGCATCAGCCCTCACTGCGTTGTACCAGCAGCTCACACAAATACCTGGCTAGAATTGATCCCGATGACGTACGTCGTTCGGGTCTGTTCATTGCGTGGACTTCCGATTGTACTACCGTTTACTGTTGTTAATATTTCGCGTGTTGTCGAACTCGTCACGGTGTCAAAATTGGAATCCTGCTCACTGTTAGCGATCTGCTACGGGATGGGATTATTGCCAGTTATGCCTAAATATAGAGGTGTGGCACTGCCTTCTAGATAAGAGGCTGCTCGGAGAGGCGCCTAAGCATTCTCTTGTTGACTTCATCCACCATGCAGAGGGTATCTGATTCAGTTACATCGATCTTCCACTTGGAAACTAAGGACGAACGCCTTGCCACCTGCCTGCAAGGGGGTTCGACCATAGTTTACAGCGAAAAGTTTGGATTGGGGTGGCGCTTTGGGCTGCAGTACACAGGTTGGACTTTTGCTAAAGTGAAGGTTTACCTTGATCACACCCATTGCCCGTCGGCGACAGACGCCGCCACGGTGACTGTTTGCCTTAAAGACTCGGATGGGTCTGGTTCATCTGCAGAGGTTCCTTCTTTTGATAGCAGAACGATCTCGATTGTTGACTTTGGCCATGGCCCACCCGCACCTCTTGGCTCGTTCTCGCCGTCCACTATTATTGCACACCCTTACATGTGGTTTACGGTCACTACGAAAGCAAACTTTACTCCAGTTATTGCTGACCCCCTCATCAATACTGCGTCTGCTCTCAGGCAGTCCATGAACAACGGTGAATTCGCTAACGCCAAGTTCTATGCCATGTCCAAGCATAAAACTGGGAGATCTCCAGGAAAAACTTGTTTCGTATATGCGAATAATGTAGTTTTGGGCTACGGCGCTAGCCTCGCGCCAGTTCTCCCTTGTTGGTGGTTTCTCATTTTTCCTGGTGGTCGAATAATAATGAATCTATCTTTTAGCATTATTCGTTCACTACCAGAGCGAATCCGAGCTGATGTGGGACGCCGAGCAGTATGATTATAGCCTCGACAGCGACATCGAGGAAGAAGAAGAGAAAGAGAAAGAAGAGGTGAAAGAGAACCCGAAACCCAAATCTAAATCTAAACCGAAACCGAAATCGAAACCGAAACCGAAAGGAAAAGAACAAGGAGCGCCTAGCCAGCCCCCACCATATCGTTATAGCCAGAGCTATTCCCCTGGAGCGGCACCTTCTGAATCTGAGTTCGATGCATCTGATACCACTTCCGATAGCAGTGCTTTAAGTTCGGATGGTGACGGTGAGTCCTTCTCCTTCTCCCTGCGCCTGGGGTGATCCCTCGTGCTGAATCTGCTACTCAGACTTCAGCTGGACGGAATGGGCGGCTACGCGGCATCCAGGTTTCCGCTCGACGGACACATTGAGGGCTGAGCCACTGCCTCAACCCTTTTCTTCGACCCAGCAAATGGTGTTGGTTCGGAACACGGCATACGCAACGTAAGCTACAGCTACTCTGACGAACTCAAAATGACTCAAACTGTTTGTGTAGCTGGGCATCCTACGTATACTATTGCTACACTGGCCAGGTTTCTTTCTACCCTCTGAAGTCCAAAGATCCGCTCAGCCGGCGCAACAACACAACTCAAACTTTACGCTGTTCTCCCAAGTCGATGTACCGACTCGCCGTCAAGGTTAGTGTATCTCGCGTCCTTTGTGGCACACGGATTAACAAGAATTCTGAAGCTTAAGAACGCACGTTTGGAAGCTCTGGCGTTCGAGGCAATCAAATCTAGTTTATCCCAGAGCAATATTTTGGATGAGGCGTTCTCATGGTTTACAGCTCAGTACGCCTTTCTTGTTCTACACCCTGATCTATGTTGATCCTCGATCACCACAGGTACCCCGATATGCGACAAATGGAACTAGAACTCCTATTGAAGTTCCGCAGCGCACCTGAAGTATCAAATCGTCTGGGGAAGGTCCTTAAAAGTGTTTCCCGAGGAGAAAAGCCTTATGCACTTGCTATGCTTGAGGCCTTTTTAGCAAGTTTGACACGGCAGGAGGCGGGTGGTACACAGTGAAGTCACAATAGGCATTCTATCACTTGATCAGTGTTGTACTTGTAAGTCGTGTTATTTCAATGTTGTCCTTGTGTTGTTGTCTTGTTTTTCACATCTCATCGTACGTCACGGTGTTGAAATTTGCTATGTATGTACAAGGTTTACCGACCTGCTGTAACGTTTACTACTGTTAACGACTTGCTTGACGAAATCTACACATGTTAAAATTTGGAAAACTTGATTGCTTTCGGAATGACGCATATACTAGTAGTACTTTGGTCTAACTTGCTATTGCGCCAATATTATTGGCGCTTTGAAGTCCTGTCTACCAAAGGGAAAAGAAATATAGGAACAGGAAGACGTAAAAACGGAAATATAGTCGGGGTCTACATATCATGTATGACGAATCATCATCGTCCTCCTTAAGCCACTTCAAGAAGGGCTCGCTTCCTCACTTTCTCGCTCGTCTCCTTATTGACGCACTTCTCACTGACATGAGTACCCCATTGAACGTCTTCTTTCAAAACGTCGGTATGATACAGGGCCATGAGAATCTTGGGATGGAAGGGATAAGCTTGGGGTGAGTGAGCCTGACGGGGTGCTCAATGCCACCCAACAGAGCTTTCTGGTGCTTCTCGGAAGTGACCATCTATACGTCGAGTTAGTAGAATGCCACGTACATTAGAAAAACGCGAACCTTTGCGAGCAGGGTCTTGTACAGATCGATCTCTTTCGCAACCTACACGGTGAACGGCATTTGAACAAGAACGAGGACAGTCCAGCGTTTCTTCTTGACCCACGGAGCCGATGCATGACTCCACTAGTTCATTGTTACCTTGACACTCTTCTTGCTCTTCTTCGGGTTCTTCGAAATGAGGGTGACGAGCTTGTGCTTCATGTTGACACCCGTTCCTTTAGCACAGGCTTTACAATCCCTGACAACATCCTCGATGCGACCATTTTGAGGATGAAAAGGTCCATCTCAGGGATCCTGCATGAACGACAGAGCACAAATTTGTCGATGAAGACGTCAAGCGACTCCCGGAGGCGTGATGAGCGCCGTTGACGATGATGTAGCGTTCATTCTTGTCATTGAAGGGGGTCTGTGCACCGAGTTCACAGCTGGAGAATTTGGCTAAGGTACATGGGAGGGCGAGATAGGGCACGAACGATATCCGCCATGTTAGGGACGACAGTTTTGATGTCATTGCCTTTGCCCTCGATTTTAGTGGCATGCGGTAGCGGTAGAACTTGACGTCAACGTCGCGACAAATATTCACAATTCCTGCGGAGGTCATGGTGGTCAGATATAGGGTGCGGCTTAGCTAATTGACAGCATATCGAAGATAATGGAAACGAAGTACGATACTTGTGGACTTTTTCCGAAATAAACATGTATTAGCTGAGTGGAGGTCGAAGCATGAGATAAAGCCTGAGTCTGAGTGGGACAAGTGAGCAGATAAAAACTTTGCAAGGAGACTTCGTGGTTGTGGTTAAGTACAAAGAGCACCGGATGCCATCACTGAATTAATGTCGGCTTTAGCCTTAGTTCTCAGATGCGAGACTACTCACAGTCTTCTGGCGCCTACGCATCCTTCGCTCATCCAACATGCAGAGAATAGTACCTGATGCAGTGACATCAATCTTTCATTTGGAGACTGAGGACAAAATCCTTGCCGCCTGCCTGAAAGGGGATTTAACTGGTATAGTTTACAGCGAGCAGTTTGGATTGGGGTGGCGTTTTGGGCTGCAGTACGCAAAAAGAGGCTGGATCTTTGCCAGAGTAAATGTTTACCTTGATCACACCCATTGCATCTCAGAGACAGATACCGCTACGGTGACTGTTTGCCTCAAAGATGGGTCTACTTCAGAGGGCCCATCCTTTGACAGAAAGACAATCTCAATCGCTGACTTTGGCCATCATGATGGGCCGCCCGCACTTCTTGGCTCTTTCTCGCCGTCCAGGATAATTGCACACCCCTACATGTGGCTTACGGTGACTGCAAAAGTTAACATCGTTCAAGCTATCGCCGACCCTCTCGCCGGTACTGCATCTGCTCTCAGGCGGTCCATGAATGATGGTGCACTCATCGACACAAAATACTATGTCATGTCCAGGCATAGGAATGGGAGATCTCCAGCAAAAACTCGTGTCCTATACGCGAATCATACACTCCTAACACAAGACGTTGACGTCTGGCAACTTGGGCCCCTTCCTCGTAGATTGTCGAGTTTTGTCGTCTTGCACATCGTCACATGCCTCTTACTCCCGTCCATTTGCCCTCACCTCTCGTACCCCAGCCAATTTTTCCTCTTGCTTACGCACTTCCTCGCGAGCGTCACCTGGTGGCTTGTACGTAGACACCCCATGCTCCCCCTGTGCAAGTTCTTTGTTACATCGCCTGATGGACAAGCGACATTTGCACATACAGATTGTATACTCGCGGAATACCAGAGCGAGTCTAGCCTGGATAGGGACGTCGAACAATTTGATTATGACCTGGACAGTGACAGCGATATTGATGAAGAGGAAGAAAATGAGAATGCGGAAGAAGAACAAGAAGGACAAGAAGGACAAGGGGCGTGGCCTAGCACACCCTCGCCTTATAATCCTTATCATTATTCCCTTGGGACGGCACGTATTGAGTCCGATTCAGATGTGTCTGATACTGCTTCTAGCAGTGCTCTAAGCTCGGATGATGACTGTGGTGGTGGGTCCAGTTTCCTTTTCCCCGCGGGTGTGACGTGCTGAGTCTACCCCTTAGACCTCAGTTCCACGGTTTATGCAGCTGGACCATTGCCTCCAGGTTTCAGCTCGACAGACACGTTGGTTCCTGAGCCGCTACCTCCACCTTCCCTCCGGACCCAGCGAATGGTGCTAGTTCGGAATACAGCATTTCCAACGTAAGTCGTATAAGGCTGCTCTAATTAACACGACATGACTGAAACCAACCTTGCAGTTGGGCGTGCTATGTATACTATTGCTACACTGGCCAGGTCTCCTTCTACCCTCTGAAGTCTAAAGATCCATACAGCCGACGTGATAAGACCACCGAGACTCTACGCTGCTCTCCCAAGTCAATGTATCGACTTGCGGTTAAGGTCGGTATAGCTTCCTTCCTCCGTGGTACACATTAACAAGAGTCCCGAAGCTGAAGCATACACGTTTGGAGGCTCTGGCATTCCAGGCAATCAAGTCCAGCTTATCCGAGAGCAATATCTTGGACGAGGCGTTCTCATGGTTTACGGCCCAGTATGGTTTTCTTTTTTACCCCGCGATATCCGTTGATTGTTGATTATCACAGGTACTCTGACATTCGACAAATGGAGCTAGAGCTCCTACTGGAATTCAGGAGCGCTTTTGAAGTGGCAGCTCCTCTGGAGCGAATTGTTGATGCAGTTTTACAAGGAGAAAAGCCTCATGCAGGTGCTATGCTTCATGCTTTCTTGGCACGTTTGGCACAGTCGGAGGCAGGTGGTACGAAATGAAGCCGCAGCTCCTATTTGTCACTTAATCGAGTGTTGTACTTAGAAGTATTGTTGTTCTGTGTTCCTGTTCTTTAATACATCTCGTCATGGTGTTGTACCATTACGAACCACAACTTGATATATATATATATGCCTATAGGCCTCAGCTGTGTGGTGTGGTCCGTGTGGAATCTCGCAGATTTGGTTACTATCGACGTAGACGTCACTGGAAGCGCCGCCTGCGTTGGCTTGCTTGGACCATGTCGTTCTATTTCACTGCTCTTCTCTACCAGTGATAATACACACTGACAAAGAAATCCACAAACTCGAACTCATATTTGATCAAAATCAACTCAGAAGACCAATGGTCGATTGCATGCTTCACGACCAGCACTGTGTCTGTTCCTCAGATATTCGACCAATCCTGCGTGTTTTCCACACCGGACTGAAAGGACAGGAGTTCACATGGGTTCGCGACCGGCGAAGACACTGTTGTTTCATCGCAACACATCTAGATGACGAGCGACACCTACTACAGGCCTCTTTATCACGCCTGATCAATGCGGTCATGCAACTCAAGGATAATCCTGAGACCCCGATGACTCGCCTGATGTTGCCGACCCGGGAGCATGAATGGATTCCCAGACTCCTGTATATGTAGGTTTGACATGCATCATAGGTACAAGACGTGAAAAAGAAATGGCATTGCGAACTTGACTCACAAATTGATATTAGAATTTCAATTGTCTAACACGTCGCGGCGCTCACACTGGTGCGATTGGCAACAGTAGCGTGTCCCACTTGTCTGCATCTGGTGAGCGAGACCGCCGCGCGGAACGATGTCGGCCTTGGTCTGATTATCACTCAGAGAGCAAGTGAGTAGTCAGTCAAGGTTACTACTGCTTTCAAACTTTAGCTCACTTCTATTGCTTCTCAGGACTGTATAGCGTGAATTGCTTTACAGTCCCAAGAAGCAACGTCACTCAAGCCACCATTACATACGTTCCGTATGGGATTTAGCATCGTCGCCTGCGTCGGCAGGTACCTTGATTGTTTGGCTTGGAGCATGTCGTTGTGACCATGGTATCTGGTGTTTGAGGTGACGAAGACTCGGAGAGGGTAAATGCGGGATCGGCAAGACTGGCTGTTGCCTGCGACTGCGTAATCTCATCTGCTGGCGGCGAGATGTGCACGTTCTCTATGACGTTTGGTGTCGATGAGCTACTGGACATCGACGCGCCCATGGAACTTTTGAAAGTATGATAGTTTCCTTGCCATCCTTGAAACATAATTCTGGCCTAAGGACTGAGAAAACGACCTCACAAGATGAAACGAAAACTCACAAAGCACGGGTCACTCCGAATGGCACTTTACGTCGCTTGACTTCGCCGTCATCCGTGACGCGCGGTTTTTACTGGCCGACACACTAACTGCTTGAGGTATAAAGGAGGAAGCAGAGCGGGTAGTGAGCTCCTTGAGTGCAAGAAAGTCTCCTATCAGCACTTCCGGTTGGCGGTGCATGTCCGTGGAGGATGGAGTTGAAATGCGGGTAACAAGTACTTGTCTTGTATGAGAGGATTTCTGTTGGCAACCGCCAAATAGTCGATGAAAATCCCCTGGGCAAATTTCTGGGTTGGATGGTGTGGTTGATATGACTTGCTCGAGAGTAGGGGGTTCCAAGGTCTGACGTCTGGTCATTATCAATAAATGGCTTGATATACCCGCTACGGAATTGATACTCGATCACTTGCGAACGCGCGAGCTGAAATGAATGGTTGTTATATTATATCCCGATGCCAGTTCTACCTAGCACTTACAACGTTCTGCAGTGCAGCAACGGTATCTGAGACCGCTGACACATCGACTTTTGGGTTGAATGCCTGCATACTTGTTGCTAGAAACGTGATACGAGTTCGAAAGGTGACTAATTGCTGATCGAGATGAGATGAGATGAGATGAGATGAAGGGCTTTGTGCGCTAGATCACGGTTACGGTGTGGAACGGAAGTTCTGAAGATATCGGACCTGCTGGGAGAGAAGGCACTGAGTGTCACGGTAGTTCTGCCATCGATTTCGAGGGTAAATGCCCAGGCTTTATACATTGGTGAGTGGCTCAACAGCCAAATTGAGAATGTATAAAGGAAGGGATGAGGCGAACGAAAACAGAGAGACAGTGAAAGGGCGGCCAATGAAAGGTCCATAATAAACACATACGTATCAATCGGACATTGATGAGTAACGTGAGTCGGGCACTGCAACTTGAAGTTTTTCCGATGACTCAATTGTAATCCCCGACTCATAGAGGACTGAAGAGAGCTTTCACTGTGATAATTTGAAGGATACCCGGTTCCCGTGTGTCTTTTCGGAGCCGGAATGTTTGCGTTTGCGAATGTACAGGAAAGAAGCATTATACGGAGTTTCTGCTGAGGACCCAGCTGTTGCTTGATCGTCGACAACTTTGAACTATCCGTTGGTCCGGTTTTCTCCAAAGTAAAACAATTGCGACCATCAAATTCTCCACGTCTGGTTCGAGTACGGATAGTCTACAAGGTACGGATTGTGTACAGGCAGAAGGTTCAACCAGGTCCAGATAGGGTCGGGTCATTTTCTCGTTTCCGCAGTGACTGTAAGTCGTGACGAGGCTGCACCTTAACGTTTGTTCCAGGCAGGAGGAAAGATTGCTTTCGGACATTGACGGGAATAGTCTTACATAATCTGAACTCTTCGCTGCTTTCGTTCAACACTTCGATACACTCGATTTCCGCATAACCCAAAAAACATGGTGAGGTTATCTCAACGTGCATGTTACCTTACACTGAAATGCATTTAGGGAGGTGGTGCTAGATATCCATACCCAAAGCATGTGTGGTCCCCCGCTGGTATGTCCAAGCGGCTAGTTCCGAGCTACTCAACCTAACGATGCCTCAGGTGGCTGGTGGGCCCGTCCTGCGAATTGGCGGAGCAACACGGTCGTAACTTTTGCTGGTATATTTGCCATTGCATACGGAGTCTGGACTGTCAGCGCAGACCGTGAGGTGCGGAACTTGATTTTTCGTTTCTTGCGGTCGTCCTTATTTCGCGTTGCTTGAGCAGGTCAGACACATTCAACCTGACCGACCTATCCCGTCCATGATGGTACGTTCTTCCACCTCGTGTGCTCCTAGTCTTGCTGACTCTTTTGTAGTGGGCAAAACAGTACAAGGACCAATCTCGCGAGAGCTGAGACAGGTAGCGGGGAGTGTATATTTCCATAAGCCGAGCCGTCTTGTCCCATTCGGTTATATCCTTCATCATATACAAGGACACGCCTTCGGTCTGCTCTTCGACGACAAATTGTATTTACAGTAGCAAGTGAGGAAACCCGATATTCGCACAGTCCTGTTCTTCGTTCGTCTCTACAAACAAACACAGCGTATCTCTTCGCGTTCTCACCCTGGACAACGCCGTATATGATTGGTCGTGAGCAAACGGATCGGTCCGCAGCTCCAGTAATGTGCGCGCCAGCGTCAATCCTTGGCAACCATTGAATGTGGTTGCGTACGTAGCGCACAGCGGAAATTGCCTTCGGCTTACTGTCCACAAAGAACGGTGTGGATGAAATGAGAAGTTGATGCGTGGGATGCAGTGGCTTTCGTGTGTATTGAGAAGTTGGACTTCGACAAATCGATGGTGGAGTGCGGTCACGCGCATTTCTGACCAGGGTGAGTCAACATCGCGACATAATCAGGCGTGTTTTCCTGGTCCATTCAATGGAGCGTGCTCTGCGTCTTTTAAGCTATCTGAACTATCTGCGGATTCTCGTCAGTTGTATCATTTGCGATTAATGTAAGTTAGCGATGCTTAATTACGAAATTCACCCAGCAATTTCTCCAAAATTCTGTCGTTGAATTCATCGACATAATATTGAGAGGGGAGAGCTGCAGACACGTCTCAGGGTCTTCAAGAAAGTGTTCAGGGAATAGGAATTTGATGCCATCGTCAAAGTTTGTGGTTGTAGCTATGAGCGCGAGATTCTGTCGGTTTCCGGAGCAGTCCTCTCCAATGTGATCTACGAAGGCCGTGAATCTTGGGTCCCCCATGCTGCGCATTGGTGTGTTGAGATTCAACATTCGAATGTTAAGCGTTGATGACTTTACCGATGGGACGAGAGTTTCTCCTGCTCTACTGACGACAGGACCTGCTTGTCGAAAGTCTCCTAATCCTAAGAAAGTTTTTCCTCCAAATGGGATTCGCGGGCGATTGCATACGATACGGCAAAGTTCATCGACGCGCTCCCACGCGGCTCTGTTGATGGCAGGAAGTTTGTCCCAAATGATTGCACTAGCATTTTGAATGAGATCCGCACGAGGTGAGTGAGGGCGAATGGAACTATGTAAGTCGACATTGTCGTCAGTTACCGGTATGCCAGACATGTGATGTGCGGTGCGTCCACGGTCATATGCAGTTGCAGCTAACGCACTGCTTCCGGCAATAAGCACAATTTGTTCTTGTGCGCGCAGAATATAGATAGATGCCGTCTTCAGCTGAGGCAATGTTCGCACCGAATGTGAACACATTGACGCGAAGGTGCCAGCCCTCAGTACTCAGTCACCAATCTGCGGCGGGGAGCAGTGAGGTCTAATAGTACAGCATCGCCAAAAGTTCTTTCTGTCAATCTGATACCGATTTCCATTTTGAAGACCAACTACTCCGTGAAATGAAGCGGACGTCGCCATAGTCGTGAATGAAAGAAGAGCAAAGAGGAAACAGAAAGGAGACCAAACTATCAACGCACTGCAACACAGCATGACGTGATGGACACAATTGCACCCGATGCCGGCGGTATCTCGTGCTTAGTATTTGATGGGCTTGACTCAAACATGTGTGATCAAACCCTAACTCCATTACAATGACCGCTCTTCCCTCTAAATCTACAATCAAGCTCGCTCCTGCTCAATCTCATGCCGGAGCATCATTATCTCAGGCCCAGAATCATTAATCAGCCCCCAAAGTCTCAAAAGCAGATGTGACCAAAGCGGAGAGACGCGAGCAACAAGAGTGTCAGAGAGCTGCAAAAGCTGCTACTAAAGCAGCTGGTCCCCAACCTAGCGGATCTAATCAAAATTCTGCTCAGGCGAAGAAAGGTGGAAAGGGTCCTGATGGAAAATTGACAAAGGAGACAAAAGAAATCACTCTGCTCGTGGTTTGCAGATATTCTCCCATTTTGGACTCCCCAAATGAATTGATGAGTCCTCGATATTGTAGCCGTGGGAAGTATAGCACGATTTAATTCTGCTACCGCCAAATATTAGCTTGTATATTGCGAGCAATTTGAGCTGCACATACATACCCATGTATGCTTGTAAATCCAGCTTAACATGAATGATTTATGACAATGCTGGGACATTCCGCCTGCAGTACATCCCGCTATCATCCGCCTCGGATTGCAATTTTCGGAGTTCAAGATCGCAGGAGCACATGCGCGACCCTGACTGCATTCAAAACTGTATGCTGCGATCGTCCTGGTCTACCAAATATTGCTGACCTTTATCAAGGTGATACAAGACTATGGCACTCCTCCTAACAATACGCTCTCGAGGCATGAAGCTTCTCTCCGTACTTTCTGCCATGGGTATCCCCTGCACTTATATCCTTCTGCCATCCATTGAATCTGTCATCACAGAGGTGTCGACAGTCTTAGCGGGCGCTCACTCCCTACATTCGAACGGCGCTGTATTTCCCGTACAGGCACGGCCCTCGTAGCTATGATGGCAAAACAATACAGCGTTCCTGTCGTCGTTTGCTGCGAGACGTACAAGTTCGCGAAAACAATCCAGCTAGATAGTTTCACCAAGAACGAGCTCGGTATGTTCCCCGTAGTCGTTATCTTTCATCTCGATCTAATATTATGATCCTGTAGCACCAGCTGGCGATATATTTTCGTTCTTCCCCCTCACTCCGTCAAAAGATACGCTCACCCTCAACAAACAGCCCAATCTAGAGATCCTCAATCCGCTCTACGACCTGACGCCTCCTTCCACTATCACAGCAGTCGTGACAGAAGTTGGAGTTATTACGCCAAGCTCCATCAGCTCGCGCTCGGTCGCACTACACTGTAACATACCGCACCCGACGACGACGCGCAAGGTTCAGACTTTAACCTAGCTGCTCTGAATCATCAGGGGGCATCATTTCATCACGGATCGTTGAATTCATAAAGATCGAGAAGTACTCATGCGATATATACAGTACTAATACTAGACAGCATTCAGCCAAGCCTTTCGACGATACCATAGACAGAGAAAAATATCATGAAAAATAGATAGCGTGCAGCGTCATAATAATGGTCACGTAGGTGGCCATGTTCCGGTGTAAGGGCGTTCTCCCCACTTCTCCCAAGCGTGTTCACCGATACGGCGCACAGTGCCCTGTAGCTCCGCTTTCAAAGCTGACCATCCTTCGTGTCTCACAATCTCATACGCGCTCGAAAGCGACCATGGAAATGAGGGATAGGACGGCGAGAATTGACGGGAGTGTCCAGGTAAGGGATTCAATTCTGGGTAGAGAGGATCATAATAGACGGTATAAAATAGTCGGTGAGCTAGGACATGTGCGAATCTATGCAGACAGTCAATGGATCAGTGAGAAAACTTCCATACGAAGTGAAGAAACCTACCGCCACATCGCAAGGACGAAGATTATTTGGACCACAACCCCGAGCAAAACCATACCACGATGGAAAGAACTGTTGTCACCAACGATAGCCGGCTGGTTAATAGAATAGATCAGATGCGACTACACCAAATGCATATACACGTTATCTTACCAAAAGCCCGCTTTGGCCTACGGCGTCCTTGGCATATTTGTGCATCAGGTCACGCTCTTTCACAGATTCGACACGAAGGGTCTGAGCCAACTGGTTCCGAGCATGCCGCGCTGCCCTCGAAACTTCTTCCAACTCTTCGAGGTGGCTCGTGTTCAAAGCGAGATCATCAGCAGACCTATTGCAGTTCCCATCAATCAGCATTTTTCTTGAACGTACGCTGGCGACATCACCTGTCCCCATCACTTAGCCCATCTGCCCACTCCCGGAGCGTTTGCCGCATCTGAGCCAATGTTTCCGTGCGACCAACAGGTGAATCATCATGCAGGACTAACAACTCTTCTTCGAATAGGGGTTCAATCACAGGGACTTCTTCTTCCTCAATTTCTCTTCCCATTGCATCGACAATACGAATATTACTCTTGTGTTGGGCACGAGGAGTATGAGGAGTTTCGGCTGATAACAGCGAACGAATCGTGTATTTCCCATCCGCATGCTCGTCCACAATATCCTGGACATCAGCCGGTGTTGGATGGTCATCAATCCTTTCTCGACCGAATGCATCCACAACCTTGACGGTGGGGGATTTTCTCAGCGAACGTGGCGATGGTATGTTAGCACGAGATATGGGTGTTGTAGGGCGTTCAGGAGTGACGGGCCTCGCTGGCACCGGATCTTGTACGGCATCAACGTGGGCAGAACCATTGGTCATTTTTGAGGGGACGCTCTCCGCCCGTCGTGAGTGGCCATCAGGCAGAAAGTCAGGCGCTGATACGCGCCCGGAAGATAGAGGTGATTTTTGATGTTCAACTTCAGCAGTTGAAGCCTCTGATTCCGTGACGTCAAAGCGTACTTTGAGAATGCTCTTTCTCCTTCCGATAGAACCAAACTGGGACTGATCTGCAGAACCATTCTGTCCATTCTGAGTTGTGGGTTGATTTGGGGTGAGCATCCATGCACCAGGGGGTGCCGGGGTGCGTAGAGGAAGAGAGTTCGCACGCGACAGAGAGGGTATTGGTGTGAGCAGTCCATTGCCTGCCGGGGCCTCAGTCTTCGAGTTCCGCTCGGGTTCAGAATTGGCTCGAGGCAAAGGCGTCGATGACGTAGTCGGAGCCAACTCAGATGAAGTAGGAGGTGGTGATGTTTCCCTCGGGTGCTTGGGCGGTATGGGCGTAGCAGCCCACGCTCCAGGAGGTCTCGGAGTCTTCATCGCGGTGTAGTTCGGATTGGCAAGGCCATCCTCATCCACTCGCACGGGTGTGACATCCGCCTCGCGTATCTCTGCTTCATCTTCAGAAGATGAAGGGAGAACAGAAAGATTGGAGAGGTCATGGGGTGGAGACGGGGTGCGGACGTCAAGAATAGAAGTGCTTGACGAAAGACGACGTGGCGGAGTTGTGAGCGCGAAAGTGGGAATGACTTCGGAAGAAGATTCATCCTGAGGAGTGGGACTGCTCATTGGCGGCGTTCCCGGAGGAGTGAAAGATGATGGCATCTTCTGCTCTTGCGGCTGAGAGGTATCTAATGGAGAGTCCGGAGTAGGAGGTCGGAACGAGGTCGCTGAAGTCGAGGCAAGAGCTCTGTGAAGACGTGCTTCATCATTGGAAGAAACACCATGTATTTGAACGGGTGAGCGTTGTCTTGGTGGCGAGGATGGTGGTGACACCAGAACCTCTGTCTCTGTCTCGCTGGGAGGATCTTCTGGAAAAGAATTTGAAGGTCGTGTGTCTGGAGTAGTCGATCGCGGAGCAAATTCCGACACGGATTCCTCATCGCTCGCTGCATATTTTCAGATAAGAAGGTATATTGACAAACCAAGGGAGATACGGATCTCACCTAAAACCATATCCTCATCCCCAAATGCATCATGAATGCTAGTATGAGGGTGAATACTCCCCACTGAATCAGTAAACTCCATCGACCGCTTGCGATGACCCTTCTTGAATTTCTCCTCATCGTCGGCTTTAGGAGTGGAAGAAGCAAAGCTGCCGCTGTTGAAAAGACCATTCCTCTTAGATGTCGAGGCTACTGGAATCAAGCTCGACCTATTAACGCCCGATGCCCGGCTGGATGGGCGCGAGCTTGGAGTCCGTGATGGCGAAGAGATGGTTGGCGTGTGGTGTTGTGAGGAATCGGGCTCCTTATTGGTGTGTCCGCCTCGTTTAGGCGAACTCTCCAGACCAAAAGGGGAAAGCTGATGACTGCGCGAAAAACCCCAGCCAAATCTTGAAGCGGCCGCAAGCTTGAGTGGTGTAGTACTGGGTGAAGCTTCACCCCCATTGGAAGGAGATGACGGAACTGCACCTTGAGGCGAACGAACTGACGTTGGTGCATCAAGCACTGAATCCACTTTGCCTTTTTGAAAATGTGACTTTACAGCCGTCGGTGAGCCCTTGCGTTGAGCCTCCGGAGTGAGGTGAGGTAAACTAGGCGATGCACGCAAACTCCTCCCATTCTTGCTTTGGGAAAGATGAACACTCGCAGATGTCACTTGATTTCCACTGCTGTCATGACTATGATGCCTCGTCGTGTTCCATTTAGGCTGTGGCGAGTTCCAATTTCGCTCCCGTTCATGCGTTACCTCTCGTTCTTCTTCCACTTCTTCTGGATCTCGTAATGAGTCGTGACTAGCCTGTGAGCCGGCAGGTGAGCTGGCACCAGATAGTCGAGAATTGGGACGTTCTCGTTGAAGGGATGCAAGCGTTGGTGTCGCATACGCTGTGACCGATGGAGGTCGACTGGGGTGGGAGTGATTCGAATGCGAGCTAAGACTTGAAGACGGTCGAGGTGGTGGGTGTCGTTTATTCCATTCTCGTTCACGCTCGAGGTAGCGGTCTCTGTCAAGCTCAGCCATCCGATCACGATCTGGAGATCATTAAAATAATGTGAAGTAGAAAGAAACGATCACTTACGATCCACCTGTGAGCTCATGGAACCTGACCATGAGCTCCGATCATCATCAAAACTCCGAAGCGACGCAACGCTACCCCTTCTATGCAGACTCCTGCCACTGAGCGGTGAAGTTACTCCGTTCGAAAGGGACTTGACGTGAGAGGGCGACGTCCAAGGCACCTCCTGAGAGTGGCGTCGGTGGAACTCCAATGAATGTTGATGATGCAGCTCAGGGGTGACAGAACGTGATGGTGCTTTAGGACGGTTCCACTCGCGTTCGCGTTGATGCATCCGATCTTCTTCACGAGAGTGATGTTGCTCTTTGACTAGATTACCACGATGAGCTCGCCTCGAAAAAAAATAGCAAGTGTTATCTCACAATCAGCATCAGAAAGTGATGAGCTTGCCCTTGGCCCTGTGGATACCATAGGCGGAGTGACGTAAAGGCGAAAAGGCATTACCTACCTGGCAATTCGAGACTGGCACGCCGAGACTGATCATGATGTCGCAAACTTCCGTGTAATGAGAGGGAGGAACGGGGCCGCAACGGAGTGGTTGACGGGCGATCGCGACTGGTGCTTGGCCCGGGCATCGGTGCTGGTACTAATTAAACAACAATGAGAAACGTTGCGGTAAGCTATTTTGAGAGTGATTGCCCACCATCTTCAGATGTATCGAGATCTCCCATAGCATGCTGCATATCCGAATCTTGATCCAGCAGATCTGATTGAATGGTCAGGGGTGTGCAAACATTGCAGATGTATGACCTTACTAGAGTGAGACGCTAGCTGGGAAGGCAATTGGAAGGTCCTTTGATGTGAACTTGCGCTTCTTGGAGGTGATGACCAAGTGGAATCAAGCGGTGGTAACAAAGTCGTCGTCGAATTAACATTAGCATGTCCTTCCAAACGAGGCTCATCTGCAAGTAATGAACCTGTTTCGGAGGGTTGAGAAGTAACTGATACACTTCAATCAGGTGCACTTGTCACAATAATATGAATAAGCTGACCGTCATACATCGCTGTAGGTAAATTTTGATCGAGGAGCCGCGAGTGGGAAGAAGACATTAGACGTGCACGAAGGGTATCAAACGTTGCTGCATGAGAAGACCGAAATGACGATTCGGATCCTTTGCTGGATTCTTTGATACATATTGTGATGAGATGCCAAAGATGATGAAGTAAAGGGAATTGACGCACTTGGTTTATCAACCTCATCATCACTGAGACTTTTTCTTTTACCCTTATGCTGTTCCCTTTCACGGTCGACAACAGGGGTAATGTCCATCTCACTGGTGTCGAAACTGTTTCTACGCGGTCTCGATTTCTGTGGTGTGTCCCCAGGCTCACGTCTGGCTCGAGAGAACAAATCCTTCAGGCTGTCCCGAGTAACGCTTGGAGTGGCAGGTGTAAAACGAGATAACACAGAGCCAGCGCCATCTTCCGAGTCTGACAGTTGCGCGGAGGGTCTTGTAGGAGGCGATTTTCCGTTGGGCGAATCCAATGAACGTGCTAGCAAGGCGCGGAGGCGTGCTGCAGGAGTCTCGGAGGGTGCCACAGAAGAAGTAGATGGCCCAAATTCTGAATTTGGACCATAGTTGTTTGAAAAAGAAGAAATATGCCTGAGTGGCATACGAGGGGTAGGCTGATTGTCGTCTTCATCATCGACAACATTGAGCTGCGATCGCGCGGAGGAAGGAACTGCGACTGGGGTAAAGTCCATATCACTACTATCCTGAACACGGGAAATTGGTGTATGGCGATTAAGCCTTAGACGAGGCCTTGACAGTGAATTTGATGAAGGCGTGTCCATGATCGGCGACCTCGTCGGCCAACTGGCGCGTGAAGCGTGTTTCCGGCGTGTACGACGCGCTCTTGTGAGCTTGTGATAAATTAGGAAATAAATTCCATTAACACTGTTTGCCAAACAAATCAAATCACTCGGATAACTTTGTACGAGGGCAGGATATGATCTACTTAACGCTCACAAATGTGCCAACTTAATTTCGCCGGAGAGTTTACCAGAGGCAAACCGGAGCCTATTCATACCAATGCAGTGATTTCTCCCCTCGGGATATCTTTCACCAACCTTTCACGCATATCCATCGCTTCTAGTGGTCCCTGATTTCTCCAACGAACGAGGTCACGTCGCGAGAGCTCGACGTTGAGGAAGATAGTTACGAATAATTCAAGTCTTTTCCCCGCCCTATCTTTTCCTTGCGAATCTTTCCTTTTTTCCATACCTTTGGTCCGTTCACTTCGTTCGAATCTAGCTGCTGATTGAAGAGGTCCGATAAGCTAGTAACGTGTAGCCAGTCCCGCTGACAGACATATGAGCTTGTTGTTACAGCGATGTAGACAGCAGATCACTGGTGAAAAAGTGAGTATGCACAATTCTCCAGTGCTTTAAGGAGAAACATTCAAAGCGGTTCTCGAAAAGCAAACTTATTACATGGGCAGAACTAATCGTTACGTCTTACACACCAACCCAACGCTGCTAATCCATATCTTCTTTCGACGTGTCCTATCAGTTGTAGCAAAGCACCGCGTACTCCTGCAATGCCATATCAAATTAGATCATGTCAACCTTGCTGGCATTTGTACTTACCCCGACCTTCTTCTCTGTGGAGTCGTAAGGGATGAAGCAACCATCACCGAACGACTCGCACGCCTTCCCTGGGTGCACGGCTCCGTGGTAAGGAGCTTGGGCAATGTACTGAGGAGCACCTCCAGGCTCCCGGCCACCTTCAACAGGTCGAAGTCCATTGAGAGCTGCCAAGTTGAATTGGCCGGAAACGTTAACCCATCGCACCGCGTGAGAGTTCCCAACAAGGATTTCATATGTATCAAGCTTTCCAACGAGTTCAGCAGATGATAACAGCCCAGTTAGGTTTGCGCTTACGTGGATCTCTTCTTTCTTGAAGCCGACCACAGCGCCTTTTTTGAAGACAGAGGATGCCTTTCCGATCACTGGAGTAGATATCATTCAGTCAAAATTACGGATAGCATCACTCGAGACCTACTGAGACCACCCTATAAGAATCACAATAAGTGGCTGACCAGTAAGCAAGACTGTCGGACTTGCCTCGCAGTAAGCACGGCAGATATACAAAGGCGCGCCGCGCTCAAATCCACCTTCGATAGCATTCGATGGGATGTGCTTGCCCTGATTGAGGACCCATGCTACTGGACCCGGGTAATTTCCGCTTCGGAAAGCCTGGGTACGTTGCTCTGCATCACGGAGCCAGTTGCCTTGCGACCAGGCATGCGCCTTTTTCTGGAGAAAGCCGGAGTGTCAGTTCTGTATCAAACCATGATGCGCACTGAGCATACCTCCTCCTCTTTCTTGCTGTGTTGATTGTGGGCAAAAAGGCCAGCAGCAAGGGCACCGACACCGGCCACGATGCCCCCTCCGATCTAATGGAAAAGACACATGTGATGATGTGAGCAGTCTATACAAGGGAGAAAACATACCTCGAGCTCTGTCTTCCTTTTTTCGTCAATGTTGAACCAGCTCGTCTGACTCTGCCCATGAGTCGGTTGGACGCCGCCTTGAGGGGAATGGTAGGGTTGCTGCTGCTGCTGCTGCTGTTGTTGCTGTTGCTGTTGTTGTTGCTGCTGCTGAGGAGGTTGGTCGCATGATGGAGCGCACGGTTCGGACTTGCAGTCTCCGCCCCATTGACCAGATTGCTCGTGATGGGGACTGCGGTGGCAATCGCCATCATCCAAGCGTCCCCATAGGGCAGGTGTCACGGGCGGAGTCCAGTCACTCTACAGGCGAAGCCCGTTGGTCAGTCTGGTAAAGAGTAGCACTGACAGCGGGTTACCTGAGATCGGTGAGGCTGGATGATCTTGTACTGGACACCTGCAGGGGATGGATTTGTTATTCAGAGTAAAAGGTAGATGAGAACGGACCTTCATAAAGGACCCTTGAACCGTCATAGTACTGAGTTCCAGGTTGCCAGGTATCAATCATGTTGTGCTAGAGTCTATGCAAAGTTGACAATTGGAATGGGGCTGTTTGTGTCGCCGTCAGTGGGCTTATATCCTCCTGGAGACGTTTCACTTTGCGCCGGAGATGACGATGCCATCTCCAAATGATACCTGTTGGAGAAAGTGAAGCTTGGAGGTCTTGGCTGACTCCCAGATTTGTGCATGAATGGGCGCATGTGATTCTTTCAGGATTTGGCTTGATCATCGACGGGCGGACCTGACCAGCTGTCCATTATCTGATTTCCACGAGGCAATGATGACGAGGACTAAGAGATATGATCGTGGCATGGGATGGCCTCGAGGCATACTAGATAGTATGGAAGACACTTGCATTTGTCGTGGAGTATCTCCTTCTCTTCTGCCGACTGATCGTGCAATGGCATCGAGCGGGTGGGCCTTCCGAACCACAGGAAACTTCAAGTCTCCAGTAACTCATGAGGCAAGAGGACTGATTATTGGAGGTCCTGGTACCGTTAAAGGATATTAGCGAGAGTGAAGATTTGACTCGTGGATTGTTTATGGCACATTGTTACCAGCAACTCGTTTCCACCCCGGACCCAATGAAGGGATCACAACTCTACTGAGCTGCTTCTTTTTGTCATTACCGTGTTCGTGGCCGCAGGAAGAAAGTAATCGATGGATCAAATGACGCCGTCTTATCAAGTTCCATCCTCCAGAGCCGAATTTCAGAGCGAACGGAGAAGCACAACCTTTTAAAGGCTCATGGATGCGAAAGGATGAACTTGGGATGAACGCACGTTCACCTACTTATATACGTAACCTCCACTGGCTCCTGGTCAGAGTACCTAATATTTCACCTCGTACCACCTCAGGCTCCCGGTCAGGGTGCCTATTTCAACTTGTACTACCATCATCGATAACGATCAATCTGTATTCACGATGAGTACAATCGAGCCAGTTTTCCGCATCATTCCCACTATTCAGAACTACGATTGGGGGAAGAAGGGAAAGGACTCCAAGGTTGCGGAGTTTGCTTCTGGGGCTGGAATACGTGGATTTACTTTGAACCAATCCGTTCCTTACGCAGAAGTAGGTGATCTAGAAGCATGGTCTGCAGTAGATCTGACCGATGGGCGTGCAACCACCAGCTTTGGATGGGCACACATGTGAAATCGCCGTCAGGAGTGGTTGATAGGCAGCAGAACCTTACCCAGATCTTGACTGAGAACCCAGACTTGATTGGGGACCAGGTATCCCAGCGGTTCGACACGACAAACGGAAACCTCCCCTTCTTGTTCAAGGTCTTGGCCATTGGCAAGGCCCTAAGCATACAAACTCATCCTGACAAGAAGACATCAGAGAAACTTCATGCCGAGCAACCAACAGTTTACACTGGTGAGCGTTCTTGTTGACGTCGCCCTCGAGTCCTCACATATAAGTTCTGCGAAGATCCGAACCACAAGCCTGAGATGGCCTTGGCGTTGACAGATTTCAAGGCGCTGTGCGGTTTCATGCCGATCGAGAGGATCGCTGAATACGTCAAAGCCGTTCCCGAATTCAATTCACTAATCGATCCATCTATCGTGACAGAATTCCTGAACTGTACCAATTTGTCTGAGTCGGAGCGGAAGGCAGTCCTTAAGAAGCTCTTTGCAGCACTCATGACCGCTGACGTTTCCGATATTGCAACACAACTTCAGACACTCGTTGCGCGTTACCAACGCGGAGGTCAAAAACCTCTAGAAGAGGATGTCAAGGACCTTGTCCTGACATTGAGTGAGCAATATCCCGGGGACGTCGGAGTATTCTGCGCATTTATGCTGAACTACGTCCGAATGACTCCTGGGCAGGCTATTTTCCTGGGAGCTGGAGAGCCCCATGCTTACGTTGAAGGCGGTATGTCTTCCCCTGTTGGTATTCAGCTCACTTTAATAATGATTTGGAAGATATTATGGAGTGCATGGCCAATTCGGACAATGTCATTCGCGCAGGTCTTACCCCTAAGCCCAAAGACATTCCCAATCTTGTATCGGTTTTGACCTATACGCCATCAGGTTGGCAGAAACATATGGTCAAACCAGTTGACATCGCACCACACACTCGCAAATATGACCCTCCAATCCAAGACTTCACGGTTCTCCAGGTCAAAACCCAAAGGGCGAGACTGAAACTCACGAGGCTATTCCAGGTCCTTCAATCGCCATCGTCACCGAAGGTTCCGGCTGGGTAAGCTGGAGTGGCGGCGAGTTAGATTTACAGGCTGGAAGCGTCATCTTCGTGGGAGCTGAAACAAAGATAAAGATCACTACCGGAGACTCCAACTTGGTTGTATTTCGCGCGTATGTCACAGCCTAGCGCGGTAATAGCACCATTAGCAGGACGGAACATTGATGCTTCAGCGTACTTAGCTTTATCCCGAACAAAAATAACAATTGATATTATTACATAATATTATCAACGATACGACAGAAGCTTTAATCTTTTACACTGTTCACCGCGGTGTGCTGGAGCGGAGCCCATCGACGTTACTAGGGTGCGACTATTCTAAATATCAAAGTCTACCTCGAAAACATCTATCACCACGTTATCGATCCCTGAAGATAGAGCGCACCGATCACAGTCAACCGACGGATGCCCGCAGCGTTAGACAGGCATTCTCTCCCTTCCGAGAGTCGACGGGAGGGATGTATTACATTACAAAGCTGATGGTGAGCCCAAAAGGAAAACTACAGGTTTAGTTGTTGTAGGCAAGTGTTCGTGATGTCCGCTAGATCTTAACCGCGAGAAAAGGGAGACCAGACACCTTTTGATGACAGGATATGGCGGGTTCCATCATTTGCTGTACACATATGCATTTCGGTAGTGTCCACTCTCACAAGCCATGCAAAAGTTTAGGTTCGTACACGTCTCGTGTGGGATAGGGAAATGACTGTGCAGTCCACGAGCACGAGCATTGATCAAGATCGATGATCAGGGAATTGACATAGCTTTGTAACTTTACATAACTTACATACTGCGGCTCTATCTGCAAAGCTGATCTGGTTTCAGTACTTTGTTTGCAAGTTATTTTCTGTTCATCCTAGGTTTGCCTCCACCCCACAGTGCTTTGACCTATAATGCACGTTTGCACACTCCTTCGTTCTCCACTTTGCGGCCATTGTCGCTCTCGTTCGCGATCGTGCCATGAAACGTGTAGTTCACACTCCCTATTTTCGGTTTCTTGATCTCATCAATATCAGTCTCTGCGTCCCCTCGGAACGGGTTTTTTTTACGCTTGTGGGAAATCCCCCCTCCCTCAACCGACTATTCGCTCCTCAAGTTCCTCGACGACCTTGATCTTGATCTTCACCAGTGCATTAATCCCATCCGGCGTCATTACTTATGAAACCACCGAAACTGGAGTGATCACACTTTCGTTAAATTCACATTCGAAACGTATACCATCACCGACCCTTCGTCATCGCTTTCGTTCCATGATTGCTTTCGTTCCTGTCCACATCATTTGATCTTCTTTCTTTGTACAACTTCCCACTTTCTTTGTACGACTGCCCTCGTCGCTACACGTCGATCGTGTTTTATGACAAGGAATTGGATGCGACACATGTATGTACTTTTGGTCGCATTTATACTAATCAGCATGTACGTGAATTAGAAAAAGGTTGTGAATTCTGCATGTGTCGCGGTTGACAATGTCTGCCACGGGGTCGAATTAGGCGCCGTTCAAGCCTGTGTTGGATCAATGAACCACATGGTGTTATTGATGGGTCGAGGCTGAACCCCTCGCTTGACTTCTTCGATCTTTCGCGGCGTTCAAACATTCCGCGCGAGATGGTGGTATATGAAGCACGAATGCGATTGTAATACCTCCACCAAGCTCCCCTCTCGCTCACTCCCATCCTCTAATAGTATGACCACTGGCATAGTCTCGAACGATCCCATTTGGTGGCCAATCATCAATGCGAATCTTATTTTCAGCTATTTTGCAGGTTCGTGGAGAGTCAGCCGCATGACGACGTTGATGATTCGATTAACTTTGGCTGCGGTTTCGCAGTTGCCTCTTCTATCGGGATAATGTACGATTGGGGTGAGCAACATTAAGTATGAAAAGACCAGTGACATCATTATGGTATTTCTAGGACTTACATTCGGACAAGAGGTAGGTTGACACCATTACCAGAGCAGCCATCTCGCTAAGAACAGTTTTATAGGTGGAACTGGTCTGGGTGAGCGGACTCCCACATGAAAAGAACGATGTGCAACAGCTAATTTCGGCAGAGGCAACGCTGGTCTCTGATAACCGTTCTGTACCTCATTGTATGTAGTTTGTATTTTTGAGCGTAGTTAGCAAGTTGTACTGACGTGAACATATCCTAGGTACGATATGTTGGAATAGGATATGCTGTGTACGTTTCGACGTTTAAGCCGATGTTGCGCTCATGACCCATCATTCACAATCAGGATTAACATGTTGAGTATGTCTCCTCGCATAGATTCTGTTTCTTTGTTGTGACGAGTGGCATACAGTCAGTCTTCCAACAATTTCGATGACAGATGCAGTGAGTATTCTACACCCATGCTTTCCATTCCCGTCCAAACAACTGAACTACCATGCAGGGGTGAGTGAGATTCTCGAACAACTCGTTGCTTCAATTTAACGACTCCCACAGTTGTGAGTTTGTTTCGAACCTGTGATCCTCCGAGGCTGATAACTAATGTTGCTGGATTTGTCAGGCATCATCATGTACAAATCACTAAATTGGACGAGTGAGATTGTAAATGTAATACTGGGCGGTGAGCCATACACCTCCGTGATATTGACTCGACTGAGACATCATGCAAGTCATCATGATCGCTTGGTTACATGCCATGTATCAGCGATCCAGAAAGGTGCTAATATTTCTCGTTGTCATCTTCCTGGCCATCACAATCACCAACGCAGTAATGCTCGCGATAGAGATGATGCAGACTTCAGGGGGTAAGCTTTGATTATGTATGAGATGTTTAAGTGCATCAGGCTCACTGACAAATACCAGCGGAATTCGTTCTCTCCGGCACTTATCAGTGCATGATTGGCTATGTGGGAGATGCCCAACTTCTGTATCCCATGACTTGGATACCTGCCACTGTATGGGAGGTCGTTACACCGTGTCTCGCGGTCTGGATTGTTGTGAAGTACTTCCGTGAACTACGACGACACCCAACAAGAGGTGTTATCGGGGACTGTCTCACGGTGTTAATGCAAATTCACGTTAGTTACTTTGCAAGGTGAGCTCATAATGTGAATGCGGTTCTCTTGTTCCGCTGAAGTTTTGCACGTGTTAGTTTTTTTGCTATCTCTTGCTTCCGGATCGGTTTAGTCTCTCCAACGCTCTCAGCGGTATGCCGATCTGTCACCGACCTCTACATGCGACGATGATTCACTATTTCTACAGGACGGATATTCCCTGGCCACTCAGACTTATTCTGGTCTCGCTCAGATATTCCTTTTCGTGCAGTTGTTTGTGCTGGGACCGCGCCTTATCATCGGTGTTCGAGATTATCACGCTGAGCTCGTGGCCAACTCTGATACGGCAACCACTATGCCTTCAATTGCTTATCAAGAGCGCGTCCATATGTCAACTAGCAGTAGTCTATAGTGCGGGAGATGCTCGATATGATTAATTTGCGATAGGCGGGTAGTGTACAGGGAGCGGGAGAATTTGTTTTTATTTATTCCAGGTTTTGTCGTGGTACTTATTTGTGTAAGTTGCGAAGTAGATATAGGTCATGCAAGAGTTTTGGTCAACTATGACCAGAGATCTCTCCCTAACGCCGAGGTTCACGCACTCGATCTCAGCGGTGCTGTCAAGATCGTGGCGGCTGGTGGAAGTCTGTTCATCCTGATGCCATCGCTGAAAGATGGCTGTTTCAACTTTCCAGGACCTCAGAGAAGTACTCGACCACTCAAGTGGTGGCTGTGGACCATTCCAGCACCCCTGTTCATCCTAGCTGCTCCAGGGTTACACACTGAGTACCTCTAGCAGGACTTTGACTCGTTGTTCAGGCTACATCTCAATCGAGTCCAAGCATTAGATGCAATGCAAGGGCGTTGCAGCCTAGAGATGTAATAGAGTCAAATTGTGAGCGTCCTTATGGATATGGCATTGAAAATGGGCCTACGCTAGGTTGATGAGAGCGACGACACGACCAGGATGGTCAACCGGACACTGGTATAGAACAAAGTGTAAGTTCTCTACCGCATTGGTCATGTCACGGAGACTCTTGACTGTTGAGTAGTCAGTAAATCATGTGGCTTGCATGATGCATCGAACATTCCTGGATCTAAGAATGGACTACAAATTGAATTTTTGTTAGTGGAAATCTAAGGCGTGGGGCTAGTGTTGCTTACATCAAGTGATGCACCCTCCTGGTTTATGCGAGTCCGACCTTCGGCGTGAGAGATGGGTAGACACTACGAATGGGTGAAAGGGACAGACCTACAACAAGTTGATAGACATGCATAAATATGAAGCAGACTACTTACGGAAGCGTCCATCTCTGTGATCGAGCAGTCCGCGCTACAGTACTTCAAGTTTCCCGGTGACTTCTCCATGCCCCAGCATTTGGCCAAGCTCGAAGGACCCCATGAACATCTAGGTGACTCATCTGCGATCTGCAAAGGAACAATGAGGATTGGAAACACGTCCGCAAGTCACTGTGAAAGTCTTTACAAGGTCACAGTATCGCTTTACGCTACAGAATTGTCAAATGATAGCACTCGGACAGCTGATTTGCGGTGTCTCCTCGACCCGACGTTGACAGACACGTAAAGTCCTGGGAGTGTGCGCACTGATCACAATCAACCGACCGATACCCGCAGGGTTAGACAGGCATTCTCTCACCTTGGAAACCGTCCGACAGTCGACAGGAGGGGCGAATTCCATAGCTACAAAGTTTCTAAAGCTGATGGTGAGCCCCCAAGGAAATTTACAGGTTTATCACAGTGAGTTGTTGTAAACAAGTGTGCGTGATGTCCACTAGATCGTGACCGCGAGAAAAGGAAGACAAGATACCTTGTGATGACACGAGATTTTGATTCCATCGATATCCCTGGATGCATATTCCCTTTCTACGTCAAAATTCATGCTGAAACACTTACTTCGATCGATCAGATTATCATTTCGTTTCGCGTTCAAGCGTTGTACAAATTGCTCGAGTAAGTCCAGAGGAGTCCTGGAAGACGTGGTCACTGCAGAATCCAGTCAACGATTCAGTCGGCACGGTCCGAAGTTGGACTGCTTACATAAACTTGTCCCTGAAAATGGTGTCCATATGCCGCTGCGGCTCAAAAGCAAGTGCTTGTGGCCATCATGCTCTCCTCAATTGTACTCTTCGCAGGTCTCGTCAACCTTGTTTCTAGTGCGGCTGTGAACGATATACGACCCCTAGTAATATGGCATGGAATGGGTGACACCTACGCATCTCCTGGTATGGACAGCTTTCAGAGTGAAATCAAGGAAATGCACCCCGGCATATTCATCCACTCCATCTTCATCGACGAGGACCCAAATGCAGACCAGCGTGCAACCTTTGTAAGTATCCATACTGCTATTATATGGGTTTATAACTGATATTCATCAGTATGGCAATGTGAACCAACAAATCATACAAGTTGCCCAGCAGCTCGCTGACATACCCGAGCTCAGCCGCGGTTTTGATGCCATAGGGTTCTCACAAGGAGGTCAATTCCTTCGTGGTTACGTGGAACGCAATAACAGCCCGCCGGTGCACAACCTGATCACCTTTGGGTCCCAGCACATGGGTGTATCAGAGTTGCCAGCCTGCAACCCATGGGATCTACTTTGCCAGGTCGCGCGCCGAGCGGCAACCAGGGGTATGTATAGCGAATGGGCACAGGAGAATCTTGTTCAGGTTTGCCAGAAATCCCCTCATGTACCATGCTACCGTTAATTCAGTCATCGCCAGGCTCAGTATTTCAGAGACCCGCATCAGCTTTCGCAATACATGACATTAGGGAGCTTTCTACCGGACATCAACAATGAAGTCTTGCTCCCATCTTCCCGCAATTCATCATATGCAGACAACCTTGCCTCGCTGAATAAGCTTGTACTTGTCCTCTTCCTCCAAGACAAAACCGTAATTCCAAAGGAGAGCGCTTGGTTCGGCTCCGAGCAACCTCTTGAAGACATCACTATGGACCAACTATCTGGATCCGGTCAGACGCCGATGCTCAGCCCACCGAACGCCAAAGACATCATCCCGATGCGTTTACAAACCCTTTACAAAGAAGACTGGATAGGCCTCCGACAGCTTGACGAATGCGGCGGAATTGAATTTGTGGCATGTCAGGGGGCGCATATGCAGATCGGTGACTGCTGGAAAGATTTGGTTGCTAAGTGGGTGGGAGGGTCTTTGAGCGTGAACTGAGGCGTATCCTGACACGATGCGCCACACTGACACCAGTCTGTACTCTCCCCACGCTTGTTCGGCGCACCACTGTTAGTGTTGATGTACAATGGGTTGAACGTGTTCTATATAAAACGGACGATTTGTCCCACTAGTTGTAGACATTCCGCCACCCAACGTTGGCGGGAGGAGGGCTCTGTTGAATACAAAAATTCTCATCAGTGACAAGATGTGCAAAGCTAAACTGATTTTTTCCACGGCTCAATACTTTCGACTGACATGTATTCACACGGTCGGCTGAAAACTTGAAGCACTGGACTCTTTGTCACAATGAGCATATCAATTTGGGATGAGGACAACGTAGAGCGCATGAATTGGACCGCAAATAACTGACCCATATTTTGAGCAACATCACGCGAGGCAAAGCAAAATCAATTCGAATTGAGATGCGGTGTCGGCGGGGAGTACTGAGTAGTGGCACGAGCGGGCACAAAATTATTATGTAATGTATCACCTTGGCCCGCCCGGCTATCCCCATTTATACATTCATGCCACTCCGAATTTGCCCCGAATAACGGCAAGGTGAAAGTTCACGCTTGCCTGTGAAAGCTTAAGTTCTCGGTTTCTTACTCCCCTCGATATTAGTTTCCTTGCTCGTCTTCTTTAAGTCATCAGCAATGTCTGGCGCAGCGTCTGCAGCCGCAGGGTCGAAACTCTCCGCGTTTATGAATCATCCAGCCGGTGCGTGGGATGTCCGTTGATGTAGAAATGAGCGCTGATTCACATCGTGATCACGACAGGCCCAAAGACAGTCTTCTTCTGGGCACCATTGATGAAGTGGTGTCTTGTTGCTGCTGGTGTAAAGGACATGAGTCGGCCAGCAGAAAAACTCAGCGTATCGCAAAACGTTGGTGCGTAGAAGGGTCACTGGCTCACTGGGACTCCGTTTAAATTATTCCCGGATAGCGCTCGCATGCACAGGTTTTATCTGGGTTAGATACTCATTGGTCATTACCCCGATAAACTATAGTTTGGCAGCGGTAAGGGTCGCTGGGTTCCGTCGATGATGATCACTCATGCGGTGTTACACAGGTGAACTTCTTTGTTGGCTCTACCGGTTTAGGACAGTTGGCTCGAATCGCAAAGTGAGTTTCAAGTCGAACAGCAGTTTAAATTTTGTGCTCACGGCCGAGCAAGTTACCGGTACAATGGAGAGGCAGTCAAGGCTTGATTAGTTTCTCTTGAGAGTTTTTTTTATCTATCCATGCTTCCCTTGCAATGTCACTTGGTCAAAGCTCGATGAATCGTTCTTATTGGAATCATATACGCTGATATATAAGTGTGACTACGCTCGAAAAAGGTATCATCGACTCTGACTCTTCTTCGTCCTGTCGTTGTCACTGTTAGTGGCTTTATTCTCGGAGCTCGGCCCGTCAAAAATCCCTCTAGCTACGTCCCACCAGCCACCTTCCGCTAGTAAGCGATTGGCAGCCTTAGCGATGTTTGACATGATATTTTGAGCGTCATTCCCCTCCTGGTTCCCGTCGCGTTCCCTGATATTGCCATTGCTTGTGCTTTTCAAAGGAATCCCACGATTTGGGACGGTCATTTGACTTGTGTTGCGTACGCGTCTTGGGTGACCGCGATGAACGCTGATTACCAGGAGTGGACTGGGCAGGCTCATTCAGCACATCCCAGATGAATCCGCCTAAGCTGGAGATGATGCTTGTGTTCCCGCCCGCGCTCTGTCCCATGTACCACCCTAGACCTGCAGCAAGCGCTCCTAAAATGGTTCCCCACTTGATGAACCAGATACTGGTTCTAATCATCCAACTGGTGGTCCTATATAGGCTGACTAGTGCGAGATATGCGGCGAGGAAGCTGATGAGAGGGGGAATGATGGTTTGTGCATCCCATTGCCATGGTTTAGAGGCAATTAAGGATGAGATCAACGAAAGAAGCGCCGTAAATAGCGCAAGTGAGTGCGCGAGAAATGAGAGCAGAAATGAATACAGAGGTGGGGGAAGCTGGTCGGCGAGGAAACCAAGAAGGGGGTCTAGAAACGCTGGCAGTGGAATGTCTGCTGGATCCATGGTTTCTGTGGTATGGATTGTTAATACCTTGGATATCTCGAGTACCAGTTTCAAGTTGCAAGAGTCAGGCCGTCGTGACACGTCTTGCAATGAAGTAATTACTTATGTAAGTGACTGGACGTGAACGTTACGTGATGTTACGTGGCTACGTGACACGGTGTCACGTGAAAAGTAAATAGAAAACAAATATCCAAATGGAGGCAGGGAAATGAGATATTCACTAGGAATCAACCAATTGGATCATATCGGCATGATACCAGCCGATCGAGCCGACTACCGATACCTCTACTCCGACATTTCCTGTGAGGTATTCGCTCCGCGAATATGCACCAAACATTAACAAATCCGATCGTGTATAAGTTCGAGCTTATATCAACTTTGCTCCTTTCCCAAGAACTCTATCATATATCTTCATCTGCCCATACACCCACTAGTACTCTTTCATACCATGGCCATGAAGCGCAAATTCGACTTTGATGCTACTGACGACTGCCCTCAGGTCATTTATTTTGTCGAACTTATTTTACTTCCCCACTCTAATGCTCGCTCATATGTATCAGGTCGCCAAGCAAATGAAAATGGTTCCCTTCCCCAACTACGAACCTGACACCGACGTTGCTATGTCTGAATCTCCTTCATCTGACGCCGTCTCGTTTTTCCCTGAAAATAATCATACTCGCCTTCATTCTACTGCCAGCTCGTCAAGCGGTTCGTCTGTATATTCGGACGCCATCGACTATAACTCTCGTATGTACACCTGAGATTTAGATGTTACCGACTCTCATTGGTGCCTGCGCGTTTTCATATAGCTTTGTACCCTCGTCTTGCCCGGGTCGTCGACTACCAGCCGGATGACCCTGACAAGGCGGTTGGGCTATTACAGCCTGCAAGTTCATTCACTCACCATGGGTAAGTGGAAGGAGAAGCTCATTCTTGATTACGGTTCTGACTTGTCACTCCCTCCCGCCTCCACAATGCTATGCTTTATAGCTCGCATTGCTCACAAATACCCAAGCTTCGTGTCGCCTGCTCTGCTGGTTCCGACGGCTCAAGGACGATGTGGAGCTTTTGTGAACAATGCGGCGCGATCTCCATGGTGGATTCGGATTGAAGTCGTCGACAGTGCCTGGCACCCTTTTTTTTTATTGTTTTTATTTTGCTGATTATCCTTTCGTGATTTGCTTTCCCCCTGGCTCAACTGGTCAAGTCTGTTTCCGACATATCGATCCTATATCCGCCTCCCCTGCGCCGCTAACAGTTACCATCACCTCTATCCGCCTCCTTCGACTTCACCGCCCTTCTCGTGTTCAACATCCGGTCAATCTCCGAACCTCTGACAACCACTCGACATCAAAACATCGGCCAAATATCATGATGCTGCACTCCTACGTTTGCTAAATATGCTCTCGCTGTACATATCTTGCTCCGTCGTATAAATTATAATGCTCTGTTGCTCTGACACCAATTACGTGTGAATTAGTCTGATCAGTAATATTCCAAAACAACCGAAGTTTCAAGATAAACCCTTTGAATTTTCATTTGCTAAGTATATCGAAAGTTTGATCGAAATTATACAATTACGTCTACGCCACATCGAACAAGTACTGCTACGGTCAGCACACGCCATGACCCAAACAACTTTGCTTCAATATGAAGCACCCTGTAAGTCCGATACATATCACCACTTGTCGAACATACTTGGTAACGTTGATCAGGGCCTGTACACGCGCTCGATTGGTGCAAGTCAACTGCACCTGGACATCAATCTCGTCCACGATCGGCTTTCCGTCTCGGAATTGCATCCTTCTCTGAAGACTATCGGAATCGGATTGCTATCGTAGGACTTCAAGATGAGCGGGTCCTTGTTGAAGATGATTATACCGATTACCCCGACTTTGTAACATTGGTAGAGGCGAACCACGGATACCCAGCCACCAATCTCCAATGGCAACCTGCGAGTGCAAGCGGCTTCTCGTGGACTGGTAAAGCGCCAGCTGCAGAGCTGCTTGCCACAACTGGAGATGCGTTGAGGGTATGGGAGTATTTTGGAGATGCACCAGCAGCGTCGTCGGCTTATGTTGGGAGACAGCCCACGGGCGCAGGGCATCGGTTGACACTTAAGACGGCACTAGTCTGGGGTACGTGATTGCAAACCCACGCCTTGATTGAAAACACTGATGCCCTCGTGTGCCAGCAATCCAAAGTGCAAAGCCAATCCACCGGACCACCATTAACCAGCTTCTCCTGGAACGAGAAAGCCCCCAGCTTAGTTGTCACGTCATCAATAGACACGACGTGTACCGTCTGGAACATCGATACGTCCACTGCCATAACACAACTCATTGCTCACGATCGAGAAGTTTACGACGTTGCGTGGCTTCCGGGATCTACAGATATATTCGTATCGGTCGGAGCAGATGGTAGTCTTCGTGCGTTTGACCTACGGAGTCTCGAACATTCTACCATTCTGTATGAAACGCCGGCACCCAAAAGCGGTCCGCCCGCAGCCTCAGCATCATCGCGTCTACCTACATCACCGCTTACTACGCATTGCATTCAATCCCGCTGACTCAAATTACATGTCCACGTTTCATATGGATGGACAGGATGTGCAGATTTTGGATATGCGGAGTCCTGGTCAGCCGGTGATAGAACTGAGAGGGCATCGCGCGCAGGTGAACGCGATGGGATGGAGCACAACAGGATAGACCAACACTGGCTACCGCAGGTAAGCACTGCAATGAATCAACCTGTGCCTGTGTTTGACCTGAACCTTGTATGTAGGGGATGATTGCCAAGTTCTACTTTGGGACCTTGCTACCTACACACAAACGGCAACCTCTCCTCGCACTGCAAATTCTCGCTTAAATTCACCGCGTCCAGACGTGAAGAAGCGTGTGGTTACCGATCCGATTATGGCGTATTCTGCGAGCAGCGAAGTGACCAACCTCGCATGGTCTCCGCAGATACCAGGGATGACGATGAATACGGGACATTCGACAGCGCCTGGAGAGTGGCTAGCGATTGCGAGCGGGAAGTCTATCAAGGCGCTGAAGGTGTGAATTTAATTCACTGGAGGATGGATACTGTAATTGTACTTCACATGGGAGTGCGCTTGGGCTTTTGAACTGTCCACTCTATGGCCATGACAGATGATGCATATGATCTGGCTCTTCTTTTTTTCGCGCTATCTTCGCTATCTCACAAAGGCGCACCCACAGCTTGTTCTTATATACCTCATGTCTCGTGAATTATGTCGATTGAGGTGTAAAAATAGGTGATGTTGTCACGGTATCTGTGCTCATAGGATGAGGCTACTCGAACAGCCGTTACAATATTTCACAGGTTCTCCGTCTTGAACGTCCTGAAACCGCGGGAATACCCCTGAACAGGAATATAAATAGAATGCCATGATCCACCTCTTTCATTTCTGGAAATCGAGCAGATAAGAACTTATCATTGACTCGGATATGGCAATTGCCCGACTACCGTAGGCTAGATCTCACATGTCGCAGGTACTTTTGCCTGGCCTCGATTGCTCTGTCATTGTGAGAATGTACTAGGAGGGAGCTCCGAGGAGACGGAGGATGTAGTATTAGGAGGAAGTTTCTGCTGAATGAACTTAGTTACGGTAATACTAATCCGGGCCGGTTGGGATTTGTTCCGGAGGCCATGGAATGAACAGATTCATCTGATAGGTGTTCTGATGCGGCTCCACACTTGTCCTTTACAATGAATTTCAAAAAACACGCATGCTCAAGTTGGATCAATCGCATGACGCCGCATACAACCTCTGATAAAGATGCGACCGCATGCATGGATCCTTGCTCGGCCCCCCACTCGATATTAAATTAAATATAGGTTGCATACTTAATTCACGCTTATCTCTCTCCGTTGCTTCTAGCACCCCCAACATGGCAGCTCCAGTAGGCGATTTTGATGCAGAGAACCAGTTCATACAGAGAAAGACGTCCGTCTACACGAACTCTGATGGAAAACAGGAAACCGCACCCGTTGTAGATGCTGGGGGCGATCTGGAGGGTGCGGAAGAAAAGGATGAAGGTACACAAGCGAGGGACACGTTCAACAAGAGACTCCGTGTTGTTGTCCTGATTGCCCTTGCTGCACTCATCCTTGGGTGGTGGATCTCTTCCACCATTTTAACAGCGACACGCGGACAATGGTATGACGTACTCTCCGAGTCTTTTAAATAATTAACAAACCTTAATTCTTCTCCAAGGGTCGTGCAGACATTTTTTGCGTGGTTTTTCTTACTGTAAGTAGTGCTAGTGATCTCTACGCAATATCATCCCCCTTGCTGATTATCCGCACTGACAAGCATTATCGCATTCCGCTTCATACCCAATTCGGTGGTAACGGAGCCTATTGCCGCTGTATGGGTGCCATGCGTTCAGGTGCCTTGGTACAAGCTTCCTCGCACAGCGAGATTGTCAATTGGATGGCTCTGCCTTCTTGGCATTGTGTTTGGGTCTGCCTTCGGATTCCCACTCACTGGCGTGAGTTCTGTTGTCTTGAATGAGTTTTTGATAAGCTGACATCGCTGTAGAACAGCAATTATGGAAATCGAGCAATTTCAGTCCTTGGCTTGTTTGTTTTCCAGTGCAGTTTCTACTTGTGTTCCACGAACAGATCAGCCATTTGCTGGTTGGTGCCTCCCTCTCAGCCTACTGCATCTGCTGATTTACAATGTAAGGCCTATTGTGATAGTTGGCCTTTTCCTTCAACAAACTATTGCTCTTTTTGTGCTCAAGACTGGCGCTGGTTTTTCCTTCTTCAAATACATTGCGGATCTCGCAGATGATTTCCTGTCGCAAGCCGATGTCGGAGCTGAGTTCTTCTTCGATGCAGCAACCATTGCGAAGGGTTGGTTTTTTGTCAATGTGGTATGAGGGTGGTGTCTTCAATCTCGAACCCTTGACTTGATAAGATTACAGCTCTCCGCCGTTATCTTTTTCATCGCCACGATTCAAATGCTTTACTATGTAAGTGACTAGACCTTACTTTGAGGCCTCAGTGCTAACGTATACCAAAGCTCGGCGTCATGCAATGGATGGTCAAAGGATTGTGAGTACATGAAACACGTTATTCATCGATGAATGAGATTCATTATTTTCGTAGTGCGTGGTTCTTCTTCAAGCTCATGAACGTGTCTGGCGCTGAGGCGGTCGTCGCAGGCTGCTTCTCCTTGGGTGGGCCAAGGAGAGTCTGCGTGTTTGGTCAAGCCTTATGTTGATATCATGACCCCTTCGGAACTTCATCTTGTCATGACTTCTGGTTTGTTTGCAATATTCTGCCATTGGAATGTTAATATTTATGAATCCAAGGTTTCTCCACTATCTCCGGATCTGTTTTGACCGCCTACATTGCCCTGGGTGTTCCACCCCAGAATCTCATCACTTCATCCGTCATGAGCATACCTGCTTCTATCGCCATCAGCAAGATGCGGATTCCCGAAGTCGACGAACCTGTTACTCGTGGTCGCATAGTAGTGGACCGTGGGGATGCGGGAAAGAACCAGCCAGTCAACGCTCTTCATGCATTTTCTTTGGGAGGTCTGTTCGGCCTGAGTGTCGCGGGACAAATCCTGTGAGTCCCATGAAACGGTTATCGACGAGTCACTCAGCTTAGTCCCATAGCACTAACGTGTTGACGATCTTGTCGCTTGTCGCTACCATTAATGCTGTCCTGACATGGGTCGGTCGTGGATTCGGCATCCACCAACTTACTCTACAGCTAGTCTTGGGATACATCGGGTATCCTATCGCCTTTTTCTTGGGTCCGCACATCCCTGCGATCTTGAGCCATACAAGCTAATATTTCGTTAGGTGTCCCTACCGCTGAGATCCTCCGAGTCTCACAGCTGTTAGCGACGAAACTAATTGAAAACGAATTTGCTGCGTACTTGGGTACTCTCGTGACCCCAATTTACAAATATGTGATTGATGCTTAATTCTCGCAGAACTATCAAGCATCCAAGCAAGTTCGAACCCCCTGTCGCAGCGTGCCTTTACGATTGCGTCATATTCCCTCTGTGGATTTGCAAATCTCGGATCTCTAGGTATACAGATCGGTGTGCTCGGTGCTTTGGCACCATCGCAGGGTAAAGTCATTGCAAAACTCGCGACGTCCGCTATGATTTGCGGATTTATTTCGTGCGTTTTTGGTTTATCCTGTTTGTAGTTTAGTAACGAGCTTTTCTGCAGAACACTCCAAACTGCTGGTATCGCGTGAGTACTTGTGTGGTCTTGGTCATGACGTCTAGAGGCTAACTTTGTTTCTTTTAAAGCGGCATGTTGGTATAACACGAAGGGTATCTTGGAATTAAAATGACTGAGCTGTGGCACTATACCTTGCTATAATATACCTGGCCCTTCACCATAAGGGCAAGAGTTATTGTCAATGATTCTGAACTGTGTGACAGCAGGAGTGCAACATGCAGCCTCTCTTGTCTTCACACCACACAGCAGCTCGCACCACGCTCCAGCAAAATCAAACCTGCCTGCTGCCTTCTGATTTTCTTTTCCTGACCCACCGCTCCCTTGTCCTCGTTCTCTCTCGATCCTCGCAGCCTACATTGCTACTAGTACCTAAAGGTAGTCAGCCGAGGCTGCGAGGATGGCCCACCCGCCCTCGCAGCTCACCCCGGCTCTCTGTCGCACAGGCTGGGACCGCTGTTGGGGCCGGGTTGGCCCTTCGGGGCTTCCACCCAAAAAACTACTCGCTTCTATAGAGCAAACATTTAATTTTGTTCTCGCTACTACTACTAATACCACTACACAACAGTAAACACAAAGTCTGTGGATTGATACAAAACACTACAAAAAGTGAACGCGAAGATACTTGACTAAACGTTTACAAACTAAGTACATCATGACGCTGGCAGATGGATAGAGACAACATCTGCGGTGTTATCCGGGATCCTACTAGTGCTCCGGCCAGTCTTGTGTAGTAAACACTATTTGATTCATTTCCGACGTTTTGATGGGCTATTAGAGGTGTCCGATTCGAGTGCACTGTTGCCATTGACCGGAGCCTCATCCAAAGGTCGCTTGCTAGATGTGCCAACACGGAGTGCAGTGGTGTTGGGGCCTCGGAGAGGGGAAGGGCGGCTGAAGCTTCCGTTGTTGAATGTCAGGAATTGGGACCGATGGCTGACTCGGACGACCGTTCATTAGGCTGTGCGTCGAAGGTTCATACTGAGGATGAGAGAGAATTAAAATAGATTTCACAAAATGAAAAAAAAAGTCAAACCTGATGCAAGGTAATAGCCTTTGCAAGTTTCTGCCCCTCGGATAAAATATCAAGACAAGACCGCAGTCCCTTCAAACACCACTGCCGTTCGAGCCAGGAAAGGAGGTGACGATTCCAGAAAACCTGAAATGTATGGTTGAGAGTGTCGTCCCATGGATTTGGAGCGCGCGACAGGTGAACGACCCAGTTTTGAGATGCATACTTGAGAGCGTCGGAAGATGATCGACTTCGTTCCTGTGCCTCGTTTGCGAAAGCTATAAAGAGATTCATAGCACGGATGATCTCCCTGTCAGGAACTTCTGGCGATGCAGAAGTAAAATGATTTCGGGGTATCAACGCCAGGAAGGTTGGAAACATCAAGAAATCCGGTAAGGTTTTGAACTGCTGGACTACTTTGAAGGTTGGCAGCGAAGCCAATTCTGGGACAATGATATAGTTGCTGAGTGCTTCCAATGTACTCGAGAATTCTTCCATAGTCGCCCATACGGACCCCGCAGGAGTGGATTGCCACGCTTGGCCATGGGGCGACTGGAGCCAGTTCCGCCCGCCCAGGGTCTGAAGCCACTCTCTTCCTCCCTCGGTCTGCAACCAGTCTTGTCCTCCCCAGGTCTGCAGCCACTCTCCTCCTTCCTCGGTCTGCAGCCACTCTCCTCCTTCCTCGGTCTGCAGCCACTCTCCTCCTTCCTCGGTCTGCAGCCACTCTCCTCCTTCATCGGTCTGCAGCCACTCCCGTCCTCCCCATGACTGCAGCCAGTCTCGTCCTCCCCAGGACTGCAGCCAGTCTAGTCCTCCCCAGGTCTGCAGCCAGTCTCGTCCTCCCTCGGTCTGCAACCACTCTCGTCCTCTCCAGGTCTGCAGCCACCGGTCTCGTCCTGCCTCGGTCTGCAGCCACCGGTCTCGTCCTGCGGTCTGCACCCACTCTCGTCCTCTCCAGGTCTGCAGCCACTGTCGTCCTGCCTCGGTCTGCAGCCACTGTCGTCCTGCCTCGGTCTGCAGCCGGTGTCGTCCTGCCTCGGTCTGCAGCCACTCTCGTCCTGCCTCGGTCTGCAGCCACTCTCGTCCTCTCCAGGTCTGCACCCACTCTCGTCCTCCCTCGGTCTGCAGCCACTCTCGTCCTCTCCGGGTCTGCACCCACTGTCGTCCTGCCTCGGTCTGCAGCCACTCTCGTCCTCTCCAGGTCTGCAGCCACTCTCGTCCTCCCTTGGTGTGCACCCACTTTCGTCCTCTCCGGGTCTGCAGCCACTCTCGTCCTCCCTCGGTGTGCACCCACTCTCGTCCTCCCTCGGTCCACAGCCACTCTCGCCCTCTCCCGGTCTGCAGCCACTCTCGTCCTCCCTCGGTCTGCAGCCAATCTCGCCCATTCGTGGTCTCTGCCCAGGCACACCCGTCCTCGGTCCCCAGCCAATATTGTAGATCTGGAGTACAATCTCCCCGAAGCCATAGCATACAGACGAGAACTGACAGTGGTTCTGGTGGCTGAACAAGGAAGGATAGCGAATCTTTTAATCGATGAGGGTCCTCAGATTGCATAGCTTGGCTCTGTTTCTCCAGTTCCGAGAGCGCATCCAAAAGGGCTGTGGTTTCTGTAATATTTTTCATCATCAAGTGAAAAGAGGAATCGGCGAGTAGGGAGTGGGGTGAGGGCATATTGTGTTCGCGTACTTGAGGGAGGCTGCAGTTTGAGGGATCGGAAACATAGTCGCGAATGGACGAGTGATAGATATTCACGGGGAGAGTGCTGTCTGTAGGGATATCCATGACAGACCGCAGCTGTATCAGCGTTGTCTGCACATCCCTGCCCACACCAGGGCCAAGAAGTGTCGAGATTTGCGAGATGGGAAGAGGGTCTGCGAGGGCCGTGACGATGGACAAGTGCATGTAAGCCCGCCTGGGGTCAGCACACGTGGAGAGGATAGAGTCGTATAACTTGTACACCTCCGTTCCCGCTAGCAGCTCGCTCGTCAGCCTGAGCATCAGCTGTAACCGATCGTGGGGATCCTTGTCTTCATCGTCGATGATGAACTTCATCATTGTAGACGCCACGATGAAACGTCTGCCGGCGCGGCTCGCCAGCTGCTCGAGTTCATCCCTCGTCGGCTGAGGAAAATCGGGATGGCGACTTGCCAGCTCCGCGAAGGAATGCTGCAAGAAAATATAGATATCCGTGTCGACATCGGCGCCGTCGAGCGAGATGATGGCAGCAACGCCCTCCCCAGAAGTTTTCACTGGTATTTCGCACAACAACGGCCGCACCTCGTCGTTATGAAAGGCTTTACAAATGTGCGCTTCCGAGCGACTCGTAAGCAGAACGTGGGTGACGGGAAGGTCAGGGTCACGAAGAGCCCGTGCGAGGGAGAGGATGAGATCGATAAGCTCGGGTTCGGATGTGCATTCATCAAGGGCATCAATGACAAATGTCAAAGGCGGACACCCGCGCAGTCTGGATCGAAGCCACCGGAGAGGTTTGAGAAAGAGAGACTCCATCTGGTCACGTAGAGGTGTGTCGGGGTCTAGTAGAGTTGGATTGTCGCGGATGACTCTGTTCACATCCTTCCGAATGGATGGAAAATTGTTGGCAAGTTGGTAGGCAAGCGTTGCAAAGAAATGTCCAGCCGTGCAACGTTTCGTGTGCTTGCGCGAGAAAAAGAATGTTCCCGCTAGCCGCTTTTCGACAGTCGTCCCCTCTGTTACTTTTAGATCTTGCATCCTCTCAGCTACGGTGAACGCGACGGCAGACTTTCCGACACCTGCCGTGCCATGCAGCCATATAAGTTTATTCTTCTTCTCTTCGTCTAGTATTTGGTGGATGTATTTGAGGAGATCCACCCGGGTCCCTTTCAGACACTGCGGGTGAGGCTGACGTTCACGGGAGTTATATTGAGCACCCTTGACAGCAACTTGGGACAGCCTCGCCCAAGTTCCTTCGAGCGATGGCAGAACTGCCAAACAGGTGAGAAAGCAAAAGAGGGACAAGAATGGAAAAACTGACATTGTTCCTCACTCATTCACGAAAATTGTGGTATGCGTGATGAAATGGGCAAATTGAGAGTACTAGCTGGGTGTGGTTAGAAATCATCTGGGCGATATTTATCTCCAGGGACGACGTACTAGGATTTGAAGGATCTGTTGGAGTCAAAGTAAGTTGTCGACTTAGGGTCCCAAAACGCGACGGAGATGGGATGGGATAAATGGATGTTTCAATCTATGGAAAGCTTGCGTGATAGTGAGAGACAGTTCAAGGACGAGCGGGCGCTTGTCCGGTTGCAGGAGGCCACAGGGTTGCTGTGCATGCTGTAGAACGTACACTGCCTTCAGATATGTTGAAATAGAAATAGAGAGAGAGATCCTTGTGACGTGACAGGGCTTCAATCTATGGCTGATGAGTCTAAGGAGGTTGAGGCTGAGGGTCGTGGCAAGCGCAGACGTGTTGCAAACACTCAGTACAAAGACTTTTGGATGCACTAGATGTTTTTTTGTGTTTTTACTGCTTGTCACAATTCAGGTTCGACGGTCTCAAAATTGGTGTGGCTGTCACCCAAAATAGGTTCGATTCGTCAGGCGTGTGACGGTGTAACGAAGCTAGGTATCTCGATAGTATGTTGAAATAGAAATAGAGAGAGAGATCCTTGTACAAGTAAAAACCTGTAAATTTTGCAGTATAAGGCGCAGCATATGCGTTCGAATTCCGTGTCGACTCCTACGTCAGATTCTTACCAGCTTAATATTATAATTCAAAATGCTGCATTTCAGCTTCAGCGTTCTAGTATATAAAAGTACCTTGGTACTTACGCCCTTCTATTCCTGACAAAACCAAATATGGAGTCTCCTGCCGGCTGTGGCACAGATCTGCTCTATCCACTGGGCTCGGTACTTCGTATATAAATTCTTTTCAGTTCTAACATAATATTATCAAGCTTCCCATTTACAAGCCTTGCGCGTGTGCGCCCGCTTGCATACATTCTGTCAGCATCTACAAAGCTAAGCGCGCCAGTTTGATCCAAACTGCACTCCCCGTTTGGACTAGGCCAGTAACCTCTGTCGTACACTGACGAGAGGCTCAGGGAATACTCCAAAATGGCAAGTCCGCTGCAGATGTAGTCGAATGCTTATGCATCGATAAGATTGCTCAAGTGATAAGATCGATAAGACATTGCAAGAATATACAGTGGCTCAAAAAACTGTCCGCATGTTTTGACATTTTTCACTATCTATGATATTGTGTGAGAATGAACAAATTCCTCAAGGACATACTTATACCACATTGTAGTATGGCTTCAGGGCTTTTATTTGAGCCCTACACCGTGGGAATCGGCGGAGATATGGTGGAGATATAAGGCTTATAAAATGATGACTCATGTGGACAGTTTTTTGAGTGTATATTAAAACTATATAAATCATTATTTATGACACCATAAAAATCATGCCACTATTATATAAATTATAAAGTGGTGTCATTATGTTATTTTATGACTATATCTAACTATATAAACCAGAATATCTCATGTATCATAGTCATAATCACCATGAAAGCCATCTCCTCTGCTCAAAGAGATAATATCCTCTCTCTGTCTTATGCTGGCCTCTCTGCTCGCCAAATTTCCTCTAGAACTGGAATATGCAAGTCCACTGTGGCCAAGTTCATCAAAGAAAGCCACCCAGACAAGGAAAACTCTTGTGGAGGACGTCCATCCAAGCTTACCTCTACTGACAAAAGGGTTATTATCCAACATATCACTACAGGAAAGGCTGATAATGCTGTCCAAGCCACCCATTATATCAATTCCACCATCACTACCCCTGTCTCTTCACAAACTGTGAGGAATGTTCTCAAGGCAGCTCATCTCAAGGCAGTAACAAAGAAGAAAAAGCCTCTTCTCTCCATCAAACATAGGCAGAGAAGACTAGCCTTTGCCTTAGCTCATCAACACTGGACTGTAGAGGACTGGAAGCATGTTATATGGTCAGATGAGACCAAAATCAATAGGATTGGGTCAGATGGGAAGGTGTATGTATGGAAAAAGAAGGGAGATGGCCTAACAGACAGAGAGGTTAATGGGACTGTCAAGTTTGGAGGAGGTTCTTTAATGGTATGGGGCTGTATGGGATGGAATGGTGTGGGAATGCTTGCTGAGATTGAGGGGAAGATGAATGCTGAGCAGTATGTGGACATTTTAAATGACCACTTGCTGCCTAGCTTGGCAGAATCAGGGATTGATGAAGAAGATATCATTTTCCAACAGGATAATGATCCCAAGCACACATCCAGAAGAGCTAGGGAATGGTTTGAAGAACATAACATCAATGTTCTTGACTGGCCAGCACAGTCTCCTGATGTCAATGTCATTGAACATCTCTGGGGAACACTCAAGAAAAAGCTTCAAGCCTATGAAAACCCCCCTAAAGGAGTATGGGAGCTTTGGGAGAGAGTAGCAGTGGAATGGGGGAAGATCACAGCTGAGGATTGCCAGAAATTAATTGAGAGTATGCCTAGAAGGATAGAGGCAGTAATTAAAGCCAAGGGAGGTCATACAAAATACTAGAATACCTGGTTATTACTGTAAAATACTTGAGTCAAAAAACTGTCCGCATGAGTCACCATTTTGTGAGCCTTGTATCTCCACCATATCTCCACCGATTCCCACGGTGTAGGGCTCAAATGAAAGCCCTGAAGCCATACTACAATGTGGTATAAGCATGTTTTTGAGGCATTTGTTTGTTCTCACACAATATTATAGATAGTGAAAAATGCCAAAACATACGGACGGTTTTTTGAGCCACTGTATAGACGAATGGCAAACAAACATTAAAGACTCTACTCGAACACCTGGCGAACAACACTACGATTCACAGATTGGAAGAATACTTTACTGCATCTCGGCCAAAATATCATCAACGAGCTTATCCACAGCTGCCCTCTCCGACGGCGACAGGTCGTTCAAATGTTGGACGATCGAATCAAACGCTGCCCTATTGTCCTCCTCAACAAATTCTGACTTGCCGGCGGCGCCCTTAGCATGCTCCTGCAGCGCCCAAAGTAAGATTGTGCCGGAGAATGCAATGATATTGTCGTGGTCACGCTTGTTTGGGTCAATCCAGCGGGACAACCTCTTCTCAAGTAATACACAGTTGATTATGCGGAAGAGGGCAGGGTTTCTGAATGCTGCATTCTATGTAAGTCCAAGTCAGACTTTGGAAACAGTTATATCAGAAACTTTGAACGCAATTCACAGTGTCTGGATCGTCGAGGTAAGCAAAGCCGATGCAGAGGCTATCAATGTAAACCTGCTGGTGCACCAACTCTTTGTTCCGCTCGCTAATAGGGAGGGCAAAATCGACTGCGGATTGACCTACATCTTTGAATATACTTCGAATGCTGTTCGGAATAGTTTTGAGCTTCTTCACTTCGGTTTTTTGGCTTCCAGCCACCCATGCATCGACTGAGTTCATCGTCGATGGTGACGAATGCATCTCCACTCCCTGATTGAATGCGCGAAGTGCCATGTCTTTCAAATCGTTGCTCGCCACCATCAAGTTGTTAAGGAAATCCCTCTTGAACGCGTTGCGGGCACTGTCAACAATGCGTGAGATGGTGGCTGATGACAGTGGAGGTGGTTGGGTACTGTTGGACATGAGAGGTTGATCAGTCATGGCAGGGGAGCCCAAGCCTGGTTGGGCTATGTGACCTGTGCCTGCGGGTTCTACAGGAGGGAGGCGCAGGTGGACAGGCTTGCGAACGGCTCTCGAGGATCCGGGTACAACCTAACATTTAGATTAGTAAATGTAAACTACTACACAAAAAACGTACACGAATCACGCCGGTTGAAAATTCCTCACCCCGCACTAGTTCACCTGGTCTTGGCTTCGCATATGCCATGATGAGGCGATAGGCTTCATACGGTGCTGCTCGACTCGCTGCACGTACTGAAGGGACGCGTAGCAATGCGTCGCTGTGGTCTGCTTGCATCCTCAGACCTGGCCTGTAGTTATCAACAGCCTGGTGGATTCCTTCCACGTTGAGCGTGGGAGCCTGTATGCGGGATTGGTACTGGAAGGGGGTGGCGGACTGTGAGGGCATCCGCTGCTCAAATTGAGCAGGTGGTATGGCTGATGTGCCAGCCATTGATTGCTGGTTAGAGGGGGGTATCTGCCGGGCCATCTGTGGCAGGAATGATGTGCGCGGTATGGTCGATGGGCCCCGCCATCAATTGGTGGCTAGAGGGAGGTATCTGTGGGGCCGTCGGTGACAGGAATGGTGCACATGGTACGGTCAATGGGCCCACCATGAAGTCCCGGCTAGGGAGGTCCATCTGTGGGGGGTCGCCGCTCCACAAACTGAGGATGGGACATTGTCGATGCACCACCCATCATGTCCCGGCCAAGAGGGTTCATCTGTGGGGGGCACTGTTGCAGGGACCACGCATGCAATGCCATCAATGGACTCACCATCATATTGTACATATGTGGGAGCCCCTGCTGCAGGGATCGCACATACGGTGCCATCGATGGACCTGCCATCAATTGTGCACTGTGCGGCCTTGGTTGAGGGGGGTGAGCGGCTGCTGGCTGTATAGCCAGTCTGGATGGCACTACCGGACGCTCTATGGCCAGTCCAATCTGAGCGCTGGCGGTATTGCCACATGGGTTCTTCCCTGTGGACTCTGGGAATTTCGGTATTTGCTAGGAATTTGTTAGTTAGCAGTGACGATGAAGAATTGATATCGCACCTTTGATTTCCGCTTTCCCTTTGATGGTTTCTTGGGAGGCATGGTCAGAGAGCTGGAAAATCTGAAGGGCAAGGGCAACACAACTAAATTTAGAGCGGCACTGACCGCCAATCAGTTAGACACATGTTTCATTGAGGCAGTAAATCAAGGGTGGAACCTAGAATCCAGTCTGAACACACATGGTGATCATGTAATTGTATCAGGTGTGATCAGTTGAGTGCTACAGCAATCGGTACAGGAAGGGAAACACCGTCTACATGTTGTCGAAACATGAGCCACAAACACGTCATATGCAGTACACTGAATTGTCAGGAAATAGGAGGGTAAATAGAAGGACCCCAAGCTACACGCGGAATGGTCGAGAATATATACTTAATCACTGTAGAAATGAATATAAGCGCTCAAATATTAGTAGAGAAATGAGGGGGGGGGGGGTTACCTCAGAACTCGCCTCCAAAACAAACTCTTCACCTTTGACACCCAATCAATTGGAACTAACTTCCGATATGTCATCGCAACAGCTCTCGTCGTCATCCTCCAATTCAGCGCTGTTGATGAAGGGGTCCGTAGAATACTTATCCTTGGTGATTGTCTGGTTGGAGTCGTGCAAGTTGTGATCGATTGCAAAGGCCTCAAGTTGATTCAATTGCTCCTCTGAAATGCTGAATTCTAGCAGCTCCTCATCATAGGTTCCAACACCAAAGTCAAAGTCATCTTCGAGCTGGTTTGCGTGACGGTGGGTCATGAACCTTTCGAACATGTGGGCTTCATTGGAAGCTTCAACGTATTCACGAGCATTCTTCCACTGAAGTAGGCTAAGAAGCGTTTGATGACGCTCAGCCTCCTCTATCTCCCAGGCAGTCATAAGGAGATGCAAGCGTGACTTTTCACGAGTCGCTTGCTTTGCAGAAACGGCTTGCTTGATAGTTTCCTCGTCCATGCTCTGCAAGCCGCGTCGAAAAATAGTAGCAGCCTGTACATTCTTATTAAATGTTGCACCATAGGATAGATAAGCATTGAACGTACCGCTTTCGCATCAGCTATTGATATATCTGTGTGATCATTTCTGAGTATTGACCTCCTTGTCCAGCGCAGTTCTGAAGCACTTGGCCCAGCAGGCCGTGCATAAGGAGTAAATTTCGATTTTGCACGGTCTGTATACTGAGAGAGGCGGCGGACAACACCATGGGCTGGAAGAGATGGAGTATAATCCCGAATGATATGAGGGCTCACAAAAACAGTCATTTAAATCGGTGGGTGGGGTAAGTGGTCTGTCGCTGGATGGAGGTGATGAACTCTGGGGGGGAGATGAACTCTGGGAGGAGATGAACCCTGGGGGGGAGAGGCATGGCGTTGGCGAGTAGATATCATGATATGTGCTGACTGTCAGCAGTCAAAGCGGAAAGTGTCGGACTTTGAAAGACTTAGAGGAATTTTGCAGTCGAAATTCCCATGCGGATCTGGAACGCAACTACAATGAATGATGAAGTTCCAGCAGACGATATTCCTTGGCCTCAGCAAATCATTTCTGATAATGCAAGAGATCCCACTGTGACCTGCCCAAACTCAGACTGCCAACAACATTTTTCATCCATCCACGACTTGCTTGCTCACCTAAATCATCCAACCAAGACATGCTGGCCGTCGAGGTCTCAAGGACACATGGCCAAGCCTCCTGCGTTACGCGGAGCCCACAAACATCATGATGGGCAGTCTGGAGCAGATAAGACCATGGAGGATTCCATTTGGACTGCTCAATATCATCCACAATCAGGCTATGTCTACGGAGATGGACAGAACATATTTCGGCAAATTCAGAATGATGAACACGAGCCAAAACGGACACAATCTGTACTGGCCCTTTCGCGATCATGGAGAGTGGTCACTCGGTAAATTTCTAGTTGAGACCATGACACAGACAGAGATCGATCGTTTTCTCAAACTGTCTTGGGTATTCTATATGATCTGTCTGTGTACTACTTGCTAACTCTACATTTTCAGTTCAATGTGAAAGAAAAACCCTCATTCTCGAGTGCTCGAGAACTATTGTCCTGGATGGACCTTTTACCTCCCGGGCCGAAATGGTGTATCACGCAGTTTGAAGTCCAGGGGTACACCACCGCTGCTCCCATTCATCTAATATGGCGTGATGGCCTTGAAGTTGCGAAGAGCCTCTTTGGCAACCCAATTTTCGCTCGAAACATGTCTTTTGATCCTTTACATGTCCGGGAGGGTGCGCAGCAAGAGTATGGAGAGTGGTTCACAGCAAATCGAGCATTCTCGACACAGGTATGTGCTTCTGTTCTGTATTTTCACATTCTCAACTATCGACTATTCCAGGACCAGCTGCCCGAAGGGGCGACCATAATGCCCATAATAGCTGTGTCGGACAAGACACCAGTCACAAGACAGACGGGCGGTCTGGAAATGCACCCTCTTTTCCTCACTATCGGCAACATCGACTCTGACATTCGTATGAAGGCTACATCCCATGCTTGGCGATGTGTAGCATATATACCAATCCCCAAGTTTGAAACACATTCTGATTATCACACAATCCTGAAGTCGCATGTCTGGCACAAGTGTGTTGACTTAGTCTTTGCCAGCTTAAAGGTCGCAGCAAAGGTCGGCGAGTTTATGCCTGATCCCTTTGGTGAACTTTGATATTGCTTTACCCCTCTTGTCGCTTGGATCGCAGACCTTCCGGAACAATTGATGATCGCCTCTGTGTCAAAGAACGCATCCCCCATCACACTGGCCACTCACAAGCAATTCAGGGATGCCAACCGTCACGATCCTCACACAGCGGAACATACCTTGGAGCTATTGTACATTCTCAGCAAGTCCATCGATCCATGGAATCTTGACCGGTTCCAGAAGAAGGCGAAGGAGCTTCTCCTCCTAGGCGTTCATCTTCCGTTCTGGCGCGACTGGGCGCTCACCCAGGTCTTTATTTTCCTTGTCCCTGAAATCCTTCACACCCTGCACAAATTCTTCTTCGACCATCTGTTGCAGTGGTGTAAAGAAGTGGTCGGAAGCGACGAGCTTGACGCATGCTACAAGAGTCATCACAAGTGGTGTTGGTGTGCGTCACTTCTCTTCTGGGATCTCACATGTAGCACAGATGACTGGACAAGAGCATCGTGATATCCAGCGCACCATTGTCGCCATGATTTCGGGTGCTGCTCCCCCTGAATTTGTGCAAGCTATTCGTGCTCTCATCGATTTCATGTATCAAGCGCAGAACCCTGTCCATACAGAATCAAGTATCGAGGCAATGCAAGCGTCACTTAACGAATTCCACGATTGCAAGGTGGCAATCCTGGAAGCTGAGGCACGTCGGGGAAAAAGCAGCATCAAGGAGGACTTCTACATACCAAAACTTGAGCTCCTGCTGAGCTTCGCAGAGGCCATTAGGAACAACGGTGGATTGATTCAATTCACTGTGGATGTTAGTGAACAACTTCTCATCACACATTGCAAAAGCCCTTTCACAAGAACGAGCAAACAGAAAGATTTCAGCGAGCAGATCGTCCACATCCTTGATCGTGAAGAGCGGATGCGGCAGTTCGATCTATATCTCCTCCTTCGCCAACACAACCATGCTCTCGTGAATGCCGTCGTTGATGAAGATGAGGAGGTATATGCCACAGACCCGACGATGGCATGGGTTTCTCATGTTGCCCCTGACGAACAACATCATTTCAGTGCCCCCAGGCCCATACGGAATCATTTCACCAAGGGCATCCTATCCGACAGCGCCAATGCAGCGCTTACCATCACTCGCTCTCCTGATGGCTCAAATCTGAGCTGGCCTGATGTGATGCGCACCTATGGACTCCCTGATATTCGTCACAAGGTCACAGAATACATTCAGCGATATGCAGATGATGTCGAAGGGTGTTTCCGGATGTTTAGCACCATTAAGATTTGGTCCAAGTTTCGTATCCAACTGCATTTGACATTTCGCCCATCAATTATCATGCCTAGCCAAGCTGTCCAGGCCGAACCACCAAGTGATACATTCCCATCTGGAAATTGTGATGCGATTTTCTTAGACACGGATCAAGGCGCAAATAACCCTGGTTGTAAGTTGGTTTATACTACCTATCGTGCCATATACTGATGACATCTACTGTCTAGTTCCCGTTGCTCAAGTTCGCATTGTATTCCAGCTGGCCCCACCCCGGCGCTCAACTGCGAAGCTTCCTGACTTCCTGTTGCACCCCCTTCTCTATGTCCAACCTTTTCATATTGTAAAAACCCCCGAAGATCTAGAGGACACTCGGTTGTGGAAACTTGAGAGGGTATATGCACCTGCAACGCAGCCCAAAACCCGCACCGGGTTTGTCATTCCCATAACAGAGGTAACACATGCTGCAGAGTTGGTCCCAGTGTACAGAGAAGAGGTTGACCGTTCCTTGACTTCAGCGACATCTCAGGAGCACTATGACCACTTTTATCTTAACCGTTATGCGGACAAGGAGATGTATAACGTGTTGCATGAATCATTGGACACTGAGTATACTCTTTAGGATTAATCTTATGCCACTGTTCTTTCCAATAGCAACGTCATTTGTAAACACAGTACTGTAGGCGCAATGATCTTGGTCCTCGATTAGATGCTTTTTGGATCGATAAGATGACCAACTCGCTGATAAATCTCGCCTGAGTGCTAACGTGATAATCGGACTGACCAACCAATCACATCCCTCCATCGCTGCGAATGTAAGTGTTCGTAACACGCTTAGCGTAGGCGAGAGAAGCCTTCATTTCAGTGGTTTTGCAGATGCACGACCATATAACTGTCTATATATAAAACACTCCCCACAATGTGCCATCGCCGCCGGCGAGGGACCCGTTTCGGCCGTTGCCGAACCGAACAGGGTGCAGAGATGATGCTGGACAATTGGCCATCAGGGAAGTGACGTGAAAATGGTAAAGTTTTGTCAAGCTTTACCTGATTTAAAATTTGTATAATATCTATCAAAATGATAGTTCACTAGAAAATGCTTTATATACCCAGAGTAAGTTGGATGAAAACTCCCAAAAGCACAATCATGATAGTCTACCTGCAATTACTTGCCATTTCTCACCAAATCGGCAAATGTTGCCAACACTTGGCAGCCATGACAAAGTTTGATAATGTTGGGTGGCTTCAAACAAAAGCTAATTTTTCAACCTTTGTACACACATTTTATTCCAAAAAAAATTCATTTTGTAATTAAACAAACAAGATGTAAGTACATATATACATATATAACACTACAAAAGACAGAAAACGAGTATAAGAGGGAGGAGGGTCCACAAAGGAGGGTCCGCGAAGGAGGGTCCAAGAAGGAGGGTCCGCAAAGGAGGGTCCAGGAAGTAGGGTCCAGGAAGGAGGGTCCAAGAAGGAGGGTCCAAGAAGTAGGGTCCAGGAAGGAGGGTCCAGGAAGGAGGGTCCGCGAAGGAGGAACCAAGGAGGAACCGCGGAGGAGGGATCACCAGGGAGGAGGGACCACGAAGGAGGAGGAACCAAGGAGGAGGAACCATAAGGGAGGAACCAAGAGGGAGGGACCAAGAGGGAAGGCCAAAGAGAGTGAGAGTTCGAGATTCAGAGAGTAATTAAGTGGTGGTGGTAGCATTGAGAGAAGGAACTAGTAAGAAGACTCTAACGTTGAACTTTGAAAAAAATTCGGACTTACATAAGCATCCCATAGGGCCGAGCCTCTTGATCCCAAGTGGTCACTGGTGACCATAGGTGACCATGCAGTCGAGAAATGCTGGTACACTTGCCTATTTTCATCAGAATTATACATTTTTTGCCATATCTTACCCTTCGCTACCAATTTGCTTATCTTATATATTATTTTGTCTACTTTTGTCATTACATATAATCGCGTGAATTTTTGATCTGGTCTTACCAACTACAACTACAAAAAACCGTCGCCTCGGCGATTTCCTGATGTGTTCATGATCACAGTTCCTCTACACAGACCAGTACCCTTTCAGGGTCCTGGAATATACCCAGACCGTCATTCGTGGTATCTGGTCGGACATTGGAACTAGTCTCAATTTTGACGATTGGCCTAGTAGTGTTCTGCAAATGGCTGGAATGTTGTCACGGTATCTATGCTCATATGTAGTATTTCTGACAACTCGAACAACCGTTACAATATTTCACAGGTAATTCCAAGCTCTCCAACTTGAACGTTCTGAATCCGCAGGGGTATCCCTGAACACAAATATAAATAGACTGGATCCACCTCATTCATTTCTTCGAGCAGATAGGCTAAGTACTTAAGTACAGTTGATACGTTCATATTGCATATCGTAACATTGCATATATGTTGTAATGCATGGACTTTTGAGGATCCCGACATGGGTGGGCTGAAAATGCAGACATAATGCATAACGCATAATGCATTGCTATTGTATGAATGATATGCACTATCAGAGGGTGGTAATTAGGGCAATGGAACATAAGTAGCACCCAAACCATTGTTCTCCAGCATTGTCCTGCTCAGCTATGTAAGCGTTGAATGGATATGATGTCCTGTATTCGTAAAAATGACCCTAAACCTGAAATGCAAGCCACGCGATAAGCCCGCCGCATACACTCGACCTAGATTGCTATCAGTACTATCATTCCCGGTAATATGTACACGGTTGCTGATATGCAAAACTTTATAACACTTCAACATCGTGCTCAACTGGTGTCGAAAAAATTCAGGTGTATGCAGAGTACCTAGAAATGATGTTTTGTACAAGTAGAATAAAAATTTCTTGGATGTTGCAGCTGCGAGAGATGAAATAGTGATAATTTGCAACCTTGGTCCAACACAAATCACCCAGATCCCAAAGATCCTGCCAAGGTATTCGCAAAATTTTACCCGGAGCATAATGAACACCTTATAGGGATGTAAGAACACCAACTCGATAAAGGTTACTCTCTTGTGTTGAGGTGCTACAGTGGTAGAATCAACGACGAGTACAAAAACGTGACACCAGACAGGGGAGATGCGTAAGTAATTCAATCTCCTCCTCGGCACATCCGGCATCTATCCTCTGCAGCAGTCAAGTCTCACAGAGTCGCATCATTCTCTCCAATGGCACCACACCGCAGGCAAGCAGTCCAGACAAAAGCCGAAAAAGATGCCATTCGCGAGGCCAACATCAAAGCTGCTATCCAAGCTGTTAGAGAGAAGAGGGCTAAAAACCTCTCAGCTGCAGCTGGCCAGTTCAATGTGCCATACCATACCCTTCGTCGACGTGCACAGAACCTTACGAAACCTCATTCAAAGGCCCACAAATTCCAAAGCGAGATCGGCGAGCAGAACAGGAGCGTTCCCAAGCTGCATTCACCGGCACAATCAAGACCAAGAAGCTGGAGGAGCTACGCGACTTAGCCGCAGCCTTGCGGTTACCTGAGACTGGACTCAAGGCTGAGGTGTTCCAGCGGATTCTCCAGCACTTTGACGGCAACCCTGACCTCAAGAAAAATCCACGGTATGAGGGTTTATTCAACCCTACCCGTTCTCGCAGGCGCCGTCTCGATAACGGTGATAACACTGCGGAATTACCGCAGGACGCGATTCCCCCATCAAATCCAGTTCGCGAGCCGTTCGGATACCAACCTCAGCCTGCACCTCAACCCTCGATGTCGAGAAACGAATTTCCCCCACCTGGGTATGCACCCCTACATTATCCAATGCAGCATCCTGCACCTCAGCCTCAATATATTTCGCACCCTCACTTTGCACCGGCGAGTCGCAGTAGCGCAGATTTCCGAGTTGGTGATATGGTGCAGACTCAGCACAGGTATGCAGGGCATCAATTTTATCCAGAAGGCTATCAGCAACACCAGTACTACAATCATAGTCAGTAGTAGATGAACCATGGTACTCAATGATTTGCCGTATCCACCGTTTTCGAGCCTTTCGCGATCCACAACGCTTCAAGAAGTTCAAAGTTTCAAGCCTGCGCTCGGAGAGTGAAAGTCACCTGTGCCGCTACTGTGCCGAGGCGTGACAAGACGTGACCATACTTTTGCAGATTAGAGGTGGACCCTGAGTTTTATCGGGTTTGCTCCGACACCACACCACATTATCCTAAAAATCAGTAAAAATCAGATCTATGTAGAGGAGATACGAATACATGATGGGGCAAATTTTCAAAGAAAATGTGATGTGGTTGAGGAGTTACAAAAGATTTACTGAAAGTTTTGCATATAACCGGGAATGATAGTAGCTGGTACCTAGACTTGCGGAGTTTGAGCTCACCTCGGCTCTCCCTCGCACAGGTTGGGGCCGCTATTGCGGCCGGGTCGCCCCTTCGGGGCTTCCACTCAAAAAACTACTCGCTTCAATAGAGCAAACATTTCCTTTTGTTTTCGCTACTACTACTAAGTAATACCGCTACACAACAGTAAACACAAAGTCCGTGGATTGATACAGAACGCAACAAAAAATGAACGCGAAGATACTTGACTAAACGGTCACAAACTAAATACATCATGACGCTGGCAGATGGATAGAGACAACATCCGCGGTGTTATCCGGCATCCTACTAGTGCTCCTGCCAGTCTTGTGTAGTAAACACTATTTGATTCATTTCCGACGTTTTGATGGGCTATTAGAGGTGTCCGATTCGAGTGCATTGTTGCTATTGACCGGAAACTCATCCAAAGTTCGCTTGCTAGATGTGCCAACATGGAGTGCAGTGGTGTTGGGCCTCGGAGAGGGGAAGGGCGGCTGAAGCTTCCGTTGTTGAGAGCCGGGAATTGGGTCCGATGGCTGGCTCGGACAACCGTTCATTAGGCTGTGCGTCGAAGGTTCATACTGAGGATGAGAGAGAATTAAAAGAGGTTTCACAAAATGAAAAAGAGTCAAACCTGATGCGAGGCAATAACCTTTGCAAGTTTCTGCCCCTCGGATAGAATATCAAGACAAGACCGCAGTCCCTTCAAGCACCACTGCCGTTCGAGCCAGGAAAGGAGGTGACGATTCCAGAAAACCTGAAATATATGGTTGAGAGTGCCGTCCCATGGATTGGGAGCACGCGACAGGTGAACGACCCAGTTTTGAGATGCATACTTGAGAGCTTCGGAAGATGATTGACTTCGTTCCTGTGCCCCGTTTGCGAAAGCTGTAAAGAGCTTCATAGCACGAATAATCTCCCTGTCAGGAACTTCTGGCGATGCAGAATTAAAATGATCTTGAGGTATCAACGCCAGGAAGGTCGGAAACATCAAGAAATCCGGTAAGCTTTTGAACTGCTGGACTACTTTGAAGGTTGGCAGCAAAGCCAATTCTGGGACAATGATATAGTTGCTGATTGCTTCCAATGTACTCGAGAATTCTTCCATAGTCGCCCATACGGACCCCGCAGGAGTGGATTGCCACGCTTGGCCACGAGTCGTCTGGAGCCAGTTTCGCCCGCCCAGGGTCTGCAGCCACTCTCTTCCTCCCTCGGCCTGCAACCAATCTCGTTCTCCCCCAGATCTGCAGCCACTCTCGTCCTTCCTCGGCCTGCAGCCAGTTTCGTCCTCCCTCGGTCTGCAGCCAGTTTCGTCCTCCCACGGTCTGCAGCCAGTCTGGTCCTCCCTCGGTCTGCACCCAGTTTCGTCCTCCGTCGGTCTGCAGCCACTCTCGTCCTCCGTCGGTCTGCAGCCAGTCTAGTCCTCCCCAGGTCTGCAGCCACTCTCGTCCTTCCTCGGTCTGCAGCCACTCTTGTCCCCCGTCTGTCTGCAGCCAGTCTCGTCTTGCCTTGGTCTGCAGCCACCACACTCGTCCTCCGTCGGTCTGCAGCCACTCTCGTCCTCCTTCGGTCTGCAGCCAGTCTCGTCCTCCGTCGGTCTGCAGCCACTTTCGTCCTCCCTCGGTCTGCAGCCACTCTAGTCCTACCCAGGTCTGCAGCCACTTTCGTCCTTCCTCGGTCTGCAGCCAGTCTCGTCCTCCCTCGGTCTGCAGCCAGTCTCGTCCTTCGTCGGTCTGCAGCCACTCTTGTCCTCCGTCGGTCTGCAGCCACTCTCGGCCTCCCTCGATCTGCAGCCACTCCCGTCCTCCCTCGATCTGCAGCCAGTATCGTCCTCCCTCGATCTGCAGCCAGTATCGTCCTCCCTCGGTCTGCAGCCACTCTCGTCCTCTCCAGCTCTGCAGCCACCCTCGTCCTCCCTCGATTTTCAGCCAGTCTCGTCCTCCCTCAGTCTGCAGCCAGTTTCGTCCTTCGTCGGTCTGCAGCCAGTTTCGTCCTTCGTCGGTCTGCAGCCAGTTTCGTCCTCCCTCGTTCTGCAGCCAGTTTCGTCCTTCGTCGGTTTGCAGCCAGTCTGGTTCTCCGTCGGTCTGCAGCCACTCTCGTCCTCCCTCGGTCTGCAGCCACTCTCGTCCTCCCTCGGTCTGCAGCCACCCTCGTCCTCTCTCAGTCTGCAGCCAGTTTCGTCCTTCGTCGGTCTGCAGCCAGTCTCGTCCTTCGTCGGTCTGCAGCCAGTTTCGTCCTGCCTCGGCCTGCAGCCAGTTTCGTCCTGCCTCGGCCTGCAGCCAGTCTGATCCTCCCCAAGTCTGCAGCCACCCTCGTCCTGCCTCCGTCTGCAGCCACTCTTGTCCTGCCTCCGTCTGCAGCCACTTTTGTCCTCCCTCGGACTGCAGCCACCACTCTAGCCCTCCCTCTCTCTGCAGCCAGTCTCCTTCTCTCCCGATCCGCAGCCAGTCTCGTCCTCCTTCTGTCTGCAGCCACCCTCGTCCTCTCCAGGTCAGCAGCCAGTCTCGTCCTCTCCAGCTCTGCAGCCAGTCTCGTCCTCCCCAGGTCTGCAGCCACCCTCGTCCTTTCTCGGTCTCCAGCCAGTCTCGTCCTCCCTCGATCTGCAGCCAGTCTCGTCCTCCCTCGGTCTGCAGCCACTCTAGTCCTCCCCAGGTCTGCAGCCACCCTCGTCCTCCTTCGATCTGCAGCCAGTTTCGTCCTCCCTCGGTCTGCAGCCACTCTAGTCCTCCCCAGGTCTGCAGCCACCCTCGTCCTTCCTCAGCCTGCAGCCACTCTTGTCCTCCCTCGGTCTGCAGCCAGTCTCGTCCTCCCTCGGTCTGCAGCCAATCTCGCCCATTCGTGGTCTCCACCCAGGCACATCCGTCCACAGTCCTCAACCAATAGTGTAAATCTGAAATACGATCTCCCCGAAGCCATAGCATACAGATGAGAACTGATAGTGGTTTTGGTGGCCGAACAAGGAAGGACAGCGAATCTTTTAATCGATGGGGGTCCTCAGGTTGCATAGCTTGGCTCTGTTTCTCCAGTTCTGAGAGCGCATCCAAAAGAGCCGTGGTTCCCGGAATATTTTTCATCATCAGGCGAAAAGAGGAATCAGCGAGTAGGGAGTGGGGTGAGGACAATATTGTGTTCGCGTACTTGAGGGAGGCTGCAGTTTGAGGGATCGGAAACATAGTCGCGAATGGACGAGTGATAGATATTCACGGGGAGAGTGCCGTCTGTAGGGATATCCATGACGGACCGTAGCTGTATCAGCGTTGTCTGCACATCCCTGCCCAAACCAGGGCCAAGAAGTGTCGAGATTTGCGAGATGGGAAGAGGGTCTGCGAGGGCCGTGACGATGGACAAGTGCATGTAAGCCCGCCTTGGGTCAGCACACGTGGAGAGGATAGAGTCGTATAACTTGTACACCTCCGTTCCCGCTAGCAGCTCGCTCGTCAGCCTGAGCATCAGCTGTAACCGATCGTGGGGATCCTTGTCTTCATCGTCGATGATGAACTTCATCATTGTAGACGCCACGATGAAACGTCTGCCAGCGCGGCTCGCCAGCTGTGCGAGTTCATCCCTCGTCGGCTGAGGAAAATCGGGATGGCGACTTTCTAGCTCCGCGAAGGAATGCTGCAAGAAAATATAGATATCCGCGTCGACATCGGCGCCGTCGAGCGAGATGATGGCAGCAACGCCCTCCCCAGAAGTTTTCACTGGTATTTCGCACAACAACGGCCGCACCTCGTCGTTATGAAAGGCTTTACAAATATGCGCTTCCGAGCGACTCGTAAGCAGAACGTGAGTCACGGGAAGGTCAGGGTCACGAAGAGCCCGTGCGAGGGAGAGGATGAGATCGATAAGCTCGGGTTCGGATGTGCATTCATCAAGGGCATCAATAACAAACGTCAAAGGCAGACACTCGCGCAGCCTGGATCGAAGCAACCGGAGAGGTTTGAGAAAGAGAGACTCCATCTGGTCACGTAGAGGTGTGTCGGGGTCTAGTAGAGCTGGATTGTCGCGGATGACTCTGTTTACATCCTTCCGAATGGATGGAAAATTGTTGGCAAGTTGGTAGGCAAGCGTTGCAAAGAAATATCCAGCCGTGCAACGTTTCGTGTGCTTGCGCGAGAAAAAGAATGTTCCCACTAGCCGCTTTTCGACATTCGTCTCCTCTGTTACCTTTAGATCTTGCATCCTCTCAGCTACGGTGAACGCGACGGCAGACTTTCCGACACCTGCCGTGCCATGCAGCCATATAAGTTTATTCTTCTTCTCTTCGTCTAGTATTTGGTGGATGTATTTGAGGAAATCCACCCGGGTCCCTTTCAGACACTTCGGGTGAGGCTGACGTTCACGGGAGTTATATTGAGCACCCTTGACAGCAACTTGGGACAGCCTTGCCCAAGTTCCTTCAAACGATGGAAGAACTGTCAAAAGGGTGAGAAAGCAAGAAAGGGACAATAATGGGAAAAACTGACATTGTTCCTCACTCATTCACAAAGATTGTGGTGTGCGTGATGAAATGGACAAATTGAGAATACTAGCTGGGTGTGGTTAGAAATCATCTGGGCGATATTTATCTCCAGGGACGACGTACTAAGACTTGAAGGATCTTATGGAGTCAAAGTAAGTTGTCAACTTGGGGTCCCAAAACGCGATGGAGAATCGAGTTGGGGTGGGAGGTTTCAATATATGTAAAGCTTGCTGGATAGTGAGATACAATTCAAGGACGAGTGGGCGCTTGTCCGGTTTGCAGGAGGTCACGAGGTTGCTGTGCATGCTGTGACCGATACTGTCTTCAGATATGTTGAAGTAATACAAATAGAGAGAGATCCTTGTACAAGGAAAAACCTGTAAATTTTGCAATCTAAGGCGCAGCGTATGTGTTCGAATTCCATCTCGACTCCTAGCTAAGTCAGATTCTTACCAGCAATATTATGATTCAAAACACTGCATTTCAGCTTCAGCGTTCTAGTATATATATGTACCTCAAAAATGTACATACCTTGGGACTTAGTACGCCCTTCTATTCCTAACAAAGCCAAACATTGAGTCTCCTGCCGGCCTCGGTACTTCGCATATAAATTCTTTCCAGTTCTAATATAAACATTAATATTATCAAGTTTCCCATTTACAAGTCTTGCGTCCGCTCGCATATATTCTGTCACGACCACATAACTTATCTATATATACAACACTCCCCACAACTTGAATGTCCCATCGCTGGCAGCGAGGGACCCGTTTCGGCCGTTTCCAAACCGAACAGGTGTCTCCGTGCAGAGACGATGCTGGACGGTTATTCATGATCACAGTTCTTCTACACAGACCAGTACCCTTTCAGGGTCCTGTAACATACCCAGACCGTCATTCACGGTATCTGGTCGGACATTGCAACTAGTCTCAATTTTGACGATTGGCCTACATAGTAGTGTTCTGCAAATAGCTGGAATGTTGTTACGATATCTATGCTCAGCCTTATAATGTAGTATTTCTGACAACTCGAACAACCGTTGCAATATCTCACAGGTCATTCGAAGCTCCCCAACTTGAACGTACTGAACCCGCAGGGATACCCCTGAACACGAATATAAATAGACTGGATTCACCTCATTCATTTCTTCGAGCAGATAGTAAGTACTTATCATTAATATGTGATTGCCCAACTATCACAGGCTACCACCACTCGTTTGTAGATCTCACATATCACAGGCACTTTTGCTTGGCTCTGTCATTGCGGGAATGAAGGAGGCGGAGCTCCGGGGAGATGGGTAGGTGGAGGGAGGACGATATAGGAGGAGAAGTATCATATTAATACCAACTAGGATGCCAAAGGGACTAACTCGCACATCTCAAACACTCCCTCGGCTGGTACTTAATCCGAGCCGGTGGTGATTTGTTCCTCCATCGGAGACCGTCGAATGCATAGCTCCGATAGGTTTTTCCTTTTTTTCTGGTGTCCGCACTAAGATACATATAATCTCAGATTTGAAAAAACACGCATGTACAAGGAACTCTTTGGATCAATATTAACCCCATGACGCCGCATACGACCTCTTCGGGTAAAGATGCGACCACATGCACGGAGGTTACTCGGGACCCCACTCGATATTAAATGTAAGTTGTATAATCGACGCTTATCTCGCTCTGCGTTTCTTCTGCCCCCCTAACATGGCAGCTCCAGCAGGTGGTTTTGATGCAGAGAACCAGTTCAAGTTCATACAGAGAAAGACATCCGTCTCCACGAACTCTGACGGAAAACAGGAAACCCCACCAGTTGTAAACGCTGGGGGCGATCTGGAGGGTGCAGGAGAAAAGGATGAAGGGACGCAGGCGAGGAACACGTTCGACAGGAGACTCCGTGTTGTCGTCCTTATTTCCCTCGCTGCACTCATCCTCGGGTGGTGGATATCTTCCACCATTTTGACAGCAACACGCGGGCAATGGTATGACGTGATCGATTGATCTCCGAGTCTTTCAAATTAATGACCTTGATTGTTCTCGCAGGCTCGTACAGACAGTTTTTGCGTGGTTTTTCTTACTGTAAGTGGTGATCTCTACGCAATATTATCACCTTTCCTGATTACCCGCACTGTTAAGCATTATCGCATTCCGCTTCATACCCAATTCGGTGGTGACGGAGCCTATTACCGCCATATGGATGCCGTGCGTCCAGGTGCCTTGGTACAAGCTTCCTCGGCTAGTGAGATTGACAGTTGGATGGCTTTGCCTTCTTGCCATCGTGTTTGGGTCTGCTTTCGGATTCCCACCCACTGGCGTGAGTCCTCTTGTCTTGAATGAGTTTTTGATAAGCTGACATCGCTATAGCACAGCGATTACGGACATCGAGCAATTTCGGTGCTTGGGTTGTTTGTTTTCCAGTGCGGTTTCTACTTGTGTTCCGCGAACAGATCAGCCATTTGCTGGTTGGTACCTCCCTCTCAGCCTACTGCATCTGCTGATTTAGAATGCAAGGCCTACTGTGGTAGTTGGCCTTTTCCTTCAACAAACTATTGCTCTTTTTGTGCTCAAGACTGGCGCTGGTTATTCCCTCTTCAAATATATTGCGGATCTTGCAAATGACTTCTTGTCGCAAGCCAATGTTGGAGCTGAGTTCTTCTTCGATACAGAAACCATTGCGAAGAAATGGTTTTTTGTGAATGTGGTATGTGGGTGGTGTCCTCGATCTCGAACGCTTAACTTGATAGGATTACAGCTCTCCGCAATTATCTTTTTCATCGCCACGATTCAAATGCTTTACTATGTAAGTGATTAGACTTTACTTTGAGGCCTCAGTGCTAACGTATACCAAAGCTCGGCGTCATGCAATGGATGGTCAAAGGATTGTAAGTACATGAAACACATTATTCATCGATGAGTCAGGTTCATTGTTTTCGTAGTGCATGGTTCTTCTTCAAGCTCATGAACGTGTCCGGGGCTGAGGCGGTCGTCGCGGCTGCTTCTCCTTGGGTGGGCCAAGGAGAGTCGGCCTGTTTGGTCAAGCCTTACGTTGATATCATGACCCCTTCGGAACTTCATCTTATCATGACTTCTGGTTTGTTCCCGATATTCTGCCATCGGAACGTTAATATTTACGAATTCAAGGTTTCTCCACTATCTCCGGATCTGTTTTGACTGCCTACGTTGCCCTGGGTGTTCCACCCCAGAATCTTGTCACCTCATCCGTCATGAGCATACCTGCTTCTATCGCCATCAGCAAGATGCGGATTCCCGAAGTCGACGAACCTGTTACTCGTGGTCGCATAGTAGTGGACCGTGGGGATGCGGGAAAGAACCAGCCAGTCAACGCTCTTCATGCATTTTCTTTGGGAGGTCTGTTCGGCCTGAGTGTCGCGGGACAAATCCTGTGAGTCCCATGAAACGGTTATCGACGAGTCACTCAGCTTAGTCCCATAGCACTAACGTGTTGACGATCTTGTCGCTTGTCGCTACCATTAATGCTGTCTTGACATGGGTCGGTCGTGGATTCGGCATCCACCAACTTACTCTACAGCTAGTCTTGGGATACATCGGGTATCCTATCGCCTTTTTCTTGGGTCCGCAGACCTCCCTGCGATCTTGAGCTATCCAAGCTAATATTTCGTTAGGTGTCCCCACGGCTGAGATCCTCCGAGTCTCGCAGCTGTTAGCGACGAAACTAATTGAAAACGAGTTTGCTGCATACTTAGGTACTCTCGTGACCTTAATTTACGGACATGTAGCTGATGCTTAATCCTTGCAGAACTATCAAGCATCCAAGCGAGTCCGAATCCCCTGTCGCACCGTGCCTTCACGATTGCATCATATTCCCTCTGTGGATTTGCAAATCTCGGATCTCTAGGTATACAGATTGGTGTGCTCGGTGCTTTGGCACCATCGCAGGGCAAAGTCATTGCGAAACTTGCGGTGTCCGCTATGATTTGCGGATTTATTTCGTGCGTTCTTGATTTGTCCTGTTTCTAGTTTAGTAACGAGAGCTTCTCTGCAGAACTCTCCAAACTGCTGGTATCGCGTGAGTACTTGTATGGTCTTGATCGTGATGTTTCGAGGTTAACTTTGTTTCTCTTAAAGCGGCATGTTGGTATAACACGAAGAGTATGTTGGAATCAGGATGACTGAGTTGTGGCGCTTTACCTTGTTGTAATATACCTGGCCCTTCACTATAAGGGCAAGAGACATTGTCAATGATACCGGCTGGCCAGCCAATTGCCAACTCATGCCGGTGACACTCATTGAGGCATACAAACTTCAAATCACTCCTTGCATGGAGAATGCAGGTACTATGGCTGCTTCAGCGGTTTGGGTGGAGGTGTCTTTGGCAGGGAGATCACGGAAAGAGCGGGGACTTTAGGTTTTGCTTTTGAATAGGGCATTTTGATATTCTTCGTTGACGGTGTCCTTGGAGTAGCAGGACTTTCTTGACCTTTATACTAACGACAAATCGATCAGGATACCCTCCACTACGGCGAAATTCGGCAGTCTTGAACAGATTCTCGTCATCACCTTCTGGATCCACGCGCAAGTCACAGGATCTCGCGAGAGTGAATGTGGACAATCTGCGCAGAGATGACGGACGGAGAGGCGCCGATGCAGAAACAGGAGTGCCAAAGGTGGAATTCGAATTCGAGGACGTAGTGGACTTTGTGCTCGTGTCGTTGCAGACGGTGCGAAAGGCTGCGTATAATCAGATAGGGGGATATAACGGAGGGAAAGACATACCGGCAATGCTCTCGTTATGTTCAGCAATCGGTCATGAAATCCATGCTGGATTGTCTGTATAGTAGGTGGCGCGTAAGAATGTTTATGGTAGGTTGAAGCACATCCGGTTAAGGATCGTTGCGCTCAAATCTGCCGGACGATGTACATTGCCGCTGAGAAAGATGACGTCCTCGTCAATGGTGGGCTTCCTCCGCTCCTCCATTGCTCTTGCGCGAGCCAGATCGAGCAATTTAGTACGCGTCGCGGTGACGGAATGGGGCCAGTCATTTGGGCCTTTGGCAGCAATGATACCGCGTGCAATCTTGTCGGGAAGATTCGGAGGCGGGATTGAGCTGTGATCAGATGAGAAGGGGCGCATACCGAAATTCGACCCGCCCTGCAAAGTAACCTGACTTCATCCTCCTTCCAGTTTACGCTAGGGTCGTCAAAATCATAGATGCGACTGGGCTACGAGGAGTCCATGGAGCAGAAGAAATGAAAGAACTTGTTGAAAGACGCGGTCTGATAACTGAAGGGATATGTGAACGGGGGATGATGAGAGCGAGTTGGGAAACTTGAGCAGGCTCATCAAATGAGTGACTGGCATCGGATTTATTCGGGAACGCATCGAATGACACCGATAATCTTGAATGTCCTCGAGGTTCTCGTCGTCCAATGACCATGAGACTAACCTAACCTTACAAGATGGTCAGCAATTGTAATATAGGCAAATTCTGCCGAACCGATAACAGCAGCATGACGCAGTGGAAGCGTGCAGGGCTCATAACCCTGAGGTCACTGGATCGAAACCAGTTGCTGCTAGATTAATTGTTTTTGGCTTGAGCATCTAACGAGTGCACATGAAACTTAGGATTCAAGCTTCTGCTTCTGGTCACCCAATGATCACCAATTGATAATTTGTGAATAACATGAATGTTACTGTGCCGGGGGAATGAGGTCAAACTATAAATGTATTTTAAATTGGCGGGCGGGTCAGCCACCATGCAAGTACGTACTACAGTACCGCAGAGGTTGCTCCGCCTTCATCGATCATCCTCTCCACCATTGAATTACCGCCTACCCGCCGTGCTATCAGTCCACCTGGCATGAGAAGCAATGCCTCCAACTACCGCCACAACACTCGCTACAGGCACGGGGAAACGCAGACTTCACTACCGCATATTCGGACATGCGCATCGAGCTCCCTACGAAGGGGCAATCAATACGACACTTGCCGAGTACAATTCATTCCTGACATATCCAACTTCCACGCTTCCAGCGCATTCGGTGTCTACACCACACGCGGAAAGTACTGCGAGTGGTGCCTTCCTGCCCGGGCAACTCATCACGGCAGAGCAGGCACCAACGGGCATTCTTGCTCAGCAATTGCCTCCTACGATTCCCAACGAGAGGTCGGGAGGCAATGTGTTAGTAGCAGTTGCCGTCGCCATCGTGATCATGGGGAGCCTGGTAGGCGTTATCGTCGCAGGGGAGATCATGAAGCGGCGGAGACGTCGCCAGGGGACTACAGAGGCGAGTAACAAGGACGAAACAGACTCAACGCAGGACAAAGGGAAAGAGGTCTTTAACGAGAAGAGTCTAGAGTCATCTGTATCGTCGCTTCAAAATTCGCCAATGTCCATGGAGAGTCTGGCACTTCATCTAAAACAAGCGACTCCCCCCGTGCAGAGAACGATGCCATCCTGGTTCTCCCGGATCTTCCGGAAGGCTCAGACAGGCTTGCATCGCAAGGACGCGAAATCCCCACCGGAGACATCACATGCATCACACATTCCTGCAGATCGATCGGCAGAGTTGCCGAAGCGGACGACGTGGTCGGATTTTTCATATACGCCAGAACCGGAGTCCTTAAGTTATCCAAGGCCGCTTTTGCACTGCATACTCGAGGAATGTGAAGATGATTGTCAAAGCCAGAGCGGCAGCGAGATCGCCCTCACGTTGGGCCTTGCCATACAGCGTTCTCTAGATTCCATTGCCATCACATCGTCTGTCCACGGGGCATCCCAAGCCAGATCATTTACCAGCCTCCGAAAAGCAGTCGAAACTGGCTCTGTCGTCGAGGAAGGATACGGTGAAGACCGGGGAGGCGCTCAGGGTGTAGGCATTCCGGGCTCAGTATCCACAGGAACAAGCGTAAGCCCCTCTGGCTTGGAACTGGTACCCATGGCATCTTTGCAGACTCTCGACACCGGAGCAAGCGCAGATCGCGAAAGCTTGAGAGAGGAGATATTCGAGTTGCGAAGGGTTCAGACGAGGAGCATGCAGATGGACAAGCCTATTCTGTTGTCCCTGGGCTTCAAAGCAGTAGGTGACGAGGAAGAGACCGACGATAACGATAAGCCATTCGATACAGCAACCGAACATACTCCGAGCGATAACACCATGATGACACCCTCAATTGCAAACCTGCTTCTTCCGCCAGGATGCGATACAAGCCTACGACCCGACCTTCGAGACCTCCTCGGATCCCAAATGACTCTAGCGACCCTGGCAAGCAGTTACAGTGCAGTGGACCTCGATGACTTTCCTCTTCCTCCTTCCATTGTACTGCCACGTCCATAAATTAGAATCAAACTAGCCCATTCTATCACAGTGAACGGAAACACGCTGCGGATTGAAGGCATTAATGTAGGGAAATTGGACTCAGCCCCACAGACGTTGGCAAGCCTGCCACAAGCCTCATGCTAACTCAAAATGAGATCGGAAATGTAAATGTGACACACGCGCGTGTGACCGCATGTCACATCATCTATTGTTCTCTACGATAGCCATAAGATATATATCCATGTTGTTTCGGCGTTGCACTGAATTCGAACCACTAAATTTCCCAAGTTCTAGGTGATAGCAGAGCGCGTCATGATTTCACTCTCAATTATTTTCTTCAGTTTCTTTTCTGCTGTTGCTCTATTCTTTTTAAGTTATGTTGTATACCATGTCATCATAGCACCCCGGTTCGATCCCCTCAGAAAGTTGGCTGGACCACCGTTAAATGGGCCACTGCACAACCACATGTCGCCTGTGCTCGAGTAAGTTCTCCGCCTCTTTCACTAGACTTTTCTGCTCACATTTTCCATAAGCCCATTCAGGTCACCCAAGACTCATGCTGCCTATGTGGAGAAATACGGTAGGAACGTCCGTATAAGGGGGCTCGGTCCTGTGAGTGACTTGTCTGTAAAATATGAGAGCCGCAATAACTGTTCGCCATAGTGGGACGAACGCCTGCTCCCTCTTGACCCTGTTTCTGTTGCACACGTACTAAAGAACAGCACAATCTACGAGAAACCTTGGCAATCTCGAAGACTTATTACGAGCCTCATTGGTTGCGGTATGTTGGCTGCAGAAGGTCATGTCCACAAGCGTCAACGGCGCGTCGCTACCCCTGCATTTTCCGTCCAGAATATGCGAGCACTTGTGCCACTTGTCTTTAGCAAGGGAGAGGAGCTCAAAGATAAGTGGATGAATATGAGTCGGGCAGTGAAAGAAGGGCAAGTAGCCTCGGAAAACCAGAACTCCGGCCAAGTGGAGATCGACGTTTGTCACTGGATCAGCCGAGCTACCTTCGACGTTATCGGACTAGCAGGTGACTCGTGTTGGGTATCATATCCAGCCTTTACCTGACTATTGCGCATCACCCACAGGCTTTGACTACCACTTCAATGCTATACAGAACGAGTCAGACGAGCTATTTGTCGCGTACAAGGAGATGTTCGAGATTGCCGTCTCGCAAGGAGATGGAGTCAGGACAGTTCTGGGGATTTACTTTCCCATCATAAATAGTCTTTTCGTACGTTTACATCAGTTTCTCATGAATGCAATCCTGACTGAGCTTTTCAGCCCGATAAGAGGGCCAAGACCGTGCATAGATGCCAAGAAACTATTCGTCGTGTAGCAGGAAAGCTAGTGCAGCAGAAGAAAACCAGAATTATAGATGGGGAGAAGAGCGGGTCCGCATATACCGGCAAAGATCTACTGAGTCTGCTGCGTGAGTCTACCGTCATTTCCTTCAGTCAGTCGGCTGACGGATTAGTAGTGAAATCCAATATTGCAACAGACCTTCCACCAGATCAGCGAATTTCCGACGAAGATATATTACACAACATCAATACCTTCATGTTCGCAGGTTCCGACACGACATCTCTCGCTCTAACATGGGCACTTCTGCTCCTTGCAAAACATCCAGACATGCAAACTCGTCTTCGCACGGAACTTCTCTCTATCGTACCAACCACTCCGATATCCCGGCTGTCACCTGAAGAAATCGAGTCCTTACACAACACCCTGCAGAACTTACCATACTTGAACAACGTTTGTCGGGAGTCCTTGCGTCTGATCCCTCCAGTCCATTCTTCCCTCCGAGTTGCAACGCAAGATGACGAGATTCCTGTATCATACCCTGTCCACTTGAGTGACGGCACGATCTCGGAGCAAAAGTCTATAAGTGTGTCGAAAGGGAGCTTCGTGCACGTCCCAGTAGAGGCTTTCAACCTCGACAAGGGCATGTGGGGACCTAACGCCTGGGATTTTGAGTAAGCTTTTTGTGCCCGTTTAAATGAACTACCTCACGAAAGGGATTTACAGCCCTGATCGATGGGATCATCTCTCGGAGGATGTGCTGTCGCTTCCAGGACTATACTCTAATCTTTTGACTTTCTCCGCCGGGCCGAGGGTAAGTTCTCCTAAGTCTTTATCGACATCGCTTATTTAGATCTTCAGTCATGCATCGGGATGCGTTTCTCTATGATCGAGATGAAGACATTTCTCTATATCCTTCTGACGACTTTCACCTTTGCCGAAACAAACAAAAGGATCTACAAAGCCAACGTGTAAGTCGCACGCATCATATCCAGGATACATTTTGACACCCTCTTTCAACAGCGTGCTTACACGACCATATGTTTCTGGACAGTTCAAAAAAGGAAGCCAGTGCCCACTCATTGTAACACCTCTCGAGTCGATTGCCACTTCCTAAGACATATAGACATATCAGTGTATCAACATCTACCATGTGTTAAGCACGCATACCCCCTGCATACGTCGACACTGGTACACTTGTGGAGAGGCGGTGTTGTAGTTGTATTTAAATAATATTGTATTCGGACTTTAGCCCACAATATCACATCATCTTTGCTCTGCACAGTGCACACATGACTCACATGTACAAGTATACTACTAGTGCTGATCCAGCTGTTGCATCCTTCTCAAAGACATGTCGCTGTTGATGCACGAATTTTTGTTCCGCCTCGGCATCGACATAAAACAGGAGCGCATGCAAACTACACACATCAGAAAGATGTGGCTCGGTCTGCTACTTTCAATTCTTCCAGCCTCGCCGAAGCCTCATTGATGGACACTCCTTCGATCGTTGGTTCTTCCAATGCGACCGAGGGCGACTTGAAAGCTAAAGGTCGGGAGGTTGTCGACTGTCTCTAGCTTGCATGCATTCTTGTAGCCTTCGGCCCCATTAACATTTTTTTTTCGTTTGGGGGTGAATTCTGACAGGTTTGGTCAGTCTGTCGAGAATCTAGGTTGGCACGTACTACGCAACTCAGGGATATATCTCATGTTGCCGAGACGATCCTTGCGAGGCGTGAAGGTGGATTCCTTTTCATGGACAGACTATCCCATAAAAAGGCAATGACTAGGCCTAGTTAAGATGGACCTCCGAGGATCTATTATACACCGCAAAAAGATTGTCAGCAGGTTTCGAACCAACTCCAAGAGGAACAGATTTTGACTCCGTTGCGGTAACTACTTGGCTAAGACCAGCTGGATGGACTTCCGACGAAACCATCCATCAGTGAATATCAAGGTGTGTCCCGAGAGAAAAAAATGCTGTGATTTGGCAGGTTTCGAACCTGCACATTCCAAGAGAAACAGATTTTGATTCTGTTGTGGTAACCACTTGGCTGAGACCAGTTAAGATGACCTTCTCGAGGAACTGTCCATCAGTGAATGTCAAGGTATGTTTCGACTCCGAGAGAGAAAAAAACTGTTGTCAGCAGACAGATTTTGAGTCTGTTGTGGTAACCGCTTAGCTATGACTAGTTAAGATAAGCCTCCAAGGAAACCATCCACGAGTCAATGTCAACGCGTGTTCGAAAAAACCTTGTCATCGGCAAGTTTCGAACCTGCGCAGTCCAAGAGTAGCAGATTTTGAGTCCGGTCCTCACTTGGCTAAGACCAGTGAAGATGAATCTCCGAGGAACTGTCCATGAGTGAGTCTTGAAAGCTTGACTCTTCATTGAAGGCGTGTTCCGATAGGGAAAAAAAAAACCAACCGTGTCGTAGGCAGGTTGGACAGATTTTGATTCCGTGGTGATAACCACCTAACTATCCGAGGAAACCATGCATGAACAGATCTTCATTGAGGGTGTGTTCTAATAGAAAAAAAAACACTGTTGTCGGCAGGTTTCAAACCTGCGCCTGTGCAGGAGTCAAGAGACAGATTTAGATTCTGTCGCGGGGACCACTTATCTAGGACCTCTTAACATAGACCTCCGAGGAAATCATTGTTTCGATATAAAGGGGCCAAGGGCGAATGAATGTTCTTGACTTACTACTTTTGCAGTCATATTCCATCCGTATGGAACTCGAGCATGAATCAGATATGTATCAAGGGGATATCTGTCTTTCTGACTCATCATAATTGCCAGGTACGTGTAAGCGGGAATGCTTAGAACCTAACCCACATTTCGCTTGTCAGCATGTACTAGACAAACGTCCGATGCGGCATGAAAATCTAAGCGGGCCGTCCAGTCAGCGTCATGAAGTATCTGGTGAGCGTTTTGACAAATCATTTGATGGGACGTGTAATTTACGTCTCTTGAGGAACGGTAAAGGGATCAAAAGCCTCAAAGGGAGATCCAGGAATTACGTAATCAAAGGTGAGGACATCATTAAGTACGGCCGAGTGACGTCTAACATCGGCAAGGAGAAGTTGTTTTGTAAGTACGCAACTGAACGCCACATCATCATCGTACACAGTGCCCGGTCTGATCGGCATCGCTCCTATGTTATAACGACCTGCTTCCCTCGAGATGATGATCCAAATCATCAAACTAATCCTCAAGCGCTACATATGAATTCTGTTCACCCTCCCGTGTTAGTAGTAAGTTACGATCTTCCTTTGACACATGTTTGCACGTAGCTGAATTCCTTGTTAGGTAGGCGCTGGGCCAGTGGGTCTGGTAGCAGCGTTGACGCTCCTCCAGAACGGTATCTCAGTTCGTATCATCGATAAAGACACCCACCATCGCATCGGACAGCGTGGTGCTGGAATATGGGTTTGTCCACATCCACTTGTTATGTCGCCCCGTGGTCTCACTGAATGTATTCTCTATGTAGCCGCGCTCCCTCGAACTCTACAACTTCTTGGATGTTTCAGAAGTCAATGGTTTGGGAAAACCAGTCCCTCCCGTCCGTTCATACAAGCCTGGGACCTTGGAACCTCTGAAGGACTCATCGATGGTGCCGCCTATGGCACATACCCCAGCAGTACCATTCGTACGCAACACCGTTGCCTGATCAAACATTCATTCTGATTCAGCTTTTTAGCATTCCCCAAAATTGATGGGTCAACAGCTCCTAGATGTGATTCTGCGACGCCACTTAGAAAAGTTCTCTTGTTCTGTCGAGATGGACACCGAACTGCGCTCGTTCGAGCAGTCCGATGAGGGTGTCACCGCTGTTCTGGCAAAGAACGGCATATCAGAAACTTTTGATACCAAGTGGATCATCGGCGCTGATGGTGCTAAAGGTGAGACGCTGTTAAATGCATCGGCATGAACGAGACTGAAGGTGACTTTGCAGGCATCGTGCGCAAGCAACTTGGGCTCGCATTTCTGGGCGAGACTAGAGACGATACCCGGCTTGTGACTGGAGATATCCGTTTGAAGGGCATTGGCCTCGATAGATTGGTACGTCTATTTTCTACATATTCGATGCAAAGCTGTCCTAATCCAGTCTCGAAGCATTGGCACCGATTTGGACACTTTAGTGAACGAGGGTGTGTTCAGTTTCTACTCTCAAGGCTTGGAGACGTGTATATTGACGATACGTAGCCTCTCATTACGTCCAACAGACGAAGTTGGCGAGGACGGCTGGCAATTTTTCCTCTATGGCCACGAACTAGACATAACCAAGATCGCTCAGAGCGAAGAGCTTGTCTTCGAGACTATCGCGTCGTTAATACCAACGGAGATTACATTCAGCAAGGTGGTCTGGATGAGCGACTTCCGGTATGTTTGCGTTTCTGTATGTGCCGATGCATACTCATGGTTTTTTCCCAGGGCCAATATCCGGATGGTGAATAAGTTTAGCAAGGGTCGAGTGTTCCTTGCGGGCGGTATGTGGCTCTGTTTGAGACGTGTGTATGGCTGTGCTAATGCATGTCGTCGTAGATGCTGCTCAGTATGTCTATCTTTGAATGCCTTCTTCGCAAACTGCTACTAACACATATCCAAGCGTCCACAGCCCAACTGGTGGTCAGGTATGATTGATCCGATTGTTGCTAATACCTTCTCATTTGGCTATGAACAGGGACTTAATTCAGGTGTACAAGATGCAGTGAGTCAGGTAGATCTAGCATGTGTGTTATCACTGACCACGCACCAGTTCAATCTAGGATGGAAACTTGCGCTCGTTCAGAAAGGGTTCGCCGACAAATCTCTTCTCGAGACATACAGCGCCGAGCGTCTGCCTGTGATCTCCGAGATGCTCGGGGTGACCACCTCGATTCTCGATAAGGCAATATCGTCTGGAGACCCGTCGGTCGGACGAAGTCCCATCCTTTACATGCTCGGCATCAACTGCCGATTCAGCACCATTGTACTCGATGAATTTGTGACTTCAGTCGAGGGGAGGCCTATCAACGCATACGGAGTGCTTGACGAGGGGCATCTGGAGGCTGGGGATAGGGCGCCCGATGCGCCCAACATGTTGCAGGTGGGGCGCACAGAGCCTGACGAGACAACGCTTTTTGGTTTGTACAGACCCTGGTACCACACAGTGCTTGTATTTGCGCCGAGTCTCACCGATGCCACCCCGATCTTGGGTGCACTAGAAGCATACGACAAAAGTGTCGTACGATCGGCAGTCGTTCTGCCATCATCGGCATCAGTGACGCCTGCCGCATCTCCTGCTGACCTCGTTCTTGTTGATCGGGAGGGCTATGCTTATTCGGCTTACCTCGTGGAAGCTGACCAGACGAAGGTGTTTGTGATACGGCCGGACGGAGTGGTTGGGGGGATCGTTCATGGTGCAGAGGGCGTGAAGAAGTATTTCTCGAAAATATTTTTGGATGCGTAGTGGGCCGAATATTCATTTTTTACTTACGACTTTTACAAGCACAACTCATTCCTGTATACCTCATGCAACGTAGCGTATCGCGTTTGTAACTCAGAGAACCACACCAATATGTACTAAAATTTTGGGCACTTTGCTAAAGCTAGCTACCATGAACTTCCGACAAAACCATCCATGAGTGAACATCAAGGTGTTCCGATAGAAAGAAAAAAATCGTCCTCACCAGGTTTCAAACCTGCGCAGTCCAAGATAAATAGACTTCCCAAGTTGAGATGGACTTTCCGAAGAACTATTGTCAGCAGGTTTCGAATCCGTCCCATGATCATCACAAGAGACCATATTTCTGAATTTCTGATCTGTTCTGGTGCCAGTTGGCTATGACTAATCTGACTACTTAACATAGACGTTGAATTCAAAGGATCCCATCCATGAGTGAATGTTTAAGGTATGGTAAAAGAAAAAAGGTTGTCGAGCAGATTTCGATTCTGCAATAGATTGATGTCTTGTCACACTTACTAGTGCCACTTGGCTATTAGAGACTGGGTCATGTCTACAGTATAATCATGTAGGATTAGCAGACGGTCATTTGCCAAGACTAGTTTGCGTTTAATTCGATGGACACAAGACACGCCAGGAAGCTTACGATGCGATAATGACAGTTGACGGGGCAATATTATACTAGCGTGCGCCTCCCGGACACCCAATACTAGCAGACCATGAAACTAATCACGTCCGTCGGGATTCGGCACACAGGTCATTGTAATTTGTTGCAATATTCCACTTCATCGAAGACATCATATGTTGTCGCTGCTTTGCATCCAGAAGGAGGATGGGTGTGGGGGGAACTTCAAATTAACAACATCAGGCTTAACACTGGAGTCTGCTCCTCGTTCAGTTACCTTTTTTGAACATCAAATTCCAATAGCGGGTGGCCGCGAAAAGCTGGTAGAATTGTGATTTAGTCATGAACGTTACAAAAAACGATATCGATATATAGCTACCAGATCTTGCGATACGATGTAGTACAAATCAAGATAATACACAACACATTGGCTGCGTACCAGTTTAACACCGAGCCCTACGAAGATTCCTTGACGCATCTAGATCCAGTGATATTCCTTCCCCAATTCGTTATACCCTGGCTCAATCTAGCAGCGACTCTCCCTAATCTCGATGTCCGACGAGGGGCAGGGGGCGGGGGAGGCACCACATCCATCTCCATGAAAGATCTTATAGTCGACTCTTGGTTCTGCGGGTACGGAAATAACTTGGCAGCGCGCTCCTGTAGGCGCGCACTGACGGGACCAGTTTCAGCCTGGGGCGCCTTACGACGATCCTGATGCGGTGCCAGGTCGGTCATGGGGCTTGAGAAGTGGCGTCCGTGTCCAGATCGAGAGTCCGGAAGACGAGCGGTGACGTTGGACTGGTGCTTGCGCTCTCGTCGGGTAGTGAATGGAGAGGGTCTTCTGTCTTCCGAAGGTGTGTTAGCTTTTGCTACCTCACTGGACTTCCGCTGATGCGAATTGTGCGCCTTGAGCCTTGACAGGCTAGTCTCAAGCCTGTCGAGTGCCGAGACAGGTCTCACCGAGGGAGCTGGCAGAGGTGGAAGCGGCGGCGGATCTCTCGTGGGTACATAGGACGTGTATAAATCAACTGCGCCACCAGACGCAGCATGCATGACTTGTTTCTCCACATTGAAGATCTGTCCGCGGCGCCTCAGGTTGCTATCGGTAGATCTGGCCCTGCGAAGACTTAGCTGTCGGTGCAGAACCAAATCGCAGGGATCCACTGAATAGGCTTCATTTGAAGTAGTTGCTAAGATGACAGGCACATCCATCGACATGGCAGCGACCGCATCAACCTGATCTTCACGTATGGAAGCATTGCTTCCCATGACTGAACCGGAGGTTACTGAATGTTGAGGTACGACGTCAAGAGGCTGATCTACACGCTGACAGGAATCTGACGGAGCCCCGTCGTACACATTGGCATCGTCTGGGAGAACACTGGGACTCCTGACGAGCGCAGCAGACTGATAAGACGAAGGTAGAACCAGGATTTGTGAGCTTTCATGACTATCCTGGATCAAATGACCCAGCGTATCGGGCCCAGGAGGTGTGGATGCGATCGAGGACTGGCCTTCCACCGTCGATCTTTCAAACGGGATGCCCACCATCTGGCTAACTTCGTGAAGAAGCATACTGCAAGACGCGGAATCTCCAACACCGTCCTCAGCTTCTTCTGCCGCCTCCCATGAGTAATCATCATCGCTCTGGGCGCCTGGGGCTTCATCTTCATCCATCTGCAGTTTCGATGGAGACTCCTTCACCCTCTTGTTCGAACCCCACGCCCTTAGAAATTCCCTAACAGCAGTAGTTTCGTCCTCTGAGAAAAGGTTGCAGACTTCTGAACGTGAAGGTGGGGGTAGGAGGTCGTGACTCAGCGGAGATGGGGGAGAGGAGGACAAACGTGTCACCGGCAAGTCCTTTGCAAGATATGTGGGAAATTCGTCATAAATGAGCTCCTTTGACCGACTAGGCTCTCCAAAGTCGCGACCAAAACGACGAGACTTGCGAACGTCAGGCGTATGCTCTGAACCATGCTTCAATGGCGCACAGCTTGCCGCGCTCAATGATATTGGTGTTGGAGTCTCTGTCAGGTGTATTTCATCTGGAAGAGGCGGACTGGCCTCATCAGCCACGCAACTAGCTGGAGATTCTGTGAGCATTGCGTTTCTCATACCCTTTCCGTCTTTCTCTCCGAAGAGATCAAGTCGTTGAGGATCGTCTCGAGATAAGCGGATCAACGTATGGGTGCCGCTGCCCGACTTTGAATCTGGCTCATAGAATTCGGAAAGAAACGCGGTTATAGGCGTCACCTCAGGAGATGTGATAGTGGGCGACGGCGAGTAAAAGAGTTCGGGAGTTATGGGTGATAGTGGTTCTTGGGTGTGAGAGCTTCCAGACCAAGACAACGTGCTGCGAATATACAAAGCGATTTCAGCGTTTGAATACAAGGCCATCTGGAATGTACGAACCTGTAAGTCGATGTAGGAGAGAGAGTCGGTACTGAAGAGACAGGGTAGTCAGACAACCGCGATGTACGTGATGCATCCGAGGGTAAGCGAGCATGGATGGAGAAGGATGAAGAGCCTTGGCGTCGTGACACAATGGTGTGGCTGTTTGAAGGAGGTTGATCATAGGAATGCGAACGCGAAACTCGCCGGGACGGTCTGGAGTAGGGATCCCCCTGCATCGATTGAATAACAAAATTAGTCGGCGACATGCCAGACGAGAAGGGTTGATGATAGAGTGGTGTTGTTCAGCTTTAATTATCGCAATCATTAGGGAAGATTCCAACGCTACCAATTGGGAACACTCACATAGTCAACAGAACGTACGAGCAGGCTGGTTTAGCACGGGATTTGACCAGGACTACGATAGAAATATGTTGGGCCGCGACAGAGACTTGTATCTTGTGTACTGCAGGAAGACATGAACGTTTGAACCTGTGGCCTTTGAAACAAATCGGTTCTGTTGGCGCACCGAATTTCAGGGGTGATTGGAATCCAATCAAATGCCGTGCCGTCAAGCAACCGTCTAGCGTCTTCAATCCAATCAGACGAGCGCAAGTCCCAACGGACAAAGGAGACTAGGGGCACCGTCTGAACTTTGAGGACATACTTTATATCAGATCTTTCTCTACTGATCCCGCCGTGCCAGCGCCGTGGTTCGGAAAATAAAGAATTTGACCTGCCAGAGCCTGCCTATTCTCGTTCGGAGGCTGAGCGCTGATAAGTAATCACTGCCAAAAAATATTATCACCACTGCACTGTACTGGCCCAGTAAGGATGAGGAACAAATACAAAATTAGCTAGTCACTCAGTGGTCGTCCTCACGGTGCGACGATCACTGAGCCTTTAATGATCGTCATTCAGTGGCTGAAACTGGACAACTCTCAGGGACACTGCTTGGTCGTTGCGTGAATCATGTTGATCGGGGACAAGGACGGGTTGAGGTTGCCTTCGATCATCCGAAGTTCGCACTGCGAATGTCGGAGTCCTGCTGCCTGCTGCTGCTCGAAGTTCAACCTCATGAAATAGAGCATCAAGTAGAGCAGTACTGGTGCAGGTCACACCTGCCGCATCCCTAAATACCAAGCACAGACCCAGATGATGGTAAGCCAAACACACGGATGACAATCATGATGAATTCTATTAAGGAATTTTTTTAAATTATATAATCAGCCAACCTGCGAAAGTGCGTTGACCGGTCATGTACATATGCATCATCGATCACCGGCACCGATCAATCGATCACCGGTGTACGTTCATTGAAACATGCATGGGCATATGAATTTTCAGAGATACATGACAGAAACCGTGCTAACCCTACATCTAGTACCCTTTCTTGCCAGCTGTAAGCTGTAGGTGAGCACTGTGCTCGTCATAAGGCACTTTTGATACAGGAATCTCGCGCCATAGGTCAGGAGTGAGGAATGAGTAAGTTTTCGTAATCTAGAATAGATGTAAGCGCAACACAATGAAAAAAGCTGGAATATACATACAGCAGCAAATGTGGCCTTCAAGAAATTGCCCATCGTTGCAGTCGAGCCCTTCGACTGCGTGTAGCAATCCTCAACACCAGCAAGCTGAAGCAGACGCTTTGACGCAGGAGCAGCGACGATACCAGTACCACGAGGCGCAGGGATCAGTCGGCACATAACGGAGCCGACCTTTCCGCTGACCTTTGATGGCACAGTGTGGGGCTCACCAAGGGCTGCGCCCCAGTAACCTCTTCGCACGGGAATGACGGAGAGTTTAGCAAGGATGATAGCGCCCCGGATGGCAGTTGCAACTTCTTTCGCGCACTTCACACCCAATCCGACATGTCCGTCAGAGTCACCGATAGCAACGAAGGCCTTGAAGCGGGTACGCTGACCGGCACGGGTCTGCTTCTGCACAGGCATGATCTTCATAACCTCGTCCTTGAGTTTTGGCAGGAAGAAGTCGACGATCTGGTATTCCTTGACGGGAAGGGAGAAGAGGTAGATTTCTTCCATAGATTTGATTTTACCGTCTTTCACGAGACGGCCGAGTTTGGTAACGGGAGCCCTGTGAGACCATACGTTATAGGCCGAGCGCAAGTAGAGAATGATGAATACGGACCACTCCTTTTCCTCATCCTTGCGGCCTCCTCTGCGGGGACCGCGACGACCTCTGCCTCGGTCGCCTCTTCCACGTCCGAATCCACCACGTCCGCGTGCTGCGTCAGCCATTATTTGTGTGCCGGAATTTTACTGTGCAGATGATGGTTAGCACTTAAGAAACGATCGAAGTCAAGAGAAGTAGATATGTATGAGGTACATCCGACAAGTGTATCGATGCATCCATCCGAAATACGATTACTTGACGTCCGCCATGCAGAACCGTCTGGATACTCAGCTGTGTGCAAGGGTATGGGATTGAACTCACGTCTCGAAGGTTCGGCGGTGTTGGGCTCGCTGTCGATGGTAGTGTCACCGCTGTGTGTCCTTCAATGCAGCGGCAAAAGCCCTGCCCTGAAGCGGTAATATAACCCCCCCTGACACGTCTCATTTGCACTGCAAGTGCAACACGTTCTTATCACACAATTCCAGCTCAAAAACACCATGAGGACATGATCTTCGTAGTCCAGTTTCGTCAAGATGGCTTAATTAGTGAGATGCACTTCAGGTGCTTGCAACCTGCGGGATACTATTACCGAGTGACCGGGGGGGTTGTGGAGTGGCGAAGCAGTGCTGATGATAAATACGAGCCTGGTTTCATCCCACGCCTCCAACTCTTTGCTTTCCAAGCCTCAAGTCAAGCCCTGACATTTAGCATTCCCTCTCAACTACGTAACAGTTTTCTAACCCCAGTCAAGTTGGCAGAACATGTCGAATATATCCAAGTCCAGTTTTTTGAAACAGCAATTTAGTATTTGCCCCGCGTATGCTCTTCACCCTCTCTCGCGCTTGGCTTTGTGCTGATTCTGGTATTCAGCAACGGCTGTCAAGCCGTTGGGGATGGGGCTTTCTCTGCTGACATTACTCCTAGTGTACTTGCCGTCTGCCACATGCAGGGCACCGACGACATGTACTACTACTCTACTACGTTCTCTGGTGGACCCGGGGTAAGTCATTGGTGTCGTCATTATTAATCTCAAGCACTGAGACTTTTTCAGTGGCGCGTTTGACATCCCTAACGCTAAATGCCCTCCTGACAGAGGGTCGTCAGACTGTGTGACAGGCAGTCCGGCGTCTTCAATTTCCTCTTCTTTCTCGCATTACTCATCGTCTTCCAACACATCCAATGATTCACTTATGCACCCACCGTACTCGCCTTATTCATCTGCAGTTCCGCCTCGCGACATTCCTATTAGAGCAGACTCACCCTACGACATTGCCACCCCGCCTTTGACACCGGATGACGATGAAGACAACTGTGCCACTGGTATAATTACCAAGCATTCAAAAGATGCTTTGGATCTTCTTTTGGCCATCTTTCCTCGTGACGGATTGAGCCTTTTGCCTTATGCTAAGAGCGTTATCGTTGCCGCCCCAAACATGGGTGTTTCTTTCGATGGTGTGGTACTCGAACTCCCTGGAAAGACCAAGACACTTTACGTCGATGGCAAGAACGCCCAGGCGGTATCTCTTCGCGAAAGGTGTGTTGCTTTTTAGAATTTAACGTCGGTGCTTACATGACCACTGTAGCATTGTGGCTCTCCTCGATTTGGCCGACGAACAACTCCAGTGCTCGGCTTTAATAATTGCATTCAACAAGGTTTCCCACGGTCTGAGCGAACTTTTACATTCACTCATGTACGTCGGGGGAAGCGTTGTTACTAAACCACCATTCCAGGTTGATCCTGCGTACATCCTCATCGGTGTGGAGATTTAGGTGGACGGTCAAGGGAATGTGAACCAACCTTATGTGGTAGGAGTGGGCATGATACAGGACCAATTTGTTTCTTGATTATTGTATGCAATCAAATGACTGCTTTATGGCTGTTCGATTATACGCTGGCATAGCTGGCCTGTCACATATTATGATCTGAGAAGGACTGGGCTGATTTGCCTTTGAGGCGCCTGAAGCTTATTATAGAACCCTGGGTCAAGTTGACCCATTGGGCCTATCGTAAACAACGTTTTTTCTTCGTTTCATTATCATAACATGGGGTTGCTCGACTTTCTTTTCTCCATCGTCAAAGCATTTTGCGGAGAGTCGTCTCAGCCAGAAGGCGAAAAGCCTACTGGTGTACAGAGACCACCACAACCACAGGAGCCACTATCTCCTCTTCCAGGCGCTTGGCCTAGTACTTCCCAACATGATCGTTTAAGATACCAAGTAAGCTCAGTGAGCTGCGAGTGGTTCACGTGTCGTAAAAATTAACAGTTCGTTTGTCCTATAGGACCAGAACCAAGCCAATCAACAGGATGAACACTACACGTCCCTTCGCGCTAAAGCAAACCAGGAAGGAGACGCTATGGCTAAATGCTTCCAGCAAAGCCACGAGGCGTATTCTCGCCGCGAGGGTGCGCTAGCTAAGGAACTCTCAGAGAAGGGCAAAAAACACGAACGTACCATGGAAGCACTGAATGCGGAGGCCAGTGCATGGAAATTCCGAGGTATGCTGAGTTATTTGGCGTCAGTTTGGCTTGAAGTTTGACATTGGCACCGTACAGAGAACAATTCGGTTTGTCATATGCTAGCGATCATTGAGCTCGACCAGTTTCTGATACTTCTATAACATTGCAGGAGCGCAAGCCGGGCGAATTAGATCTGCACGGACTGTACGTCAAGGAGGCCATATTATACTCGGATAAAGCTATCAAGGAGGCTCGACAGCGGGGGGACCCAGAGATCCGCCTCATTGTTGGTACGTGATATATTGAGCTTTGACTATGGTACAGAACTCATACATCGAGGATACAGGTAAAGGCTTGCACTCCAATGGCCAGGTCGCTAAAATCAAACCTGCCCTAGAGGACTTGATGAAACAGTACGTATGGCTCGTGGGTCCTCTCTGCATATTAGCTAAACTTTTTGTCAAAGGCTCAATCTTCCTGTTGAGGTGGATCCACAGAATGCAGGTGTTCTGATCGTGCAGCTTGCTTGATCATCCAGTGTGATTCCTTTTGTGAACACTGAATTACCCGACGGATCTTATCCGATGTACTGCGGCCGCAATAGGTTAACACTCGCCCCCATTCATCTGCGATTCTGCGGAACACAGACATGATATTGATGTATTGTATCTATTTCCATGTATACCACTTTTACATAACCTTCAATGCTGTAAACACGAGGTTGACGTGAGGCGGCGCTTTGACGGTCAGGGTTCCCACAAGTTCTCAAATCTCAACTATCACAACAGGTCCTTACTAGTCTCTGTCTCATCATGGACTCGGACACGTTATACATCCTGGGTGGACTAACGGTCGTGGCTCTAGTAGCTTTAGGATTTACCTTCATCGATAAGTCCCCGCCACCGCAGCCACCATCATTGGGTGTATGTTCACCATCAGATTCACCCTACGTGCCTATTATCCGATCGCAGCAAGGGACATACCACCAACCACCGCATCGCCAGCTCCCGCCACCGCCGCGTCCAGCAATCCGATATCCTCAGACCCCTTCAAGATATTCTACACTTCAAGCGGCTTCGAGTTCGCAGCCTTCGCCGTATCAGCCTGATCGCTTGCCGAGCGCACAATACCCCCCACTAGCCACCACTCCCCTTTTATCTCGTGATGCTTCGGTGCCAAAGCCCGTCTGTTATACCCCTCAGGTTTGTCCTAGCATGTTACATTTGCTGTTTACTCACCTCTTCAACTTGTAGCAGTCAAGCCGTCCTGCTACAAGAGCGCCTGTAGTGCCTATAGCGATTGGCCCCCGTGAACGTCCTGCTGCAAGAGCGCCACAGGTACATGTAGGGCCCGTAGTGATTGACCCCCGTGAACGTCCTGTTGCAAGAGCACCGTAGGTACCTGTAGTGCCCGTAGTGATTGACTCTCATGAACGTCCTGCTGCAAGAGCGCCGGGGATACCTGTAGCGAGTGTGGTAATTGACCCTTATGAAGACCCCAAGTCTCTTCGTCTCAAGGCCATACAGGAGGGAGATCAGATGGGGAAATGCTTCAAGGAGAGGAATGAAGCGAAAGCTAGGAATGAACAACAGCGCACTAAAGAGCTTAACGAGAGGGGTGAGGCACACAGGGTAAACATGGTGCTCCTCAACAAGGAAGCCAGCGCGAAGATATTCCAAGGTACGAAATCAATTAAAGGAACGTGCAGGATTTAGGAAGCTTACTCGGACTCCTGCCTTGTACAGAGAATAACCAAGTTTGTTGTGCTCTTTTCAAGGTAGCGCTATCTAACCTTTTTCAGAACCGCAGAAATGAAGTGGATCTCCACGGACTCTACGTCTCAGAGGCTCGGTCCTATTTCGACATCGCTGTTCAAAAAGCTTTTGACCGTAAAGAATCGTCACTTCGTGTGATCGTAGGTAAGACATGACGACACCTTTCAGCTTTGCTCAGCGACGGTGAAACTGCTCAGGAAAGGGAAATCACTCCGATAACAACACCCCAAAAATCAAACCTGCAATCCAGGCTCATGGGGAAAGGTACGCACTTCGTGGCACGCTTCTTTGTAGGTTTTTCTCACCATAGATATCGTGCAGTTTGGGATTGTTGATTGAAGTGGACCCTCGCAATGATGGCTGCCTTATTGTGAGTTTTAAGTGAACCCACTGAACGCCAATTTTCTTGCGATCTCCTTGCAACTCGTGTAAAATACTTGTTCTGTGCTGATGAAAATGCCCTCGAGCTCCGCTTTACATACCAAAAAGTATGTACGATATAGCTGTACTTATTCAAGTATTCAATCTCAATTGATGTCACGTAGTGTAGTTCAAGTTCACTACTAATTTACTGGTGTAAGCATATGCATAGTACATACTCTGGCACAACTCTGGCACTTTGAGCGGACGACGGTTAACCGATAGTATCCATTTTCGTGCATACTGCTGTGACATAACTTCTGATGGGCGGTCTGCGTGGGATGGCGCTTTGGTCAGGATTCTGAAGTTCATCGTGGAATATAAATGTGGGCGTAGCGCTCGTTGTGCTACTCGAATCTAACTATCGATAAGGCATTTGATTCGTCTCCATCCCCCACTGCATCATGCAGAAGTTCATCCCCTCTGTGTCATCGGCCCTCGAGGCCCTATTGAAGGGCCCAAATTGGTTACTATGTAAAGTAATCTCCATATTCTTTGGCAGTAAAAAGTCCCCGTCGCCCCCGCCGATACCATCCTCGGCTTGTCGTTCATTATCTGATTCACCATACGAAGGTGCTTACTCGCAGCAGCAAAAATCAACTTACCACCCGTACCCACCACCGCATCCAGCGGCCAAATACTCTCAACCCCCTTCCGCCCATCAACCACCTTCGCGGCACACACCCTATCAGCCTCATCGCCAACCAAGCGCACGACTCTTTGCTGCAAGAGCGTCGCAGGTACCTATAGTGCCTGCAGTGATCGACCCCCATGAACGTCCTGTTGCAAGAGCGCCGCAGGTACCTGTGGTGTCCGTGGTGGTTGACCCCCGTGGAGGTCCTGTTGCAAGAGCGCAGGTGCCTGTAGTGCCCGTAGTGATTGACCCCCGTGAACGTCCTGTTGCAAGAGCGCAGGCACCTGTAGTGCCCGTAGTGATTGTCCCCATGAGCGTCCTGCTACCAGAGCGCCAGAGGTACCCGTAGCGCGTGTAGTAATTGACCCCCACGAAGATCCCAAGTCTCTTCGTCTCAAGGCCATGCAGGAGGGAAGTCAGATGAGGAAATGCTTGAAGGAGAGGAAAGGAGCGAAAGCTAGGAATGAACAACAGCGCGCCAAAGAGCTTAACAAGAGGGGTAAGGCACATAGGGTAAACATGATTCTCCTCGACAAGGAAGCCAGCGCGAAGATATTCCAAGGTACGAAATCAATAAAGGGAATATACAGGATTCGGGAAGCTTACTCGAACTCCTGCCTCGTACAGAGAATAATCAAGTTTGTTGAGTTCCTTTCAAGAGCAGCGCCGTCTGACCTTTTTCAGAACCGCAGAAATGGAGTCGATCTCCACGGACTCTACGTCTCGGAAGCCCTGTCCTATTTCGACACCTCTGTTCAAGGTGCTCGGGACCGCGAGGAACCGTCACTTTGTGTGATCGTAGGTAAGACATGATGACACCTTTCAGCTTTGCTCAGCGACGGCGAAACTGCTCAGGAAAGGGAAAGCACTGCGATGACAACACCCCGAAGATCAAACCTGCAATCCTGGCTCACGGGAAAAGGTACGCACATCGCAGTATGCGTCTTTGCAGGTTTTTCTCATCATGGGTGTCATGCAGATTGGGATTGTCGATTGAAGTGGACCCTCGCAATGATGGCCGCCTTATTGTGAGTATTAAGTGAACCCACTGAATGCCAGTTTTCTTGTGATCTCCATGTGCCTTACAACTCGTGTAAAGTACTTGCCGCAGTACTGATGCAAATACCCTGTGTATGGCCATGGCCCACGGCGTGCGGCAGAGCCCGCTACCTAATTTGGACGTTGTTGGGCTTTTTACTTCTCGACACACTTCCATGTCTAGCTAGTGCTGGCCCCGGAATATATTTGTCATGATAGTGTACCGGGTATGCGAGATAGTGTAGAACTACTATGTATACTTCTGTAAATTACCTCTGAGGTGGTGCATGGCACTGCGTGTCCTCTTATTTATTGCTATGAAAATGTTATGTAAGCAGCTGTCCTGAGCGGACAGACATGCCGCACCACTGCCGCACCCTGCTGGCCAGCACATACCGTAATCTGAGTCAAACCTAACTGAACACCCATGCCGGTAGCGAGTCCCAATTCTCACTAGCACTCTCGAATGCACATGCTCCTTACCCCACTTGCACAAGCGTAGAGTCTATATACTTCTAAGCAGAGCAACGAGGCCCATACGCGCCGTGACGGCGCCACGGTGCGCTAGTAGCTAACTTGAAGGAACTTAGAGAAGGGCAAGCAGCATGAACGCACCATGATGAAGCATGGTTCCTGAGATCTAGACTTGAGGGCTCCCTCCATGATATTTACTAATGCGAACAGGATGGACAACCAGGTGAATTGGATCTCCACGGATTCTACGCCAAAGAAGCTATATCATACTCGGATAAAACTATCAAGGAAGCTCCGCAGTCACTGTGGGGATTCACAGATCCGATTGACTGTTGGTACGTGATATATGAGTATGGTACAGAATTCACAATAATCAAGGATATCATACAGGTATTGGGGCAAAGGACACTTAGATCAGAAGTATGATCCGGGTCCATCTTGCTAATATCAAAGAGGACTTGATGAGGCGGTACGTATACTTATGGCTTGTCAATGGACCTGATATATACCTTCCCCGCTTATTAGCTAAACTATTAGTCAAAAGCCAGAATGTTCTTCCGATGTAGCCCCACAGAACGCAGGCGTTCTGATTCAATCTACTGTGGGCACATCTAGCCACGCCATCGCCTCTGATCAGAACGTTGATGTGTGTGCGATCTATCGATCAATGATAATGTGTCCATTTTCATGCATACCGCCGTGACATAACTTCTGATAGGCCGTTCGCATGGGATGGCGCTTTGGTCAGCCTGATCAAGGGTTCTCCCTTGATTCATCCATATGTAATGTTACCTTCATCGTGGAATATACTACATGTGGGCGTAGCGCTCGTTGTGCTACTCGAGGCTAATTATTGATAAGGCCTTTGATTCGTCTCCACCACCGCATTGCGCAGATGTCCATCCCTTCTGTACTACTATCAGTCCTCGAGGTCCTATGGAAGTGTCCAGCTTGGTTGCTACAGAAATTAGTATCCATATTCTCTGGCAGGAGAGAGTCCCCGTTACTGCCAAAACATTCCGTGGCTTTACGTTCACCATCTGATTCATCATACGTAGACGAAAGTGCTCACTCGCAGCATCAAAGATCATATGAACACACCTGCTCGCAGTCGCAAAGATCAACTTACCCGCCACCGCGTCCAGCGGCCGAATACTCTCAATCCCCTCCCGTCCATCAATCCCCTTCGCAGCACACACCCTCTCAGCCTTATCGCCATCATAGCATACGAATCCCTGCACAACGCACGCACCCCTTATCTCCTGATGTTGCTCCGCTGACCGAGCCTGTCCGAAGTCACATACCTCAGGTTTGTCTAAGTATGATCCATCCGCCAGTGCTGTTTACTCACCTCTTCGAAATACACTCAATTCCTTCCCCCATCGATCGTGTTTGCAGTACACACCCTCTCAGCCTGATCGCCAACAGAGCGTACGAATCCCTGCACAACGCACGCCCTCCGGATCTCCTAGTGTTGCTCCTGTGACCGAGCCTGTCCGAAGTCACATCCCTCAGGTTTGTCTTAGCATGATTCATCTGCCAGTGCTATTTACTCACGTCTTCGAAATACTCTCAATCCCCTTCCCCCATCAATTGCGTTTTCAGTACACACCCTCTCAGCCTTATCGCCAACAGAGCATACGAATCCCTGCACAACGCACTCCTGATGTCGCTCCGGTGACTGAGCCTGTACAAGTCTGTCTTAGCATAATCCATCTGGCGGTGCTGTCTACTCACTTCTTTGACACAGCGATCACGTCATTCTTCTGGACCCGAATTAGCTACAAGAGCACCAGGGGTCGTTGTGACGCCCAGTGTGATTGACCCCCACGAAGATACCGATTCTCTTCGTCTCAAAGCTAGAAATGAAGGGAGTCGCATGGGAGAATGTTTCAAGCAGAGCCGCGAAGCGTTCGCTCGTAACGAGGGAGCGCTCGCTAAACAGCTTTCCCTGAAGGGTGAGGCTCACAAAGCCAACATGGCGCGCTTAGATAAGGCAGCCAGCACGAAGATATTTCAAGGTATGAGACTGATGGACAGAGTGTGCAAGATTCGCCAACTTACCTACAGCCTTATCTAGAGAATAATCAAGTTTGTTCTTCTTCTTATGACACACGCTACTGTCCGACGCTTTCCTCAGGGACTCATGCCCGACACAGTTGATCTCCATGGACTCTTTGTCTTAGAAGCCAAGATGTACTTCGGCAACGCCGTTCGAAGGGCTCAGGACTGTGGAGAATTGTCACTTCATGTGATCGTAGGTAAGACACTATCCATCGCACACTCAACTTCAGAAACAGGTTTCTCATTGATTGCAAAACAGGAAGGGGAAATCACTCCGAAAATAACGTTGCCAGGATCAAACCTGCAATCCAAGAATATGGACAAAGGTATGTGCATCGCGAATGTACCCCCATAAGTTGGTTCTCATCGTAGATGTCATGCAGTTTGGGTCTGGACGTTGAAGTGGATCCTTTCAATCATGGTTGCCTTGTTGTGAGTCTTGATCCCAGCTAACTTGAACGGCAATTTTTTTGCGATCCCTATGTACCCACGCGTACGTGCTTTTTTGTGTGTTATCCTTCCCCTTTTCATACTCGAGTGTGTACGATACTATAAGAAGTGTTTTGGTGTGCTTCATTTTGTTCTGTCTACAGGAGACTGGTTTTGGTGTAGTGTGTAACAATGTAGTGAGGTGCAAGCATGGTAGTCTGACTAATCTCAAAAGCTTCGATTTACTAATTCGACTGGATCGGAACGCGGACTAGGAGAGACTGAGGTCTTTGCCACTTAATGTGATTTGATGCATTCAGGGGCTTGTGTTTCCCACCCTGTTGGGAGCCGATCTACTTCGGATGGTATACCCGCTCATGAGCCTATTGACATGAGGCGGCGCTTTGACGGTCAGGGTTCCAGCTGGTTCTCAACTATCATAACAGGGCCTTTGTTGTCTCTGTCTTCCACATCATCATGGAGACGTTATACATCGTCTGTGGACTAACGGCCCTTGTGGCTCTAATAGCTCTAGTCTTTACCTTCATCGATGACTCCCCGCCACCGCAGCCACCTTCCTTGGGTGTATGTTCACCATCAGATTCACCCTATGTGCCTATTATCTCGCAGCAAGGGTCATACCACCAGCCACTGCATCGCCAGCTCTCGCCACTGCGTCCAGCAATCCGATATCCCGAGACCCCTTCAAGATATTCTACACTTCAAGCGCCTTCAAATTCGCAGCCTCCGAGTTCGCAGCCTTCGCCGCATCAACCTCATCGCCTGCCGAGCATACAATACCCCCCACTAGCTACCACTCCCCTTTTATCTCGTGATGCTTCGGTGCCCAAGCCTGTCTGTTACACCCCTCAGGTTTGTCCCAGTACGTTACATCTGCTGTTTCCTCACCTCTTCGACACATAGCAGCCAAGTCGTCCTGCTACAAGAGCGCCGCTGGTACCTGTAGTGCCCATAGCGATTGACCCTCGTGAATTTCTTGCTGCAAGAGCGCCGCAGGTACCTGTAGTGCCCACAGTGATCGATCGTCCTGTTGCAAGAGCGCCGCAGGTACCTGTAGTGCCCATAGCGATTGACCCCGGTGAACGTCTTGCTGCAAGAGCGCCGCCGGTACCTGTGGTGCCCATGGTGATTGACCCCGGTGAACGTCCTGCTGCAAGAGCACCGCAGATACCTGTAGTGCCCGTAGTGAATGACCCTTGTGAACGTCCTGTTGCAAGAGTGCCGGAGGTACCTGTAGCGCGTGTAGTAATTGACCCCCACGAAGACCCAAAGGCTCTTCGTCTCAAGGCCATGCAGGAGGGAAGTCAGATGAGGAAATGCTTGAAGGAGAGGAAAGAAGCGAAAGCTAGGAGTGAGCAACAACGTGCCAAAGAGCTTACCTGGAGGGGTAAGGCACACAGGGTAAACATGATGCTCCTTAACAAGGAAGCCAGCGCAAAGATATTCCAAGGTAGTACGAAATCAATATGCAGGATTCAGGAAGCTTACTCGGACTCCTGCCTCGTACAGAGAATAACCAACTTGAAGTTTGTTGAGTTCCTTTCAAGGGCAACGCAGTCTGACCTTTTTCAGAACCGCAGAAATGAAGTAGATCTCCACGGACTCTACGTCGCGGAAGCCCTGTCCTATTTCGCCATCGCTGTTCAAAAAGCTCGGGATCGTGAAGAATCATCACTCTGTGTGATCGTAGGTAAGACATGATGATACCTCTCAGCTTTGCTCAGCAACAGTGAAACTTCTCAGGAAAGGGAAATCACTGCGATAACAACATCCCGAGGATCAGACCTGCAATTCAGGCCCACGGGGAAAGGTACGCACATCACAGTATGCATCTTTGTAGATCTTTCTCATCATGGATGTCGTGCAGTCTGGGATTGTCGATTATAGTGGACCCTCGCAATGATGGCCGCCTTATTGTGAGCTTTAGCTGAACCCACTGAATGCCAGTTTTCTTGTAATCTCCATGTGCGTTGCATGTAAAGTACTTGCTCATTGGTGATGCAGATGCACCTCCTCTTTACATACCAAAGTGTGTAGGATACTTATTCAAGCATTTAATTGGTGTATTGATTCGTTGATTACTTATGTACATACTTACCCTAGCGCTTGTACAATTCAGAGCCTATATGTGCTTCTAGCAGAGCCCATGCGCACCATGACTGCATGACGGTGCGCTATCTACATGCTAGTGATGAACCTGGTTCTGAAGCTCGGGGACTCACTCTAGTCATGTGAATTGGATCTGTACGGATCCTACGCCAAAGAAGCCATATAGTTCCGCAGTCACTATGGGGATTCACATCCACTTTGGTTGTCGGTACGTATACGTGATATATGAGTCTGGTACAGAATTCATACCAATCAAGTATACAGACAATGTGGCAAAGACTTACACTCAGATCAGAATTGTCATCTGGGTCCATCTCGCTAAAATCATAGCGGCCCTAGAGCTGACTTGATAAGACGGTACGCGTATACTTATGGCTTGTCAATGGACCTACTGTATTAACTTCCCGCTCTTAGCTAAACTATTTATCAAAGGAAGAATATTCTTCCGATGTAGGCCACAGAACGCAGGCCTTCTGATTCAATGTACTAGTACTGTGAGCACATCCTGGACCAGCTATACGCGCTCGCCTCTGATCAGAACATTGATGTGTGTGCGATCGGTTAATCAATGACAGATCATGCACATGCATCATGTATCCATTTCCATGCATACCACTGTGACATAACTTCTGATAGGTCGTCCGTGCGGGATGGCGCTTTGGTCAGGGTTCTCCCTTGATTCCAGCATATGTAACGTTATTTTCATTTGGAAAAAAAGATGCGGGCGTCACTAGCGCTCGTTGTGCTACTCGAGTCTAACCATCGATAAGGCCCTTGGTTCGTTTCCATCCCCCACTGCATCATGCAGAAGTTCATCCCCTCTGTATTATCAGCCCTCGTGGCCCTATTCAAGGGCTCGACTTCGTTGCTATGGAAAGTAATCTCCATATTCTCCAGCAGGAGAGAGTCTCCGCCGCCACCGCCGATACCATCCTCGGCTTCATATTCACTATCTGATTTACCATACGAAAGTGCTCACTCGCAGCATCAAAGATCATATGAACTCACCCGCTCACAGCAGCAAAGAAAAACTCGCCACCTGTACCCGCCACCGCGCCCAGTGGCCGAACATTCTCAATCTCCTTCCGCTCATCAGTCACCTTCGCAGTACACGCCCTATCGACCTAATAGCCAACCGAGCGTACGATTCCCTGCAGAACCCACGCACCCCGTATCTCCTGATGTTCCTTCAGTGACCGAGCCCATACGAAGTCACATCCCTCAGGTCTGTCTTAGCATGATCCATCTGACAGTGCTGTCTACTCACCTCTTCGAAATATTCTCAACCCCCTTCCGCCCATCAGTCATCTTCGCAGCACACACCCTATCAGCCTGATCGCCAACCGAGCGTACGATTCCCTGCACAACCCGCGCTCCCCATATCCCCTGATGTTGCTCCTGTGATCGAGCCTGTCCGAAGTCGCATCCCTCGGGTCTGTCGTAGCATACTCCATCGAGAATTGCTGTCTACTCACTTCTTCGACACAGCGATCGCGTCATATTTCTGGACCCGAATTAAATACAAGAGCACCAGAGGTTGTTGTGACGCCCATTGTGATTGACCCCCACGAAGATGCCCATTCTCTTCGTCTCAAAGCCAGAAATGAACGCAGTCGCATGGAAGGATGTTTCAAGCAGAGCCGCGAAGCGTTCGATGGCAACAATCCAGAGCTCGCTCAACAGCTTTCCCTGAGGGGCGAGACGCACAGAGACAACATGGAGCGCTTAAATAAGGCAGCCAGCACGAAGATATTTCAAGGTATGAGACTGGTGGACAGAGCGTGTAGGATTCGCCAACTTACCTCCAGCCTCATCTAGAGAATAATCAAGTTTGTTGTTTTTCTTATGAAACACCTAATCGCCAACCGAGCGTACGATTCCCTGCACAACCCACGCCCCCCGTATCTCCTGATGTTCCTTCGGTGACCAAGCCCGTCCGAAGTCACATCACTCAGGTCTGTCTTAGCAAGGTCCATCTGGCAGTGCTGTCTACTCACCTCTTCGAAATATTCTCAATCCCCTTCCGCCCATCAGTCACCTTCGCAGCACACACCCTATCAGCCTGATCGCCAACCGAGCGCACGATTACCTGCACAACCCACGCTCCCCACATCTTTTGATGTTGATCCGGTGACCGAGCCTGTCCGAAGTCACATCCCTCGTGTCTGTCCTAACATACTTTATCTGGCATTGCTGTCTACTCACCTCTTCGACACAGCGATCACGTCGTTTTTCTAGACCCGAGTTAGCTATAAGAGCACCAGAAGTTGTTGTGGCACCCATTGTGATTGACCCCCACGAAGATGCCCATTCTCTTCGTCTCAAAGCCAGAAATGAAGGGAATCTCATGGAAGAATGTTTCGACCGGAGCCGCGAAGCGTTCGCTTGTCACAATGGAGCACTTGCTAGACAGCTTTCCCTGGATGGTGAGGCGCACAAAGCCAACATGGAGCGCTTAGATGAGGCAGCCAGCACGAAGATATTTCAAGGTATGAGACTGATGAACGGAGTGTGCAGGATTTGCCAACTTACCACCAGCCTCATCTAGAGAATAATCAAGTTTGTTGTTCTTCTTATGAAACACGCCATTATCCGACGCTTTTCCCAGGGACTCAGGCCCGACACAGTTGAACTCCACGGACTCTTTGTCTCAGAAGCCAAGTCGTACTTCAGCAACGCTGTTCGAAGGGCTCGGGACAGTGGAGAATCGCCACTTTATGTGATCGTAGGTAAGACATCATCCATCGCACGCTCAACTTCAGACACAGGTTTCTCATTGATTGCAAAACTGCTCAGGAAGGGGAAATCACTCCGAAAATAACATCCCTAGGATCAAACCTGAAATCCAAGAATATGGGAGAAGGTATGTCCATCGCGAATGTACCCCATAAGTTGGTTCTCATTGTAGATGTCGTGCAGTTTGGGCCTGGGTGTTGAAGTGGATCCTCACAATGATGGCCGCCTTATTGTGAGTCTTAATTCCAGCTAACTTGAACGGCAATTTTTTGCGATCCCCATGTATGTGCCCCACCACACGCGTACGTACTTTTTTGTGTGTTATCCTTCCCCTTTTCATACTCGAGTGTGTACGATACTATAAGAAGTGTTTTGGTGTAGTGTATAACGATGTAGTGAAGTGCAAGCACGGTAGTCTGACTAGTCTCAAAAGCCACTGATTCGACCGGATCGGAACGGGACTAGGAGAGACTAATATTAAAGCCACAAAGACGGCTTGTACAAATTGCTGTACATACAAAAGCAAAGGAACCGCCTGATGGTTCACTCCGGCTAAAGGCAGACACGTTGGCTGGCCAGCCAGCACTGAGCACATATTATTCAATCTTCCGACACCTACTCGGACTCCGCACTGATGCAGCAAATGCCCATTTTTCGTTCTCGAGTGTGCACCCTCTTTACCTCACTGCAAAACTCTCGTTCGTATGCGTCCAAAAGTGCCAATCCCTATCCCTATCCAACACAAACAAACCCTCAGCCACACCAGATCTTCCATTTGCCGCGAGGTGCAAACCAGGAGGATGTGAAACGGAGATGCACGTGTCATCTTATACCACTGCCCTCGTATGTCCTAACACAAAGCAGATTATGAACTTGTCCGAATTTACCACCCGGACTCGGCTGTCGCTCGTCATTATCCCCCCGAGGAGTCGCAGGCACGATTTCAAGCTATTTCTAGAGCGTACGACATGCTTCGAGGAAAAGCATCTTCCTCTGGCGAACCGGTCGAAGCTACTCACCAAGTAGATCCGATACGATGGTCGGCTAGGGTGCGCCGTCCTCATTTCGACGATACGGCTAGTGATGAGCGGTGGAAAGAGAGAGTGATCATGGGTGCTGTATTGCTGGTAAGTGTTCTTACAACGGTTCTTACCCGAACTGATTCACGGCGACCCATCATCAATTTGTTCTAGACTCTAGCTGCATTTGTCGCACAGACTAGTTGGACTCGCCAGCAGGCTATTGCAGAAATGACAAGTCATAGACGACCATCCTATCAAAGTAAAAAGTCAGGGAATGAAGATGGCGCTCTTACTGCAGACCATGAAGATTGATGACCAGAAGGCGGCCTTAAATGCAGCCAGGGAGGTCACGATCTTCGCGGCAGGCATTAACTATTGCACCAACCTCCGTTTCACCACTCCTCTGATCGATGGCCATTGACATGGTGTACGACGGGTGCCTCCTGCGCACATGTACTTATTGGTTCTCGACAGTCTATGCGTCGTGCCCAGTTGTACGACTTGTAACCAGTCTGTCAACCCCGTTCAAACGTACAAGGACAGGGCAGGGTAGTACATTTGTTCCTTGGTGCCCACTACGTACGCCAATATTTTGATTAGGGTTGAGCAGATAGTCGAATGCGATAGGAATGAGGACAAACTGCAGGTCGCACAGAGGTCCTCGGACAACAACACCGAGCATATTCATTAGTCATGCAAGAGATAGAGGCCGTCCTGGATTTGGGAAGTTCTGACGAACACAAAGGTGACGGTTTCGTTGTTTTGGACATTAAGAAATTTGCGAGTGCATCACGGTTCACAACGCATGTGTGCTGGGGGGACGGGCAAAGCAGTCAATGGATCTAGATGGTGACAGTGTGGCATATCCAATGTCGTACATACACTGTAGGTGGGAGCAAACTAGCAGCAGGCGGTGACACCTCTAGATCGCTAGAAGACATCTCAACTCTTACGCGTCGATCGACCATAACGCGCTGGACTTTCCAACACGGGCTCTTAGATCTAAACGATGTAAGTCTTGAATTCGTATCACAACAGGTTTTATGTCGTTAATTAATATTTATTAGTATACTTCCAGTTTATTACCATATTCCGTTGGTATTGCGTGCTCATCACCTTGATGCAACAACTGCACCAAGTACTCCCACTACCTCGTAACAACATGGAGAATGCTTCCATATCAAGAATGAGCGCTTGAGCCGTTCCTTGTACATTTCGCTACGCCGATTTTGTCTCTGTTGGATCCTGATTGTGGACGTCTTCGTAACACGAGGTCAAAGTGTGTAATTTTCCGAGGATCATCACACATTGCTTCTTCGAATGCCTGGAACGCAACGTCCCATCAGCGGGAGAAGGCACTGCCTCGTCTAACACCGTTGTCTCACATTCTTGTGCCCCAACCCACTATCACGGACGTCCAATGTTATCAGCAAAGCCACCCCGGCAACCTAGTTGCTCGGCGATTCTCGCCAGATGCTCTTCGCACTCGACAACTAAATCCTCCGGCTTCCTGCTTCCTTCTAGGCACTTAGGTTTATAGGTCCGGTTGAAGCATGAAAGCCTTGGATGACCAAAATAACCAGGGAAGACAAGAATGCTCAACAAGGTTCGCACAATACCTCCCCAGTGAATCCCACTAATTGATTATGCCATTCTAGGATTTCTCAACTCATTAGCTCCGCCGCTATTACCCTGCTTGTCATTGTCAAGGTTTCTAGCACCCTGAAATTCGTCGCGTTCCTAACTTACCGGCAACTTCCGTGGTACACCACCAGTCATGACTACTGGTCCCGGTTAAAAGCAAAAGATCTCACTGGAGTCTCCAACAAAAAGCGTTAGTCCACAGGGAGATTATTAAGAAATAACACAGGTAAGCGCAATGATTTAGTTACTTAGCAACTGAGTTGCGCACCTTCAGTGACCAATTTCGCTGCTTGCAGTGCTTGACTTACTGATCAACAAAGTATCGATCTAAACGAGACACGCTAATATTGTACCAAGGCGATTGCTAGATCACGCCGCTGCAATGAATATGTCAAGCAAGGTTTCAACCGACACGGACGGCATTTCACGAGTCTCCATTTATCAACAAATGATATTTCTCATGTTATGTTTCACAGTAGCAGGGTCATTTTAAATTTATATCCGTCTATAATTGCAATATTAATGACGTATATTGCATGGGCTCCTTATCTCTTGTGAACACCGGTGAATTCACTCAGTACTCATCTCTCACCGGTGATTGTATACACGTATGTAACGTAGCCTCGCTAATCTTACCGGTCACTTGTGTCGTATGACAGCCAAAAAACCCTCATTTATTTCTCCAGTTTTTTTTTGAGCGAGCAGGACGAAAAAAAACTGCGATAAATTGATGTTTGTGTGCTGTTCCTGTTCCTGTTGCGGAGAGAACCCGACCCGGCCCGACCGACTTGCCGAGAGACTGCCGCGGAAGGAATACTCATGACGCGGAGTCAGTACTCAGTACAGGTCTTTTCAACAATTTGGGTGCATGTGCTTTATGGCCCAGATCATCATGATTTGAACAATGAGAACTTGAAGCTTCTGACCGTTAACGTTCCAGATTGAGTACATTTAACCAATCTTCTGGTTGATCTACTAGCTAAGTAGGGCATGCTAACCATATGTCTATAGAACGATGCCGCATGATCTTTCTTTCGTGACCTCTTGATCTATATATCCTTTTCCGTAGGGTTGACTGACTTTTGTGTAGACGCCCATCAAGCCATGTCACAAGCATTGGTGGAGCAGGTGGAGCAACTCGAGAAACTGGAGGAGTAAATGATGACGTCGCATTGCGGTCCGCAAGCATAAAGGTTCTTAGACGACCACCATTGGATAAGACCAGCCTCCACAATCATCAGGCCCTGGTCGCCAGTACGCATGGCGTCGCCTTTTACTACTCTCCCGCCTGAACTCCTGCTCCACGTCTTCTCACTGGCCTCTAGTCACCGCCCCACTGCTGTAGCACTATCGCTTGTCTCGCATTGGGTGCGCAATCATGTCGAACGCAACCTTTACCACACAGTCTCCCTTTCATCCAGTCGCTCCCTCTTAGCATTTATCGCTAGCCTCAACTCCAAACCGCATGCCTTTGCGCATAATCTGGTGAAGAGGTTGAGCATCACCGCACTGGGTCCCATCAGCAATATAGACGAGGTGCTGAAAAAGTGCACTGGCGTCACAAGTCTCGTTTGTGGATTTTCTGTGCCTTCATACCTCCACTGCGCCCGGAACTTAAAGCAGCCCATCGCGCCACCAGAAATCACGACATTTCGCCTTCCTATTGCACCCCACGAACAACTCCTAATAGCTCTCGCTTGTCGAGATGGCATCGATATGTCCATCATCTCTCCTCTAGTCACCCATCTCAGATTCCAACTAACGCCTGCTACGACGTCCGAGAGCATGGCTCGTCTTCGAGAACTATCTTATCTCACGCATCTGGCGATTACATATAGGCACGGGTTGCATGGAAATGTTAACTCCATCAAGGAGATGATCAAACCTGTTTTGGAGGAAGGAAGACTGAAGGTTCTCGTCATTCATGTCACGGGTGCATGGAAACGAGGCACACCGCAAAGAGATCGAAGAGTGGCGTACTGGTTCTGATTCTACCCTCGAGGTCATTGATAGTACCTCTACTAGTACGCAGAAGTGCCTTGGGTGCCGTCCCCATACCCTAATCATAGCGAAGCGTGCCGCGGCTGCTGTCCTCCCTCAATGGGAACAGGGGGTTGACATATGGGATGTCAGCTTCACATGATATTGTTCATAGTGAGTTCACATCATTGTAATAATTCTGTCAGTCCATCACGTACCAATGCTGGCATGAGTATTCTTAATATAATAATGTTTGATACTTCTCCTAGCGAATCTCGTACTACACAACCGACGTTGTTCCCACCACAGGTCCACAAATTGCGCCGCTCCTTCAGTGAGATATAGTGAATACGAATTGGCGATAAGCTAACGTACTATCTCGTCTTCCCGGCGTTTGTTTGAGCCTGGCCTAGGCCTCAGGACCGCCAAAAGCAGCCCCAGCGTTATTTTATTTGACTCAGCTGTTGTGACTCGTGATCGCGGAGGAGTTAATGTGAAGCCTGTGATCCATTCACTCGATGTGCCTCATGAGTCTCAGGCTTGTACGGAAATATCTGCAGCAGGGACCCCATGCCTCGTGTCTGTGATTCACAGTGAGCTCAAAGAAATCACAGCTAGGAAGGAAATATTGGAAGCATTCTCGTCAGGCTTTGATAGTCCTACAAACAATTAAAGGGGGCTCTTCATGACATGCAGAAAACACGGTAAAATCTAAGAGATGTAATCTACGGCAAAAACTAGGACGGATAGTATGTAAACTAGAAAATAAATACATCGTCGACAGAGTCCTCGACATCAAGCGACACGAAATTGATCATGGAAAGTCGTTATATACATAAGACGGTGAAACCCTTGTCTGCCCATCGATATCAATACTGCCCGGCATATGAGACGATGTGTCCCTGCGAGTATTCACTCCCTTTGGGGTGCAGGAAGTTACTGGAACGAGGTGGAGGAGAGCCGGCAATCGATGAACGAGGTCCATACGATTGCTCCCACTCAGCTGCTGGCCACCCGTACCTATGCCGAAGGACGACGTGAGAAGAGTAAATGTTAACGAAATGAAAGGCAGACCTTGATTCTGAATGAGTGGTATATGTGTGATGCGTAGCGTTGGCATGCATTTGGCCATTTCCACTATGCTGGGTATAATTATTGAACGGTGGACAGGTTGCACGTTCAAACTGCGGACGTGACACGGGGCGCTCGTTACATGACAATCTTGTATCAGATCCGTGCACAAGGCTCGCAGGCATCATTATTCCAGAGTCGAGGCTGGTGACCGAGGCGTTCGGAGCTTCTAGGGAACGAATGGCGGGATGGTCATATTTGTGAGAATGAGATGACTGCAAGGACGAGGGACGAGTCTGCAGCTGATTGCTCCAAGAGGTGGCTCCGCCTTGCCCTAGTCCACGGGATTCCCACAAGGGTAGTACTCCAGGAACTGGATGTCTGGTAAGGTGCGGAAAGTCGAACCAATGAGGACTGGTGTTGACGGGCTCGGCCAGTGGGACGTATGGGTATGTAGTGACAGGCGGTAGCGCAGGATGGTACACTGATGAGGGATTGGGGCGATAATCCGGTGGCGGTAACAATGTGCGTGCGTCGTCTTTGCCCCCATAGCTTTGGAGTGATAGATTACCTTTGTGACCACCGCTTCCAGAGCCGTTGAGGCTGTGTGGCATTGAAGCAGTAAGGTCCTTTCTGGAGGAAACCTCGGTAATGGTCAAACAATAGATCGCGTCACGTACAGATACATCTCGGCATTTCTCCATCGCGGTTTCAGATGTTCAAGCACTTGTATGAAGAAGGAGATGTCGTCAAGGAGCTCTGCCATCGCAACCGCAAATGCTGGCTTCACATCCTCCATTCCACCAGACTGGAGTTGTTCGCGCTCTTGCCATTTCAAATCCCAAAAGTTCATGAGAAGAATCGCAGCGCACATGTGTGACCCACAAATGAGCGTGGGTATATTGGATATACCCCTTTGAATCTGTGCCCGCAGTATCTTCGCACAGGATTTTCCTGCGCTGACACAGACGCCTATACAGGGGACCGGCATGTTTGTGTGTGGGGTAACATTGGAAAGGGAGCGAAGTGAACCGGGTAAAAAGGGACGGTAAATGAGGATGTGGATGATGTAATAGGTGGTGTACAGCGTAACCGATTGGTTGGCGAAGAGCGGATCTTCTATGTGAGGTGACCATTGCACTGCAATCAAAGCGTGAGATGGATCGACGCTCATAATTAATGATTACTGACAATGAGGAGGCACTGAGTCGGCCCATTCAGTCATTGCGGCACTAAGGCGATTCAAAACTTCATGCCACCGCGGACGCGCGGCACTAACCAACAATTTGGACCTGTCAAGGGCATACTACGCCAATAAAGGTTTAGTCGCTCGTAAAAGATACCGGCGGGGTGGGAAAACGCACGATGGTCCTCAGAGCGTATGCCGCGATTTTAGTCAATTTTAGGTAGGAGTTGAACCCTGTTATCTTTGATGGCTTTCCCGGTGGTTGTTGGAATGCCTTCTCAGGATCGTTGGTTTCCCAGTATTCATCATCGACTTCCAGGGGAAGGTCGACATCGAAGCTGGATAAGCATGCGTCAGAAGGGTCACATAAAAATTGTGTGACTTACTCTTCCTCTCCAGAACAACATGGTCGTCCAAGAGCTGCACTTCCTATGCGGTCGTACAGCACAAGCACCCAAAATGCTCTTTTCCACAGTTCCTCCTCAACACTTGGCTTTGCTCCATAAATCTTCTTGCGATGTGCGCCAACATCCTGAGCTTTGCGGAGGCCAATACTGATAAAAAGCCATCCCACTGGATGATAAGCAGTACCGCGTAGAAACATGCCTAGTAACTATGGCAGATAGGATATTTTTATGAATCACTGTTGTCATTGTAAAGTTACTCACAGACATGGTCTGTACCTCAAAGAGGCCAGGGGGGTGAAACAAGCTGCGAGAATCGCGATGAACGTCTGCAGAGAATGAGATCCACGGACATAATTCGACAAGGTTGCTGGCATACCAACTGCTGCGCTGAAGTACTTCCATCCTGCTCTTTGCCACTTATAATCCTCGTCGGATATCTCTGCCTCGGGTATACCGTACGCACCATCCAATACGCGGGGATCGTCGGACCAGCGGCTAGCAACAGCGAATAACGCCAAGCACAGACATCCAAACCACAGATCTGTTTCTTGAAGACCCTTCCGCCATTGGCGCTCAAATGTCGGTCGATGGAAAAGTGGACATTGAGGGTTGATATGGAGAAAGTATAAGTTGATCAAACTGTCGGTCAAGTCAGGTGGGGGGAATTCCTTTGTTAGCGACTGGCAGAGCGGCTCGAGCCTGTCTTGGAAGCTTTCAAAATTAAGTTCCCACTAGAACAAGCGATGAGCAATTTAATGCCCGATGAGAATAAATGCTTACTGAAGGCGTGGTCCAGAATTCTCGCCGTCGTATTGGTGTAAAACTGGCAGAACTCGTTGATTCCGGTGAACTGCGACTGCCCGATCCACTCTCGGCATCAGTCAAGCCTGACTCTTGGGATATGCGGTTGATGTGTTCGTCGCGAAGTTTTCGGGTTGGTTCGATGAGTTTGAAGCAGCTACTCTTGCCATGGAAGCGGACTTGATTATCCACAAATGGGGCATGTTCCTGGGCAGGCTCGAGCCCACGAATGGTTAGACGCTTCATGCCCCGGGAAAGACTCAATTCGCCGACTTCTTCACTCTCCGAGGATGTACATCCGTCCGATGATAAGTCTGTATCAGTTCGAGGGGTGCCCGCGGAACGCCGGCTCCTGACACTAACGCTAGATGAAGGCAAAAATTTGCCAACAGGGGGTAGACTAGTACCGACAGAAGGTGACCCATGAGATCGCAAATGAGCGACTGGAGATGATGATTTTTCATCTGGGGAAAGACGGTATTGTGGTTCTGCATCATGTTTCCAAGAATCACGGACAACTGGTGAACCAAGTTCTTCCGAGAAGTCAGCCTCAGGGCGGAGCTATACGATAATCATCAGTCAGACAAGAGTAACAGAGAAAATAGCAGAAGATAGACTGCAGTTTCCATCATTTCTCGGAGACATGTGATGGAGTGTGAAGGTCTGGTTGCATTAAAGGACCTTGACACATTCTCGAGACACCCACCATGCCGGGCGGGATTAATAAACGTGAGATTTACGCACCCGCTTTAAAAGTGCCTCCATTCTTTCCAACCTGTCCTCAAGACCAGTGATATATCTGCACATGATCTCAGTTCTATTGTCATGATTAGTCAGAGAACGGGGGTAACACATACGCCTTTGGAGGACCTCTAGGCTTCGAAGCCTCGCTGTAAGGATCATAATCGTTCAGCAACTTTCGCTTGTATAATATTCTCGGACATACATATAAGTACAGGTCTTGCGATTCTGTACACAGTTGGTACAGATATTATCAGGCATGCGTGGGCCATCACATTTAGTCTTTCTACGGCGACAGGCATCGCAGGCCCGCTCGATCTTTCTCTTTTTGTAGGCGCCTGTTCACTGGAGTACGATGGGGTCTGCTGTAGAGTAACCATAGACGTGCTGGCCATAGGTTGCTGGGATATCGTATAAGGGTCGCCAATATCTACGACATTGGACGAATAGACGTTTGAAGAGTAGTAGGGACGAGTAGGATGCATGTGGAGAAGTGTGCACGAACTTGCAAGGATACGATGATCGAAAGGAGGGACAAGAGAGGAATGATTTAGGAAGATCCACGATAGCACTTTGAGGGAACTAAAATAAAACGGTCACGGAAATACAATCAAGAACTGGCCTGATATCTTCGGTAATCTAGAATGAATATTGGTCACAGAAGGGAGTCTGGAATTCAAAGGTGTGAAAGTCAAGAAGAAAGGATCAAGACCGGAAAACATGATTCAAGACAAACCAGGTTAAATATTTTGGTCAGCAAACGTTATTTCACCCTTGACATGCATTCACTCTCACGTGCTGCTAGTCGGACTTTAAAACTCCCGGTGCCGTAAACAAAGCCGATACGGACAGTGCAAGCGCCAATCCCCTCTACAAGGCCCGCATATATGTTTTTCCCCCAACACGGTTATTGTAATGTTCTTTTCTACCAAAATTACATAATTATGACTTCCTGTACACCCTAAGTAAAGTCTCCTATGGACTAAGTCGAACCCGCCGGCAGTCTGCGCGATCGCTGATCGACATTTTGTAAAAGGTTTTGCCGCCGGTAACGGGATCGCTGAATCACAAATTTCGAACACCAAACGACTTCGCTGGCTAGTCTTCTTTAATTCGGGGCCGTCAAGGATCTTCTTGAAAACTGTACCACTTTGTCCTTCTCAGTTGACGTAAAGTACGAACATCCTGCAGCCTGTTTGTCTGTCATCTGACCAGTGATTCATCCACACTAGCAACCTCGTATTTTAAGTATTACCGCTGCCTCCGTAGGCGTTGTCGTTGGTGAACATTTAACTATAAAAGAACTTTGTTGGTGAGTCATTCCAAATGAACAGATTGTAACTAAGTGTTTCCTGACGTGGCACCTGCCACAGCCTAGCTTGAGTTTGGTAAACCTTATGCCATCCCACATATCTTTCCATCCCTTCCTTCGCTTCAGTTCGCTTACCACCAGGTCAGCCCTGCAACAACGCCTGGTCATTGGGACACGGGGAATGAGTTCATCCAAATTGAATAGACCTTCACCTCCTCCCCTTCCACGCGAACTTCAACAGGAGTTCGAAGAACTCCAGCGTAGTGCTCAAATGCCTCTCTCATCTCCAACCCTCTCCCATGGTGAGGCGGAGGCACAAATGTCGTTACACCCAGACGCTCGTAAACCGTTAACACCTGAGTTTGACGGTGATGTCAACCCCAGAACGGGCGAACAAGGAGGTCCGAAGAGGGAACCCGTCGGGAAGTGGAGTGATGACGGCGGTGACTGGAGTTTCAAAGGGCGTGTCTCTGACTTCTAGTCAGACCACTCAGTACGAATAGATTTACTTGATCTTATTTTAAAACCAAAATCGTGATAGCATCCTGCCGGGTTGCTTTGACTTTACTGCCTCGAAGCGCTGACAGTCTTGCTTAACGTTTATAACCCAAGCCTATCCCTTCTGAAGATCTGATCGATGGAAACTAATGAAGAATACATGACTTTCCAGGCCCTGCATTGAATGGTCAAGATATTCATTTCACCTGGGACTATCTTCAAGTCGAACATCAAAAGTCGTGAACGAGCATTTTTGAAAATTCTCCACCTATTTTGTGGAAACGAGTGAGCTCACTTCCGTGCTCAAGAAAACCTAAAGCGTCAACGCAAGTAATAAGCTCTTCCAGACGAATGTGGATTTCAAGATGCATTGGTACAAGCCCCTAGCTTGCAAAAAAAAAGTTGCGCGAAGGAACCCTTGCAGTCAAAAAACAGTTGGATGTTGCACAAGTTACAGAATTATGAAATATGTACATTTTTACCGCAGTCGCAGGAACGTCATCACATCACCTCCTGATGCCTCTTGGGGCAGGGACGCCACGTCCCCGACGAGCTGTCATTTCAATCAGATCACGGGCTCCAGACGAAAAAAAATAACCATACCGTTCGCTAAAGAGTTTTTTCAGTCAGCGAATCATAAAACAGAGCAAAACATAACAACGGACCTCTCATAATAGTCGCGCGACCACGCGCAGTACCGATACCTCTTCCGCGCATGGCGTTTGGACCAACTCTCTTGAACCTGAGTAACAAGGTCAGTGTGATCTCGAAATCTGATCATGCGCAACTTACATGGGGGCATTCTGCAGCATATCCGGCACAATGAAGAATCTGACCATACTTCCCCTAATATAAACCTGATCTAGTTGTGATACGCGGCCATCTCGTCCTGTCACTGTAATATCTCTGAGTGAGATGTTCAAGTTATCTTCGGCTAGCAGCGTAGATGAATCAGAAAGGATCTATGACAGTGATGCTTGAAAATAGACGTACCTTCAGCGAGTTTTCCACGATAAAGTTGGCCTGTCTTGAGTTCCACGGTAACGATGTGTCCTAAGGACTCGTGAAGTAGCTTGACTGGCACACCAAGCCCTGTGTTTGCCATTTCTGAGTGGTTGTCAGTGTAAGAGTTTGAATTCTTTGGCAACTGTGTTGTTTGGTCTTGTTTGGTGGCGACATATCAATTTGATCCGCCCTAAATTGGGGTCAAGACTCCTGTAGTGACAGCGTGGTAGGCGGAGAGAAACAGTGCAACCGTGAAACAAATCTTGTTTTATTACCGTGACATACAAGCTCTGCTAGCAATCGATTCTTCAAGGCGGTCAACATCGACTGCGGCTTGCAAGTATGTATGAATTCACGCATTACGGTATGCTTTCGTAATGCTAATACTAGAATATCCCGCCTCAGTGACGATGTCAAATTCACCCCAAAAGAATTCCGCCTCACTGTCTCTCTTCGCGTCTAGTCCTCCCTCTGGACTTCTGAGTGGCCCGTCCGATACCGATTACCGCAGGCAACGCCTGCAACGAATTGGCAGCTACTCAGCGCCAACAGCACAAAATCAAGCAGACGATGAGACCACTGCGCTACGCGCAGTTCCCAGCACCAGTTACGGGACATTGCCCGCTGTTCGCCCGCGTCGCACATGCACCCAACCTGATCTTTGGGTCGCTCGTCGCCAAGTTACTCTCCCAAGCCTTCCTCTAACGCGAAGCGTGACCGTCTCTGTTCCAAACTCTCCATCGGCCTTCTCACCAACATTTACACGGGACACACTCCGCAGTCGGATTTCCCAACAGCGGCCCATATCTGCTTACGATGCCCAACTCGTGAATTTAAATGCCGATGCCGCGGACACTGACATCGACGTTCGAACCAATGGATTCCGCGTGTGGTACTCCTCGTTCTCCTCAATTGACTGGCTTCATGATGCGATCAAGGACTCGGTCCGATTTGCCCGGCTCCGGCGCGGCAAGTCCATCCGCTCCAGAGTCCGACTTGTATTCGACAAGAGCCTTGGATGGATCATCGTCACTATCGTCGGGTTCCTCACTGCCGTAGTTGCATTTCTTGTCGTTCGTGCAGAGCAATGGCTGTTTGATGTGAAGCAAGGCTACTGCAAGACCGCATGGTGGCATGCACAGCTCTTTTTCTGTCCTCTGCCCGATGAGTACGGGTCTTTGGATGACCATTGTTCCGCTTGGAGGACCTGGTCGGATGTCTTTGCATCGTGGACGGGCAGCGAATTGGGGGGTGGAGAAAGTGCTGTACAGTATTTTGCGTATACAATCATTGCGGTAGGTTCTCGGCTGTGTCGCTGAGTCATGGTTATGCGACATCTCATGGATTCTTAGGTTTTATTGGCCGGTACTTCATCGCTCCTCACAATCTATCTCACGGCGTCAACGTCCTTCATCACTCGTAAAGAATCCGGAGTTCTATCTCCTCATTTCGACAAGAATGGTGAACGGACCGCTTCGAGCTCTTCGCGGCCCAAGCGTGGTGTAATCTACTACGTATGCACAAGTCTTACTACAGAGTGCTTACACTGATTATGATCTGAAATAACAGGCTGCAGGGAGTGGAATCCCGGAGATCAAGACCATTTTATCAGGTTTGTGAGGGTCAAAGATGAATGGCTGTTTCTCAATTTCAATTTCTTCCATTGATGTAGGCTTCGTCATCCATGGTTATCTCGGCGGGCGCGTGCTATTTATTAAAGCGCTTGGACTGGCTTTGTCAGTTAGCTCAGGATTGTCTCTTGGTGATTACTCTTGCAAATTACTTTTGGCACATGAGTGCTGATGCCTGAAATTCAGGCAAGGAGGGACCTTTCGTCCACATTGCGAGCTGCGTAGGCAACATCGTCAGTCGTTATCATAGCAAATATGAAAATAACGAAGGTTAATTCCTAGTGTTCAATTTTCTTTCCATGCTCATGTTTTTCTCCAGCCAAACGTCGTGAGATACTCAGTGCAGCATGCGCGGCAGGTGTCGCTGTTGCATTTGGGGCACCCATTGGCGGTACCTTGTTTAGCTTGGAAGAAGTCTCTTACTTCTTTCCGCCCAAGGTAGTATCTTTCCATTGTCCGTGAATCAGTTTCTAAATCTCTTGTTGGATATTCCAAGGTTATGTGGAGAAGGTAGCCACCATACATTCCAATATTACTGTGTTGAAACCAATTTCCTAGCTTTTTCTGCGCAATGATAGCGGCTGTAACCCTCCGGTTTCTCGACCCTTTCGGAACTGGTAAAGTTGTATTATTCCAGGTCACTTATGACAAGGTTTGTCACGCAGTATTTGACTGGTCGCTCGCTCATTATATCCGACAGGATTGGCATGCATATGAGCTAATATTTTTTATCCTACTTGGAGTTCTTGGAGTGCGTATCTCAGTTCTCTTGGAGGACAGTTTATTAAACGAAGATGCAGGGAGTATACGGCGCGTACTTTTCCAAGCTGAACTACCGCTGGAGTCGTGACGTTCGTGGCAAAACATGGTTAAAGGCGCATCCAGTTGCAGAAGTCGTTCTTGTGAGCATCACCTTGTTCGTCCCTTATCCAACCTTCTCAATGACGTAGGTGACTCTCGTAACCACTGTTTTGTGCTTTTTAAATCCTTATGCACGCATGGGGGGCACAGAGCTTGTTTATAACCTCTTCTCAGAATGTCGCACAGGCAGCAAAAACAGCCATTTTAATTTGTGCGTCCTGGATCCAAGCAGTTTCGACCATGTCTGGCCCGTCGTGCGAGCGATCCTTGTTGCCATGATCGTCAAGGGTTTCCTGACTATAATTACATTCGGCATAAAACTACCGGCTGGGATTTTTATACCCACCCTCGGAGTAGGTGCATGTGCTGGACGGATTGTTGGCATTGCTGTGCAATGGCTCCAGTACCATTACCCGGATAGCACTGTATTTGCTGTATGCGAGGGTGACATGGATTGTGTCGTGCCTGGTCTTTACGCAATGGTGGGGGCTGCAGCGGCCTTGTCGGGCGTCACTGTAAGTAACCGGCTCCAAGTCCTTGGTGCCACGAAGTTGACTCTAGATCTCCAGAGAACAACGGTGTCATTAGCGGTCATCATGTTCGAGCTAACCGATACCCTCACGTATGCTGTCCCTGTCATGCTGTCTGTTCTTGTTGCAAAGACCGTAGCCGATGCCCTGGAGCCTAAAGGAATTTATGACCTGGTGATCGAGTGAGAACCTAGTCCGAACCCCACCAGTCCCCCTGACACTTTTCACAGGCTATCTCAACTTCCGTACCTAGATGCTAAACATGAATACCTGTGGTCAAATCTGTCCATCAAGGAAGTGGTAAGGACACCGTACCCGTTGTTGAGATCTGACTCACTATCACTTCTAGACCGATCGAGATGTGGATGTGATCAGGGTTGACCGACACAATACCGTTGAAAGTCTTCGGGACCAATTGCAATCACTTCTGAATGCTGAGCATGATGACGGTGGTTTCCCCATCCTCAGGCCAGGTCGTGACGAAGATGGTATGCGCCTGGTTGGCTACATTGGCGCTAGCGAATTAGAGCATGCTCTCAGTAGATACCCTCATTTTCCCATACAAACCACATCTAACCAAAAATCTAGCCGTCGTAGCAGAGGGAGCAACCGAGGAAGTTCGCTTTCACACTACCTATACGCATGAGGACATGACTACTTCATTTTCGTCCTGGGTGGAAGAGCCAAATGAAGGACGATCCATTCGACTTCAGCGTATACATGGACCAGGTATATTCCTTTCGTTTGATTTTATGGTGCAGACACTTAAATGGATGTAGGCTCCATTGATGATTCAGTCCAACTCGCCTTTGGAGCTCCTTCACCAATTTTTCGTGAAACTTGGCGCTCGTTATGTTGTAGTGACGGACACTGATGGTGACTGTACGAATATTCATTCACTCCCGTTGGTGTTGCTGAAGTTGCACTTTTCAGATGAAGGCGTAATCGACAAGAAGACGTGGCTAGCATTTCTCAGCGAATTGGAGGAGAAATCGTGATAGACTCACGATCTGCCGCCACGAGTTTATTGGCTAATGGACATAATCAACAGACACTCGCACACTAAGGGATGATTCTGTGGATACTGGTTGCATACCTAAACCCAAAGTACAAAGTACGCGATACTGACAGAATTCTGCTGTAGGCATGTTTATGGTTATTGATCTTAAGTTATCGCAATTACATATTAGCAGTACTACGTATACTTTTACTACACAATAATATACCTTTACCTTATGACCACTCCTGTGGGATCGCGTTGTAGTACGCGTTGATCGACATCATACTAACATGTCTTCGCGCGTCTCCCAAGCCGCTGCCAAATCTCCCGACCCTTATGAGTTGGAACGGTTAGCAGAGGAGCTCGTCGCGCGTGAGCTCGCAGGCTCTAGCTATGCTCCCCGAACTACTGCCTCGACGGAGCTACCAATTTATGTCCCACTATCGCATGACAACCCTCATCTAACTGCGGAAGTGTTTAACGTCGAAGAGTTTTTGCTCTCCCGATCCCACACATCTCTACAAGACTTGCGCTCAGAGCTCAGAGACTACCTCACCTCGTTGAAGGAGGAGTTGGTGTTACTCATCAATGATGACTACGAGGCATTCATCAGTCTAAGTACAGACCTGAGAGGCGAAGGCTCGAGATTGGAGAAGCTCAAGCTCCCACTCGACGACTTACGGAAACGCATCTCGGTGAGCATTACCATTACTCCATGTCTTCTATCGTCCTGCTGATTCGCTATGCAAGGAGTCGCGAGCTGGCCTCCAGGCTACGCAAGATAGCATTCAAGAGACGCTCGATACCCGCACCCACTTACGCGAAGAGAAGGTTCATACTCGATCTATGGGTCCAAATTCTAACTGAAGCGTCGGTCTTCAGGCACTTCTACATCTCTTGCTTAAGATATCAGAGTCTGTGACCAGACTCGAAAGTCTTCTTCTCATCTCTCAAGTTACTACGTCACCACTTGAAAATCACAACAGCAATTATCAGTTCCATCTTCCGGCCTCTGCAGGACAACCCATCGATGCCAAGTATTCATATTTCTTTTGCTGGTGTAAACGATCTAATAGAGTTCCAGGAGCCAAGGCAACCGCGCCAAGCACCTTTCCAGAGTCACTGCTGAGTACACTCAACTTCTGTATCACATCGAGAAGGCAAAAGAAGAAAATTGTGCTTTTGTGGATGAAATACGATGGGTTTGTTGCGGCCTTTCTTTCGTAGTGCGATTCTGATAGAAGTCTTTTCTTTATTTCGGTTAGCGCATTGACCGCATACAATCAACTCTCACCTCTGATCTAGACCATGTTTTCTCTGCGATCCTGAGCTCCCTGACGGACATCAAAGCAGGAAGAGTTTTAGATCTCGAACGAGCTAAACTTTATGTTGATTTGACTGAATGTCTAAGGATTTACGATTCACTACACCTTTGGAGAGTTCCCGAAGAGATTATGCGAAGAGACGTAATGCAGGCCTTTATCAAGAAAGTATGGGATACATATTACCCTCTTCCTCAAAAAGAAGTTGCTCATCTTTGCATCTAGACTATATTTCCTGATGCACTGGCTGCATCACTCTCACCAGTGTTACCACATACTCCACTTCCTGCCGCGCTCTCTACCCGCACAGAATCACACGGGAGCGCGCTGTTGCCCCGTACCCCATATACCCCATTCACCGCATTTGCCTCTAAGCAAAATCCCTTCGAAGCTTCACATGTTTCTGGACCGGTGCACTTGCTTGACGAATCTAATGATGCGCTTGCAAAACTGTACAACCAGATTCTTCGTTTTATTGAGCGAGATTTTGGGCGCATCATGGAGATTGCCGAACGAGTTTCCCTTAAGGCGGGTTCAACTCAATCGCAATCAAGTATAGCGTTGGGAAACCACGACCTGGGAGACGCACAACAAGCTTCTGTGGATGGCTTTGAGATTATGACCAATGTGGTGTGGGCAGAAATTGGTAAGGCAATAATGGACGAACTTGGCACTGTTGTATTTGCGCCAGGAAACGCAAACGAGTTCCGCAAGGTAAGGTTCTATAGGAACTTGCTTAGAATCTTGTGATGCATCGACCCTTGGTTGCAGCATCATTCTACAACACAGGCCTTCATCCGTTCTCTCGAATTTTTGGCTCCTTCCACGCATTCTGTGCAAAACATGCGTTCCCATCCAGTTTTCACTGCATTTCAGCGACGTTGGCAGCTTTCTGTATATTTCCAGCTGCGGTGGAAAGAAATCATCACAAAGCTGGAAGAAACGTTGTCATCGCGAATCCTGGATCCTGAAGCACCAAACTTTACTCCTGGTGAATTACCATTAACTTGGTTTCAGCACATGTCCCTAGCTAACCGTTCTCAAGGGCACAAGGTGTTTGTAACGGCACAGGCTGCTGACATTTTCACTGCAATTGATTCGTGCTGGAGTGCGGAAGTGTACATTCCCGACCTTGCGCATCGCTTCTGGAAATTTACTCTTCAGGTACTTCCTCTGTATTAGTTATCAGGCGTCAATGTGAACACGTTTCTAGCTCCTCAGTCGATATCGGGAATGGTTGGAAAACTCACTGCCACCTGCAGGAGGGTCTCCAGTAAAACCTGCTGCCAACATTATGAATGACAAGGCATGTGTTTTGATAGATGCCAGAGTATTCGTTAACATTTTTTAGACCTCAGCAATTGCCAACCCTCCAAGATCTTCAACACCTGGGCTCACGCCAGAAGCGACTATCGAAAGTACGGCTGCTGACGAGATCTTACTAAGGCAGTTTGCAACGGCTCTCGTTGATATTCGGGCGATGACGAGCCAAGTCTTGCAATTATGGAGAGAAGAGATTAGTATGATGCTTCCCGACACGTCAACAGAAGACAATATGGCGGAGGAGGTGCTAGAAGGTTAGCCTAAATGCCGTCCGTCTTCACACTGCTGAACTCAACATTTGCAGTCGCCCTGAGAACTCAACTGGAGCAACTCAGTGCTCTTTCTACGTCATTGTACAGCCAGGCCACAGCCATATTATCCAGGCGGTGTTGCGATGCCCTGTTGCCAGTTCGATCTATTCCTTCACAGTTTAGAGCAATGTCCAACAAACGATTACCCTCCGAACCAAGTTACTTTGCACCTACCATCCTCCGCCCGGTAAGGATCTTCTTTGGAATTGGCGCTGTCGGTGGTCCTGGGGAACGACTCAAGGAGGAATTGTTGAGGGATGTCTCAACTAATGTAGTCGAAAGCGTCTGCCAGCGGTTCGCATGTTCTTCCGGTGCGATTAACATGATTTTGACTTGGTTTCAAAGGTACATTCAGTACTTGACTGCAATGAAGAAGACCGAGGAATCTCTACGACGACTGAAGAAAGGGAAAAAGTCGACGTTGTCTATCTTTGGATCTACCACTGCTGGAAAAGATGATGGGAAGGACGAAGAACGCATCCGTGCGCAGATGATACTGGACGTCGAAGCGTTCAAGACAGAAGGCGAAGCCCTAGGGGTCGACATGCGGTCCGTGGACAGCTTTATAGTCCTGGATCAAATGGTTCGAGCTGAATTGGTTGATGGCGATCTCTGACACTTATCCATAACTTATATCCTTGGCTGGGAGCAATGTTTTCGATTACTATTCGATTGCAGTAGCAAGATTATAGATTAGGTGCAAAACATGCCATTAGGAATCCAAAGCTGAGCATCTGAGATGGTATATAGTCCCTGTCCGTGAAAGTCTAATCTGAACACCCTCGACATCTGCCTGAGAAGGAAGTAAATTCTGACCGCACGATGAACATACACCGCAAGATGGGGCCCAGCCACGCATTTTCTCTTTTGTGTATAGTTCTACGGAATCGAAGACATCCCGGTCAATGAGATGTTTCGAGATGATTAACATGTCTCCATCAGTTCGGTATGATTCCAGCATGCCAGTCAGAATCGCACGGAACTCCGTATATAGGATGCCCGACGTGCCAGAGTGAATAGCAGGATCCACCAAACGCTTAAACAGTCGAGGAAACGATACTGCCTGGGTCGAGCTTACAGAAACCAAAGACGCAAACGTCTCTTGGACGATAGCCCGCAAAGTCGACAACACTTCACCCTCAAGCCCTGCGTCGCTACCTTTGCCAGTGGAACAGCAGGCCGAGAGGGTTTGCACAGTATGAATCTGGCTGCCCAGAAGCTGGTACCAAATGTCCTCGAGAGGAACTTCTGCAGGAGAAGACGAGCTGGAATGTTCCATGCATACTGATATACCGCGCCGTCCGACGGCTTGCAGGTCATTCAAGCATTTGTTGACCGAGTCCATAGAACCAGGAGCTGGCGAGGCTAGCGTGCGCGCAAGATCTAGCGTGAGCTGCTTCTCAAATACGTCGGCCTTTGAAAGGGCTTCCCGTGGCTGCCCACTGTAATTCACGGCCCATATGACAGCATCATACGCTCCTGCTTCCTCGCATATACTCAACGCTGTCGGCCAGTCAATGCCGTCTTGCAAACGTTTGAGGACGGGAATGACACCAGAAGGAGCAAAGTGACACTGCAAGCTGATAAAGCGGTGGCGAAGTCGGCTGTTGATATGAGTCGGGGAACTGGGAGTGGTAGAATACTGATCATATTCACTGTCAGGGACCAGGTGGTTGAGGTAGATGAATTGGTCACGATCATCCGACAAGGGGGATCTCTCAAGTGCCGTCTCGTGGAGCTGAGGAGCATGCTTGTCTAGAAGAGACGCAGTTGCAAGAACGTCGGCTCGTAAGAGTTGATCCAGTGAAGTGGTGAGAACATTAATGACGTCGCCAGGAATCTGCTTTTTGTTGTCTCTTGCCGAACTAGCAATGGCTTCTTCCAAACCGCTGAATATTTCTGCAGGGTGGAGTTCGGGATCATGAAGGAACGCAGTGAGGAGGGGACCCCAGCGTCGCTCGTGGCGGTACCGACTACGTAAGATGCGATAAAATCCAGCATCTTCAAAGAGCTGAAGAACTCGGTCTCCATCATGGGGGGTGTAAGCCGACAGGAGATACTCTGTCGCGAGCTGACGGTCCTCTCGTGTTTCCGCTTCAGGTTGGGTGGCGAGTGCAGTAAGAATGTTATGAAGGACACTGGGTGCGACTTCAATGTGGTGGGGGTACTTCGGGACGTTCCGTGCAATGAAGATGTTCAGAAACGTGGCATCGGATGGTGAGAGATCTTTACTGGACATGATATCCAGTAGAATCGTCACTATCATAAGCCGACTCATGTCTGAGAAGTCATGTAGATATGAGTCCTCGAAAGCCATGTCCAAGCAATCCAGGAATGATTCAGCATCGAAACGGAGTAAGAGTCGAGCATAGGGATATGTTGGCTCCACACCGCTCTCGTCTTTGGATGTCAAAATCAGATTTCCTCCTTCAGCGGGCCAGGTAGTGGAATGTCCGCAGAAAACGAATGAGTACACATCTTTTTTAGCGAATGAAGCCTCGTCTGGCTCCATAGGCTCCTGGCTTGGATAGATTTGTCCACACAGCACGGTTGCCAAGTATGAGTAGATCTTATAGGCATTCGTGACAACGGTGTCCGTGGGCGCTGGGTTCTGTTGTAGGTCACGGATAAGGGCAAGGGATTCAATGATAGGAGAGACATAATCTCGCAGTGCACGAGTGTACACATAAACCAATGCATCCCATAACTGGTGGGTTCGGCAGAGATTGATGGCTTGGTTGATGTCCAAGCAAGATGGCTCGATGTGCCAGATAATTCGTTCTGCGAGATCTGGACGTCCGTCCTCCTCGTGCAGCGCCACCAGTCGCTGTGTGATGCGAGGAGGCACTGAAGGGATACTGCCATCCAACACAAAAGGTTCAAGTTGATGGAGGAACATCCGGTATATGCCAGCGTTTTCGTACTGCTGGAATAGCTCTTCGAATAAGAAGTCAAAGTCATCCAAAGCAATACTAGCACGGGCACATGTTGCTACCAGATCTTCAAAGAGCGAGGTGCGATCAACGCCCCGTCCATCAAGTGACGCATGTGTGCCATCTGTCATGCGGTCTTCAGAAAATGCATAACGGGAGGACGCCACCATCAGGTCGTAAATTTTATCAGCGATTACGATTTGACGTTCTTCTGGATCTTCAGGAAGACCATTACGGTTGCCAGGAGCTTCGTCTGTATAGTACGTCCGGGTCAGATCGATGGCACTGAGAAAATCACCCTGTTCAACGAAGGACAGGATCCTGTCAGCCCAGCTAAGCAAGGTACCAACAGATAATTCCTGTCGACCCTGACAAGGGTGTCAGTTCTTTCTTGGCTTCCATATGGAAATAATGCGGAGCTCTCTCACCAGAAGGAAGAGTTTTCCTTTGTAGGTCCGAATACTGTGGGCAATGTCTCTCACAGATTCCGAGTATGATATTGAACCATTTCCCGTGAAGCCTAGCGAAGGCGATACCAGAGAAGAAGAGTCGAATCGGACGGCTTCAACCATTTTCATGCCACGTACGTCATAGATACTCAAGGCGCTCGAAGTAAATATGGCTATTTGCTGTCAAAAAAGGAGCATGAGAACTGATACGTTACATTGGAACGAACTTACATTGACATTAAGCCATTGGATAGCAAGTACGGCATCATCCATCGTCCACTTTCCCGCCTCCTCGAACACCAACGTGCCAACTTCTATTTCGCTCGTATTTCCTGTGCGGCTGTTTGACACGGTCTGTTTGATCTTCTGTTCATGTACACGTAAGAGATATACATGACTCCCCCACGAGTACGAGAGGACAGGATGAGTTGGCGTGGGTCGCGGTCGTTTTCCGCTCTTTGCGTTCTTCATGCCAACTGTTTTGTCCAATTTCTCTGTAGAATTATCTTGGATGCTAGGAAACCACGCGAGACATCCTCTCCTTCGATAAGCGGGGGACGACAATTGTTCCTCATCGCGCATAATTTTTAGCCATGTCTTCGGAGTAGGCTTCAGGCCCACGACAACGAGTTTTGTAGGCGTCAGTATGGTAGCAATCTGATATGCATCGGTGGGATGTGGAAGAGGTCCCAGGGGAAGAGTGCTCATTGCCAGGATTGTATTACGTGGTCGTCTTCTGCGGCGAAAGGAAGGGCGATCGAGTGCATTCTGTTGGGAAAGTGGGTCTGCGGGATGACCAGAGATACTAGCTTCAACATCCTCTCCATGATAGTTCCCAAAAATGCGTATTGTGTCTGATGCCTCCACAAATAGGACTTTGCCTAGGCTGTGATAAAACGACAGACCGTGCTCATCAGCGGAGACCACAGCTGTATGACGGCCAGCTACGAATGATATGTTGATGATACGGGAGCCTGGAATATGTCCTTCCTGTCGGCCAGACGTGACAGCGGCAAGAGCAACAGGTGTCACGGTCCGAGCTGCGACCTCGGGATTTTTCAAGTCGAAAAGTTGGATGTAGCCCGTAGTATGCCCAGATGCGACAAATGTATGGTCGTTTGATAGCGCGACCGCAGAGACGGGCCCAAAAGTTGATCCTGAATGGGGTTGATTAGATGATCAATATCGGAACAGGTTTAAAAGTTACCCGACGAGTCACTACCGCATATACACTTCAATGTTTGCTTGAAATCGAAAACGAATATGCGGCCCTTGTCTGTCCCAACGCAGATAAACCCATTGGCAGCCAGGACCATGGGAGCTCCCGTTATATGATCCCCGAGGACGCTTGATGCCTTTGCAGGTTTCTGGTCGTAGAGATGAGACCCTGCGCTCCGGAGTGACGACCAGCGAAACACTTCTCTCTCCTGGTCTATCAGAAGTCCATTATTGCCCGTTGAAGGAGACGATGTCCGCGAAATCTCTGAAAAATGAGATGGAGATGAGGGGAAACTATTTATAGCTTGGGCGTGAGGCGATCCAGTGCTGGGAGTAGGGGAGCCCTTTGGCGTAAAGGAGCGAAGTCTGGAGACATTTGGGTGTAGGAATGGCTTGGGGAATTGTAAGAAGGGCCCATTCGGCGCAGGAGACCCTACTCTGCTATGTGGGAGAGAAGACATAACCAAGGGAGCGGATGTTGAAGCGCTGACGTCCAACTGAATATCAACACGCTGCACATGCATGAGTACGTGTCTAAGCCATGAGGCGTGCCACGGCTTACTGGCACGTCACGAGGCAGGTCATTGGAAGCACTACTGCTTTCCTGCAAAAGCGCCTGTTCCACCTCATGTTCCTCAGATTCATCATATGAATCTTCAGGTCCGAGAACGTCTCGCAGTTGGTCTCGATAGTTGTCACCCGTAACTTGATCAGCGTCTACACCGTCATAGACGAAGCCGCCATCATCTTCATCCGTTTCTGCATCACCATGCTCATCGTCACCGTCGCTGAGCAATTCCTCCATTCGCGTGGTGTAGTCTCCTACTTGATCATCTTCTACTTCCTCTTCTTCATTGCCGGCGAATGTCGGCGAATGTTCAAGGTCGAGAGGGGGCGGTAAAAATTCCTCCTCGCTGGCCGAATGTGCCGATGCTGATGACATCGACGGCTAATGTTCGATGGTCACGGACGTCGTACGCAGCAGTGACCTAAGTATCATACGTGCGATTTCTCCGTTCCAAATTAGGTAATTTCATTTATCGGTATCACGTGCATGCAGGTAGTCGAACGGGAACCAGTGAATTCAGCGCTCGTGCACATGCGCATGCACATGTGTAACTTAGCTAAGACTGTCGTCCCTTAACTGTTACGCCAAAAGGCAGTGATACTGAAAGCTTATGTTTCAGTATCGCGGACAGTATTTATGTAGATTATGCGGACTTTAGTAATAAGCCAACATGCTTACAACATGCACCATGCTCTATATATGATGCTTTCCTCAATTCGCAAGTACCGAGAGCTGGGTTAAGCTCAGCGATGACTTTTCTCATTAATGTTGCACTTATTGTAAGGTCTAACTTAAGTACTTGCATGATGATTTTCGAATGCTCTACAAGTGCCGAGCCTCCATATGGGATATCAACACATGGTTTCCTCAGGGTAGAACGTGTTAGAGAACTCGTGTGACGCTGGATGCAAGAGTTGGTGCCATATCACAATAATACAAAGATATGCTAGTGAAGTAGTCAGGGAGTAGTGATACGTGATGGGAGGGGTACATTGAAGATTAACACCCAGTCCGTGATTATCCTGACACCATTCTTCGTTCCCGCTCCCTCGTCTTCACGCCCGGACCAAACCGTTCCTGGAAGCTTATCAGTTCCTCCATCAGTTCCTCCATCATCTTCATCGTCGATGGCGCTGACCCATTCCCATAACTGGTGTCCGAGGACCCGTCAACAGAGATGGTGGCGGTACCGTCCAAAACCATAGGTGAGCCCGTGGTGTCTCCTCCACCGACTTCACGATCGTCATGAGGTGAGGGATTTGTTGAATTAGAAGCCTGTGCTTTCAATGCCCTCAGCGCCTTCTCCAGTGCATCCCTCCGACGCCCGCGGTCAAGCGCTCCGGCTTGTTCCCTTCCCACCCACTCTACCAATGCGCGCACGCGCTTGTTCATATCCCCCACGCTCATTCGTTTACTGGGCCATTTGACCTTCACACCCCTCTCCATGGTCCGGTCGACCGACTCCCTGGGCCCAATGCCCGAACCACGGACTTCCAGGGGACGGGGCGTGTCTGTCGGCAGCATAGGTTCCAGGTGGGCAAGATAGTCTGGTAAGTTCCATGACGTAAACATTGGTTGTTGCGAGACAGCATAAGCATGGGAATTGCGGTATGCGCGAGAGTTCTCTGAACTAGCAACTGTGACTCCACCGGCGCGCCTAGTAGGGTCACCTGGCACGCTCCCAGCGTGAGAAGATGGAGGTGGTCTTTTGGGTGTGGGGTTTGTTTTGTTCCGGACGCTTGCCGTAGGTCGCTTACTGGGGCCGGCAACTTGAATTTCATTAAGTCACGTGAGTTTTATCCTTGTCACTGAATTGCTACTGACATACCTTCTTCACCTTCAACAACAGCAGCGACTGCATCTTGATTAACAACTGCTGTCTTCCGCGATCCACCACCTCTTCGATTGCGGTTGCCGGACTTCGCGCCGCCACCTGCCTTTTTGGCTGGAGGAGCTGGTATCTCCTCTGGCACGACTGTAACTACTTCTGGCTGATGATCAGAGGCAGTCGAGGCCGATCGTGTACGTTTCTTAGGCAGACTATGTTATGACGTCAGACAAACCAAAACACATGAATATAGCAGGAATACTGACACGTCGTCCTCTGTACGCTTGCGCTTTTTGCGACCGTTTGAATCTTGATCTTCGTGGCTTTCAGCCTGACCATTGACACTCCCATTTGTTTGAGCGGGATGAGGTTCTGTCGCGGCTGCAGCTTCTGCTGCCGTCGCTTCAATGATCTCTTTTAAGCTCTCATCAAACGCCGCGTCGCGGCTGTTCATCGTGTTCCTTCGTTTGGGTGGTTTCAAAAGGTGTGTTGGAGAGTGTGATCGTGACAGACGCGAAGCGGTCTGGTGTGAGTTGGCAGATGATTGGCGAGGTTTTTTGGCTAATCTCCTGTGGAAATGAAACTAGTCAAAACAAGATAGCGAACACAAAGTCAAAAACAGCTTACTTCAGAAGGTCCTGGTGACGCTCAGGCTTGCATTGTTCACAGTGATATTCGTCCTGGAGATCCGCTTCATGCTGGTACCCCATGCACAGGCCATGCTGCCAGACATTGCAGGTTTCACACTGGACCATGAACTCTCCTGCATCGGCATCTTCCTCTGTCGAAAAAGTGAGAAAATGATCGATATGTAGTCGAAGATAACATACCATTCTGGCCACATATGCAACGCGTGATACCCTGTTCCTCTGGGTCATCGTCTTGTGGGTCAGCGGCGCTTCCAGTATTAGAATTGCTGAGTTTAGTGGAAGCTGATTCGATCAACTGGTCAGTGGATGTCAGGTTTTTGTCCTTGCCGTTGGCCTTGCGCTTTGCGCGCCCGTTTGAGTTCCCATGGGTAGAGTTGGTGCCATTGGTATGAGCGTTCTTAGTAGGGACAGGCTCTTCGGGATCCTCTTGCTTCAGACGCTTTGTGCGGTTGTTGCTGCTGTTGGAAAGTATAGCAGGACGTGTGATAGGCTCCTTTGTTCGAGGGAGGGACTCAGAGGCCGGTGAGTCTGGAGATTTGGAAGTACTAGCTGAAGCAGATGGAGCAGAACGTCTTCCTGAACGTCGTGTTTCTCGTGGTGAGAGAGGTGGTCCCATTGTTGAGGACTGGGCCATAAACTGGTGGTGAGCAGGGAGAGGGGAAGAATTTGTTTGGCAAGCTTGTGGTGGATCTGAGTATAGTTTGACTTTACATTTATTTAGGGCTGGCAGCACACTTGTTATCTTCCGACTCTTCTCTGCACAATCGTTCAATTCTTTTCATCACTTCAATTCTTTCTTCGTTCTTCTATCTTACTTCACCCAATTTTCCGCTGCAGCTGATAGAGAGAATGATGGCTAAAGACCATTCAGGTCCTTGTCAGGCATGGTGGTCGTTCAGTTGGGATTGAGTACTTACAAGACCACACTTGGTGCGTTCTTACTTCCTATCTTTCTAACGACTAGCTAATATTAATCCTCAAACAGAATGAATATGTTGCAAGTCGAGTTGGCATTAGTACTCGTCTTTGCCAGTGCTCCCCATATACCCCGCTGTCATGATATCTCGCGCACGTGACCCGTCCACGGGTGTATGACGCACGTGTCATTTTCGCGTTTTTGTACCAGTTTATATGGTTTTTGCGCGCCATGGAGTCCAGCCGGCTGATAGCATGAAACTCATATAGTATATGAATCTCCATTCCATTGGACTACTACTAGTTAATTGGTACCACGGTGCACGCGGCGGTTTCAATTATTCCGGCAAGCACCGGCCGAGTCATTTTCGCTGTCGGTTACATAAAAGGTTTTCGTGCTCGCGTAGATGTGTTCTTATAACCATGGCACCAGCTATCGCAACTCTAGAGTACTCTTCTAACGCGCCTCAGCCTCTCAGCTATCCGCGTTTGTCTGCACATCACTTACTATCTTCGAATGAACCCGATTACCTTCGTCTTATTCTCACTTCGAAAGTATATGAGATCTTGAAGGAAACACCCCTGGTCTACGCCCCAAACCTTAGTGCAAAACTAGGTAATCAGATATGGCTGAAACGAGAGGATCTGCAAGAGGTTTTCAGCTTCAAAATCCGAGGTGCCTATAACTTCATGGCAGGACTATCTGATGAAGAACGATGGAAAGGTGTTGTAACATGCAGCGCTGGTTAGTGTGCGTACTTGCGACGTGTCATCTTATGATATCCCCGTCCAAATCACTGATTTGGCGCTTTCAGGCAATCATGCGCAAGGAGTAGCTCTTTCTGGCGAACGTCTTGGAATACCCTGTACCATCGTGATGCCAAAAGGTACTCCAACCATCAAAGTTCGCAATGTCGAACGCCTCGGCGCAAAGGTCGTACTCCACGGTGTTGACTTCGACGAAGCAAAGGCAGAATGTGCAAGATTAGCTGCCACCCATGGGCTGATATTTGTCCCACCATACGACGACCCACTCGTAATCGCAGGTCAGGGTACGGTTGGCATGGAAATATTAAAACAATTACCAGACTCTGAGAATCTCGATGCCATCTTCGGTGCGGTTGGCGGCGGCGGTCTTGTCTCTGGAATTTGTGAATATGTTAAACGCATAGGCAACCCAAACACAAAAGTGCATGGTGTCGAGACCTTTGATGGGGATGCCATGGCACAGAGTCTGAAAAAAGGGGCAAGAGTAATTTTAGCCGAGGTCGGCCCTTTTGCAGACGGCACAGCAGTAAGAATCGTTGGCGAGGAGCCATTCAGGATATGCCAGAAACTCTTGGATGACGTAGTCCTAGTTGACAACGATGAAATATGCGCTGCTATCAAAGATATCTTCGAAGGTAAGGGATCTTTCATTCTCGTAGGTGATTTACTCTATTCATAAACCTAGAAACTAGGTCTGTTACGGAGCCTTCTGGAGCCTTGAGTGTGGCAGGCTTAAAGCGACACATCATAAATCAAAATCTTGTCGGCGCAAACCGAAAATTCGTTGCTGTTGTCAGTGGAGCCAACATGAACTTTGACAGGCTGCGTTTCGTCGCAGAGCGTGCAGAATTGGGTGAGGGACGTGAAGCACTTCTGAGCGTGATGATCCCAGAGAAGCCTGGAAGGTAAGTTCTTCATTTAAGTCATCATGTTCCGTCCCTTACATCCTTTGTTCATTGGTTGACTCCTCTTCTTCTCGTGTCTATACAGCTTCTTCGCATTACACTCCATCATCCATCCGCGAGCAACAACAGAGTTTATATACCGTTACAACGATCCAAACGCTGCACACGTATTCCTCTCATTCAAGCTAGATACCTCATCTCGCAAAAAAGAAGTGGAGAAGGTGCTTGAAGAAATCAAAAATCAAGGGATGACTGGATATGATGTTAGCGATGATGAAGTTGCCAAATCTCACGCGCGGTACATGATACGTGGATGCTCAGCGATCCCAAACGAAAGAGTGTTCCGGTTTGGTAGGCATTCTTCTCATGTTTGGTATTTCTACTTCACGGTGTGCTTACTGGAATCTCACTGCAGAATTTCCTGAACGACCGGGCGCCCTGCGCAAGTTCCTTCAGGGTATTTATCCCGGATTAGGCTGGAATATATCAATGTTCCACTACCGCAATCACGGTGCAGGTTCGTGCAATGTCTTCTTTGTCATCTTTTGTTCCCTCATGAATTTGTTGCAGACCTTGGCAGAGTGCTAACGGCCATCCAAGTTCCGCAAGAAGATTACGCGGCATTCGACGAGTTTTTGGGCCAATTAGGATATCATTATGTGGAGGAAACTGACAACGAAGTGTACAAGCGGTGTCTTGCAGGACAGGTTACTCTAAATGGATCTGCATAGGATCTATGTCCGGGTTGAGCGTGGGTACGTTGGCAGGCATACATTTCTATCGATGTGAATATCAATTGAATGCCGCTTGAAGGCGAGAGATCAAATTAAAGATGAGCCGTAGTGGGACATTCTATGATGTTCTATAGAAACCGTCAGTGAACTTCCTACCCTTGATCTCGGATGAAAGAAATGTTTTTGAGGGTGGTCGAGGTCAGAAGGTCGTTCAGCGCTCAGCGCTGGGAAGTCCTGTCTTCGCGTGAGGGGTCAAGTATAAACCGAAACTTCGCGTGCATGATTGCTTGATTGAGTCGATGTCAGTGGAGTCCTGTCGCACGACATCTCTGGCGATCATATGAGGATCTTGATAACATGGAACGGTTACGCCATAATGCATTGATGATGCAAGGGGTCTAGATTTTACAACGAAAGTCTAGAATTGCTGTAAGTGTGTAGGATTCCGTTCAAGGACAATAAATGTCACAGAAAGGCACAGTAGTACTGGTTTATATTGGTTTTTTGAAAGTGTCGCAAATATTGGACATGTACAGTGAGAAAAAGCAAAAAGCGCCGCGAACCACGGCGGAGATTCTGTCGTCAGAATTCTGCCTCATCTGCAGTTTTCGTCATTTCTTCAATCATCTTGGAAGCAATGGAGCGGTTGCCTAATACTGGCCGATGGGCTCGCTGCAATAGAGCTGGGAGTGGTTGAAGAATCGCTCTTGCGACGAAAAAAGCGCTCAGGAGGAGATTGTGCAGTGGTATAAGCCTGCTTGACGAGGGGAACTGCGGGTAGCGCAGAAGGGGACGAGGGGGACTAGGGAAGCGTTGTTGCATCTCCAGGATGGCTTTCATGGCCAGAGATGTGGTAAGACCGCGGTTTCCGATTCTGATACCGGAGGACCCGTATTTATAGATCCACCCGATCTCCCAGCCTCCATCTTCACATTGCAGAGGAAGCAAAGTACGAAGATCAACGTCGTTGCGTACTCCGAGGTAGGCACAAAGCCGGAGCCGCATGGAGAGCGCTAGAGCGTCACCATCAGTCCCTATGCGCTCCCGAACACGTTCGATCAGCAACGGCTTTATATAGGCTGCCAAGTATACGTCGTTGCTGATTTCAAGCAGCCGGCCAAGGAAATAAAGAAAGCACTCCGGGGTCGCGTAATATCGCGTACCGTCGAGATAAGCTCTATGCAGGAGCACCTCGCGTACCCAGTGAAGGGTGCGATCAAGTTGATGGCCACGTCCATAAGAATAGAACAATGTCAGCGCGTTGACGCACACAACCGGATCAAACCGAGGTCGGCGGTGGTCAAAGTATGTCTGTGATTACAGCTGGGAGGTTGGCCAACGCATGGGAAATGATATCTGAACGCACGTACCTGAATAATCCCATCGTCATCAATGTAGTCAAGCATGTCATCCATAACGGAGTGTGCTACGTCCTCAGGGCTGCCCATTACGGTCAACCCAAGGGACGTGGTATCCAGGTCAAAGGGAAACTCTTCAGTAGTAAGCAATGGATTTCCTGATACCAAATGAGCTGCTAAATAATGGTAGCAAACATTTGGTACATACCCTGGAAGAAATTCCACGTCCGATGTGTATCAGTCAAATTGACGAGATTCCTGGTATGCTGCTCGATGAGTGCGGGGAAAGAAAGGTAATCCTCTTACCGGTTATCAGTCGCCTCCAGTATCAGGAGCTGAGCGAAGTTCTCCCGTAAGAAAATGCCGTTTTCAGTTACAGATAGAAGTTTCTTCGTATTCACGGTCAAATATTGTCTGCCCCTTTCGACAGGATCTCCAAGTAGGTTATAAAGCGCGCGGACGACTTTATGATGATCGTCGAAAACAATACCACACATCCCAAGCGAACGCGCGGAGAGGACATTCTCTATTTTATCATCCACAAAGATGGTGCGGGAGGGGTCAGCCCCTGTGCTCGAAATCACTGCCTTGTAGAAACCAAGGTTAGGCTTCCGCTCGCCCACGCCGGCGGAGGTGAAGATGCCGTCGAACAACGACCAATCAGCAGGCTTGGTACGAAGAACTTCATAGTCAGGCGCAGAAATATTTGACATGGCAAAGACACGTAGCATCCCGTCCGAGCGTGCTTTGAGGTGTCGAATAACCGATATGAGCTCTTCGTTGGACTGCAGAGAGTCACGAGCATCTTGGAACGCACGGCCAACCTCTGTGGGGTCTACAGAGAATTCGCCGCCGACCCTAACATAACACTCAGCCTGGGAAATCCTCCCCCTTTCATAGTCAGTCCAAGTAGGAGAAGAAAGGATTTTACGTAGAGCGTTTGAGGATATGGAGGTTTTGGTCTGCGGGGACCAAGAGAACAAAACATCACCAATGTCGAAGATGAGAGTGGTGTAATTCGAGGTAGATGACATCAGGATCAGTTAGGTGTCGCAGGTAAAAATGGAAAACGGTGCACGATGGAGCATATATTCCTCCACAGATGGCTATTTGAATGCTTGGAGACAATCCAAGACCGAAGTGGTAAGCTGCTCTGTGCCTAACCGTGACATTAACAAACCTCCGCAGATTCACAATCTGAAGCAGAGATCTTACATACAAGTTTTTTTTGGGTCGGGGGTCTGGGACCGCGGGAGAGTCACGGCGTTTTACGTGATGTCACTATATGCCGGGCGTTCGAATTGTCGAGCGGGGGACGCGAAGCGCTAGTTATATCTCAGTCTCGGGAAGGAACTCATTGTACAAGTTATGTACCTAGTAGAAAACAATATATCTACTGACTGTTAGTAAATCGTAAGAACGGGAAAATAACGACAGCTCACATCTCAGTCTCAGGAAGGAGCCGAGATGCTCGTGCGGATCTACTGGTGGCTTTATACATGTTAGCGTAGAGACGAAAAAAATATGCTTATCGAAGGAAATAAAGATTTCGAGGTGGACGAGCACGAGCCGACGTCAAAACATCGCTCACTCCGAGCGCTCGTCTAGGCTCGGCCCCCTTTTGGTTGCGCTGGCAATCGATCATCCTCTCATCGTTCCTAGTTCGGATCCTTTCGGACTCCAACACAGATCACGATCTGAGGCATTTGTATCTACCATCGCATACGATAAGTCGGTGCTAGAAGAATAAAATATGATAGAAACACTTCACCGAGCTGGATAACTCTATGGGTCTGTCGTCCTGGTGAAAGAAGGCACTACGCTTCGCTGGTCATTGAAGGGACTAGAATATCATGTTCCAGAGACGATCAGAGATTGCTATCTGCTGTCACAATTTCCAGATCTGAAGGGGAAGGCACCGACGAGAATACCCTGATCCACCAATCGACCCTACAGCTTCACGGGTTCATCATCGACCACTTTGCGAATGTGGTGTCCCTTCCGCCGCTTGAGTTCTTCAATTCTGTCTGAGGGTATCGGATATTTGATGGAGATGCGAGCATGCCCCCTGGATTTTCATTGAAATTACTTCCGGCTGGCCACACTAAAACAGGAAAAATTGAGTGGCGTTAGTAAGTATAGCTCACCGACCTTGGCGGACATTCATGTGCTATCACGGAAGACCCGAAGTTCCCAAAGTGAGTATATATTTATGAACCATTTTAATTAAGAAAGTGGCGGCAAGCTTTGGTCAATCTGGCCAAAGATTGGGTCATGGTCTTTGGAGATTGACCTTAATTACATGACAAATGTATTTCAGCTCAGCGGTGCCGGTGATCGATGACCAGAGCTCGGTGCTGTTTACGTACCTCCGTGATTGCGACTGATAATCGATAATGGTCCAGCCTACAGGCAAATCAGAAATTACTATCCGCAGGCAAAAGTGACATGTCTCCCAGGCGCGTTGGTCTCCTCTAAGCAGACCATAGGAGGAAGATATTCGTTCTTCCTTTTTAGGAGGGGCGCCAACTTTTCATGCAAGGGACTACCCCAGGATTCTTCTATTCACTAGCCCAAAGCTGTAGCTGTCGAGAAGTGTTGGAGCGGGGCATATCGACGATGAGGTCGGCTGTCATGCATCGCAAAAACGATGAGTTCTCAATCAAAAGGCTGCAACTGTCACCTTGCTTGCGATACTCCTGCGCTCCGATGACACAGCGCCCGTGTAGTATGTAAGCCATTGGCATGTTCCCATACAAATAGTACTCGGTCAACTCCCGTCCAAAAGCAAACGCATTGTAAGATGAACAAGAACGACCTGTACTGGTGATTAGCAAGTACACCTGATCTCACTCGAGGGACTACCACAGAGATGGGGAATGGATGTGATGCTGTAACGTTTAAACCAGGCGAATCAGTTATTGTCGAACGAGGATACCACTTCCACGAAGTAGTGGGGAGTCCTAGAAATACGTTGAGTAACAGGAACGATGGTCGTATATTCAAGGCATGTGTGCGAGGCAATTTAGGAGAGATATTGAAAGTGAGAAAAATGGCACCGTTAGGAAAGTACAATCAGCAATGCGAATGGCTCAACGTTCAACCTGATTGCTTTTGAGAAGCTACTTTGCTTAGGAGTAGCTATCGCCGTTGCTTATAGAAGCAAACCTAACAGGGGGGACAGAATGCATGAATTGGCAGATCAGCCCTGCTGCACGGCAATGACCGTGATAATGGCACGAAAATGCGACGTTGTGTGCAATGTGGTAAACACTATGCTACTGAGCGCGGACTCAACCAAATGATAGGATGCGAAGAGTAACGGTAAATTCCTTTCTATCAGGGAGTTAAACGTTAATGCACACACAGACAACTTACTGCTGTCACTTACCAGCATCACCCGAACCAACTCAGTGCTTCTGTTGTGCCCCTGGCTGCGCTTTGGAGTAGAAATTATCAACCACCACATACGCGGTAAACGCTACTAGTGCGATCCCAAGCCCTGGAAACATGCTAGAAAACATGGCACGGTTCGTGAACACAGGGTGTTTCCGCCACGCTTCCCTCTTCGCCCATGGGTCACGAAATAAAGGTGGGTTGGACATGACTGAACCGCAGATGAAACTCAAAATGTTATTGAATAATATGTTCAACTTACTTGGATACCCGTTAGAAACTAGGAAACCGTTTGTTTTCGGCTTGTTCAGCTGTGATTCTGAGTCCGCTCAGGATCAGGTGGTCATGTGATTTTCAAGCTTAGGGCCGGTCCATCAAGACTTCGGAAAAATAACAGCTGCCACAGCGCGGGAGAGGCCTTCTTGTCCTTCATTTCCACTGTTCTTCTTGCTTTCTTATTCTCTGTATTGCTACATAGACACTTCTCTGCCATTCGTGCCAAATTATCGCTTCAAATAATGTCTAGCGACGCCTATATGTCTTCAGATGACGACCGACCACTTGGCTCACTCCAAAACGATGGCAAGGCCAACACAGGCAGAGGCAGCGCGAATGGATACGCTAAAGAGGAAGCTAGTGATTCTCCCATGAGCGAGGACGAGGACATGCCTTTAGTTCGTGTACCCCTGTCCATGTGCTGCGTGCGTCGCTGACTATTTTGCGTAGTCCCAAGTTGCAGCTCCAAAATCCGAACCTGTAACTCCAGCAAAGTCTTTGCGGCGCAAGCGAGCTGCTGCACTTGATTCGTCCAGTGAAGATGATGATACCCCTCTTGCTTCTTCTCCGGTGAAGCAATCTGCTACTATACCGATGCCGGGGACATCGAAAGCCTCTACAGCAAACGGCCATAAAACAGTTAAAGCTGAGAGCGATGACAAACGTAGTTCTACCACTGCTAAGAAGAAACGTGCTTCCACCAAGAAAGGTCCCCCACAGAAGAAACTGAAACGCGAGGACCATGATACTTCTGAACCTCCCGCTTCTGAAGACGAGGAGTCCACACCTGTGAAGAAAGATAAGGTGTCAAGGAAACGAAAGCCTAAAGTCAAGGAAGAGACTGATGCGGAGGTGGAGGACGCTGGAAAATTCAAGCCCACAAAAAAGAGAGCTATTTCGAAGAAGGTCAAGGATGGAGCAGACGAATCGGCGACTCCCCAGCCCAAGAAAAAGGGCAAAGTCAAAGATGAAGGGGAAGACGAGGAGGAAGTTTACAAGTGGTGGGAGGCTCAGCAGAATAACGATGGTGAAGTAAAGTGGCAAACGCTAGAGCATAATGGCGTCATCTTTCCTCCACCATACGAACCCTTGCCCTCGAATGTGAAAATGAGGTATAAGGGTACGTGGTCGCCTTATTCATCCTACCGTGACAAGTTTGTTGATTGCATTGTAGGTAAAGAAGTAGATCTGCCATTAGAGTCCGAAGAAGTGGCCGGTTTTTACGCCGCCATGTTGGAAACTGAGCACGCTCAAGATGCCACGTTCAACAAAAACTTCTTCGAAGACTGGTTGAAAGTGCTTCAGGACCATCCTCCTGTAAGTAACATACTTCGGGTGCCTCTGCCCTACTCAACCATGAACCAGCGCAATAAGATCAAGATCATAAAATTTGAGGATTGTGATTTTCGGCCCATGTTCGAACACTTTGAAGCGGAGAAAGCTAAAAAGAAGGCTCTCAGCACCGCAGAGAAGAAAGAGCTCAAGAAGCAGAAAGACGCATTCGAAGAGAAATATGTCACATGTCTCCTTGACGGTCGCAAGGAGAAGGTAGGCAACTTCAGGGTTGAACCTCCTGGCTTGTTCAGGGGTCGAGGCGATCACCCGAAGAAGGGCGCGTTGAAGGTAGGCCCTTAGCACTTGGATCTGGAACAAATCCAAAACTTGCTCACGTCCTGGTAGTTCCGTGTACGCCCGGACGATATCACCATCAATATTGGTGAAGGAACGCCTATCCCTGTACCCAATATGCCCGGACAATGGAAAGCCATAGTGCACGACCAAACTGTCACCTGGCTGGCCAATTGGGTCGAGAATGTCAACGGCAATTACAAATATGTCTTCCTAGCTGCAGGCAGCTCCCTCAAGGGTCAGAGCGACATGCAAAAGTTCGAGAAAGCCCGTGAATTGAAGGTGCAATCGACTGCTGACTCCGATGCTCCATCGACTGACATTTCTCCAGAACCACGTGGACCGCATTCGCAAAGACTACTCTGCCGATCTGCGCAGCAAAGTTATGGCAGATAGGCAGCGTGCGACGGCAATGTACTTCATTGATAAGCTTGCTCTTCGAGCCGGAAATGAAAAGGGTGAAGATGAGGCCGACACCGTGGGCTGCTGCTCTCTGCGGTGCGAACACGTCACGTTAGAAGCGCCGGATTTCCTCATCTTTGATTTCCTGGGTAAGGACTCGATCCGGTACTACAATCGAGTCTCTGTGGATCCCCAGGTTTTCAAGAATATCAAGCTATTCAAGGACAACAAAGAGGATAGTGACAACCTCTTTGACCGCGTCAATGTGACACAGCACCCTTCAAAATCTTAAACATTCTGCTGACGGTTCTCTCCTAGACATCGCTCCTTAATAAGCACCTGGCATCGTATATGAAAGGACTGACTGCAAAGGTTTTTCGTACTTACAATGCATCCATCACGTTTCAACAGCAGTTGGATGAAGGAACGCCGGCGAATGCCACTATCCAAGAGAAGCTGAATGCATATAATCATGCAAATCGTATGGTGGCCATCCTTTGTAACCATCAACGTAGCGCACCGAAGACTCACGAACAGTCGATGGGCAAGATGCGCGATAGGGTTCGTTTACTCCTTGTGATGCGATCCGTGACTGACAGTGCCAATAGCTTCGTTCCTTAAAGTATGATCGAATGAAGCTTCGTCATGTTCTCTTCAACATGGATCCCAAATTCAAGAAGCAGAAGCAGTACGCCGATGACGAGTCTGATTTAGATGACGACTGGATAGAAGACCACGAGAAATCCCTTAAGAATAAGGAAATAGAGAAGGCGGAGAAGAAATTCGCCAAGGATAACGAGAAGCTTGTTCAGGAAGGCAATGAACCTCAGCCCGACTCAGCCCTGCAGGAGAAGATTGAGGCCGCTGAAGCCGAATACAAGAGGGTTGCAAAGGAACGCGGCACAGGGAAAGCCAAACTTAAGAGGGATCGTCCTCCCGAGAAGATTGAGGAAGCTGTCCAGAAGTTGGACGAGAAGATAAAGACCTTCAAGCTTCAAATGGACGATCGGGAGGCCGGTAAAGAGGTTGCTCTTGGTACAAGGTATGTCGCGCTCACGCTCAGGTAACACATTCTCACTGTGTCTCCTTCAGTAAAATTAATTACCTGGACCCTCGGTGAGTTTCCAGCTCTATCATAAACCATGGACAGTGACTCATTCTGTCATCTAGGATAACGGCTGCATGGTGCAGTGTCCACAATGTACCGATCGAAAAGATCTTCTCAAAGACACTTCTCGTTAAATGTGAGCTTATGTGGAGAGTATTTCATAGCAATTTATACTGACGCTGATTTCAGTTCCCTGGGCTATGGAAGTCGACGACGCCTGGAAATTCTAGCCTATGCTTTACGGCTAGACCTCAGTGTATTTTGGCTTTACGAAGGGTTTTGGGACTGCTATCATTATTCCCTAGAGATTCAATCTAGGCTTAACCCTGCCCCCTTCTTATGGGAGGTACATACCTAAGTAATAATTGCATTCATAGATTTATGTCGAATAAAAATGAGCGATGTTTGGTTCAGCGTGACACATTCACGTGTTGCATTTGAACTTGAAGTGAGCAGACTGCACGCATCAAACCTTAACTACTACCCTGTCTGCTACCATGAGTAGGTCCTCTGGCACAACAGCGAACCCGCCATTTGTTTTCAGATCTGCTTTCGACGCTCTCACCGTCGATGACGTGGAAGACTTCGAGGACGAACAACAAGAGGAAGAAAACGCCGCAGACACAGGTGACCAGGTCCGTCTTCACCAACTTTTGTGACCTAGCGCCTCCGCAGCTTGCTCATTGAGCCATCTAGCACCGAGCATACGAAGCCGTCGAAATCTCAAATAAAGAAGGCTCAAAAACAAGCTCGCACCGAGAGGCGAAAACAACTCCGAGCCTCCTCAAAGGCAGGTACCGCGGATAATTCGCCTAGACATACACCCTCTCCGGAAGAGTCCATTGCGCGTATGGCCGAGGCAACGGCAGATGTCTCTCCTCTCCCTAATACTGTTTCTGAGTCAAAGCCCACCGCAGAGCCACAACAAGAGCCAGCGCCCCAGCCGCAGGTATTGGAGCCGTCACTTTCGGAGCCTGCTATTAACGGCGATATACAACACGTGAATGTCGCGGAAAGTATGCATTTTGACTTCTGTCCAGTGCTTTATTGACGGAATATCCAGACAACTCCACGCTGCATCCTCTACCGAGCAAGCTGCTAGGCGATGAAGGACAGTCTGTCTCAAAACCTGACGTCGAACAGGCACTCAAAAGTGAACCCGACCCGCAAGAAGTCGAACGCACAAAGAAACGACAAAGCATCCTCACGCGAACATTATGGACGTTCATTATGATCGGAGGTTTCGTTGGTATGCACGCTTCTACTTCCAAAAGAAGGTTATGATCGTATCTGACCATCGCGCAGCTTTGCTACTTATGGGTCATGTTTATATGATCATGCTTGCCATGCTGTGTCAAACGATTGTCTACCGCGAAGTTACTGCTCTGTTCTCACTCAAAAGTCATGCTCCGGAATCTGGCGAGGTAGAAAATAAGGGAAAGAAAGATCCATGGAGCAAGACTCTAAATTGGTACTTCTTTGCCGTCACTAACTATTTTCTATACGGGGAGAGTATCATCTACTACTTCAAGGTACGGGATAATTTTGGTCGTAATTACTATGTGCTAAATTGGGGGTCAGCATGTTATATTTTCGGACGGTCAACTACTTCCTTTCGCTACCAATCACAGAATTATCAGCTTTACGCTTTATACCATCGGCTTCGTTGGTTTCGTCATGTCTCTTAGACGTGGATTCCTCAAGCAGCAATTCGGCCTCTTCTGCTGGGTTCACATGAGTCTGCTACTGATCGTTGTCTCTGGGTATGGATCTCGTCCGTTTTCAGACCCCATCCTGAAGGGAATCTTGCAGTCACTTCATCGTTAATAATATCCTCGAGGGCATGATTTGGTTCTGGGTCCCCGCCTCGTTGGTTATTTGCAATGATATCTTTGCATATGTGTGGGGCATGTCCGTGGGGCGCACACCCTTGATCAAGCTCTCGCCGAAGAAAACTGTCGAAGGGTTTGTGGGTGCCTTCTGGAGTACCCTCCTGTTCAGTGTGTTCTGGGGCTCGTACTTCATGCGCTTCAACTACATGATTTGCCCTGTGCATGATCTTGGAGTCTCCGCCTGGAGTAATGTCCAGTGCACGCCCAACCCTGTGTTTGTCTGGAAGGTCTGGCAAATTTGGTCGCCTCTCGCGGCATTTCTTTCGCGGCTCGTGAGTGAAAATTAAAGTTGTTTTGTGCAACCGCTCAGAGTTGCCATTAGCTCGGAAAATCAGTGACCGTGATTCCCTATGCACCATACCAACTGCATCTCCTGGTCTTTGCAGTTTTCGCATCACTGGTGGCACCGTTTGGAGGTTTCTTCGCATCTGGTTTCAAGCGCGCCTTCAACATAAAGGATTTTGGCCACAGCATCCCTGGTCATGGAGGCATGACCGATCGCATGGACTGCCAGTGAGTTCTAAATCTCGAATGCACCTTATCAAGACACTCATATCATTCCTAGATTCCTCATGGGCGTCTTTACCTACGTCTATTATAGTAGTCTCATTCGAGAACACCACGTCAGCGTGGGTTCTATCTTGCAGATGATCGTTAGCGGGCTTACCGTTAACGAGCAGTTGGAGTTGATGAAGGACCTCAGGAAGTACATGCAAGGTCAAGGTATCACGATAGTATGAGCTGGCATGATTATGCGCCCATTTATGACTGGACAAGACTCATTACGATTAACACATTTTAATTCACAATTTCCTGTGGAAAATGTTTTTGAAATGACATGCATCTGAATATCAGGCGAATGATGACGACGCCTGCCATATAACATTGTCCAACGCTGTATCGTGGTAGATTACGAGACCCGAGGATCGTGCGGTGTAACCCTATGACATAGTGGTTTCGGCTTTTCATTGGCGTGCGGCATGTGCGACACAGGCATAATCATAGGTAATGCGATAACATGAATGACAGGGACAAGATGATGATGCTTATGACCGGGGTTTTTCCTGCGAAAATGATGAGTACCATGATAACAATATAATTTTGATTAAACTGACCTTCTTCTCTTTCCACAATGCGAGAAGACCGACCCCTGAGACCTTCACTACTTTGAAGCGCACACCAGGAATATCACCCTTGGCCTTACCACTACGACCGAAACCAGAGATGAGAACTTCATCGTTCTCATCGACGAAGTTTAAGCAACCGTCATTCTGTGTCAATGCATTAGTTAACTCGCGACAAGCAGATATGAAAGCACACACAGGCACGAAAGCCGTGACCTTTTTGCCGTTCTTAATAAGTTGTACACGGACACATTTACGAATGGCAGAGTTGGGTTGTTTGGCCTCGACACCGACTTTCTCGAGGACGATGCCCTTTGCATGTGATGATCCTCCAGTAGGGGAGGTTTTGTAAACGTTACCGAGGGCGCGCTTCTTATACGCCTTATCCGCCTATTGAGAAAAGTATACAGTCTCAGATGTGTGATGTCCAAGAGATTATGAGCACGAACCCATCGGTTTACACGGCGGTCATTGCGAAGCTTGCGAGCGGCTTGAAGTCCACGAGGTTTGTTGGCTGATAGAAGAGTGTATTAGTACATGGTTATTCCACTAGTGATCATAACGAGAGCGACATACAGCCCATTCTTGAAGTCGACGAGGACGGCGAGGATAACTTTCCACTTGTGCTGGGGACCAGCTCGGCATCATCCCGAAACCTTAATTATAACTGTTACAGTTTATCAGCCACAGCATGGCTCATGATCACGTGATGGTATTTTGTTGATTACGTGAGCGTGGATAGCCAAATATTAATATTAATATAATAATTCATTCCAACGTAGTGCGGCTTAGCTAGTACGTATACTAGTACTAGTCGTCTCGAACCAGGAACGACTAACTCAAACAAGACGTTTAAATCATGGTTAATGCAGCACTACCACATATTTAAGTCTCCTACTACTCGTGGGTGCCCGTACTACCCGTGCGGGGGAACCAACCAACCACAACCACAGGTACCCGTGACCCGTACCACCCGACCCACGATTCACCCGCGGGTGTTGCCTGGGCGTGCACATGTCATGCCCTAAATTAATACCCCCCAGTGTTATGCCCTCCCTGACATTGTCGTGTAACACTCAAGTACTGATGCTTATCGTTCTTAATATTATCTTGATTCCCACAAACTTGTCATATGGTCCAGTGCTGGTATTCTTCCGAGTCTCTATTCTGAGAATGCTATATGTTCGGCCCATTCACTGATGATGGATTCAATATCCCTCGCTCCTAACCATGTCTCAGGTCGCTGAAATCCAATACTACCACCACGGGCGTTTCCGTGTTGCAGGTGGTGTGCTGCCTGATGCCATCACTGCATACCAGACATTCGGCGACCCAAAGAATCCCGTTATCGTGTTTCCTACGTGTTATGGAGGAAAGCTTGACAGTGAGTCTTCCAAAGTGCTTCCCTTATGATGGCTGGAACTTGAATTAGCAAATGGACTATTAGGTCAAAGCTACATGGTAGGGGAAGACAAGGGTAATGCCATGTAGCTTAATTTTGTTTTCCAACTGACGCCGGCGATAGGTTTTGGATCCACGTAAATACTATGTAGTGACCTTTGCCTTATTTTCCAATGGAGAGGTAGGCTACATGATGTAAAGATGGCGCGATCATGCTCAACTCACCTGTTGCTTTAGTCTTCTTCACCCTCTAACACAGTGAGTTTCCTGAGAGTACTGTCTGGCACAAGAATTCACAATGACGGTAGCCTGCGCCATACAACGGTCCCTACTTCCCTACAATCACATACGAAGACAATGTGTGAGTTTGTTCCATCTTAGATTGTCGAAGTTGCCGACATAGTTCAGCCGGGCACAGTACACTGTGCTCACCCAGAAGCTTGGTGTCAAGAAGGTGTTCTGCGTGATTGGATTTTCAATGGGCGCACAGCAGGTAAACATGTTCGTAGAGAGTAGCGATGGTTTTGCTGAAGCATTGCAGGCATACTATTGGTCTGTCATGTATCCCGACTTCCTTGAAAGGTATGTTTTGACGACTGTGAGCAACTCTTTTTCTAACTACGGTCAAGATACATCCCCATCTGTGGATCTGCTCGAACTAGCCCTCACAATCAATGGTACTTTTAGACACCAGTTACATTTGTGTCTGTGTTGATCCGACCACAGCTTCCTAGAAGGTCCTAAAGCCGCTCTTTCAGCCTCAAAAGACTTCCGAGATGGCCACTACAAGAGCACTCCTCAGCACGGTATCCGGGCATTTGGCCGTGCATACAGCGCATGGGCATATAGCCAGGCGGTGAGCTTCCGCACCTCTAGCTGATTGTTATACTGAAATTACTGCAGTGGTTTGCCAAGAAAGGTTATCTCTTCGATGGAAAGTACGCCGTTTACTGTATTCCGCTCTCTGTTTTCTCAATAGGACCACTAGATACACGAACCTCAACGACTTCTTAAGAGAGGACTGGGAAGGCGGTTTTCTAGAAGGGTGGGACGCCAACGATTTATTGACACTCTTGAAAACATGGCAGATTGGGGATGTTTCTCTCGTCCGTGGCGAAAGTTACCTCGCGGACTGTCTAGGAGCGATCAAGGCCAGAGGTCTGATCATGCCTTGTAAGAAAGACCTGTACTTTCCTGTGAGTCCTTTCAACTTTGTTGCTTGGGTTTGGGTTGATGGCTCCTTGGATAGCCGGAGGACAGTCAGAATGAGATGAAATTCTTGAATAACGCAAAGCTAGTCATTATCGATTCTGAGTGGGGCCATATGGGTGAGTTTGTTGGGCTTGATTTGCTTTGAACTGTCCCTTGCTGATATGCTGTAGCTGGAGGGGGGTCAAATGTTCGTGATGATGAGTTCATCCAAGCAGAGGTTAAGAAATTTTTGGAAGCACCTTGAGTTCTACTTCAGAAATCATCTCCAAAGCCGTGCATGTGAATAAAGTGTGTAATTTAGTCCACATTGTATCTCCAACTGTAAAATGATCTCGAATGTTTGTTTATAAGTATTGCAAACAAGATAACGGCCACCCATCCATCGAAATAATGCACTCACATGCCACAGAAACAAGTTATGGGCGAGTACTCTTGGTCGCCGTTCACACCAAACGTCAATGCCGAGGAACTTCAAATAACATTATTTATAGTTTCAGGTGGCTCGTGACCATATGATCTATTACCCAGCTCAGCCATTTATCGGCACTCATGGTGTTTGTCGGACCGTCTGTATGAGTCCATACACGCGTGCCATAAAAGCATGCGGTCGTTGTACGGATAGTATCTCTCCCCCCTCAAGCCCACCCTCATGCAGACACCAACCCAGTATTACCACCACGGCCGCTTCAAAGTAGCAGGAGGAATACTCCCCGATGCCGTGACCGCATACCGGACATACGGAGACCCAAGCAACGACAGAGTGATTGTTTTCCCGACATGTTATGGGGCAAAACTCGCCCTTGGGAGTATGTTTTGTTGGCTGCGAACATGAAGGCAGTTGTTCATCTAATCACACACAGGTCAAGACTATCTCGTTGGGGAAGGCAAGGTACGTATATTCATGTAGAGGAATGCGCGGTCTTCATGATTTGACAACAGGCCCTTGACCCAAATAAATACTTCGTGGTGACATTCGCGCTTTTCTGTAATGGAGAGGTGCGCTACCTTCTGCTCTGTCGTTTCACTGACTGAATGAGTCTAGTCGTCTTCTCCTTCTAACACGGTTAGTTTCTTTCATTGCACATTTTACCCCCTTCCTGACAACCCCTTAGCCTGCACCTTATGGTGGCCCGTACTTCCCATTCGTTTCTTACGAAGATAACATGTAAGTTATGAAATGACTTGCAAGTAGAATACGGGCTAACATCAACAAGTCGTGCTCAGCACGCAGTTTTGACAAAGCACCTTGGAGTGCGCAAGGTCTTCTGCGTGGTTGGATTCTCTATGGGCGGACAACAGGTAATTCGCCTCGTTAGGATATCATATGCACTCTCTTAGGTCCTATCCCAAGGCGTATCACTGGCCAGTCGTCTTCCCTGACTTCGTAGAGCGATTTGTTTCTATATGTTCGTCTGCTCGCACAAGTCCCCATAACCAATGGTGAGTCCTTGTCTGGACTTGTTTGGTCCCGCGTATGACTTGCGTTCTAGCTTCCTGGAAGGGCCCAAAGCAGCGATGTTAGCAAGCAAAGATTTTGCCGACGGTCATTATCAGAGCACTCCTCACCATGGAATCCGTGCTTTTGGTCGAGTTTACAGCGCGTGGGCCTATGGGCAAACTGTGAGTTGCCTCACGATGAAAGATCAGGATAATACAACTTTTATAGTGGTTCCGGGAGTACAAGTACTTGATGGACGGAGAGTAAGCTATGTCGCGATACATTTTCATGATCTTTCTTTATGGAACTTTGCGAACAGGTACCCGGACTTGAACTCGTTCCTCAGGGAGCGATGGGAAGGAGGATATGTCAATAACTGGGATGCAAATGACATGATCGCACTTCTGAACACATGGCAGAAGGGAGACATTTCCATCGTTCGTGATGGCGGAGACTATGAGAAGGCTCTGAAGAGCATCAAAGCAAAGGGACTTATTATGCCTTCGAAGACGGATCTTTACTTTCCGGTCAGTCCCCCACCAAGCAACCACGAGTCGACTACTGACACCATCAAAGCCGGAGGATAGCGAAACGGAAGTGTCGCACCTCAGAGATGCTAAATTGCATGTGATTCCATCGATCTGGGGTCATGTTGCAGGGGGTAGTGCTAACCCGCCAGATGTCGCCTTCATAACAGAGAAGATCACGGAGTTTTTGCAAGTGCCTTGATGGCGAGATGTCAATTGTACCTGTATTGCTCTCCAGAAGCTGATTTTAAAGGGATTGTGTAGGTTGAGATATTTGGTGCAAAGGAATATTTCTGAACTGAACATCTGACTCCATAACTGAGACGATGGTTTGCTCGTGTCGTCGTTGAATGATGGCTCGTAAGTTGAAAAGAAGGCGGGAGGATAAAACGCTGTGAAACACCGCCTGGAGTCTGAGTAGTATAGTTAAACGCATTCAGAGTATTCGAGGGTGAAACATACGTGTTGATAGACTCCGCATATTCCGACTCCACCAAAAGATTAGCAAAACCTAATTGAAAAGGGCATGTCTTACCGGAAGGAACCCTATAACTACGATGTTGGCCATTGATATTGCTTATGCAGTTATATATTGAGTATCATCCCAAATCCAACGACGAGATTTGCTCACCTAGTATACACAGAACATAGACTATACCATCCCAGTACAGATGCGTAAGGAGACGGTTCCCCTGTCGTCGTCGGTGGTGCCAGGCTTGAAAAACATTGAGGGATAGTATGACTATGTGTAGGGTTGGCTTTAGTAACTCTACAGAAAGAAAGAAATTTGACCTGTCTCAAAAAGAGCCAGCAGGGCGTAGTTAATTGCGTATATTGCGATTCTTTGAGTTTGATAACAGCCAGAAGTTCCTAGTGGGGGATCCTGGTCTACACGATAACCACGTTGGACTAGAGATTCGCCAAGGAGGGTTGTAATGAAACGTACATCTGAACAAGGATGAAGCACTGGCACCGACCACCCCACATCCTGCGATGCAGCCCTGCAAGATGTCTTGATTGAGATAGATATTCCCGATTATGGGCATGATTTTACCAGTGCGAGTAGCAGCAGGAAAACAAGTAACACTCTGTTTCTTCCCCATAATGTGTACGTCCTAACGAAAAGAAGTGCTGGATATCCGGTGAGAATTATACTCAAACAATGCGGAGGGGGTATCCATTACATTCTGCGGCAACGGTGCCAAGTATGTTAAGCCCTTTGTATTGTAAATCATAATTATAAGGTGGAAGATGCAGATATCAGGGATGGGAGGGGTACTCACATGAGGAGACTTGGTAGAGCGATAAGCACTAGCATAAAGCTTCTATGAATGCAATATAGCCTATCTCCGATATTGATACTCACAAGCTGTGGTGATGTGGGTCCAAGGGTATCTTTATCGTCAATTGAGCAATGCAACGATGTAAATACAACGGACACGTACAGATCAAGTCTACTGGGACGTCAACAAAAGGCATGTATCGAGCCACCGCGAAAATGATGCGAATAAAATCCCACTTTCTCCCCCAAGTGAGGTTGATCTAGTAATCTGTGTCAATCGAAACTTCGATAGCATACTAAGCGCATGGAGGACGCGCCTCGGCTTCTAGTTTGATACAGTAGTCAAAGACCTGCCACTGATGTCAGCGATTAGTTCTGGTTCATATGCTCAATTTCCTACCAAGACCGCCAACCCTACCACTTTCATAATTGCGTGTTAGAAAGGCGGCAGTATTATAGGAGTTCTGTGTTACGTACTCTTAAAATACTGATTCATGATGACTGAAATGTTCGTCTAGTAGCAAATTGAAAAGACTTACCTTGACAGCCTGAAGACGTAGTGCAATCTCAAGTGGGGAGGTCATGTCGAGTTAGAATAGACGAAGATCGGAAGGGAGTGGATGCTTGCGGGTATTTATTGACGACCCAGGTCCCGGGATATCACTGTTGATCCGATGATGCGTTTCGTCAAACGATGCGACCTGCCTTAGTAACCTGTCCCCAAGAAAGATATCAGTGATGCGGGTTGTCCGGAGATCAATGAAATGATTGTGGTTAAGTTGTGACTCCTCTTGAACAACGAATTATAGTATTTTCGTTCGTTCAACGAGGGACGCGCTACCGTGACAATAAATAGTAAATAGACCATGTGGCCCGCAATACTTGCGTATGCATGATTGATATGATGAGAGTCCACAGGATAAAGGTGTAGCTTCGACAATATGTTATTTAGCCAGCTGACCAGTGCAATGATTGATCAATATATGATGGATTCCATTTTGCACACTCAAGACTCACCGCCTTTCTGATTGGTACGTCACACATTTCTAAATGCGTCGCCGGACTATGACCTTTCACGCGGAGTCGTTGATACAATGACTAGCAGACTACCGTGACTCGCTTGGCGATCACACTACCTGAGCTCAACAGTACTGTCTTGTCATTTTAGTATGCCCTATCCCTATTACCTAACCAGCTGCTCGTATTTCTACTTATCTCTGTCAAATAAACGACGTTCGGAATCTTCGGACCAGGACGAAATGTCTGGCGGTAGAGCCGGAGAGCCTCCGAGTAGTAGCTGGCTATGCTGCTCATGGAAAAATAGCGTTGCAATAGACTTCGACAGAACCTGAGTGAGAGGAGGACTGAGATGTGATTGACCGTGAGATGTGTGCGCTGGGATGGTAGGAGAGTATGAATTGCAGTCCACGAGATAAAGAGAATGTACTGGTGATGGGTAGTAGTCTTGATTCTTCACGTACGTGTCACTCCGAACTGTGGAAATGGCGTATTCTGCAGTGCTGCTGACACCGGGGAGTTGAGTTTGCGCGCCCGACGCAGCCTGTCCGAGTCGTTTCGGCCTTCCACTGTTCTCTGGAGAGTGCGAGTTTCGCAGATCCTACTCTGGTGTTGAGATTATATCATATCTGACGTCCCCGCGCTCATTAATATTTGTCTAGGGTGTGCTCTGCTACAGCCTGAGCACAGGATGATGCCATCATGATGGTGGAACAAGATTTCAAAAGTATGTACGTAAATTTGACATAACAATTTAAATATTTTATCAACACGATCCCGTCACGTGACTGCCAGTGTCGTGTCCTCATAGTATTAGTATCTTGCTACTTACACCACTCCCTAACGCCCCAACACCCCGAAGCGCTCTTTTTCGCCATGAGAGGCACTAGAGCTAGCTGTCTCCTGGGAAGCGCAATACTTGCTTTACTTCCCTCAGCTGCTAACGCGTTTTATCTTCCTGGTGCAGCACCCCACAACTATGTGCTGCGCGATCCTGTCGATGTGTATGTCAATGCGCTCACTCCCATGCTCGCTGGAAGTGACAATTCAAAGCTGGTATGTGTTCGCTATGATGTTATTATTGGACTGCGCTTACTACTCTTCAGAAATCCCTCATAAACTGTGAGAAGCTCGCCTATGGATTGCAATTAGCAACAAACATTGACGCACCACAGACGACTACTACAATCCTCAATTTCACTTCTGCGCACCTGACGGAGGTGCCAAGGGTCAGCCCGAGTCATTAGGATCGATACTATTCGGTGACCGAATATTCTCATCTCCGTATGATGTAGGTTGTCATGGCCGGATAACTATATATGCAGACTCAAACCGCTTCAACAGATCAAAATGCTGGAGGCTAATGGTACTTGCCAAATGCTATGTACCGCCGAGATACCTGGAGAAGATGCTCAATTCATCAATGGACGAATCCGTGAGGAATATGCTCTCAACTGGCTGGTGGATGGTCTGCCGGCTGCAGAAATGAAGAGAGACACGAAGACTGGGGACCTTTTCTTTGATATGGGATTCAACCTCGGGAATAATGATGACGATGTTCCCTACCTAAACAACCATTATGAGATTGTTCTGAGGTATGCCTGCCTGCCTATCAGTACTGAAGTTCATCAAACTCATTGCATCGCTCAGATATCACGAGCCATCACCTGGAGTTTACCGCGTCGTTGGAGTCCTGGTATGGCCATCTAGGTGCGCGAAAATTCTTGTGTATCATTTACTTTTGCTTACATCCTTGTTGCAGCCGCGGCGGTTCTCAAGAAGATGAAAGTATGCCGAACTGTGATAGTGAAGTTCCAAAGTTGGGCCTGTCTGAGACTGAAATAAACAACATACGTTATACCTACCGAGTAACTTGGGACGTAAGTCTGTTATGAAGGTACTGGTCCCAGCGAGTATCTGACTAACATCCTGCGTTAAGGAATCTGACACACCATGGGTACGTTTGACGGGCAAGACATGCGTTGAGCCTTCCTTATCATTCATAGGCCACTCGATGGGACAACTATCTCCATATTTTTGACCCCCGGATACATTGGTTCAGCCTCATCAATTCAATCGTCATTGTTGTCTTCCTTTGCGTCATGGTAGCCATGATTCTGTGGCGCACTGTCTCCAGAGACGTAATTATTTGGTAGCTTCACTAACATAATCCAAGCTGACGTCCATGCAGATTTCACGATACAATGCCATTGATCTTAGTGTGGGTAATTAACACTTTATACGTGGTTGTTCTGACACCAAACGAAATGCAGGAAGATGTTCAAGAAGACTGGGGCTGGAAACTTGTACACGGAGAAGTTTTCCGCGCGCCCAGTTATCCAATGGTGCTCTCCGTTATGGTAGGAAACGGTGCTCAGTTGTGCGCCATGTGCGCTGTTACCCTTGGTAGCTCCTTTAGTCTTAGAGCCCTCCGTTTACTGACTAAAATCAACTCCAAATAGTCTTCGCATTGCTGGGTTTCCTCTCACCTTCAAACCGGGGTTCTCTTGCTACTGTCATGATGGTGTGCTGGACCCTTTTTGGAGGGTGAGTCGTTTCTTCGTACCGAAGCGCTCAGCTGCTTATGCAGAGATATTAGGATAGGAGGTTATTATTCAAGTAGAATATATGCATCACTTGGTGGCGTTGATAACAGAAAGAATGCATTCCTCACAGCCACCATTCTCCCGACGTGAGCCCCCTCGTCTGCAGCCTCACTCTGATTACTCATTGGCTGACCCCGTTCACTAGGTTGGTGTTCATAGTGATCTTTTTGTTGGACTTTTTCCTTCTCGTTGCTGGTTCCTCAGGGGCCGTTCCATTCTGTAAGTTCGAGCAATCGTGTCGGCGACCTTGGAGCTCACCTGGTCTTCACCCGCACTAGCCACTATGCTCTTGATCGTCGTCCTCTGGTTTGGGATTTCTGCTCCGCTATCTTCGATTGGATCATACATTGGGTCAAGGCAAGGGGTACGTGTATTGCGTGCTTGATGCAATTGAAATTTATTTGGTTTCAGGGCGTGTCACACCCTGTCAGGGTTAATCAAATACCCCGTCAGATCCCACCAGCTCCCAGACACCTTCGACCATGGGTAAGTCTTGGCCAGCAAAGTACACATGATTTTCAACCCTGTTGCAGGCCTCCGCTTTACTTGCAGGGATTCTGCCATTTGGTAAGCATAGCTCACAGTTCAGTTTCTCGTTACTCAACAGCCTTGTCAATGTCGTAGGGGCTGCGTTCGTGGAACTTTACTTCGTCATGTCTAGCCTCTTCGCATCTCGCGCATACTATGCATTTGGTTTCCTTGCGCTAACAGCAGGAGTTGTCGCACTTACCACCGGCACCGTGACAATCTTGTTCATATATTTCAACCTCTGCGCTGAAGAGTACAGGTACGTAGAAGTATGTTTATTGTAATTTGTAATTTGTCATCTCGATTCTCCCTGCAGGTGGCATTGGCGTGCTTTCTTGACTGGCGGTGGAAGTGCATTTTGGATCCTGGCCTATGGACTCTTCTACTGGTTATCCCGACTTTCCCTGCACTCGCTTTCAAGCGTCGCATTATACCTCGGGTATTTGTTCTTGATCTGCCTTTTCGACTTTATCGTCACCGGTAAGGGATGTCTTATGATCATGACAGTAGAACTCAACAATTTCGTCAAGGGACTATTGGATTCCTCGCATCTTATTGGGCTGTGCGGCGCTTGTACAGTGCAATCCGTGTGGACTGAGTACTGGTTGTATAATTTCAATGGACTCCGCGCTCATATAAATCCATTGGATTATGTGGCATGCGCAAAAAATAGTTTCAGTTTCGAGTTTCATGCACAAAGATGGACATGGTCTGATCGAAGACTTAGCACTCATCGGAAGGGTACAGGAATGCCCGGTTCGATGAAGTTCGGATACTTGGTCCCGACTGCGTATAAATACCTACGTTGTACTAGACCACCATCTCCTTCCGCCATGTCGTAGACAGTTGATAAAGCGTCGTTCTCCAGCTTTTGCAGGATCACGCACGCGGCACATACGTATACTGGAGTCGCATTCTTAAAAGGTACCCCTCTCCGGATACATAGTGTGTTTACTCGTATACAGGAGGCATTTCGAGTGTACACGACGTCCGCGTCCTGAAGGCGAGTTCTTGACTAGTAGGCACTTGTTGGCTAATCTTTCGACCATTCGCATGCATGATAATACTGATACGGTTCAAATAACGCTTTCATTATTACACTAATGTACACATGCATGCCGCATCCAACAGCATCCAACTCTCCAATCCGTTTCGATGCATCCACGACACACTTCTTCAAACAACTCTTTACCACACTCGAAACAAATTGCCGACTCCTCGTACTCTGCTCCCACGTTAAAGTTTTTAAACTTGAGCAGGAAGAACTGAACTGATTCAACCTGATGTTGTGTAAGTAATCCGAGTCCGCTTCACTATCACTTTTCTCTGCAGCTCAATATTCGCATCCAAGGAAGACCTGCCACGCCGGTGAGTCATGTGGTTAAATACAGGATGCAAACTACTTATACTCACGCATTTATTCCCGTAATTACAGGCTTTGCATTTATCATCACTGAGACAGAGGAAAGGACAGTGAGCGCTGTCAAGTTCACTGCGAGTGGCAGGTATTGAAGCCGCCGAAACTGATGCTATCAAAGCAACAACGGCGAGGACAAACGAGAAACGCATTATTTGTGAGGATATGATATGGGATCAAGTAAATCTGAAGGGGACAGTAAGAAGACGGCTTGCTTTGTGTGCTGAATATTGTGATCATAGTGAGCCTATAAACCCTTTCGAACAGATGATATATGCGATGCCAGCAGATCGCCACCCATAATCTTGAAGCAAGGTCGGTGCTAGCTCGAATCCGCTATCGGAAACACATCAACGGTTACTTCTGGTTACTTCCATAGCTTTTTCACGATAACGACTAAAATCTTCGGCTACCAACGCATCAACTTGATCACAAAAATGCTCAACCCAATCCGATAAAGCTTGTTTGGCGCGCATCACTGCTGGGTTGTGTACTCTTTAACATCCGGCACCACCTTTCTGCTCGCTGTCCCTATAGGATCACTATGCAGCACACGTCTGCCTATCTGTCGACCCAAACCGACATATAATCTCATATAGTCCGTCACGCTGAACAGTGAAGACAAAGAATCAATTAAAACGGAACTGTATGTGTTCATTGAACATTCCTTCATGTGTGCAATCACCGATCAAAATTTAACATTCCGATGAATCCAATCAGTTTGAAGCTTCGCTTCCGCTGCCACGTCATACACCGTCGAGGTTTTTGGAGACTTTCTTGCTTATCTCTTCCGCTACATGAAGACTTTTATCATAGACGCGCACGCCAACGATCAGACCACAGACCACATCAGCAGTCGCACGGAATTGAACGGGTTGTCTTTGATACCGTGACGTATTTTCGGTTTTCTCGTGCAACATACCTTCAAGGCTTCAACTACAAATTCCAACTAGAGCGTTTCCTTGGACCTTCACTCTCACCTGATTCAGAGAAAGACGTCATGCAAGTGCGGGCATAAAGAAGCGTGATTAGATTGCGGGCTCTGCCACACATCTTGTACACAGTAGTCTGATGCACTGAAACACGGTTGACAACATCCACTGAAAAACGTAGGATCAAAACTTTTTCCATCGAAGTTTAGTGGTCAAATCCACAAACTTCGTGGCATTTACTAACCAGTGATCCGGCAGTAAAAGTTCAGTTACATGTAATCAGACACGATGACATGATGGGCAATACGACTTGGGTCTGACATCTTTGGCATTAAATATTAAATGCTCGATACCAAAAGCTGTGCCACTCCAGCACTCGAATTAATTCATGTTTTTGGCTATAATACTTACTATGAGTACTGTCTGGTCTCGATGTGCCATATGGCGCTTAGTTACACTATCGTCGTGAATGTAACAGTATCAGAGACGATAGTGCACCAGAATGTTCAACGCAGTGCCAGAATCAAATGCTTGTCTTTTCCAGCACGTAAAATCGCTACCTGTCCATCGATCAGGTGACTCCTCTCTAGCTTGAAGTGCACGTCTGGCTGAGGTACATTGTTCAAATATAAACCGTTCCCAATGGCAAGTTGTCGTGCTGCCGCTGAAAAAGTGTTGGTCAACAAATGGTTCAGTAGAACCAGAGAAAGGTGGACGAACACTTTGACGAAGTAAGTCCGAATTTAGCAGCAATGTTTGGGAGCGTGATTCCGAGTAACTCGTCCTCCGTACAGAGAACTAACCGTGGGTCATCGGCGAGAGATTTCACAATATCTTTCGCGTGCAGAGTTGAGTAGTCTGTTCCAAAAAGGACGTTGGTTGCTACCCGTGCAGCCTCTAGGCCTTCCTCTGCAGGACGTGTCAGAGAGCACAAGCGGACAGCAGGCTGGCTCTCACTCTGGTGTATCATCAGTGTCACTTCTTTGGCAAGAAGTGTCTGTGCCAATCGGCGTTCAGGCTGAATTTCATGTTCTCGCACAACAGCGTCTATCTCTTCGACAGGAAGCAGCGTAAACATCTTGAGATACCTCTCAACATCAGCGTCCGTTGTACGCAGGAAGAACTGTCCGAAGAATTGAGCTGATGACCAGTAATAATTACCCAGCATACCTGATAGAAGTCTAGGTAACTTGTGAGTTTTTCGTCAAGCCATATAGCGTTCCCTGCGCTCTTTCCAAACTTCTCGCCTTGTGAGGTTGTTAGCAATGGTGTGGTCAGTGCAAAGCACCCCTCGTCGTGTCCAGTATTTCCTTCGACTTTGTTTATGAGGTCGATGCCGGAAAGAATATTCCCCCACTGGTCTGATCCACCTACTTGAATAGTACACCCCCTTGTGCGAAAAAGTTCGTGGAAGTCATAACCTTGGAGAAGCTGATACGTGAACTCTGTGAACGTGATGCCATTGTGTGCACTCATTCGCAATTTTACACTACATCACATTATCATCGACGAAGGAAATGTAGGAAGGTAAAGCGACGGACCTATCCCTTGCCAGCATATGGTTTACGCGGAAATGAATGCCGGTACCCCCGCAAGAAATCAAGAAGATTCAATTCCTTTAGCCAATCTAGGTTATTGACGACTTGTAGTTGAGTAAAAGTGGTCAGGGAGGGTGCCTTGTCGAGGGCATACTCTGTCGCGCGAGAGAAAAATTGCTGAATAGAATCGGTGAGTTTGACAGTGTTGGATTCAATTTGAGCCTTTTCCGACAGTGAGCGTTCTATCATACGGCCAGAGGGATCTCCGACAAGTCCCGTCGCTCCACCTATCTGAGTATGTTTAGTCAATTTCCAACATAGGAACGCACAAGCTTACAAGTGCTAGCGTGTTATGCCCTCTGATGTGGAAATGGAACAGACAAAGAAGCGGGATAAGGTGGCCTGCATGCAAAGACTTTGCCGTTGGATCTACCCCAGCATAGATGGTCCGTGTTTTCTGCAAATGCTTAGCGAAATCATCTGGGCTGGAACACGTTAATACATCCTCCCACTTTACGAATATGATAGTTCTCACCGCGTCACATCAGCAACGAGTTGGCGGGCATTCAACTCTGACAAAAGGTCTCGTCCTGAATGTAAATATCTATTCCGGGGGATAGCCTTCCACCTGAGGGACATTCGGTGAGCTATACTAGGCCATCTACGAACAGGTTCAAGCATTCTTTCGTGTTCACCATCAATTTTGAAGGAAGCTTCCGAGTCAAGCATGAAAAGCTTGAAATTAAATCACGTGATCAGAACTGTCCCGGAATTGTAGCCAGGGGTCTAACTTTGCGAGATAAGTCCACAAGTCTAATGAGCAATTTCTAGAATTTGTACTTTCTTGATTTGCAGAAATTGACCTCTCTGGCCAGTTCCTCCCACCTGTTCTTGAAATATGCAATTCGAAGTCATTGCAAAATGCCACACAACCCGAGCACGAGTTTGCAGAATGAAGCTTGCCCGTGAGTAAGCTTCTTATCAGATACTACGGTAGAGCAGGATAGATTCAAGTTGTTGTTCACAGACGGTGTCACGATGCTTCCTACATTCATGCCCGTAGCAACACAGGCAGCGATCAAAGGCTTGACCCCACAACAGGTTGAATCGCTTGGTATCACACTCATTTTGAATAACACGTACCATTTGAATTTGCGACCTGGAATTAAAGTCCTTGATGAAGTGGGAGGGGCTCACAAATTCCAAGGTTGGAACCGGAACCTTCTCACCGTAAGTGCAACTTTCAGAAGCTTGTCACGCTCAAGTTTAGCTTTTCGAAGGACAGCGGAGGCTTCCAGCTGGTCTCCTTGAGCAAGTTCACCAATATCACCGAGGATGGTGCTTTGTTTGCTAGTCCATTCAATGGAGAGCCAACAATGTTGACGGTTGGTCTCTGATGGTTACTACCGCTTCTTCTGTTGATGAATGGCGCAGCCTGAAGAAAGTATTTCTATACAGCATTCAATCGGAGCAGATATTATCATGCAACTAGACGACGTGGGTAAGGCTGCTCATATTATATATTTTTCATGTGTTGAATGCTGGCTCAGTCAGTAGTTTGACTGTCGGGCCTCGAGTTGGCGAGGCCATGCACCGATCTGTTCGATGGCTCGATCGTTGCATCGAACAGCATGAAAAATCCGGCCGAAAAGACAAACAGAACCTTTTTGCTATTGTCCAAGGAGGGTTGGACCCAGCCTTACGAGATCTATGTCTTGATGCAATGATCGAGCGGAAGGACCGAGTCACTGGGTATGCTATAGGCGGTCTTAGTGGAGGAGAAGAAAAGGGTAGGTCCCTTAACTAATCTGGAGGCTTTAGCGACCTGATGTACCTTCTTGAGAGGTGTTTTGGAAAATGTAAGTTTGACTCCGGGCCGTCGTCTTTGTGCACCTGATCTCGCATAGTATCAAGCAGTGTGCAGACCGGCTACCTTCAGATCGTGAGTATATTGATTGCTTCTGCGAAGCCCCCTGCAAGCTTCTGCGCATTTAGGGCCCCGCTACTCCATGGGCGTAGGTTTTGCAGAAGGTGCTTGAACCGCTTGCTCCTCGCTGTTAATCCTGATCGCAGACTCCAGATCTGCTGGTTTGCGTTGCATTGGGTGTTGACATGGTAAGCTTGAGATCGACGCACCTTGACGCGAAGTTCTCTGAAAGTTGCTCAGGCGGATTGTGTGTTCCCTACTCGGACTGCAAGATTTGGTGTGGCCTTGACTTTCAAGGGGCCCCTCAACCTCAGTGCGCTTATTTCATGAACGTCAATGCGGTGCAGAGCTCATTGGTTGATGAAATAGAGCTCGGAAAGCACACGAAGAGCATGGAACCTATAGACAAGAACTGCCCTTGTCCGACATGTGCAAGCGGCATGTCTCGAGCCGTATTACACCACATTGTCACAATAGAGACAGCTGGTGCCCACGGTAATTCGAATATCGTTTCTTGTGATATACTTAGCTGATCTTTGGTCAGCCCTCACAATTCATAACCTTGTTTTCCAGGCCCGGGTTATGGGCGGTGCCAGAGATGCTATCCTCGAAGGTCGATTCCCTGAGTACTTAAAGTCATTCTTCTTCGATTACTTCGGTGATACTGGATACCCCGAATGGTGTGTGAACGCTCTGCGCAGCGTTGGGGTAGACTTGATGCAGGGTGTCGACGTGCCGTTAGTTCAAGGCTCAGGGGTGAAATGGGAGTACTCGGATGCGGCTTGATAATGACATGTCATGTAAAAGTAGGAGAACAGACAGTGCAAAAATCAACTCCTTCCTTTGCGACTGGGCCGAGCATTCTTAGCCTTCTTCCGTTCTGCAACCATCCTGTTTTTGCGTATCTGGTCGACTGTCTTGATCTCGGTCTTGACTCTGCCCACTGATTTCCCTCCGAAACGCCCGCCACTTCTGATCTTTTTCGCTTTACCAGGACTTTTTGGTTTTGCCTCGCCTGCTTCCCCTGCGAAACTCTCTTCTTTCTTCTTGAGTTGCCTCGATTTGCGCTCGTAATCATTGCTGAGCTTGTCCAATGGCTTGGCCTCTGTGACCTTGTTGTGTTTCCATCTCCTCCCTCCAGGCCCGACCGCACCAGCACCTCTCCGTTCCATCTCCCTTTCTCCAATCTTTGGCAGCGACACCCTTGCTTTCTTCTTCCAGTCGTCAAACCGGCCACTTTTATATGTAGCAGGCAATTGAGTGCCATTCTCCGTTCGCAGAAGTTTCATGTTGTCAGAGCCAATTCCGCCCCCTTTGACGAATTTCTTCTTTTTCTTATCCCATGACAACTTGTTCTGGTGGCGTTGGCGCGAACCAATAGTGTCCTCATCTCCTGCAAGGTCGAGGATGGCACCCTGAGCTTGAGCGGCAAAGGAAGAAGCTCCATCTGTGAGCGAGTAGCTAGGAAAATATCATTTATATTTCAGTGTGGACGATCAGGAGTAGATGGAATATACAAACCCTTTTTCGGTTATGGCGTCTTTTTGATAGTGGGACATGTAATAATCCTCATCGCGGAAGTTATTGCTCTTGTTAGAGACATGGAAAACAGCCTGCAGAAAATCAGTATCGACTCTTCCAGTTTTGAGGAGACGAACCGCAATATCTTCCTCGTCCGCCATTTCCACGTCACCATCTCCTGCTTCCCCGAGACCGTCGTCACCGCCTTGGTCTGTGTTGACAATAGCAGAATGGCTAGGCCCTGAATCTCCGGCCCGCTCTACGGCCTTTGCAAGCGCCTTCCTCCGTTCTTTCATAAGTACAGTATTAGCAGTCGCCGCTTTTCCACGAGTACCAATCTCGAACACCGTCTCAGCAGGCTTGAATGCGCTAACCGCACGGACGATCGCGGCACGCTTCTCCTCCATTTCTCTCGTGTCTTCTTTTCTGTTATCGCCGTCCTGCATCAACGTGAGGACGGGATGTACGACACCTTCCTGTCCGCTACGTCCGAGTTCTTTTGCACGTCGATAACTCGCCGGGCTGGCCTTTCCACGACTTCGCTCATACATTGCGTGCCCACGTCCCATGACTGCGCGTAGGGTTGGCAGCGTATTTTGTGACTCGTCTAGTGTGCGAACATACTCGACCTCTGAATCCATTAGGTCCCGTGGAAATGGAGCAAAGAGTAGTGATTGAGTGTAAGGCTCTTCTGACGTCGTAGCCGATGCAGGAATGGATGAAGACGAAGTGATCAACGGCCGACCAAGAAAGAGTTGCAGGTCACAGAGATATGGCAACTCGCCATGGGTAATGAGACTCCATGCCCAACCTTTTCTTCCAGCTCTGGCCGTGCGACCCACGCGGTGAACGAATATCCTTGCACCGACAGGGAAATCGTAGTTTACCACGTTTTCGAGAACTGGTATATCAAGGCCACGGGCTGCAACGTCCGTGACGACCAATATGCTGGTCTTTTGCGCCAAGAACTGATTCATTTGGTATGTCCGAGCAGATTGGGTCAGTGAGCCGTAAAGAGCAGAGACAGCGTAGCCGGCTGTGGTGAGGAGCGCAGAGAGATATTCGACGTGGTGTTTTGTAGCTGCGAACACGAGCGTCTGGTGAGGCGCACTATGGGTTGGATGTTTGGCCCTGAACTTCCCCTTCTTGTGTTTACCTGAGGATTCGGTGTCATCTTCCTTGAATGATTCGGTGCTTCCATAGGGGACTTTGATAACATCCCGGAGAAGTGCCAATAGAGATGCATCTTTCTCCGCTTGTTTGACAGAAAAAAATGCCATTCGTAGGTCAGAACTGATTTTGGACTCTGCATCTAGTCGCACAAGTTTGGGGTCGGATAGACCTGCTTTGGCAAACTCTACGAGCGATTTCGGGAGGGTCGCGGAAAAAAGAAGGGTCTGACGAGACACGGGAAGGCGAGCAAGGATCTCTGTAAGTGCAGTAGCAAAACCAAGCTCAAAAAGACGATCCGCCTCATCAAAAACAACATATTGCACGGACGACAAGGAAAGTGACATCTCAACGATTAGGTGGAGGAGACGGCCAGGAGTTGCGATGATGCTAAACCGAGAACGACATTAGACTCAATACCCGCATGCATGAAATGCACGTACATATCTGGATTATTACTGATCATTTCGAACTGTTCATCCAGACCCTCCCCGCCGACGATCAGACTCCAGCGCAAGCTTTCGCCCTTTCCATTTGACGAATCTTCAACGTCGTCGCCTGCATGCTGCGCAGCATCGTTTGTCCAACCTCGCACAAGTGCCTTCCCAACTTTGACAACTTGAGTGGCAAGCTCACGCGCTGGTACTAGGATAATTGCCCGAGCTCCAAAGGTATGTGCATGTCTGCCTCCAAGGCGCTGTACTAAAGGTACCATGTACGCAAGAGTCTTTCCCGAGCCAGTCCGGGCCATTCCGACTAGATCCCGTGGTGGAGATGCAAGAAGGGCAGGAATGGATGCACGTTGTATAGGTGTGGGTGTGCGATACCCCTGGAGTGTCAATGAACGCAGAAGCGATGGGTGCAGACCTAAAGAGGCCCATCAGCGCACGATCTTCATTGAATAGGAGCGCATACCCATGCTTTGGAAGCTTCCTCCTCCGGTGTCACCCTTACTTTTCCCTTTACTCTTAATCTTCTTCAGCATCTCAGTACCCGCCTTTCATATTTCGCTTCGTGATAGAATCGTGGATTAACTCTTCGATGCCGTCGTCATCACCAGGGTAATTCTCGATTGGAACGTCTTTTCTTGGTCTCTTGCCTGTGAGAGCACCAGAGATGTCGACATCGAATTCGTCGTCTGAAGCGGGTGGAGCCAGTGAAAAGTCTGAATTTGTTTCCTTCTCCTCCTCCTCAATAACTCTGTTCCTTTTCCGTGATGTCATGGTGTAAAGGCCTTCCTAATTCTTGGCGAGAATATTTTTGATGTTTGTATAACAAGTCGAGTATGTACGATTATGGCCTTCATCATGCTAAAATGTACACAGCCACCGACCACATGCCCTCTTTCACTCACCCTTTGAGAGTGTGGAATATTTTTTCTGATATTTCGTACAGCTCGCGATCGAGCTTCTAGCCCTTACATATGATCAGGGTTAAGCTTATCACTCCTTCTTTCACGATAAGGAAAGGAGTACCTCTGCCACTTGAAAGACACTGTTATTACGGACTCCATGTGATGGCACAGTACAGAACCAAGTACTGCCACATGCACATCCTGTGAACACGCGTTTGCACTCATTCCTGCATCGTTCAACCGCCGAGCGCCGAGCTTTTGGCTCACGGGCCCCAATAACTTCGCCCTTGAGGCCGATTTTTCCACTCATTTCATGGTTGTTATCGCGGCGATAGCCTGTTCCTTGTCGCTGAGCCGGGTCCCCGGCACCACAGAAGCTCTAATTAACGATTAGCCGACTTAATATCTGGGATGTGCCAGCGGCCAGGCTCAAGATATGGAGCTCTGGAAGCACGTACTGCAACCCTGTACCACTTTAACCCGGTATTCAAAAGGCCGCCCTGTGCTTTCATCTACAGGTATTAGCGACCAAGTCGGACAGTCTAGGCTATGCGGTCATGAAAGTAAGTAGTGAGGGATAAGGAACCATGATCCGATATTATATCTTGATGAGGCTGTCCTAACCGAGTCTCTCAAGTTTGGTATCATCTATCGTACATCACATATACAGCTGATACAGTAAGATCATATTGAATATTACGGTCGGATCCAGTATATTGATACCCGATGCGCAGATGAGTCGGACAGTCATGGACTTGCGGCCAGTGCTTACCATCAAGTTCGCTCTAAGTTGGTTTGAATTGGCTGTCCTAAGTCTTACTTGAGGTCTGATGACTCTGATCCGTTACTTATGCAGATACATACATGAGGCAGGATGCATCCTAAAATCAGCACATTCGGGGGTCTTTGTCCGGTTATGTAGCTCTGGCTCCGAAGCCAGCACTGGTCGGTGGAGATTCGGCGGTGAGGTTAGTAACGACCTTTTCGGAAAGTATCACATAAACCAAATGACGCTGACAAAAGCAAACACATCGTGGGCCTCATGCGGTCAGCTGCGCTGGCAGTATATAAGTAAAGCCCACCGACCTGAATGCCTCAGGCTATCCTCTGTATCATTTCTTCAGTTTAACGAAATCTTCACGATTAATCATGTCTACCAGCACTTCACCCCGTGCTCTTCTGACTGCACTCTTCATGATCCTTACGCTGCTCTCCTGCGCATTAAGCGCTCCTCTTTCTGCCGTGATGAAGCGTGATGTTTGGGTACCCACAATCATCGAACCTACATCTGCCTCCACATGGAGTGTCGGAGGGACATTCCTTGTCACCTGGGATACGTCCTCAGAACCTTCCGAAGTAACCAATCCTACTGGCCAGGTATACCTTCGCCAGGGCGATGCAACCGAATCCAGTCCCATCGCGTATGGATTTGCGCTTACTGATGGTGAAGTTGAAGTCACGATCCCTGACGACACCGTTCCCGGGGAGTACATGATCGTATGTGAGTATCCTGTCACGCTATCTTCACCTGGTTCACAAAGCTAACGGTTAATTCAGTATTCGGCGACTCTGGGAACTGGAGTGAAGAGTTCCTGATTGACGCAGCCACATAAGCTGCCTGCAGAGTTTTCTGTGAACGTAACAAAATGCCAAAACATAATGAAAGATAGGAAAGGAAGAGGTGTACGATTTGATGTTTGGTGATGGAATGGATGATGGACTCAGGCAATGGACTTGGACACGAACAATTGGCATCTCATTGGACTTCAATTTGAACACTTCGATTACACTGTACTTTAAATTCGCACTAACAGCGTTTCTTGTAGCCCAACTTCGCTTTTTCTTTCGTACAGGTTGTGGTTTTGCTTTACCTTAGTGTCACTTGGTGTACGTTAGCAGTAGTTGTGTAAAGGCTACTCTTCTCACCATATATCTCAGAGTCGGAGTCATTTTAGCCAAGTGTACAAAGTGTAAGTGCAAGTACTACATGTATGTGCATTGTGTTGCATAGTTGGTAAATGTCGATCGTGGGGCTTCATGGGGTCGTCGATCACTTCCATCAAAGCTCATTGATCTGTCGACTGAACTCTTGTTCAGCGCAAGATGTCTTGGTCACCTTCCACCCCATCGTCTTTGCTTCCGGACGCTAGCGATTCACAACTGTTGTCCGGGTCTTTGCCACTACTACCTGAATCATTCGACTCACCTCATACGGGTCCTGGGGGCGCCGATCTTTCCCTCTCAGAGCTCTCACTTGAAGACAAAGACACAGAAAATTTTCGTTTTCATGATAAGCCACGTTTCAGTCTACTGGCACCAACTGCTACGACATCGCAGACATTCTGGCCTGATCAAAGCAGGATATCAGAGGACGACGAATACGAAGAAGGAAACGAGGGCTCTGAAAACGATGTTGATATAACTATGATCGGAAGGGTTGCTGCTGCAAAGGCACGGGAAGACAAGCTTCAGAGCGATCTCTACGTTCTCAAGAAGCTGAACGCGTCTTTTGCGTTATTTAATGACGCGTTGCGATCTACTCAGACTGCAACTGAGGTGTGTACTACTGCTGAGCATGCGATCAGCTAATGATTGTCATGTCTTGTGTCTGTTTCTGTAGCAAGTGGCAACTCAACTCGCACAGACGGATGCACTTTTAGATAAATATGTCAATATGCTTGGAAAGTCAGAAGCTGTGGCTAAGCTGATTTTTGATGAACAATGGGAAGGCGCAGAGGCTGTAAGCTATATTTCTTTCAGCCAATTCATTTCCTGGTATCCCCCCTTGCCATAATTCGGTTTGCGACGCGTTTTTCTAACGATTTTCTATGACCTTTTGGATCTCTTCGTGGCTGATAACGTTTAATTCAAGGACGAGGAGTTACTTCAGCAAGAGCGACAGGAGGCTCTTGAACAGGCTCGACTAGAAAAGGAACGCCTTGAGCGGGAAGAGGCGGAACGGAGGGAAGCAGAAGAGCGTGCGCGTGCGGCTGCGGAGGAAGCTGCTCGCCACGAAGCAGAACGTGCACAACGCGAAGTCGCAGCCACAAAGGCGCCTCGTGGCCGAGGCACTGGTGTGTCAAGTGGAGTTCGGGGCGTTCGTGGGACGAGAGCAACAGCAACATCGGCAGCTGCAAGAGGTACTAAAGGCATTCCTCGTGCAGGTATGGGAGTACGACAGTTGAGTCACGACCATATTCTGATTTTTGCACATATAACACCAGCCTCGACGAATGCCGCATCGGCGATCCCTCGCAGTCGATCAACTAGCGCCACTGGAAACGTCGGAAGTTTAGGCGGTGGAACAAGACCTGGATCATCTGCAGGCCGAGGAACAGGCTTGCCGCGAGGCGTACCTAGGAGAGGTTGAGCCATACTCCCTGCGTGTTTTTCAAGGTCTTGAAGAAAACTCGCGACTACTACACAATGCCTGAATTAACAACTGGCAAGAAGCACGCCGTACCATAAACTTGCCATCAGGATATTCGACCGGCTACCTGCCGCAAGGCATCCTCATTTGAGAGTAGTCACAGCCACCTTGCCGCCCTATCCTAGCAGAGCGACCCTTACTACGTCATAACTCACGTTATAGTAGATTTAGTATCGTTCCAACACCCTTCGAGCTCCAATGACGTGTGGATGTTGTCAGTATGTATACAAACTGCGCCCATGAAATATTTGCAGAGTTAGGGATCTGAGATTGATTCTGTCATAATTCTCAGGGGAGACCAAGGACTGACTCACCCCGCCTCGAGGTTCTCCCAAACGCGTCTGTGGCGTGAGAAATTCCATAATTAGGATGATCAATGATCATTGTTGATTTCACTGTCAGTTCTCGACCATTATGTTGCGAAAAGTTGACCTTGCACCTCTTTGCCGAGTACATAAAAATGTGTGCTTTAAAGCCGGGTATCAATAAGAAGCCTACTGCTGTGCCGGTCAAGCCGGCATCAGGAATCAAGACCCTTGAAGCCAGCCTGTTTCTCGAACAGTACAAGATCAATATAAACAACAATCTGCATCAACAAAGCAACTACCACCTTCTGAAGGACAAGGCTTGAACTGATCCTCATATCATGCTCAACCGATCACCACGCTGCGACGCCTGTCCCTCGCTGGCGATCCCCGCATCGCAGGGGATGGTCGTCCGAATATCGACAGCCTAGACGAAGAATTGATGAGCAATGGGTATCAATCAATTACAACAGTGTCCCAAATGGGTGTTAAGAAAGAAATGGTCCAGCGTAATAGTTGCAGGCACACGGTCGCGCCATGGCGAAAAGGCGATACCACAGAGCGGGCACTTACTCGGACAGGCCTGATGGGACTCTCGTCCCCCGTGCAATTGGAGAACGGACGTCCGACTCGACAGCGTAACTGCTACGCGAAACTTGAGGCGAGGAAAGTCCGAAAACCGAATGAAACCCCCGCCCACTTGAGGCATCAGAGACCCGCGCTCCGGGATCTCGTACATCGGATTTTGTGCGAGCCGAGCTCACACTTGATATAATAGGAGAGACTCCAACGTCGGCGTAGCGCGATTGAATCCGTTCATTCATTACTGCGGTACGGGCAGACGCACTTTCACAGTCCCTATGGCAGCAGCTGTTCCCTGGTGGACAGTGCACAACAACAACGCTGCGCTGTTCAGGCCGATCACGCGAGTAGACTTCTTGAACATGGTAGGGGTACTGTGAGAACGAATGCCGATTGTTGCAAGAAACATAACCGGATGCACATAGTGCTTCAGTTGCAGCATCTACGGGTGCTCGACTCTTCCCTTTGTTGGCAACTTGGTGTTGTGGGGGAGAGGAAATAGATTGTTCGTCGTATTCTGGATAATCGACGGCTGGCAGACGATCATGCACAAGATGCGTTGCAGAATAACGAGAATTCGTCGATTCTGCATCCATCTGGTCATTCTTTCTGCGAGCAGAAACTGCTCCTGGACGAGGTTTGACATTTGCAGGATCAAATATCCTTGAAGGCGGAATCATGACGCGAGGATCCAAGTCCTGACCTTTGCATATTTCTTCGAGAGTGGGGTACCGCGCTCCCGTCTCGAACGATGCAGGAGCAGTCTCTTGTCTACGCAGATCTCGAGGGGATATTGTTTTCTCTATGGACATCACGGATGAGGTAGGGGAAGTTTCGCCCCTTCTGATATGAGTGGGGCGGGGTCTCATCAGTAAATGCGACACATCATTTACGCAAGAATTTGAAGATGTGTAGGATGTAGTATCCTCCACGGTGACTCGGGGTGACAATCCTCTTTCTAGCTGAAGCCAAGGATCGTCTGGTAGGTCCACGTACTGAGTCACCCCAGTTGGCGGTTCTGGCGACAACATTTGGCGTGGAGAATGCAGTAAGGAGACGTCATCCCATGGCGTCTGGCGTAACTGCACAGTACGAGCATCGCCGGCGCGATGCATTCTGCTCGGAGTCACCGGTTGGTACATATTACCATCCATCTCATTCTTGATTCTAGTGGCAGAAGCTGACGCAGCGCCTGGATTTGGTCGGACAGCCTCCACTTCACCCCTTTCCAGGGCTCCGTGAAATACTGCAAGAGCTTCCTCGTACGTATCAAAGCTTTGATGAACAGCGCGTGGAACATTTCTGATCTGTCCGTTGCATTCTATCCTGAAGAGCGTATAAGCTTCACAAATCCATAAGGAATTGGCATGCGCCAACATGATTGTGTCGACGCGTTGAATTTGCGAGAATAAGGATGTCAACCTACCAATTCTTATATATGCCCGGCTTCAAACCCACGACCACTACATACGATTTCCCCATCAAATGGGCTAGAAACAAACACTAAACACTGAAGGCTCAGAGGGTTAAAGAGATGACTGGAACACGCGACTAGTAGTAAGGGACTCGAAGCAAAAGTTCGAACTTCGCGTCAACCAATATTGATCGCGACGCGATAACGTACAGATTATGTAATAAGTGCCTCCATTTTTTTTAAAATAAATTGAGGTATTAATGTGTTTCTCGTATGTACAATGCCTCACACAAGTTGCAATATTCCTGCGTCCAATGGTGAATGTTTGAACAGACAACCTGCGAAGAGACTCGGATAAAAAAAAGTAGGAGAGCAAATCCTCGCCCTTGGGTTCAGGAGAGATTACTCGATAAGGAGATAAAACTCGTGACACATTAATATTAGCTAACTGAAAAATCCAGATCCGAGTCAGGTAAGCGCGATCATAAGTTATCTGCTTACTTTTAGTACACACCATCTCGTGAAGATGGAATTTGTTCCAGGACCCGCTGTCCATCGTGTGCTCTGCGCTGATTGTGGCAAGTCTTAGATCTTGAAATATTTGCTTTGCTGACCCCCATCATCAGGAACACCGATTGTCCCAAATTCTGCCAATTTATGTGTGGCATGTCTTCGAAATACGTGAGTATCATTACATGACGCAAGATCATGATTTGAGAGCGCTCATATGCATATAGCGTAGACATAACCGAGGGCATCCCAAAGCAGTGTGTGTTGTCACCAACTTTTTGAGCAGCATGAAGAACGGTACTGACTTCGATGATCAGCGTCGGTCTCATTTTGTAGAAATTGCGAGCGTTTTCTATCGCCCCCTCAATCTTGGACCCTCGCTCGACCAGAATCCCAAGAATTACTGGCGATCTGTCTGAAGAGGCTCAAGGGCTTGAATAAAGTCCGGTTGACGGAAGCTCACTTCATATGGACGGAGCCTCACTCGAAGCGATTACGAGTCTCATTGACGATTCAGAAGGAGGTATGCACGTCTGTTGGAGAATGCCATATGTTGCTCACATTCATCAGGTTCTGACATCGACGATACTGGAGCAAATCTTCGAGATCGAATATCTTGTCCAGCATGGACAATGCCCTGACTGCACTAAGCTGGCAGCGAAAAATACGTGGAAAGCACTTGTACAAGTGCGACAGAAAGTGTCCCACAAACGAACAGTTTTTATACCTCGAGCAGCTGATTTTGAAGCACGGGACACAAAAGGATACGATATCCGTCAAAGAGGTCAGAGATGGCCTCGACTTCTTCTACAGTCAACGAAGTCATGCGATCAAGATGGTCGAATTCTTAGCAGGGGTTGTTCCAGTGCGGTAAGTTTCGTCACGGCGGCTCGCTATTTTGGTTCTCATGACACGCAGATCGAAGGGTTCCGAGCAGTTGCTCTCCACTGACACTCACTCGGGCACCGCAAACTATAAATTTACCTACTCTGTCGAGATTGTCCCGATTTGCAAGGATGACCTTGTCTGCATTCCTCCAAAGCAGGCCCGGCAGCTGAGCAACATAAGCCCGCTTACCATTTGTACCCGGGTCGGCAACTCTTTCCAGCTCTTAGATCCTGCAACACTGCAAACTTGCGAGATATCAGCGCAGGTTTACTGGAGGGCGCCCTTCGCCTCTCTGGCAACGGTGACAGATCTGGTTGAATTTACGATCCTGGACGTCGAGCCCTCAGGCACCGTCCGTGGCAAATGGGTCTCCGCCGACGCGCAGGTAGCAATGTCGGGTGCATTCAAATCACATGGATCCTACGGTGATCCAAGACGCGATCATGGATCATGAGAGCTCTAGCGTGTCAACCCAGATCTTCCACACGCGGACACATCTAGGCGCTATCCTGCAGCCCGGCGACACTGCGCTGGGGTATCATCTCAGCAATGCCAACTTCAACTCAGACGACTTCGCATCCCTTCCTTCATCTCGCATCCCTGATATCATACTCGTGAAGAAAACGTACCCGAACCGCAGAAAGAAGACTAAGACGAGAAATTGGAAGCTGCGGAGTATTGCGAAGGAAGCTGGGGAGGAGGGCGAAACTGGGGCCGGGCGGGGTGTTGTTGGACGTATGGGCGGACGAGATCAGAAGAAAGTGGAAGAGGATTATGAGCTGTTTTTGCGGGACCTCGAAGAAGATCCCGAGTTACGTGGGACGGTCAATCTATACGCGGCCAAGGATACGAAAATGCGTGATGCCACTGATGGAGTACGGAAGAAAGGAGGCCAATATGGAATGGACGTTGATGAAGCGGACACAAGCAATACTACTGTGACAAATGGAGACGAACAGGATGCAGAGGAGGAACCTGACTTCCCCGCAGTGAAACTGGAGGAATTATTAGAGGAATTTGACGAGATGACGCTTGGAGATTCAGAGGGCTCATGATTTTTACAGTCTAGGTGTGAGCTTGTCAAGCGCGCTCAAATATTACAATATATGGATTTTTGGCTGCTCTTTTCTTCGTCTCCGGCGTTCTCTAAGTGTCGGTTTTTTTTACAAAAAAAAAAGACGTCATACATATACCGGGGGCCGGTGAGACGCGGCAAGCATCTTAAATCGTCGGAACAACCTCCTCGTTGATAGCTACTAATGCTTGGTAACTGATAAGAAGACCCATGAGTTACGACGGATCTCGATGTAACTATCAAACCATGCGATGGAGAGAAAATAGACAAGAATAGACAAGGCTCACCAAAACACGAGGGCATGAGGCTACGAGATCCATCCGGCCTATAGCGCCACCGATCGATGAAAAGCTGCACCAGACGGATGGACATATAGTGGCCTGGTTAGTTGCAAATAAGTATACAGTTACGCTCTTCTGCCGATGAGACAGGGAAAATGCCCAGATGAATACAGCGACAACAGCGACTAGAACAGTTAATTTATTCAAGCATGGCAGTGAGTACGTGTTTAACACATGACATGCGGAAACTCCTGCCAGTGTAGCTAGTGACCACTCTGCCTTGTTAATCACTGGGAGTCATGATCAAATTCGAAGCAAGTTATGATGTTCCCTCATGACTCGGACGAACGCTTTCGCGACAATTGCATACCAGAATAGCACAAATACTTTATTTGGCCATGACCGGCGAGGAAGATGATCCATTTCTGCAGGGTGTTGTATTTCTCATGTCCCACTGGAGTTTTGAGTTCGATTCACAAATTCAAAAGTTGCCGACTTCAGCTGAGGAACAACACACCTTGAAGAAAATTTTCGTCGTTGTACTGGCACAGTCCGGACATGGCGGGGGCAGAACGGAGGCACTTAAAGTTGCATGTGTTCAACGTTTAACGTTTGAGCGCGAGCGTGGAGGCCCGGGGTGGAATGTTTGAATACTGCACTTACCATATTTGGTTCGCATTCGACGCCTATGTAGTACGCCACAACAGTACCGGCATCTCACAGGATGATCGTTCTGGCGTCCCGTGACGCTTCAACCTGTATCCGATTGTTCATGGGAGTCCTTGAACAGAAATCACGGGAATTGAGGGCAATTGCCGAGCTACCATCATGGATCTCGTATGACTAGACGAGCAGGGTGTGACGAACTGAGGTGCCAATCATGGCATCTCCAGAACCAACGCCTTGCTCGGATGCAAGGAAGATCACACCCGAGCATGTCTGCTACTAGGAAAGTGACTTTATTATCAAGGTTTGAACATTGCTGTGACGGTGACTTGCTCCAGGTCCTGGAAAATTAGTTGGGATAGGGCCCGAGTTCCTACATGCGCTTCACGGTAGTGAAGGATGGAATTCTGGAAGCGCGGGCTACGCGACGCGGATCTCCTCCAATCTGTCCTAATTCAGAGGTATGTACCTTGCCTGAGTCTTTTGCCTTCCCCAACACTGCGGGAGCTTCAGTCTTTACCGCATCTATATATAACGCTAGCGAGTGAGCAATTCCCAGATGCAGCAAACTCACTTTCGCGACTTTTCGGGATGTGCTAAGAACTCATACATATTGTTCCGAATCACTCTTTGGAATTGGCCTATCAGCGACTTGTCTAGGTCTGACTAAGGTCATTTCAAACATGTGCACATGCTTGCTGGCTTGGCCCAGGTCAGGAGAGAGACGGCTAGAACTGGCGTTGTGTGAACTCGTGGTGTTTCCATGGTGAACCTATCCTTCTCCTATGACAGCCCTCAATGACGATTACCAGTCGGGTGAAGAACCCAAATATCCTTAGATGGAATACAAGGTACAAGGTACGAGTCCTCCTGTGTTCCTGTCCCGCGGGATCTAACAAGTTCAGAATGTCCCCTACAGAGACCTTGAAATTCTGAATTCAAATTTTGAAGCAAAGTTCGTGGAACTTTATCTTGAAGAGCATGTGTCACGCGCAACGCGCTACACATCGATTTCCGATCTGCCATATCTCTGATAACTGATCTTACGAAATGCGATGTAATAGTGGCGGTCGCGATGTATGAGCGTTGTTCGGCAGCGGTCATCTCTTCGAATCGAATGCATCATGCGCTGATCAGCTGCTTCTTATCGCTCAAGGTTTTCCTCGATCCTCACGTCTCGCACCATATAGTCTGCTCAACGCTTAGCGCGCTCGGCCAATATAATGTGACCTTTGTTTCCCCCCGGTGATCGCGCCAAATATGAACCCTCGCTCTCAAGCCGCCCGAGCAAGTCCGAGTTCGGTAGTAGCGCGAGGAAATAAACCGGTGCTACCCTCTTTTCAACCTTTTCCCATCCGACTCGGGGACCTCGTGATCTCAAGAGTTTAAACACACGTGCCCTATCTTCCATTCCACGATCTGGAACCTTACGGATCTCTTACGATTATTACGATTCACGCTAGCATGTACAATGACCCGATATGAAAGAAGGTCAGGTGTCGAATGCCGTCATTTCACCGTAAACTCCTCGTGAGACATGAATCATGAATCAGACCCTTCAAGCTAGACTAATTGCAGCAATCTATGACAATTCTCTGTTGCGCTGGCAAGGAGAACCGTTCTAAGTACATGTAGATAGGTATAACTATACACAAAGCCAAGTGGGTATGACGCAAGTATGGAAGTATGTATCGCAAAATGGGATGAGAAGGGTTGATGAGTTGTTACAAGTTGTTACATGAAAAGTTCCGCGTTTGCCAGTAAAAATACACCGGTTAGTTTCTTAATGGGAACCAAGGAAAAATAGTGCACTCGCGATCAGAAGGCTGGTAATGACGACATGAAAGCGGAAAAAATCCATATCCACGCTGGCAAGCTCCACTTTCCCCGGTTCAAACAAGGAAAATTGGTTTTTCGAGAAGAAATCTTCATTCGAGAACGACGATGTGTCCAGATTTTCGGGGTGACCAAATGCGTTGAAAGTGTCTGGGAATCCCCCATGGCAATGAAGGGGATAGGAGTTGTTGAATGAAAATGAACCGGACATATACGGATCGTCGCCTTCCGTGCACAATGTATCGAAAGATGATGGATCGATGGGGAAATGAGGAGTGGAGGGAGAGTTACAATAGGGCGATGAAGCTTGCGACCAGGCCGAGCTGCCCTGTGTGGTATCGATAACTAATGAAGGTGTTTGAACCCGCGTCTCGCACGGTGAAGGAGAAAAATCAGGGAAATTTTGACCCGCGGACGCCATCGAATTGCCAAACGCTACGTCGAACATGTAAGGATCAAATTCCTGCAGAAAAAAAAATGTTAGCGGAAAAGAGCCAAACATTCCGGCACGACTCACCAATGAAGGTTGGGGTTTCGCAGGGAAAGAATAATCTGATGAAATAAATGATGAGGATGCCGAGACATCGATACAGTGCTCTGACGCCAAACTATCGGATGTCGGCGGAAGGCCATCGCACTGAGATTGCCATGTTGAGGATAGAGACGGATGGCTGCTTGTAGAACGTACACGACGGGGCGCAGGCGAGGATAAAAGGAATGGCTTGTTCGTTTCTGGGTTGTCAATGGGAGCGGATGAAGATCGGCGATATGCCCGAGCAGTAATGGGAGCCTCGAAGCGCGTAACCACCTCAGGGACATGCGTGCGGTCGAATTCTTGAATTGCGTGTTCGAGCTCCTGGCCCTTCTTGCCCTCTACAAGGAGCTCAGCAATTTTCGCGCAACGCTTCATGTCCTTCGGCTCGACTTCCCGAACTTTGCGCTTCTCGGTCCCACCCTTCGCTTTCGTATGGGAAGGACGGAAAGCATACTGCGGCCACTTCCGCCTGTGATCCTCCAATGCCTTCTTCGCCTTTGCGTGCCAGATCTGACGCTCGTCATGAGGCATATTCTGCCACGTAAGACCAATTATCTTTGAAAGTGTGCTGTGGTTAGTTTCTACTCCAGTGGATACGTGCTGGCTTTTAATGAAGGATGAGCGGAAGAGGATGAAGGCGTTGGGGGGACGGGGAATATGATCGTCGGGCCGCTTTTTGCTATGCGTGGGCCGGCGAGACGAACATTCCCCAGTAGGAGTGGGAAAGAGCACGGGTTCAAAGGTAGTTTCAACGGTGAGAAGTGGTTCGTTGAAAGTTATGGGTGTTACGTTCGGTGCAAAGGCAATGTTCTGAGGAGACGCAGGCTCAAAAGGAAGGGTCCAAGTTAATTGGGCGCCAACTGAATTAGAGTAAGTCACCCATAAGTATGTTTATGCAATGAACGTTACACATACCATCTGAAGACTCGCGCTTCAATGAGCCCCGGGATCTCTCAGCAGGCATTGTTTAGGGACTCGGGATGGAGGTGTCGCTGACGGAAAAAAAAGAATATGTGGGAGCAAAGAGCGGGTGGACCGATAAAGAGGGCACGAGGCTGATTTCTCGGATGGGAAGTTTATATATAAGTGAAGGATATAATACGTACACGGCAATTTTAGGGTAAAGGCCACGGGCGTTTTGATGAAAGTCGGCATAACGGAGGCCATAGAAGGTTTACAAGTGTAGAGTCCACTAGACAAGGCTTCTAACCAAGCGCGGGCACGGGAACAAATGTTTTAGGCAGCTGTAACCCGAAGTTAGAGATCGTTTCATCAAAGGATCCCATCTATGGACTGTCGGACATCTAATCAGTTGATACCAGTATGGCCGCATCATTGATCCTTATCGTACTCACACAATTTTCTTCCGTTGCTCAACCTCCCTGTCATTCCTCCGCCGTAACGTCGGGGCCTCGAGGTCTGCTTCCTCTTCTCTATTCCCCAACAGGAATAATTCGGTTTTTTCTGCACCGGGACTAGAGTTAGTTGATTCATAGAGGTAAGACCCATGCTGTCCCTAATCTTTATTTGGTATATAGCCGAATCATCGCGTCTTTATCGTAGAATGATCAGCACAATCAGCCACATAGCGCTCGCTGTCATATCATGATATGTCGGTCCGATCATGTCCTTTTTGGTGAGACACAGGCTTCTGACCATTGACCCCACTGGCCAGCACTGGCCCCTGGGAACCCGTCGTCCCAGGAGGTCCCAGGTCGCCTTCAGGGCCCAGGGGCCAGTCACCACACTATATTTTTATTTTGATGTGGTTCTGTCAGTGGACCGACAAGCATCCATATTCATGCCGTCGGCATTGTCCAATCAAAACTCATATACGACCCTTTCCGAAGGATCACCTTAACTGACTTGTACTAGTTCACAGACTTTCACTGCTTTACAGTTACTCATCGACCGGTGCATGTGATTCATTGGCGCCATCGTGATTCAATTCAGAACTCGTCGCCAAGAGTTGTATTCTTGTTTTCACAGCTCTTATCTTCGAGTTGCAACTCGAACAAGGATGGCATCTCCCCGCAGCAGGGGTTAATGTCCATCTCAACCAAGTGGTGTGTCCTGTTCATCGGTGATTCTTGTACTTAGCCAACCATCCATATGATCCTATCAACGCAGTTAATTGCAAGTTTAAATAAGCGCTAGTAGTTACAAAGTTCTTACACTTGACTGAGACTGGTATGACGAAGTGGCGCAATAAACAAGTTGCCGCCCCCGCACACGTCGGTGTCTCTCCTGGACCTACATGCCATCACAGCTTGTGTCTGGTTAGTACAAATACAATGAAGATACAAGGCGCGGTCTATGGAGGGCGCATCAGTGACGGCGAACTCACTTAAGATTTGAAACAGAGAAGCTCGCAAAGAAAAAGCTATGTAAAATAGATAATCCCTGCAGCCTGAGGCTTAGCCGTGACAGTATCTAGATGGTAGAAGCTGATGAAGACCATCAGATTTCGATGAAAGTGGCAGTGGCTAAGATTTTCGCACTGCTTTCACGTAACTTCTGAGCTCGGAAATGAATTCAGGTGGCCTTATACCACATCGCAGTTCAGATGAATATTATTATCAGAGTTCAACGTGAACGCCCGTATGTCATAGAGCTCCGCTAAGACATCTCCTGATAATAAGAACCAGTAATTACACGCGGAAACGGACGATAATAGCTTCCCAAAATTGAGGGAGGAGGAATATCATAACCATCATCCGATAATTCCTCGGTGTCAATTTGTGAAAACTCATCTTCAGTTTGCGATTCATCAGCTAAGCTTGAACTTGCAGCGGATTTCTGGGATGATCCAGAGTGAGAGTGTTGATAGGGAGATTCCTGGGATGATCCAGGGTGAGAGAGTTGATAGGGAGATTCTTGTTCATCAAGATGCGAAGTTGAAGCGACGGGCTCTGCACCAGAGTGGAAATCATTGTGGGCGGGCCTATCGTGAACTAGGCGGGGACCTGCCATCGTGGCACTTGAGAAAATGCGTAAATCGCTCATAGAATGATCAGCACCTTTGCGGCGTTTTCGTGAGGGCTGAGCAGCGATATCATCATCACTGCCCTCGCCTTCATACTGATGGCTTCTTTTGGGGCTGGGCGAGGACACGACCTCTGCCTTTCTTTTCCCCGAAGCACGTTTCGCCCTGATCTTCTTGGGCAATTCGTCCAGAGGCCGTATCGTCATCTGAATCTGAGTCCGACCCCGACTCCGACTCCGAGGCTTGAGAGACACCCGCACACGTGCGAGAAGGCCGCTCTGCCTGTGGACTTGATCCGTCTAGGTCACCGGCTGTATTCATCTTCATCTTCCCCCTCACCATCGTTGACGACAAAACCATCCCGCATATAGTCTTCACCCCGGCTCCACAGACACACGTCATCCCATGGTCCCAGAAGTTCTCCTGCGGAATTTTGCACATTCGCCAGTTTTCTTCTACGGTATGGCCGTCGGTGGGTCGCGCGATGCACTATCAGGTGCCACTGGAAAAAACCGCGACTCACCCACTTAAAATCGCTATGCTCCGGTCTCAAACAAAATTCAATAAAACCTCGCCGCTCGTAGGCAAGGCTGAGCGTGTGAACCTCGATATTTATTCCCAAACCAGATATGAACTGAGCCTGGTGATTTGTTTTGGTATACCTTGTCCAGGTAACGACGATGTGCCTTCACCAGGCTTTGGTACTGCGGCAACGATATATATAGGAGTGAAAATGACATGAGAATAGACTTACCCAGGATATAATTAGAAAACGAGGGGCGAATAACCGACCAAATGTAGTCTTCTGGTACTTCGTCGAGTCTTTTGTTTTTATGCTTTCCGAAGGTACAAGGTGTAGGCTTCAGGAGTTTGGAGTTCTTCATATCGATCATTGGCCTCTTTGAAATCCGCATACTGCAATTATTTTCAGTGACAGTCGTATCCACTATACTGAGTTCTCACCCAGCGGAAGCGTTGGCATCCGGCTCCTGTTGCCCACAACCTGTAGTCAGCAGGGATGTCATCGAGTCGTTTACCAGCGTGTTCACCGAACCCAACAATATATGCTCCAGGATCATTGTCAAGTTCTTCATCGTCTGCTGGATTTGCATTGACCGTATGCGCCATGGTGGTATTCTGAGTGAAGATGCGACATATCAGTTTCGCGATCCATGTTACGACGAGCACGTGATAAAAGTACTCCTAAGTCCTGCCAAGCTGCCTGAACTATCTGGACAAACCTCACAACTAGGGTATCCATCCTTCCAGAACTCTAAAGTGATCCTGTGCGCACTGAAGTTATATGCCTATCATGGACACAAGCTGTATGGGCGAGGCGCAGATCGGATTGCGCTCTTAGGTCGAGTGAAGTTTGAACCTTGATCACTCTTTAGAGTTTGAAGCCACCAAAGCCTCGGGAACAGATCCTCATTCGACAGCGCATGCATTCTCATAGGTAGATAGATGCTATTCCCGAATACATGGCGTTGAATTGTGTCATGCAGTCCTCCTTGTTTAGCAGTCGGATCCCAAAAGCTCGCAGAGGACTTTTCAGGGTCGACTAAAGGCAAGGATACGGAACGCACGAATAACTCTGGAGAAATCTGATTTGGTGAGCTGTTGACAAGAGGGAGCAAGAGGGCCGTGCAGTCACGTCCTTTGGTGTCGACTACACTGTCTTGTCGTCGTAATGGACCGTCACATCTGACCAGTCAGCAGACACTGACTCCAACACGCGTCAAAATTTTATCTCGCACGCAGGATAAGTTACATTACCGTATTGGTTGCCGAATTGACCGTCAGTGGTCTCGTGCACTTGCGCCACTCGGTGTATTGAGTTGTACTGAAAAAAACGCGTTCATTAGTGGCTGGAACCAGGAAGAAGTGTTTTTGAATGACTTGGTCTTGAATTCAGGTTTGCCTGTGTGAATGGATCACGATGTCGTGCAGATTAAGTTACATGGTTTAAGTAATTTAATTTAGTGAATTTGTGGAAAACGTGTTCCGAACATTAATTGCTGAGTAGTTTAGGGGTGATTGTATCGGCGGAGGATGTAATTATACTCTTTCTGACGCCCAAGACTTATCGATGGCATCGATAACACTGGTCTGAGTGTCTCGTGAGACCGCCATCAGCGCAAAATTTCCCGACGCTTGCCTTATATGGTATAGTTGCTCCGCCAAGACTCCCGCCCCTATCCAAATTTGGAAATCCCGCCCAGCGCCATCAATGATTTGGCGTCTAACCTTGAATTGTGACCATATACGATGGTATTCGCTGTCGACTCCCGCCCATAACTTCCGTATTCATCGGTCTCCTACTCACGATGACAAACGTAAGCGCTCAAGTAACTTCCCGACGACGCTCCCTGGTACGTTATAAAAGACGGCGTAAGATACTGGTCGAGTCACTGCGTTTCCATCCAAGTCCCCCTCTCCTAATTACTCCCCGACTAAACTCTACAACGATGCACTATCGTATGGGTTCCTCTTCCTCTTCACACAGCCACAAGTCTTGGGGCTCAACATCGGCATCCCCGGTGCCGACCCCAAACACGCCGAACCTACATTCAGTTTCGCTCCCGATACCAATTATCAACGCACCCCACCTCCATACGGTGTCCCTCCCGCACCCTAATGCACACTTGCACCAACCCCCTGTATCGCGTATGTGTTTCTTCTCTTCATTCATATGTTGCACAGTGTTCATATCTGTTGCTTCTTAGACCAACATTTTCCCACGGCCCACTCTTCCATGATAGTCTTGCACCCCCTCCTGAGTCGTGGTCCCAAATATTATGTTTAATACCACGCTAGGACCTAGCATTTGTGCAACTGCGACCAGACTGTCCGCCTAACAGGATTTGGGAGTTTGCGGTACAACCGAAAGTCTCTCGTATGACCATTATTATTTCCGAGCTTCCCGCTTGGATAATAGAAGTTGTGAACCCTCACGGCATCACCGTGAATGATGTCCTGCTCAAGATACGGGAAACCCTCAACCGAGGTGTTACATCACACGAGATGCAAATGCACAGACCTTCCCATGCGGTTAATGCCGCCATCGATTCTTTCAGGGCTAGGTCCCGTGCAGACCAGCGCGAACATGCGCTGGGTGTAAAACGTTTGGACTTTTTGGGCCCAAAAATCTTCTTCGCTGGCCTCACTAGAGCTAGAGATGGTTCGGATAGCTGGAATATCCACTTCTCCCAGAATGTTTGATTCTCGCCCTGCGCATCGGCTTATCACATGTCATCTCTAACGCATCGGACTTCAGTATATCGGACTCGCTTCAACGGACTACAATTGGACTTCATCACTGCCAACTCTTCCTTTATTTTGTAATATCGTTCGTCATCACGACCCACTCACTTTTGCATAAACCACACCCTACTCACGTGTTTATCGCTATCATGGACTACAATTGGACTTCGGAGTCACTGCCAGTTCTTACTTCACTTTGTATCACTTCTGCATATCTCCCCTACTCACATTTTTATCGCTATCTTGCTATATCTCCCACTGCAATGTTTTCGATTTACCGGAACGGACTAGTCACGTATACTAGGACACTTGTACCTTTACAACCCACTCAATCCCCCACAATGCAATGTATTTGTATCATGTATATGATTGGTTTGAAGCAGCCAATTAACCAAGTGGAACGAATTCTTGTTTCGCTAGAAGGTTGATCATTGACCAACATTACTATCTTTCGAGGCGCTCGAGTCACTCCTGAGTAACAGCAGCAACTGGATTTGAGCTAGACCCAGAACAAACATTTAGTACTTATCAGTCCCAATGACGCCTGCGCCAATCGCTGACAACGGTTTCATCAATTAAATGGTGAGCATGATGGAAGTCCAGAAGTGAGGGATAATAGCGGTAGCCAGACCCACATATCTACCGATATAAGCTTCCAGTGCCTGATGGATGGCTCAAATACCTGCGGACCGCGAGTACAGAGTCCGAGGAGCGGCTGTTGCTTGGCCTACCAGCCCCAAGACAGGCACTTGAGTTATAAACAGGCCTCAAAGTCAGTGGCGTTACAGCGGTTTTATTGAGCGCAGGGGTCACTCAATGAGACGGATTGGTAGCTGTGCCTGTTCGCAGCAGCATTGCTAATTAACCGGACTTCGTAATTTTCATCTGGATCGACTTCAGGACGTTACATCTTCATTCACCTCGCATCTCCATTCTGTTTCCAGCGTAGTTTAACAGTGTAAAGGCGTTAGGGTAATTAAGTCACTATGCATGTGCCATGTTTATATCTGAAACGTTTGAATAGAAACATGTCCCAGAAAACAGAATGTGGTCATCATACGGCAATATACCCTCCACGAGTCGACCGTTGTGGTCGAACCGTTGAACATAGATGAGATACAACGTCTTGCAACATGTATGGCACTTCGCGCCAGAAATCTCGATGTCTACGCAGATGTTAGGGCGTGCTCCAGAAAAAGAATTGTGATGTACTCACGGTATAAGATCCACGCCGCGAGCACCATATGTGGAATAGTTGTAGTATGCACCCAGCGTGAGATACGAACCGAATGCTAGAAGAAGGCTGGAAAATAAGGAGTCAGTCATGTTCCTTCTGTATCAACACTATACCACTCACACAAGGAAGAAGAACCCAAGTCCACTGCCTCTCTTCGCTGGTTTCTCGTCGCTCTCTCCACCGCCTTCATCCTCTTGTGGTGGAGGTTGGTCATCCGGCAAACTACACGCCGAGGGTGTACTCCAATCAACACGTACTACTCCGTTCTCATATGAGACGAGTTTGGGTTCGGGGTCTGCATCCTCGGCACAAAAGAGAGAGAATACGATAGACTGGGAGTCTCCAGAGGAGGGGTATGGGGACCCGTGAAATGTCAAGGAGAGACCTTTCAGTGCTGTTACATTTGTTGAGTATGCATAACAAAAATCAGACAGAAGCTCCACATACAATTAAGCTGTGAATATTCTGGCTCAAGGGTGGTCGTTGACGCGACAGGTATGACAGCAATCACCCGGTCTGCGTCGTCCTTCCTGTTCGTCTTCCTCAAACATGCCCTTGTCCCAGCTTTGCACTGCGGATTCATGTTAACATCGACAGGGTTGAGTCATCATGAATTGAACTTGCCTGGTCGTCGTCTGGCACACCATCCATTGGTTCCAAGTCCTTGCATAAATTGAATATGAGCTCATCCACCATAGTTGTGGGCGGCGTCTCTCGTGTTCTGGACAGTGTGTGCGAGCCCTCCAGCGGCGTAAGGTCCCATTTCAACCCTCCAGTGGTCACATGGCAATCAAAGTCTTCTGCCGTTACAAGAACTGTGTAAGATAATAACAAAAGTAAGGATAACAGAGTGGAAGGTAATGACTGAGGTATGAACCGGAGAATCATGGCTATGGGACCAGGGGAAGATGATGAAGTTAAGGGCAACAACGGTGAACAAATCGCAAGTGGTGCTTGAATTACGTAAGACACGCGTGCGCGTCCTTAAATGTCATCTCCACTTGGGCAGCTACATCAATCACTCACCACTGAACTAACAAGTTTGTAGGAAATCGAATCGAGCATGGCAGGGCTGGAACAACTTGTACATATGATATACCATGAAAGGCAGCAGGAAGGATCAAATCTTTGTGCGCAGCATGCGCTCAATTCATTACTTCGTATGTGCCTCATCATCTATCGCTCGATGCTAGTGTTCATTGACTTTCGTTCGCCATTTCCAGAGGGAAACTATGTTTGTATCCTTCTTTCAGTTGGAAGTCGTATACTCATCTGTGTGATCGCCATAGTTCTCAGCGCCCGATCTCTCTGAATTCGCTCGGAAGTTGGATGCGCTGGAGCAGTCATCGCGTTATGACGACGCCAATCGAGCACGTACTAGTACCAATATGGATGATACAGGCAATTTATTTCGGATTTTCAGCTGTATGAAGCACTAATGATTCCTCAGGATTTTTCTCCGTGCAAGTGTTAGAAGAGGCACTCAATATCTGGAATCTCAGGTTTGTCCAATTGATGTTTCATCATATCTGGTGCATTACCTTATAATATCTGCTCTAGCCTCGTTCGCTGGCGCTCTGAAGCTATGAGGCCATATCAGAATGAGCCGCAGTATGTCCGTCCACCATGAGTTATCATCTCTCGTTGCTCATCGCATTGTCCTCCCACAAGTAACCAAACCGCATTCGTACTCAACCAGAATCAGCACTGGTACACGTTGCGACGATTTGGAGATCTCTCTGTCCCAGGTGATGGCCACTGGTTCAACCTCGATTCCAATAAACGTCGGCCACAATGGATCAGCAAACTCTACCTTGGCATGTTCTTGCAACAAGCTGAGAGCGACGGATACTCTGTCTTTACAGTCACACAGATCGATCCAGATTCACCCTCTCAACTTCCCCACATAGACGCAGATGATATCGCATCTACTTTCCCAGACCCTACCTCGGCTTCATCATCACCCCGGGATGACGTGGAGCCTGGTTTGGAGAATGAAGATATGGAGCTGCAAGCAGCCTTGCAGGCATCACTGGCTGGGGCTGGAGAACCAGGTGGTTCATGGTCTATGCCGGTTTCCTACCCTCCTGCGCAGAGTAGTCTATTCGCCTCAGACATTCGCAGATCGGGTTCAACGAGAGGAGTTATGCCAGGCATTCCTCCCAACCAAGACCCGTATGGAAACGCTGACGTTGACCCAATTACTGCTTCCATGGAGCGTGATCGTGTGCTCATGGAGCGCATGCGGTATGAGCAAGAATTGGGGTTCAGACAGCAGTACGAGGAGGAGGCTGCACGGTTTAGAAGTCGGCAGCCGCCACGTGGACCACAAGCACGAGATGACAGTGAAGAGGAGCATTTCCGTCGTGCAATTGCGGATTCGCTAGCAGAACGGCATGCCAGAGGAGAACTTGACGACAATGATGATGATGATGATCCCGAAGACTTGGACTACGTACCTTCTCCCCAAGCAAGGATGCCATATAGCACGGGGCAACTGGACCGAGTTTATGATGATGACGATGCCGACTTCCAGGCTGCGTTAAAAGCATCATTGGAGAATGCACCATCTGAATTCACCCCTCTTCCGGTACAACCACTTCGAACACGACAAGCACCTTCGCCTCACATCTCAGCAGCTGTTGAGGATAACGAGATTGACAATCAATCTGAAGCGGATACTATTACGATCGCATCCGAATCGGAAGCATCAGGAGAGTCTGTCAGTGTGGAAGAGATGCGTAGAAGAAGACTCGCAAGATTTGGTGGCTAACAGTCATACAACTAGCAAGTGCGTCATGTTAAAAATTACAATCTCTCCTCCATATAATACAATATGAGACACAAATTGAAAGAACTGAACTACTTCTCCGCACCACCCAAGCCCATAGCGTGCTTGGCCTTCTCCGCCAAGGACTCCTACAAAATTCCGTCAGTCACAAATTGATGAGATGGCTGTTTAGCCTCAGGTCACCTGTCCTTCGTTGGAATTCCCGCTCACGGTATCACCGGCCTTCTGGGTGGTGGACTTCTCGCTCTGAAAGCAGACCGTCAGTGTCAATCAGAACCCTAAGTCATTTTAGGGGCTACCTGCGGTTGAAGAGTAGAAGCAACCGAGTCGGACATTCCTTTGACCTTGTCGCCAGCCTGCTCGGTCATCGACTTCTGAGACTCGGGCTAAGACAGTGTCAGGCGCAAGAATAAATTCCAAGGAGAAATTGTTCGGACCTTCATAGCAGTAGCAGCCTTGTCGGTCATAGATTGACGTCCAGTGTCAGCCATTATGATGATGATATTTGATTGTGAGTGTAAAGTTATATGTGGTAGAGAGACAGAGAAGTTGGGAAAGAAAAGCGAATATCCTCGACCTTATATACCCTTTGGAAGTGACGGGAAAGCTGTGCAAGCCTGCAAGGTGACGCCGGTATGACGTTGTTGGAGAGTCAATCATTTCGCCTTATTTGGCGAGTGGTCAGAATGACGCGGGGTCGTTGCGTCTTTGAATCTGCGACACCGCTGATCATAAATTGTTTTTGTCAGCACCTATATATGTGACATATCAAATCGTTTCAACGGGTGCGTAAAACAGTGCATAGTGCTAGACAAAGTACTAAATATTCCTATGGTGTAGTAAATGCGTTGAAGATGGTGTGGTCAAGCTCAACCCATTTGTCACTTTAGCTTTGTCTTCGTCATGTTCTAACTCAGTGAGTTTCCTCAGATACGGTACTGTCTGACACAAGAATTAATGATGTCCATGATAGCCTTCCGCACTGTCTCGTTCGAGGACTTGACCTCGTGAGTTATTTTCATCTTAGATGGTTGAAGCCCCTGACATTGTTCAACCACCGGGTGCAGCACGCTTCATCACCCAGAGGCTTAGTATAAAGAAAGTGTTCTGCGTGATTGGACTTCCAATACGCACGTAGCAGGTAAATCTTACTGGCGCCTTGCAGTCATAAGTACTATTGGCTAGTCATGCACTGCGACTTCGTTGAAAAATTGGATTTTGAGTAAATTTTTCTCCCATCGTGGTCAAGATACATCTCCATCTGTGGATTTTCTCGAACTAGCCCTCACAAACATGGTACTTTTGGACACCTTTCATTTATGTCTGTGTTGGTCTGACTGCAGCTTCCTAGAAGGTCCTAAAACCGTTCTTTCGGCTTCAAAGACCTCCAGGGACTAGGACGGCCACTACAATAGCGTTCCTCAGCATAGTATCCGGGCATTTGGCCGTGGGTACGGCGCATTGACTCGAACATCTAACCAGGCAGTGAGCTGCCAAACCCCGAGCTGACCTGTCAGTGGGACGGAAACTATTTACAGAGCTCATTTCGCAAACTGTCTAGGAGCGGCGATCGAGGCCATAGGTCTGATTATACAAGAAAGATCTGTATTTCCTTGCGAGTCTCTTCACCTTCATTACTTGGGTTTGGATTGATGGCTCCTTGGATAGCCGGAGGACAGCCAGAATGAGGTGAAATTCTTGAATAACGCAAAGCTAGTTATTATCGACTCTGAGTGATGCCATATTGGTGAGCTTGTCGGGCTTCATTTGCTTTCCCTTGCTGATATTCTGTAACTAGGGAGGGTTAACCGTACAGGGAGATGACTTCGTGCAGGTGGCAGAGATGATGAAAATTTTGGAGGATCCTTGGGTTCAAGCTACTCCAGAAATCGTCTATAAAGCCGTGCATGTGAATGAAGTGTGTAAGCGAGTCATGTAAAACGATCTCAAAAGTCTGGTGATACCGCAAGCAAGATTGGATAACATCAATTGATCGATCGAAACAATGCACCCGCCCTGCTGCTGTATTCCACCGAAACAGCTTAATCAGTGAGTGATCACGGTCGCCGTTCACCACACGCCAATGCTGAGGAACTTCAATCAGTGTTATTCTATTCTTAGGTGGCTCGTGACCATTGCCCATCTCGACTACTCATGGTGTTTGTCGGACCGCCAATGTGAGGTCAATACACGCGTGACATAAAAGCATAGGGCCGCTGTACAGAGTAGCATCATCTTCGCTCTTAGGCTCTCCTTCGTACAGACAGCAAATCAGTATTACCACTACGGTCGCTTCGAATTAGCAGGAGGAGTACTCCCTGGTGCCGTAACCGCATACCGGACACACGGAGTCCCAAAGAATGACAAAGTCATTGTTTTCCCGACATCTTTTGGGGTAAAACTGTCGACGAGGTCCTTCCAGATAGATATTTCGTGGTAACATTCGCGCTTTGCTGTAATCTAACACGGTAAGTTCTATGATTGCATATTTTACCCCCTTTCTGACGGCCCGTTAGCCTGCACCTTATGGTGACCCGTACCTCCCATTCATGTCCTACAAAGATAACATGTAAGTTACGAAATTATTTGCAATTAGAATGCAGGCTCACAAAGAACACGCTGCATGTAGCTCATGTTGTGGGTGCGTCAATTGGGTCCTAGTTTGTAGAGTCACCGATCACTGAATCAACCTTGAACCGTTATCTTTCAGAACTGGGTGACGATAGCATTGGGACATAACCGGAAAGGTCAATGTTCGCCGAGTATGGCTTCGCAGCCAAGGCTGAGACATAAGCTGAACAAGGACCCACGAACATGCCGATTCAGATCATAGTACACGCGCTGATTCTGGGCTGCATCCTGCCTCGTGTGCGTCGTGTGCTGCATATGTGCGTAATGAGTCCGGTGTATGACGATGCCACATTTGAGAGACTTGGGGTCCGACCATGTGCACATATTATCGGATCACAGAGCTTTTTCCCTCCCGCACCAAGATCGGTCGATAAGTTGTTTACTTCACAATCGCGTAAGCACTTGGCGGAAACAACTGGTAGTCGGCGAGCCCTCGATCAAACAGCATTTATTCACCGAAGGTCTGGCCCATCGAATTCCCTTGTTCGCAGAACCCTTGATAATTTACTCAGCAAAAGGCAAATACAGATATGTGACTAAGTACGATTCAATGACCGTGAAGGGTATATGGGTAAATGTCCAAAGAGTCATAGCGAATGGTCAACAGTAGTAGCCATAGACGGCTCTGTAGTATCATCGTTTCCTCCAAGCTCATGGTGCCGCCGCCGTGCAGATCGTAAATAGCGGGAAAAGCGATTTTGTTGGACCGAGGGTGCTTGGCTGATACGCCGGTTGGAAGGAAACACAGAAAGAGCATCACGATCACCCGCGTCCCCTGACAACATCGTCTCAAGAGCGTGAAAGTCTGTCGTCCGTTAGTAAGAGGTATCGCGAGCTCACTAGGTAAGACTCACCTTGTCGACATATTGGGCAAGAACTGGAAAGCTCTAAAAGCCATGGATCAACGCACGTCTGGTGGAAACGATGTTTTCCTTCGCAAGGCAATACCCTAAGCTCGTCACCCTCCTCAAAGTCAACGATGCAGATGGGACATGTCTCACGTCCGATTGCCTCTGGCATAAGCGGATCGACATCCCGTGCTGAAGATGATGGCGCTTCGGAAGTAGCAGGTATTTGTGGAGGTGTCAACCGAGGTACAGCTCGTGCATCGGACTGCGCATCCTCCTGACCATGCACATTTGCTGTGGCACCAGTAGTAGAACTCTCGTTGATCTCTCCCACTGATTGTGATGGTTGCCGGACTGCCTGACTGAAGATGGTGTCCATCTCCACTGCATCGCTTGATTGTTGCAATGTTGTATCAGCATCCACCGGAGGCGATTCAACGTCTTTGGGACTTGGATAAGTGGTATTCGGCGCAGTGCCAAACCTCACAATGGGAAACGTGTCCAAAATGGCCCGTCCAAGGCCACCAGCTCGGCTTTGGCTACCGCCGCGTGCACCACGGAGATCACCATTTGCAATTCGGGGACCATATCTCTCGGGATGGCGTAAAGCCCTGACTGCCTGAATGGTGTTTAGACCAACAAGAAGCAATAGTGCGATGCAACATACCCCTGAGATGATGACGACGCAAAATAAAGCTGAAACACAACCGGTGATAGCATACAGAATGATCCTGTAATCAGATTTAGCCTGTAACTTAGATACACTATCAAACTGTTCCCACATAGCTAAACCTGTTTCTTTTTTACTACCTTGATTCGCAGTCGAACTAGTGGAGCCATTATTATTGCCACTCGTCCCCGTAGAGTTGGTTCCTGTCGCATTGTAAGCTTGCAAGGTTGCAAGTAGATAGCCAGGAACCGTAGGATAGCCTGACGTTATAAACTGGCTGATAGTTGTTGCGGATGCGTTTAGGGTAGTTGCATCGAAGTTCCCATAAAGAGATAGATTCGTGGGTCCATCTTGCCCGAACTCGTATTGAATGTTTCTAATGACTCATAAACCAGGCCTACATAAACATGCAGAGTCAAACTCACCTCGAGACCGATATCGACTGAGTTGAGAATATATCGAAGACTTGGTCAAAATTCGCGGGATCAGCATACTCTTGGTTGATGAGACACGTGTTAGAATAAAGAGAATACAGAAGCTGCAATGAAGGAATTGGCATTGTAACTGTCAACATGCAAGCAACCGAACGTTCTTACGTACAGCAGATTGAGCACCTGAGCTGTTCGCCATCGTGAATATATCGACTTCTTCAGAGAAGTTCGTCGAATTAGCATCGCATGATACCAGAGCTATCCAAGGGGTGGTTGCTGCGAATATCTGTATGAGCGTCCCCGCCGAGTCGATAAAAGATGCACGCCTACTTGACTCGTTCATTGCTAAACTCTCAGTGAAGTGTACAAGTGCCCCCTGCTAAATGATGAGATTGCAGTCAGCTCATACTACTGATATATATGCACCTTGGTAGTACCGTTGCTATCTGCGCCCACAAGCTGATAGGACACGTACTCCCAATCCGAGCTAAGAAAGCAACCCAAGCAACCAAGCGGAGCAGCTCAGAATGTGAACGCGGAAGGCGCCCTGGAGAGTCTCACCCGTTCGGGTACCACTGAAGAATCAACCTCGATGCATTCATGCCATTTATCTGGCTCGTTTCGTTGGAAGGTTGCGCTGGTATGTAGCCGTAGGCTGAACCCATGAAACTCGAGAACACAGACAGGAGGACTTGAAGCAACACAGCATGGAATAACATGACGGTCAGTGAGAGGAAATGCGGAGAACGTCGGCCTTGATGATTTTGAGTTTGAAATTGATGATGAGCTTGTCATTCACGTTTGCCTCAGTGAGGGCGCGAGGCTTTTGCCAATTGCTTACTAGGTTAGATCAGGGTTAGATTAGGTCAAGCTTAGGTCAGTGGTCATTATACTACACTAATTAGGGATGGCGCTCCTGACAAATACGAATGTATAGACTTGGTCTGATTGCTACGCTCGACGAACATAATAAACGTATCAGATACTCGGTACAAAAGAACAACTATTCAACCTTCTCGGACGACCTCTTTGACTGACTCCGCAAATATCTGACAACCTTTTTGCAGATCGCCCTGCGAGATATTCAGAGGCGGTATGAACCTGATGACTTCATATAATGAAGTCGTGAGAATTAAAAGCCCCTTCTCCATGCAGCGCTTCGTAACACGACTTGCGAGGTTCTTCGGCGCGGATGAAACCAGTGCGGGATCGTTTGGAGAGTACAATGGGGATGCAAACTCGACAGCAATCATCAGGCCCTGGCCCCGGATATCGACGACCATGCTTCCTACTTCTGGGTCATCACGGAGGGACTTCAAGGATGTGAAAAGTTCGCTCGAACTAGAAACTGTGAGATAACAGAATTCTGGATCGCTTATGTGGTGATCTTACCGAGCAGAAACATTATCGAGCACCTTCTCTTCACGGAAGGCGTTAGCGACGGCCACCGCAGCGGCGCATGATACAGCGTTGCCTGCATATGTGCCTCCCTTAAAATGCGCGATCAACGGGACGGGAAAACACGGGCTAGTGGAAATGAACTAACCATGGAACCCGGCACTAGCTTATCCGTAAGTTCCTTCCTGCTGACTACACCACTCAATGGGAATCCGTTTGCAAGGCCCTATGGTCAATCAATGATTCAATCAGCCATGACTGATGCAGAAATCCACTATACCTTTGCGATTGTCAGGATATCGGGTCGGACACCACTATATTCAACATTGAAGTATTTGCCAGTCCTACCGAATCCACTCTGTACCTCATCTACAATAAGGAGGATGCCGTGTTTGTCGCAGACGGCACGCAATCCTTTTAGGAAGGATGCGGGGGCTGGTACATAACCACCCTCTCCAAGTACAGGCTCAACGATTATGGCAGCTGTGTCCCTGGGAGCTGTTTGTTGTTTGAGAACTAGATCTAGTTGATACAATGAGAGTCGGACGAGCTCTTCTTCACTCGTATTGATTGGTAATCCCAATTGGTGCCAGTACGGGAACGGTATGGCGAATACCCCAGGCTACGATGATGTTAGTCCAGTCGCTAACGTCCTGAACACCAAAATTACCATCAACGGAAAGGATCCTTCACTATAGATCGTCTTGCTCTTCGTAACAGCCATGGCACCAAACGTTCGACCATGATAGCCCCCTGCGATGGCGAGAATTCTTCATAAGTTCTGCGTTGCGCGAGTACTCACCGCCAACTTACCCTGCATGCCGATAATGTTCTGCCGACCAGTAATTTGTCGTGCCATCTTGAGGGATGCTTCAATGGCTTCAGAGCCTGAGTTCCAAAAGAAGAACGAGTCAAGCGAGGGATCAGGCATAATTGGAAGGAGTTTCTCGATGAGGCGTAAGTAAGGGCCATGGAATGAGATGCTGCACTAGAAGAATACAAGGGTGAGTTTATCTCAAACAGTATTTTGAAGTTAGAACACACCTGAGCATGTACAATGTTCACGCATTGATCTGCTGCAGCTTTGGAAACCTTCGGGTGGCAATGACCTAGCGTTGCGTGTCATCATAGAACTTCCAGTGAATGATTCACTGTGGAGCGCATGGCAACTCACCAAGGTTTGTCACACCGATACCACAGCTGAAATCTAGCATCCTACGCCCATCCTCAAAGGTCACGTACGAACCCTCACCCTTCGCCATGACAGCTTCTGTGAGGCGGCCAAGGCCTCTGGCGACATGCTGTTGTCCAAAGGCGACGAGGGAATCGGCAGAGGTAGTCATCGCCCGCGAATGTAATTTGGGCTTGCTACCTGCAGAAACGACATGCTCACAAGGTCGGGCATGATCGTTTCTGAGATGTCACGGTTTAGTAACCCAAGGTAACTATAGAGGCGTGAAATGTCTACCTAATCACCGGAGATACAGAACATTTGGCGACGCCAGAACTGCCTGTTGAACGTATGGCCCTTGTGCATGTAGATACTCTGTTAAGAAGAGGCATCTTGCTATCCGTAGTAGATTCGTAGTGTAGTTTCGAAGGTCAAGTTGAGGTATGTCGACGAAGCGAAGTACGATCTTGGAGCTCTGGAGTCTTCGAGCTTTAAGTTGGAGTGTATGACTCAAATATCGCCGTGTGATGTAAAAGAACACGTTCAGTAGTTCTAATTATAGCACGCGGGGTTGATAGGGGTTTCACTTCGACTCGTGTAAGCTCTGTGTATTGAATTCGATGGAAGAAAAGATGCTGTTCCGAAATATCACTGGCATAAAAAATGGTGCAACTCTAATACTTGCACTGAATCATTGGGGGAGAAGGGCTTAACAAGACGACTGCAGCACCAACTTGAATCACAAGAGCTTGCCGATGGGAGTAAAGCCATCAAAGCCGCTCTGCGTCCTATCGTAAATTACGCGGCCACGCAAAACTGTTTGTTGCACAACTCCATTTAGCACCATCCCTTCGTATGCGGAGAATTTGTTCTTGAAGTGGAAGTGTTCCTTTGACACCTGACGACATTAACGTTAAAGAATGACTTGGCAAGATTGAAAGTGTTTATATTATACCTTGAACTCAGCTGCAGGGTCCCAGATAACGAGGTCGCCATCATGCCCTACTGATAACCGCCCTTTGGATGACGAAAGCCCGGCATGTTTCGCGGTTTCTTCGCTTGTCCAGCGAATAATCTGACCGAGGGTAATGCCCCTCTTTTGGCCTTCTGTCCATAGAAGGCTAAGGCCAAAGCCGAGACTGTTTATGCCTCCCCAGGCGGTCATGATATTACCCTCCTCGAACTTCTTCAACTCTGCTACACATGGACTGTGATCGGATACCACACAGTCAATGGTACCGTCTATCAATGCATCCCACAGTGCATCTCTGTTTGATTCGGAACGAATAGGTGGGCAGCACTTAAATTCAGGTCGGCCATGTGGTATGTCGTCCGCTGAGAGGCACAGATAATGGAAGCATGTTTCCACCGTCAGATTCAACCCACGAGAACGCGCAGCACGAATAATGGGAAGAGCGGTAGACGCAGATAGGTGGACGATGTGGCAACGAAGGGAGTTGTATTTCTCTTGCAAGACGGTAATAAGAGAGATAGCGTTGACCTCAAGCTCTTGAGGGCGAGAGGAGAGGAAGGTTTGATATGCTGTTGGATCGTGCTCCTCATGATTTTGCACTGAGCAGGAGTCGTCCTCAAGCTCTGCGTGGAACAATAGGACAGTCGATTGATCCTGCGAGAGAACAAAGTTAGCTAGCAGCTCACTGGGTCCTCATATGCAGTTTGACCTGGAGCTCTTTCATGTGTGCATGAAGATCATGCTCTGAGACAGAAGGGAATTCCTGGAAAAATGTTATGGGTCATTGAAAGATAGGACGCAATCTCTCACTCACCTCGACACCGCTTTCAATCAAAAAGCACTTGAATCCTTTGACTCCAGCAGCCACCAATGGTTTCAGGTCCGCCTTATTACCAGGATGAGCTGATCTCCTCAGGCAGTCTCGAACGCGCAGCTTGCCTGGTTCCCTGGAATAACTCCACCCCAAAAACCAACGTCGGCCCAGCACTGGCCTTGTGCAGTTTGTCGCTTGATCTCAAGGTTCCGTAAAGTGGTCGTGGGCGGTATAGAGTTTAAAGGCATATCCACGACCGTGGTGATTCCTCCTGCCACAGCTGCTCGCGTACCAGTCCAAAAGCCCTCCCAGTCCGTTCGACCAGGCTCATTTAGATGAACGTGGGCACTGCAAAGACATCCAAATGACAAGCTTTCTTGGGGATGCGGGACAAAACACTCACTCGACTAATCCAGGAAGAACAAACTTTTCGCCTGCATCAATGAATGTCGTCTCTCCACCCGGACTTCGTTCTGCATACACTGTTTGGATGTCTGTGATCTTACCTGTGTCGATGTTCACCGTGATCGTTGCTGGTTGCGGCTGATCTGAACCGGGCAGCAGGGTATTCCGGCTAGTCACAACTAGGGACTGGTTGCTCATGGTCTTATCGAAACGATCAACTGGTAGCACAATGTGATCGACTGCAGATACGATACAGATGATGAATGAACACTCACATCGTATGTACTACGATATGCGCAGTAGTGATCCAGGGTCAATATTGCTTCGTACTACTAGGTGCCCAGCCCAACTGGCTGGCAGTGTTCGATATCAACGTCTTGCTGGGCCCTGGCGCCACCCAATCAGTTAATCGCGGCTCTACCGTGTAAACTTCCTTCTATTGGTCTACCCAACCGCCACTGCTTGTACTCAGATAGTGTGATTTCAAGGACTTTCGACAATCACCAAACTAACACAAGTCGTCGCAAATTCGAGACTGCAAAGCTCCGCCCAGTTCACAACACACTGCACACAAGTAAGAATTGTCGCGTAAGTACCTATAGCAGCTCTCCGGAAGGTTGAAGACCTGTAAAACCATCTTGAAGTGCCGAATCGTAAGCCAATCTACCACGAACGAATGTTTTGTGTACGAGGCCCCTCAGAGTCATGCCTTCATATGGGCTCAACTTGTTCTTGAAGTACAAATGTTCTTTCGAGACCTAACACTCGATCGATTATCATTAGGGGAGCAGCAGCATGACTAGGATTCACCTTGAACTCTGGTTCCGGATCCCAGATCACTAAATCACCATCATGTCCCACTTTCAGCTGGCCCTTTGTACTAGACAGTCCCGCTAATTCAGCATTTTTAATGCTCATCCAACGTATGATCTGCCCAAGCGAGATGCCTCTCTTCCTTCCTTCCGTCCATAGAAGGCTTAATCCAAGGCCTAGGGAACTGACACCACCCCAGGCTTTCATGAAATCGCCGTGTTCAAGCCCCTTCATCTCAATGAGACAAGGACTGTGATCGGAGATTACACAATCAATGGTACCATCCACGAGAGCGCCCCAGAGGAGATTTCTGTTAAAGTCCTCGCGAATCGGAGGAGTGCATTTGTACTCGGTTGCGCCATCGGGGATGTCCTCTGCTGATAAACATAGATAGTGAAAACAAGTTTCAACGGAAAGCTTTGATCCGCAGTCCTTGGCAGCACGGATGATGGGTAAGGCGGCTGCAGCCGATAGATGGGCGATGTGACAAGAAACCGAGGGGTACATTGCTTGGAGGCGAGTGATGAGAGTGATGGCGTCCACCTCAAGCTCCTCAGGACGTGAAGAGAGGAATTCCTGGTATGACCTTGGATCAGGCCGGTGTCGAGCTGGTGAAGAGGCGGTCTGCATTTCAGCATGAAAGATCATGACAGAGTTCTTTGAAAAATGCTGCCAGTTAGAAGATAGCCATTGTTTTCATGCTCAACAAAGCCCTACTTCGAGATGGGACATGTGCGTATGAAGGTCACTCTCAGAAACGCAAGGGAATTCCTATGTGAAGCAAGCATAAACATAGATATGCACGAAATTCTGGCTTTGAATTACCTCGATGCCTGTATCGATCAAAAAGCACTTGAAGCCTCTGACGCCGGCGGATAAGAGGGGTCCTAATTCGTCCTGTAGACGATGAACGCCTGGCGCGCCGGGATCTACTGGTGCACTTACCTGATTCTGAGGAATCGCTCCTCCCCAAAATCCAACATCTACCCAACACTGTCCACGAGCAGAGCGACGTTTGATATCAAGGTTCCTTGGTGTAGTGGTGGGCGGACTTGAATCGACTGGCATATCAATTAGAGCGGTGACGCCCCCAGCAGCTGCGGCTTGTGTGCCGGTCCAAAAGCCTTCCCAGTCCTGGTTTCCGGGTTCCTCCAGATGAACATGGGCACTGTTATTATGGTAATTAGCAATAGTGCTTTGCAACGAAGAATGACCCTTACTCGACCAGCCCAGGAAGAACAACTTTGTCCCCAGCATCAACGAAATGTAGATCTCCGCTTTTCTTACACGCTTCATCGCCAATGTACTCCAAGCGGACTTCGATTATTTTGCCAGTCCTGAGGTCAACATTGATCGTCGCAGGTCGTGGCAGATCAAAATCAGGAAGTAGTACGTTGCGACTGGTCACAGTGAGAAGCATGATAACCTGCCTAGCTAATGGGCTACAGATGCAGTCGTGTTCTTACACGATTACATTAATAGACCGTTCAACTTGGGAAGTCACTGCGAGATGAAGTACGGGCTCATATCCAACGGGAATCGAGGATACTCGTGGCTAAAACACTGCGAGCACTTTGGATCCATGAGGGTTGCAAAGCCTCAGTCACGTTGAATTTTGAAAGATGGGCACACGGCAGTGATGCACAAACCTGACTTTTTGAAGTTTTGATATGGCGAGAGCCACGTGACAATGCATGATCGGCCTGAGGACGCTCTGGAATCTGGATCCAGGCTCAGGCTATAGCTACTCGGTTTACGAGCCCATTAATACCCCATGTACCATCTTCCAGCATAATCTGTTCAAATGTCAGACGAAAGTACCGGAAACGATGTTTCTGCTGCGGTAGCATCAAAACCGGATCCACCTTCACCTCTCGATACTCTACTTTCCCCAAAGGGTCCAACATACGACGAGCTTTCCCCAAGAGGATCTGTCGCGGAGTCCGACTATAACGATGTAATCCTTGATGACGATCCAAGCTTCTCAACCGTTTCGCTCTCAGAAAATACCAGCCTTGTCACCGAAGCAGGCACGGACGATCCGCTTCCGAAGCTGAGCCGCAGGACAACTATTTCATCGACACCCTCAAAAGCTTTTTCTTCTTTACGTCATTTCTCACATAAGAAGTCTGCTTCGACGATAACAATACCATCTGCTCCTGGAAATAATATCCTTGCGCGCATCGGATCACAGGGTACCCGCGATGAAGACAGTATAGAAGCATTGCGGAGTGCTGGAGAAGGGCAGCAGAAGCTTCACGAAGAGTTTTTGCGCCTTCATAATGAGCGACGTGCTGAGGCAACAGAATCTGAACAGGGAGGCATAGACTGGGGTAAGAGTGACTATGCACCAATTTTCAGTTCTGACTCCAGTGCAAGGTTTCTGGGGAGCCGTCGTTTCAGGTAATGTGACAACTTTCTAAGCGATCTTGTATCCGGTATTCATCTCGTATCGTAGATTATCAGGGTTTCGCAGCCTCGAATCCCCAAAAACTAGCCAAAGCGATCGAGAAAGGGATTCCGGATACGCTTCGTGGAATGATGTGGCAATTAATGTATGGTGCTTCCTGACACTTAGCTCCACCACTAATAAGGCGCTTGAGGCAGGGCAGCGTCAAAGAACGCTGAACTAGAGAATACATACCTTTCACTCCTCAAGGAGTCCAGTCCTCATGAAAAGGCAATCACGCGAGATCTCGGAAGGTTCAAATTTTCTTTGGGTGTCCATATCCATACCTTGACCTTGATTTCACAGAACCTTTCCTCACCACGAATTCTTTACCGATGGACAGGGCATCGGCCAAGAACATCTTTTTAACGTTCTTAAAGCATACTCATTGTATGACCCTCAGGTTGGTTATTGTCAAGGTCTTCCTTTCGTTGTAGCGGTACTCCTTCTCAATGTGAGCTTCTCGTTGCTCCAGTTCAATTTAATTTTACTTTTTACGACCTAGATGCCAGATGAAGAGGCCTTCTCGCTCCTCGTGAGGTTGATGCACTCTTATGATCTCCGGGGTCATTTCCTCCCAGAGATGCCTAAACTGCAGCTCCGGCTTGTATGTAGAGATCCAATACAAACACTATTTTTATTCACACTTACTCTCCGATGTTAGTACCAGGTATGCCCTTCAGTTGGATCTGCGACCACTGTCTCAAGCGGCAACAGTTCGATCGATTGATAGAAGAACTACTACCCGTGCTCCACGTTCATTTCCTTAGACAAGGCATTAAATCTAGCATGTTCTGCTCGCAGTGGTTTCTAACGCTCTTCAGCTATCGGTAAGCGTGCAATTTTCAAGGCGCATAGCGTAACTCAGTAATGGAAATTCAGATTCCCACTAGAAATTGTAGTCCGGATATACGACAATTGTTTGGCCAGTGGTATAGAAGCCATCTTTGCATTCAGCATCGTGCTACTCCAGAAGAATGAAGACGAATTACTTACACTCAAGTTTGATGATATCCTCGCGTTTATAAAGAACAAGATTTTTGATCGGTACAAGGTATGTCGCGCCATCTTATCGTTGCACTCTGCTTCACAGTGAAATTGATAGGTCGAGCCTTTGGAATCACCTGAAGACCATATCACCGATTCCGATAAGAGCGTTAAATATGATGTGGATGCGTTCGTGCTGGATGCCATCTCTATGAAGATCACGCCATTCATGTTGGACACTTACTCACACGAGTATGAGGACCTTGTTCGGACCCGAGATGCACACGCGACCGAGATTGATACGTTACGAAACAACAATCGCAGCCTGTCTGCGCAAGTGTGAGTACTCGTCGGCAAGCACAACTGACCATCTTTGAATTCGTGAACTGCAATGACAGGAAAGAACTTGATGCGAATATGGCGCAATTAAATGCAGAGCATGTCGAAATCCTTGTAAGTCGTAACATAAACATTGTCAGTATATACATTGACTGAGCGATCATTCAGAACCAGCTTGTAATGGCTCGGCTACGAAACGAAGAGCTTGAGGAAGAATTGGTTAGATACAAACTCCTGTACAGTACCTTTTCCTTCCCATGCGCTATGGTTCTGAAATCCACGACAGTTACGCCGAGGCCATGCACGAGAATCAGGACTCCTTATCATCTCATCGCTTGTCATCTCCTCGGGCTAGCAGAAAGGGAAGTCGCCACTTATGATACAGACTCCACAGGACATATGGAATACATATAAATTAATTTCTTCGAGCGGTACATGTATTGAAAAGAAACTTCTGATATACAGGGCAGGCCCTCACGGGGTAGTACAAGTATGACGGCTGAAAAAGAACTACTTGGATTGAAGTCCTTGCGCAAGTTGAACCTGCGGACAAACATTTAAACCGTGGTCGACTCTTCATTCGCATGAACACTGACATCTTCCTTGCTGATGATGCGCAACTCTCCAGGAGCCGTAGCCGTGCCTGTGGCAGCGCCATAGGCGACTTGCGCTGTACGCACCGCAGAGGGGTGCTTCGTAATCCAGTACTTGATCTCATCCGGAATGACCTCGATCACGGCAATGCGTGGGTCATTCTTATCGCCTTTGTGGGTACCATCCTTCAGGTTGCCGATGTAGCCGGTAATCCTGCGCTCAGTCAAAATACGCCAACGCATAGGGCAGTTAAACGCACATCGTGGACCAATGCTTATTAATCATATCCCTGTCCTGAGTCACTCTGGCTCTACCGGAGTAGGACGCCCAGTCTGTGGAGGATGGGTCACAGAAGCTAACATTGACGTGCGCATCATTCTCGATTTCCTCGAACTTGTGAGACACGTTATTCGCAAGGAACACGAGGTTCAGCTGTAAGTCGCTGTATGCTTTACAAGGCAACGCGCATATTAGACTGAAGAGTGGTATGCAATGAGGATTGGATTCGTACGCGTAGCAGGAGTCATTGCTCGGGAATGCAAGTTCCCGTTTGCATCACGCGTGACGAGCATTCCGATCTTTGCATTCTTGATGACGGTATGCAAGTCTGAGGAGTCGTCAGTGCGATGAACCAGGTATTCGTAAAACATAATGTGTACCGGTGATCTTCTGCTGAACAGTGAGATTCGTGTTCTCTGCGAGGCTGGAGTAGGGATCGAGGCGGGCTTGTTCCGGGCTCAAATCAGACATGTTTGTAAAATCGATGTGATAGTTTAGGTGAAGGAGGATGTGGGTTGGGGATGAAAGGAATGGGGTTTATATATGACGTCGATGTTGCTGAACCATAGACTATGACGTCAGACCTCTGAACTACAGTACTACTTTCCATATCGGGTATTGAGAAGCCGTTTGGAGAGGTTAGCGCCCACGCAAACTAGTATTTTATTACATTTTGCGTTGGCAGATGTAGGCTGGTGAATCACCCCTTTTCTGGCTTCTCTGCTCCCATGGGAGGGCCATCCCACACACGCAGGATTCCTCTTGTGGTGCGACGCGGGGCAAATATGTAAGTTCTCCCAAATTTGCCTCGTAGCGCACCGCTAACAGTGGAAAAAGGCATAAGTTGACGCAGCCACCACGTCCTCCTCGCCAATAAGCCTATGCTAGCGCCTCAAGCAGCAGCACGCCACCAGCAGGGACATCCAATGTTATCGGCGGAGCCACCCAGTAACGTTGCAGACTTGAAGTATCAGTGCAGCTACTAGTAACGAATCTCCTTCCCCGTTGGACGTTGAACATGTTTCAGACATCGGCTACCTTGCAGTTCTCATAGGGTGGTTCCCGCGTCTTGCACACACTGGACAAACAAGTTTGGCTGCTTCTAGCTCCCGCTAGGTTTTCTGTCCTTTCCGAACTTTTACGTTAGAGTACATATCACCACATGTACTGAGTATTCGACGACACGTGCAATTCGATGTTGCCCCCAATAAATGATTGACATTGTACTAAGTATGATACGCAGGATTCAGATCATAGAGAAAAAACATTGTCGGCAGGTCAAGTTCGAACCTGCACCATCCAGGAGGAGACTTCGAATCTATTAACAACCTGGCCTTAAGTCTTATGGTTGACGTTCGAAGACCTCTCCGTGCGATCATAGAGAAAAACTGTTGTCAGCAAGTTTCGAACCTCCACAATCCGGGAGGAACAGATTTCAAATCTGTTACCGGCTTAGCCATGACTCTTACGGTTGACGTTCGATGACCTCTCCATGAGCTCATGCCCGAGGTGCAATCAAGGAGAAAAACTATTGTGGGCAGATTTCGAACCTGCAACAGATATCAAACTTGTTAACCACTTCGCTAAGAATAGTTAGGATAAATGATTTCAAGTTAAACATGCCAAATGGGTAAGGTCTGCCTGATGATGTGGCTGGTTGTACAGGTGAGAACGACACTAACCGTAGTGTCATGAACCGTGATTCAGTCCTATATGTACCAGCTCGCGCAGCCGTAGAGTGCGCGAACATGGGAAGAATCTGGTGTTAGCAGTGGCCTTCAATGAGAATGCATGTGACAGTATTGTTCTGTCATCGCTCGATGACTCGGATAGGCCGTACAGACCGTACCGATGACAGCTTGTATGCATAATCTCGCGTGTATATTGGCCAGCCCACATGTAGAGCTGCGCGTCCGTATGGTTGCCAAATCAACTTATGACAGTGGTCAGGAGAAGTCGTGTAATCGAATGTACCGAGAGAATAGTTGCCGGCCATTGAATGATGCCGGCAGGAACGAAAAGCTGCTTCTCCCTCAAGCTGAATTACGATATTACCGCAGCCATCGGGCCAATGATTCGTTGCATTCATGTGGTCGCCTATCAGGACAAGATCAATGCGAGAAGATATTGATGAGACGAGAAATAGAATCAGCTGCAACAGGGCAAAGCACATTACAAGCGACCATCGCACTACTCCTGAAACACTAGTTTGCATGCGGGACACCACATATCTACAGCAAGGCCGACGTGTGGATTTAGTATCCTGTAGGAGATACAACTTAGTGCCTACTCACCTTAGACTCCTTAGTGCACGTAAGTGACAACTCCCTCGTCGACGCTCCTGCTGACCGAGACACCGAAAAAGATTCGATGGCGGCCATCACTGGCACTTACAAAGTAGCGTCCGAGTCCCAAGCGCCAACTCAAAAATGGTAACGAGATACTCGATGGCGGCAGTCCGCAGCAGACCGTCTTCAAGCCATTCGGGAAGGTATGCTAGCCAAAGGAAATTAAGCGGGAGATGAGCGGCTTCTCAACAACGTCGAGGGGATAAAGATGGGAAAGAGACGATATGTAGTGTGTGAGGAGGCGCCTTGGGACCCAGCCGTACTTTGCACAGTCGATGTCATCTCAGTGCGAGAATACCACCTGACAAGCAACGGAGACTGGCGAGGGCCCACTGCCCCAGCAGAGCACATATACGACGCAAGGCTGTCGTGCATGACAGAGTTGCCTCACAACGTCCCATTTGCACTCGACAACGACGTAACGGCGAAAAATCAGAAGTGATTCCAAGCCAAAACTGCAGAAGGGAATGGTCTCGAGTGACGAGGGTTCTTGGCCAAGGACAGAACAGTCAGACTGGAATTTGAACACAAATTTGTGAAGGTGAGCGAGGACAGGGACGGAGGAGATCACACGTTGGCAAGAGAAGACAGCGAGGACAGGGTGCATTAGAAGATAGCAACATTGGAGAGTGACCGACGCACACACTGGCAGCGCGAGAAGCGTTGGACGAGTTGTCGAGGACGGGCCCTCAACGATTTATGTACGAAGCCTCTGAGACGCCAGAGCGGTAATCCGAAATTATTTGACACTTTTTTTGCGTGAGCTCTTGCCTGATTGTGAGTATTCTTCGGAAAAGGGATCTGGCTGTATAGATCCTTGAAGGGAGAGCATTTCGTTCGCCACAGTTTTTCTGTCATAGAAGTCGATCAACGTTCCTTTCATTGAAAATGACATCCACTCACCCAATGACCGTAAATTCTAGATACCCATCTGTTCCGCCAAGCTTCGTCCCCGTCACGCGGTGTACCCACTGTCCGCTCGCCTCCGGTACCGCATCGCCTCCCGCCTCCTCAACATCATCACCCTTCAGTCCTCCATCCCCTTCTTCCTCGACGGATGACCCTTCTCCATATTCGAATTCCCAGAGGTCTTGCGGAATGTGGCGTCGTGGTATTGAAACGTTAAACGTACGGTGGAGGAGTAGCGAGACGTGATCGGGAGAATATAGGATAATTTTACCTACTATTGAAGAATGTTATTAGATTCGAGCGGTACAAGGTAAACAAAACACGCACCAAGTTTCATAGATACAGCCGGGCTCCAGATCGTAGCATCGAAAGTGACATCGCAAATCGCGAAAGGACAGTCGGCATTGATGCTCGCTGTTGGACTGGGGAAATGTGAATTTGAGTGAGTCAAGAGAACACCGCACAAGGACGGGATATATCTATGTATTCAGTTCAGTATCACAAATTTGTCTACGAAATGTACCAACTCACCGCATGATCATGCTGTCTAATAATTCCTCCACACCCGCGCGTAGATTGCCGGCGAATACTGGAGGTACAGAGAGCGTTATGGTAGTTTTCGTCACCCGGAATTCACTTGTCGAAGGTGTGGTGCACGGCTTCCCCGCGTCCTGTTTCGATTTCTTCTTCCTGGGTATATCATGCTCTGCGTCGGATCCACGATTCTTCCGTTTTTTGAGGCCCGAGGCGGTCGTAGTGACATACATGAGTCCGAGCAGAAAATTTCAGACCCATCTATGGAAGACAGGAGCGTTCCGTTACATGGTGTGACCACACCCATACTAGGCAGGTGTGACGTTGGGACCGTGCTTTGTTTTTTAAAATACAAGGATCCAAAATAGAAATAAAAATCTGGTTATACCCAAGTTATACCTGGGCAGTGGCTGCCGGTAGACCGATAGCTAAGCGCTCGTGTCTCCAGGCAGCAGAATATGCGCCATCGTTCAAATCCTCACTGGTTTCCTGACTTACGAGATTGTTAGTGATTGGTGACCGTAGTGGATCCAGGACTTAGTTGTATTTGTTGCCAACTAGTGACCTGCATTTCTTTTCTGTGTGCAAGCCTGTGCAAGCGCGACTCTCGCTGTCTACCCTGAAGCCAGACGACAGTTTACCCCCTACAGTCGTCAAATCTAAGACATGTATAGGCCGGCCGCGGGAATTACAGGAGCTCGAGCTAGCGTTGGAGGGCAAGGCATCAACTGACACTTTCCAGACGAGGATGAACGCGAAAATGGCACCGATACCTGCCCACTTGAATGGACTCATCACATGCGGTTTTCAACGTCTCGTCGAACAGAATTTCGAGCTCTGCGTTGATTTATTTAATTGGCACGCATTATGAAACAGATAGTGCAGTTCATTAATGCGACTGTTAAAACTTTCGCCCTCGGATTGGGATAGAGGGACAAGTCCTTGAGTATGTTCACTGTTTGCATTGGTCAGACAAAAACGTTCGATCGATAAAATGTAATTTGCCGGACAAGTTGTAGAGAAAAGTAGAGGAAATCAGACATATGTAACTCAAAACACACATAATTGAGGCAAGTACAAGACACATATACACAGCTACAGAATAACAATACAGTCCCTATGTACAGCAGCAAAAAAATCGCAAGTCCAAGAAACATCGAACAACAAGATCAGTGTTAATACTTCGACCAAGCGGGGGTCTGTGGTTCCGCTTGCAACGCTGGAAAGTCGGTCGCCTCCCACGATCCCGGTATGAGGGCGATTGGAAGGAGCCAAGTGGCAGTGAGAACTATTCCGTACCCTAGTTTTGATGGAAACGTTGTGACAGCGATCAGTTATGATTCGGTCACGTTGATGAACAGGTACCTTTATCAAATATTTTGACTGCTGACCAGCTCCAGGCAATGAAGCCTCCGATATAGCCAAGGTATGGTACAAGTCGGCGGAGAAAAAACATCGGGGTACGCAGCTGTGGTGGCATGAGTGTGATAGGTAAATGATCCAGTAGCCACTTCAATGCAGTTGTGATTAAGGCAGCGCGTTTCGCAGCTTCAAGCTGTTTATCATTGAGAGCATCGAGCACAGGGGGTGGAAGGTAACTAATATCAGCCACATTAGTTTTGAAAGTGCGCGATTATATCAGTAAAGACGCCTACATTCGGAACCCCCACCACATCGCCTGAATGGATATTTTTGTGGGCGATGGGAGCCAGACACGATATTCAACTTGCTCATTTACACCAAGAGCAGTCGTGTCCTCTGGTTCGACTCTGCTGTTGGATGCAAACTGCTCAGGGCTTGCCCTTTGTTTCCCCTTGCGTCTATCGGAACTCTCGCTCTGGGCGAGGACTTGTTCGATTGACTCTGATGGAAGGGGAACGAAAGTCAGCTGAGGCGTGCGGATCTCTTCTCCATCTCCATTGAGTGAGACAATCTCAGAGCGCGCGATCTCTATCTCCGAGTCCTCCGTGGGCTCTAAAGGTCCGTACATCATCACTGATCCATTGTCATCTTCATACTCCGCGCCAGTGCGCGGTTCCTCTGCATTTGGCTCAGTGGTGCCATCCCTCTTCGTTAGAGGGGATCGCAATCGGTCTAACACAGACCAAACAGACTCTCTCCCACGATCGACCGACCCATTCATGACGGTGAATGAAGTGAGGAATGTCGTCAACTTTGAGTCAGGAAATCCTGGGGAAGATATCGAAGGGTTGTCATTGGAATCTATGACTGGTGTTCCAGATGGTGTAGTATGAAAGGGAGGAAAAGACGTGGGTAGCCCAGATGGCATGGAGGGCAATGATGCTATCATAGCTTGGATTTTTCGAGCGAGAGTGTCAGGTTCTGGTGGTTCGCTTTCAACTCCGACTTCTCCACCATCAAATGGAATCACATCAGCAGTCGCACTGCTGCCTGCCTCCTGGATCTCATCATCAATGATGGGGGGAGCAGGAAGGGATGCAGCAGTGGGAGTGATCGGTTGTTGACCTTGATTACTTCCCTCTACGAACCAGGAGGATGGAGGAAATTCTGGCCTCTTCGCCTTGCGGGCATACTTCAATAACCAATTGTCTATGGTGTTTATCTTCGCTTTTGGAAGTTTTGATGCGGAGGGCGATAAAGCTCCCAGGGCGTCAGCATGAGCGGTTGGCGTCGATTGCTCTAGTATTGTAGCGCTGGCCTTGCTGAAGCTCCTGACAAAGCGAGGAACGATGCCAGGGGTCGGCTCTGATTTTGGAGGCGACACACGTTCTTGTTCCATTGAGGCCAGATGGAAGCAGTTTTAGTGACTGCGCGTCAGGTGCAGCATGTTATGTGTGGCTGTGCCCGATAGTTATTACCTCTTGTTTTGGTAATCGGGTCTAACGATTGCCTGTCAGTTTCCTCGAGGCTCGAGGATGTAGTTTTTCGCGCAGGGCGGCCGCAGGCCTAACATGTACAGACGATCAATGTTCCTTTTATACTGAATTGTTTTCTGGTATGCTCATGGACAGTACTAGACTAGTAACTAAGTGCACGAATATTAATGTTACTTCAGGTATCGCGCCCCCTGACTGATTTGGTTGTTAAGGCCGAGTAAATTGCCCTTGGACCTAGACGTACGTCCTCGCTTTTAATATTGGTGAAGCCTCTTAACACCACGTCCACGAAAATTGTGCAGCATGCTTATAGTTCGGCATCAAGTCTTGATCGATATGATTCTTCCGATCCGATATATACTAAGTGATATGATGTGTACATACGTACGATAGCAGCAGCTTGAGGGATTCAAATTTTTGGTCGGATATAAGTCGGTCTAGCAGATCAAGCTGATCATGATGATAATTTGATAAGATTAGATGTAAAACCAAAATAGTACTTACAGCTGTGTAAATTGTTCCGGTTAACGTAGTTTGAGAGTCATGAGACAGATGGACTACAGCGGTGTTGAGACTAGCGACGGAGGCGGGTTGCAAAGAATTAGTACTTAGTGAGCAACCAAGCCATGGTGATCGTTCTAACATTATGTCGGATTAGCTGTTGCTTTGTGGGAGAATTAGCCGCCGCGTGTTTCTTTAGATGAAGCTGAAATGGGAAAGATGTGCGAGGCGTGGCGTGCAGCCGGCGGGCTGAGCCAAGCTTGCAATAGCCCTGCATTTACTTTACATTATTTCACTCACTTTGACGTTAAACTGCCATTGTAGCCTTTTGACTCTTGACTCTATCAAACATCCTTTCATCGCGTGTACAACCCATCTTAAACATTTAAATCTAGTCCACCATCAGCTCATCATCTCCTGGGACTCTATATCACGAGCATGACCTCCACGCTCTCCATGCCAACTATTGATTCTCTCTGTCCTCAGATTCAATCCTTGTCTCGCCCTCAAACGTATCCCCGTCATCGTGAGGTCCTGGCTATAACAATGAACAATGTACCCAACCCCACATATCTTCACGACTACCCAATCCATCCCTCTCGCTTCCCAATCTCCTCAATTCGCCCAGATGGTCCACAGAATACTCCATCCATACCACCCCGCACACCCCCAAAGCCTGTATTCCCGCGGTATGACCCTCTCCGTGTCCTCTCCCAAGAATCCACCCCGCCCCCACCCACAAAGCAGTCATTTTTACACCCCCTACAGGTGGCACCTGGTGTCCTGGCAAACGGCGTCATCACTGTGATGCTACCCGCCGTCCGCGAGTTTCTCAGTGCTGCTGCCGGTGCACCACCTGCCGCACCCGAGCTCCCAAGCGACAGTAGAGTATTAGCGCTTGCTGCTCTCGCCGTGTTCTATCGTCCGATGCACCCTGCGCATTGGGTCTTTTGGAATAAGGAACAGAAGAAGAACACTGCAGCCATTGTACAGAGTGTACTCGGTGAGTCTACTAGACATGTTCGTTCTTATGTAGTTCACTATACCATATTTCCTGCGTTCTCGCCTTTGATGCGCATCGATTCCACTTTCCATTACACTCAGTGTGACTCTGTCAATCATGTACTAACATCCGCTTCAGATACAACACCCACTCCCATCATCTCACCCATCGGCTGGATAGCCATCCAAGACAATCTATGGATTCTTGGTTCCCTCCAACACGCCTATTCCAGTGCCCTATCTTCCCAACCCTGGTACGCCGCATACGTTCCATCTGAAAGCGAAACCCGCATGAGTCTGCGCAAGCGCAAACCCACTATGATCCAAGAGCAAGTCATCGAAGATGATGACGACGATCTCCTCATGCCTCCTCCACCCAGGAAGCGTGCAAGGACGCGCAGGACTGCTACGACCGCCAGGAGCCCGAGGAAACCGGAAGAATTCTCCCCTCCTGACAACCCGGAGACAGAGGATGTGCCCGATGAGGTCGAAGCTAGCACCGAACTACCGGAACCGGAACCAGTGCTTATGCTGACGCGCGCAGCCAAGCGCGAGCTCGTCGAAATCCCTGTCCCAGCACAAGATGCCGAGAAATCTGTCTCACCAGAGCCGCGTAGAAGCCAGCGGAAGAAAGGTGATTCACCGGCGTCTTCGGCGACTACTCTCACGCGTATCCACTCGCGGGAGTTGTCGGCAGAGTCCGTGGAGGGCGCTGAAAGCGCTGGAAGTAGCACTGTTTGCGAGGAGGAGCCAGACAAAGAAAAAACAAAGAAGGGCCGTGCGAACAAGGAAGTTAAGCGCATTGATACAGCTGTCAAGCGTCTTGACAATACCGGCGAGGACGAGGGAGACGATGAAGAAGTTGAGGAGGAGAAATCTGCTCCCGCCAAGAGATCTCGCACCTCAGCTTCTCGTGCAAAGCCGAGGTCCAGGGCCCCACCAAAGAGAACCAACTCGGCCAATACCAATTCTGAGGAAGGCGGCGAGCACGCAGATGCCACTCCCGCACCTCCTGTGCCTAAACCAAAGTCACGCTCGCGCCCAAGGACGCGCAGGCGTTAGTTTGGCACAGATTCTTTTTGTTTCAATACATCAATGGATTTCTAACGCACTGGAGGGACCGAACCATGATATCACGAATTGCATCGAGTACCGGAGCACATCACACATCACATCACATTATATCGCACAAGCATCGCGCTTCGTCATTGGTCAGGATAATCTGGCCCATCGGATCAGGATTAACGAAAGGAAGGAAGCATCTGAAGGAATGAATGCGTAGAATGTACTATCATCGATTTTCAGGACTGAGAAGTTGTTGCATCATCATTTTTCTTCCTATTCTCGTCATTTTAATTTTCCTTATCCTCCCACCATCATCTCCCAGCTTTCTTTCTTTTCTTTTCTTCTCCCCTTCCCCCTCTTCATTTCCGATCAAACTTTTCTCTCGCTCAGGTGCACAGTTACTGGATTTGTGAAGGGCAAGAACCCATCGTTTGTTGTCGCGCTGCTATCGTTTCCTTTTTTTTTGTCATTGTCACCATCACTATCATTTTTTCTCGATTCCTTTTGTCTTCTGGCCTTGTTCTGTGTGTGTGATCACATGGCAGGTGTATACATGGCGAGCTGGATCGCCCTTGTAGCGGCAGGGATGATACTGGTTTATATGTACTACTACGACTGCTACCTATAGATAGCTGGAGCTCAGGCTGCACACTTGCAGAGCTGAGAGCGGTGTATATCATATTTCTTGATTTTCACGTTGTGCGTTAATATCGTGCCAAGACAAAGGATCTGCTCGCGAGTTGCGCCGGCGCGTCGATGAGACGCGATGTGACAAGTCACGTGCGTGTGAGTTTGTCGTCACGTTTTGGCAAAACTTTGCGAAGCTCCTGCCTTCGTCATGGACTGCGACCAGATGTATGTATGTCTCTCAGAGATCTACACATGAATGTGCTAATGGCACATTAACGTTCGATCACGCTGCGACAGGCTGTGACTTGGCTGCGACCCTACCTGCCGTACGGAAACCCGAATCTCAAATAGCCACGACCCACGATGATCCCGATCACAACAGAGGACATGCACTTCCGGATCTACTACATTGATGCTGCTGAAATTCACCTGACGGGATCCTCGAGTTCAATTGGCAATTATGGCTGTATCTCTTGCCTTGATCTGTTTCAGGCTGCGTTTAAATTAGCCTCCTATAAGACGTTGCCTCCTTACCGTTTGATCATCGATACTATTAATCTGGGACTTGGACTTGAATGTAAGTATGTGTTTGTTTCTTTGATCGTGGTCTTACATCTCACAGCGGGTTTGGAATGTAATTCAGCTTTTGAGTCTGAGGTTGTTACGTCTCCTTAGCGAAGGAGTTTATTTTGGGCGACTGTCCTAGACTAACCTTGATAACTGAGACGTGCTAACGGCTCATTTGAAATATCCGCCAAGATGGTGGATCGTCAATATTAATGCGGCAGTCCATGCCCGCGGCGCACGATATCTACCAGGATGGTGGACGGTCATCGACGCCGTGCCCGACATATCCCCGAATCCCACACTGGAACTCTGAGCCTGAAAACGGCGTCCGATGGGTTTAAAGAGCTACCTTTGCTGGATCCCCTAACCTAGGGCATGGAACGCTTTGCTGAGGTATATGCACTTCGAGGTGGTGGTGTACGGTATAATACTGCATGCTCAATTTTTCCTACTTGAGCTTGTGACACCGTGGCGCTCCATTCCCCTGGCTACCCCGAAGGAGAACTCCTTTTCAAGAATACAGGATGCGTCCCTACATTCCGGACCTACACAAGATTTTGGATCTTTCCATGCTAGCATTGCCTAGGACGGATATGACCGTTGTGTAACCGTGACAGGTGCTATCATCGCCTCGTCAAGTGCCTTGTGTTATCCAAGATGCCTCGAAAAAGAAATCACGCTCTCGATACGCCATACAGCACGCATATACTCAAGTTATCAGTATCCCGTTCCCCACCGCCACGATGATGTCACGGCGCCTGTTTTTACCCTCGGATGGCATAGCTGCATATTCTAACTACATGGGCCATCCTCACTAGGCCGCGAAGACAATAGGACCGATCGTCAGATGCTCGTACGGAAAGCTTCTGTCTACTGCTCTATGGTTCTACGATCGTGCCACACACTAGAACGAGATATCTGTGGATTTGGCGTTATTACTCACCCCCAGCCACCGCCTGTCACGATATTATGCCGACATGAAATACCTCTGGGTCCCTGAACGTTATCGCAAGCCTGGGGCGTATTGATACCATTCAATGATATACTGGGAGCTCTTGTATTACTGGGATTCTCATCATTATTATCTCCTGCTGACACAGCCTTCCCGTCAACGACTCCGCAAACCTGAATGCCTCTATGAACGTTCGTTCGTTCTTGCACCAAAACGTCGGCTCTCAGTCTGGAATAATATCACAACACCAAACTCTATAAAAAACGTTTTGCCTGTCCTGGTCTACGGTTCGACGGAGTGGCGTTCAAACGTTCTTACCGCTTTCAACCGGACCTCTGGCCCAAATGTCTCTCGTTGTTCGGTTTTCATGCCGACGTATCGATTTACGGCAAGATTCCCAGCGTTAGGGTTACATCTGGTGCGGGGATCATTGGCGAGCTTCTCCCTCAGGCTATTGCAAGCTGGATTCACGTGGACATCCGATTCTGTCATATGTCCCCCTTGATGCCCATACGTTGTTGTGCCCCTCACCAGCCGGCGCTGACACGACTTTGAAGTGTCGTGCTGCGGTTGCGCCCCGGAGAAGAGCGCATTACGTCTACTTCGAATTGATTCTCTTTCTCGATTGGGTTTCAAATTCAACCCTCGGTCACTCTCAATACTTGCTTATTAGGACATACCACTGACATGCATCTCTTCGTCTCGGTTGGGCATTCTTCGTAGAATGGAAGTTTGAATGCTACTTATTCTCATCGGTCCACAGTAGCGAAGGAATCGCATACCTTTTTAACTCAACGCAGATAAAGGTAGAAGATAAGGATATGCGTTGTCAACTTTGCATTCAATCCGGCGAAACGAAGACCGAATGGCGGGTGATAACAGCGATAAGTTCCTACCCTATTCACGCCACAGCCCCATTAGACTTATCACGCAAACGTATACAGATATGACAGTCCCCGCTGACTATCGTAACGTTTGCATGCACAATTACATGCAACAACGGTGCAGAATGACGCTCGAGAATTTAATCTCCCGCGAAGCTTAGGAAGAAATACATATTGCTCGGCTTAGCGCGAGCGAATTGGCTAGGCGTTATGAACGGCAGTGTCACCGTGGCCAACTGCCGGGGTCCAAATTAACATGACGCATATTAACGCGATGACCAATTTTGCATAAACCTATCCGCGGACCCCCTGAGAGTATCGAAATTCACCGACATCAGATATCAAACCGTTTGGTTCCAATTTCCGCACGCCGCATGTCAAGTTGTATTGCCTACCGATGCTCAGGGAAGGGATGTTATACGCGGACGCTCATGGCCCATCGATGGTGGCTGACATTGACGACTGCATCGCCGGCAAACCGCGTGCGCTTTCCGGTACCGCTCCCACGACACTGCATCCATACGCTATGATCGCGTTCACCAAGTTGGCCGTGGTTAGCTGTGCTTGGCGATCAAAGGCCATTGGACCTCAGTAGGGGGTCAAGTTATGTGGAATTTGAAGACGCCGTTTACCAATAACTGAAAGAACTACTTCTAGGACGCAACCATCATACTGGTGGAACGGTGCGCCTGTCAGTCCCCGGTCCGGAGAACGAACCTTGGTAAGAAATGTGACAGCGCTGTTCCCTCGTAGGGTTAGTGGGTCAGCGCTGATAGTTCGGTGATTTATGGTGGCCCGCACTTGGTGTCTTACAGGTCGTTCAAGGATTACCCGGCGATAGTCTCTAGTATTTTCCCGAAATCATTCTATGGACCATTTTGGAATGGGTCCCCAAGGAAGGTTAGACTCGGGTATGGTCGGCACCATTTATCATCATATGAAGTCACGCTGAGATCGAGTGGTCTTCGATGAAGCTACCGCCGCGGGAGAATAGCGAGGTTTGGATATTAATAGCAAGCCAATTACCTTGTTGCGAATAAAAGGTCCTTCCTTCAATTCGAGCCGCCTGGCGGAGTTAACTGTGTGTAAGGTATGTATTTTGCACACACTAGGTTGACTGCATTTTCCAAGGATGACCAGAAATGCCAGTGGGTTGAATCAGGCGGATGTTCAAAGGTGTCGCCGGTATGTCAAGTTCTATCAATTCGCTTAGATGAGATTGGCACGATAAGTCGCACCGGGCTCCTATCATAGGCTTCCCGTTTGCATTAAGCCAACCACGCTGCCAACCCCCTGAATGCTAAGATTTGTCACTTGAAGGCAGCAGCTACACTGTTCTTATTTCAGAAGTTATGTAACGTTTTCCCCATAGAAAGAACTTGTATGGTGTTCCAGTCCCAGGGAAGACAACATTCTCCCGTAAGTGGTGATTGGTATGTGGCACCTTTGGAGAATTAAACTATATGTCAAGCATGCACGATCTATATATATGGAAGACAAATCGTACTATATTTCTCAGAGTGGAATCTGGATCATGTTCCTGAGCCAGAACATGCTGCTACTTTTAAGTGAAACATGTGTCGCGTATGTAGTAGGCGAGACATGTGTGAACCCCAATGGCTTGAAGAGCGATGTTTAGAGAGTAATTTTGGTATTGATTAAAGGGGCGGGGAAGTGACGCATGTGCGTCTGTATACATGAATAGGTGCATACTGATGGGGATTACGTCGAACACCATAGATGGAGGGCCGCGAAAGGCGTGGCATTTATATCATCGTTCTGGCTAAGCATGGAACCTTGCAATTGAAGGTGGTTGCGAATTTGGCAGTCCTCAGCCTTTCCTATGGGAATGAGCGGGGTCATTCACCGAAAGTAGATATATATGAAAGGTGGCTAATAGCAGTTCCAATTCGAACTTTGGCAAGACCCGTCATGGAAGCCGGCTGAATCTGAATCAACGTGTTGGATGTGGATATATAAACGTGCCGTTTACCTCTCTCTCACTGTTCATGTGCATCCACATGACCCTATCGCCGTAAAGAGCGACCGTCACGTAGGTAGGATGCGCCCTACGTTGTGCTCGGAGAGGAGCGGTCGGTGAATGTCAATCCCATGTGCCGAAGGGGATTAGGTACTTAGTTGATGGTACCGAGTGGATAATATTGGACAGGGAGTTTTTGGAAGCTTCACCCAATAAAACCAAGGAGGCTATGCATGGCGTAACTGGCCAGGCCAGGCCCCATGTCAATGAACAACACGGACGACAACCGTTAAACACGTCGTCTGCTGTGCATGAATGCAGAATGAAACAAGTAAATAAGCTTGTAGTGAATCATGATATATACAACCATATGAAACAGTAACGAGGAATGAAAAAAGGACCGGTAGTTTAAGAAGAATGTAAAGCCATAAGCGCTGTGACCTGGCAAGGCATTACCAAATTCTGCTTCCGTCTTAGCGGGTCACCCAAACTTACCAGCCATTGTTGCGCTGGCCACTGCTTTCTCTCTTCCCACTAACTCCATCACTCTTCAATGCCCTCCCAGTCGTCTTCCTCGTCGGCTTCGTCCTCTACTTCCTTCCAAAAGATGAAGAAACGGTAAGTCAACTTCTCTGCCTCATGCTCCCCAATTCTCACCCTTCGTCATCCTATCTCTTCAGTAGATTGTCCCGAGAGCAACTCTTAAAGAGTCTTGAGGTCATTCAACATCTCAATTTACAAAATCGTTCAACATAATTAAACTCTTTCTTGCTGCCATTGTAGATCTTGGGTCCTCTTGCAGCACCGCTGCCACCAGACCTCCCACCGTCACCCCCCGCATCCCGGTCAAACTCCCCTACCGCACCAGCCATTAAGAGAAAGCATGAATCCTCACTGGAACATGATGTCGTCAAGCGTTCTAGAACCAACGGGCTGCCAGAGAAGCCCTCCTCACATCACCATCATCATTATCACCCACCACCACCTCCTCCTTCACAACCGCTCAGGTCTTCAAACGCAGTTCCTTCATTCAACTTGCGTTCTGAGCCATCAGAGGATGGAGAAGTACGAGAAGATACCACTGCCGTGACGCCTCGGGGTCCGGCGCCTGCTGTTCTGTCAACCACTGTGCCTGTGCGGCGTCCGCGGCGCGGACGTCCAACACTCGCCTCCTTCGATGAAATGCATGATAAATACCACAACTATGGTAGGAAGCTCAAGTATTCAGGCGATGCTCGCTTCTGGTCGACATATCCTGCTACACACAAGGAGTACCGTCCACTGGCTAGCCCACCGGCTCCAAACTCCCCATACCATAAGCATGGAGGGCTCATTGCGCGACTCGAGCTCGTAGACGCACTTGTATGCTTCACCTACTCATTGTGGAGCAAGGATTTCAGCAGGAAATCATGCTTCCGTGAGACTTGGGCTACCATCGAGGCATTCCTCGGGTGGTGTAAAAATAAATGGATCGCTGAGCTTGATACGATCGGCGATCGTGAAAAAGCCCTCTTGGGCTTGATGTAAGCACCCCCTTACTGTGGTTTTCCGTTCTGCTCACGCATTTAACGCACACAGCTGGATGATTGAAGGATTCATCCACGGGCGAAAGTTCTTTTTTTCAGCAAAGACGGTCATAGAACCCGAAATGGACCGCATATGGGCAAAAATGAAGGCTGAGATGGCGATGCTCAGCAGCAATGCGGAGAAAGCGGACGGACAGCCCACACCACCAATGCTTCCTTCTCCCGCAAGCATAGCTCCTGCCAATAGTGCAAACTCCACACCTATAAACAACAGTGCGAGCGGCACTCCGAGTGTGAACACCTCTAATAGTATCAGTATGGCCAACTCGCCCGCTCCCTCCCGCCCAGCACCTCCAATTTCTACCGCACTCCCACAGTATATGCATTGTCTTCTGCCTCAGACAGCCAAGGGTCAAAGCGCGAGCTACAACATGATCGAAGCAGCCGCCAAGGCAACGGCGACCATTAATCCCGCGCTCACGTTCAACGTCAAAGAGCTATCCGGTGGCGTTATGGCCGCGGGGTACTGTATGGAGTTTGCTCAACGCACTCTGACCCTGCCCATATTGGCACGCCATTATCCCACGACATTTGCCCGGATGATGAGTTCCAGTCTGACTGCGCACGAAGAACACGAGCCTGACATTGAAGATGAAGAAGGGGAACTGTTCTGGCCTGGCCAGTGTGTAACTGGAGAGGGTCTCGGTTGGGTTTGCCTGATGGGTAAAGCCATGATCAAGGAATTCGGCCGAGACATTGGCTATCTCGGACTTGCCGGCGTCGTCCCTAAGCCCGCTCCTGGACCGATAACAGGCGATTCATCCCGACACGCATCCGTACTCCGGTAGCAAGCCATAAGAGCCATACCATTCCACGCGATTCTCATTTCTTGTCGGCATCATCATCTGGAGTCATGATTTTACTTGCAATCCACGGAAGATCTTGGATGGATTTTCTCGGATTTCATTGCGGAGAAGGTTTTCAAGCCTTCTGGATCTCTCGCCCTATCGCGCCAGCTCAATGGACGTTGCCTACGCTTTAGCGACCTCGCCCAACCCTTCGTAGCACCCTTGCTGCAGACCAGTGCATTTAGCGCTCTCAACTTTAGATCAAACTTGTATTATTACTCATATCAACTTGTCATCGATATCACTTCTGCCCTGGCCCAGTGGCCTGCCGAGACCGTCCCTTTCCCTGCTGGTCTGCCGACCCTTGTTCATTGGGTCGAGAGGATGTGCTAATTGCATCGTCACCGCCACCTGCATTCTCATCGCACCGCAATTAGCACTGGCCTCTCGTTCCTTGTATTTATCCCGATCTACGACTCTCGTCCTCTCAACGCGGTCCTCTTTTCCTGTTTGTTGAAGGAGATAAAACGTACATATGTACTTTTACTTACTATACCGAGTGCCGTCGAAGACAGGACACTCGAGGCTGAGATGGATTGGTCCCCGCGCCCCCATCAGTTCGCATGGGGTGCATATCTCATTTTATCCCTGGGGTTGAGAATTACTCTGCTCATTTGTACATCTAATTCAATCTTCTGGAATTTGGCTTTGAGGGCGCACGGAATAGTTCCGCGATCAGGTCTGGGTCCGATCTATGTGAGATAAGTAACTCCATAAGCGGTGACATGTTCAAATGCAAGGCAGTGTTCAAACGTTAACGCGTTAACTTTCTCTGTTGTTGTGGTAACGTTCCATGAATATAACCACCCATTCTGTTGGTGCGGGATCATGTGCATGCATAATGTCATTGAGGTTAACATACACATAGAGAAGCATGGGTGCAGCATGAGCGCAGCGTTGATAATGAAGCGGAAAAAATGAATATCCAGAAAGCCCATAGCAGTCACACTCGGACTGCACAAGTCCTCCCAAGTACACGAGTAGCGGTTTTCACCGGTTAGACTTGGCAACACGCTCGAGCTCATCTTTTTTCTGTTGGACGGTAATGAGGCCACAATTACCGACAAAGACATTAATTTACCTTAATGGCGTAAGAGTTCGAAGAACCCTTGGCAGCGTTGATGAGTTCGTCAGCAAGACACTCGGCGATGGATTTTACGTTGCGGAAGGCAGATTCCCGCGTCTGATATCGGATTAATTGGGTGACAATAATTATGGAGGTTGGGGTATGCTTACGCCGGTGGTCAGGAGGGAGATGGCCTGGTTGACTCTCCGCAGGGGTGAGACATCGACGGCTTGACGGCGGACGGTACCCTGAGAACCAATACGGGTGGAGTCTTCCCGAGGGCCGGTGTTGACAATAGCGTCAACGAGAACCTATGTATTGATTAACACCTTGAGAGTTGGGTAGCTATTTCCGCCCGACAGACCTGGATGGGGTTCTGGTCGGTGAGGAGGTGGATAATCTCGAATGCATGTGCAACAATGCGGACGGCCATAAGCTTCTTGCCGTTGTTGCGGCCCTTCATCATCAAGCTATAGGCCAACTTTCAGCATCTACACATTCGTGGAAGGATCTTTGGCGCACCTGTCAACCAATCGCTCGACGATGGGCATTTGTGCCTTCTTGAACTGCTTCTTGGCATAACGGCCAGCAGTGTGGGGCAAGTAGACAGCATGGCGGACTTGGATGTAGTCCGTGAGGGAAATATCCTTCACTTCGACACTGGACCGAAATCACGTCAATATAAAGACTATACGCCGACCAAGTATAAGCGTACTCCTGGGTGTCCCACTTTCCAAACAATTTAATTTCCTGACCGAGCTTTGAAACATCCTTGGGAAGGGTAGTGGCCATTTTGAGGTGCTTGAGGGATCTTGATGCAAGGTGGCCTTGGACCTTTTGCGCGACGATGAGCGGCTGTTTGCTCCTGTTGTGTCACCACATAAGAATAAGGTTTGCCAGCCCTCCGGCAAAAGCCGAGAACTGTACAGTTTTGCCATATGGGTCACAACCCTCGTGTCAACCTCATGCGGTCACGTCCATCTTCCAAACCGAACCGCTTTGCCGGCAGCCTCATCTCCGAGCAGATCGCGGATTCGTGAACGTTATGACATTAAACTGATTCGATTTCTGTTTAGATTGTTTCAAGTTTACCTTCTGAACAAAGTTCCAACATCTTACGATGATAAGTTGTTCTTTGTCTTCTGGCGCTGCAAGATATGATGAGAGTTCTTCGTCTCCGTCTAGCGTAGCGAGGAATGCTCGGAACGTCGTTGCAGGTCTTTACTCCATTAAACATCATGTTTTCTGGTACGTACATATACAACCTCGTATTTATTTCGAGTGCCCAGCATGAGTGATTGCTTTTACATTTGACCTTGGCACTTGTTGCAGACTATGCTATATGGGGCATTCGGCATTCTGATTCTGACCGGCTTCTATGCAGTCTAAAGTGATGTCCACTCCCTCGTGGCCTCGGGCGACGGGGATACGTTCTCATATAACAGACTGAGATATCTCTTACATGGGCAGGTTGAAAAATATGTTCGACTGCCTCGTCCTTGACATCAATCTGCAGTGCCATCTACATAGCTGAGAGATTCGCTCGTACTTCTGAACAGAACCGCTGTATGTTGGGGTATGTTTACAACACGATGTCGATGGATGAAGCTGAGAGCGAGCACATTGAGTACGTGGTTGCGAAAGGTCGTAATGGGCGCGGTGGGCCGTAACGTACGTGAACCTTTGTAATAAGGATAAACGGATTTGATTACGTCTTATTCGTGTCGAAAATTCCTTTCTGATCAAACTTCTGCAGCTACTTTCCATTAATTGTTGACTTCGAAAAGCATGATGACCTGATTAAAGTTGGCTGGCATTCAGGGTGTCCGATCGAACTCGTTTCCAACGTTTCCGCAGGACTACCAACGTCCCTCGTCGTCTCTTCAACAGACTTGGCCCTTCAGCAACACATCTCGCTTTCGGACATTCTGGTACCAACATAGATCATGTCCAGTTCAGAAGTCCTCGCATATGACGCGCAAGCTTATGCTCATGCTTATGCGCATGCTGCTTACAATGTGTGGGTTACTCGTATCTGCCAGCGTGAGTATTAGACATGCTTTGGTCGACATCCCGACTTACTTTTTGATACATAATAGTGTGTCCTTGTATCATTTTCTGTTATGATTACTGTGCGTCTCAGGGTGCGTATCGAGAACAGTTCGTGCTAACGCTTTTGGTCAGTGCTCACGCTCGATCGAGAGGTGCAGTGATATTCGTTGTCGTGTGTGTTCAACTGTCTCATTCCTCGTTAGGTTAAGTTCATATGGGTCCGTCTTCGTCAAGTATATGCAGGATCTGACTTGCTCAAGACTACTATCGTAGAGACGGCCGATGAGATCGTCCAACGTGTTATATATCATTGTAAGATTGCTCTCATACTTGTAGAATGCCTTTGAACGTCAGTTAGGTGAGATTTGGTGGCGGCGCACTCCTATTGTGAGTTTTTTCTTGTTAAAAACGAACAATACAGTCACTAACTTTCTGTGTAGTCTCAGTGCTGCAGGTAGTAATCCTGCCCTCGAATCATCACTGACTGACGTCCTTATCAGCATTTATGAGCGAATACACTTCTAGAAATGTATGTTTTCTATTACTCGCATCCGCTCATTTCTGGGAACTGAACACCTTCTAGTTGTACGTTGTATATTACGAACATCATTATTGCATCAGCCGTTCACCCCACCTTAATGCCAAAACAATGTCATTAGCTGTGAGCAGGAATTTCCAGCTATGACGCCAAGTCTGATAAGGCTATTCAGGTTTTTTTTTCCTCAACATTCAAGGGTGGCCCAGTTTCTGCGTTCTTTGGGCAGTTCAGCGTGAGACATGTTTTGTTTCTTTAGATAAAACCACTGACCTTTGTTCAGTCATACTGCAGCTCCGAGTGTACGCTCTATACCGTCGATCTCGAAAAGTCCTAATTGCCATGGCGATTGGATTTACGATAGAGGTTATAGTCATGTCTATCTGTTTGGGAATAGGTATGGCAATGACTACCAGCAAGTATCCACTGATCCGCACAATTGCTCCAACGTTGACATTACTTTCTAGATACAAATGAGCCAATACCAGGTATCAGAATCTGTGCCGTCATGAAAGCACCGCCTGCGCTTGCGTACGTGTGGCTGCCTGATATTGTATTTGGAACATTTCTGTTCGTGCTTGCAGCCAGCATTGGTTTCAAACGCGGTAGATTTGGCTTCGACATCTTCCGCATGGAGAGAAAAGACCTTGTTGATGCTCTCGTGTATGGCAACGTCCATTACTTTTTCTGGTGAGTAGGGTCTATTATATCTGCAATCCGTTGTCATGACCGCACCCGATAGCATACTCGTTGCGAACGCTGTGAATGCGGGAATCTGGCAAGGGTTAGGGGTAGGCATAATCCTGCTCCAGACTGACGCTCCTTTAACTTATGACTCCAATGACAGTATAACTGGTTCGAAGCTCCAGAGGGGTTCGCGGCTGTCATTGAAATCATCCTTGGATGTCGGATGGTTCTGGACCTCAAATCAGCAGTGTCTGATTCTGAAGGCTTGCAGCTATTAGACTCATCCCCAATCAGAGACTCTTTCGGTGTCAGAGAGGGCCCGTCAACCCTGTATTCTGCGGTTAGCACCTATGATCTCGAGGTGATGCAAGGTCAACATCGGCTTACTCAAGAGATTGAGTTTTCTTCTCCAACTTGCTCTGGATCTGGGGAAAGCTCTCGCGTTCTCATGGAGGAAGCAAACAGGTCATGTAGCAGTCCTCTTCCTACTGTCGTCCACTAGTGTACAGATGCATTTTACAAAAGTTTATCACTCCCCACGATTATACCACATTGATTGTTCGGTTCATTTGTATATTGTATGAGCATCACGTCGATCCCTTTCCAACTGGGGGGGCAACTGCGAGCAAATTGACAATGAGGCCGTGAGGAAGCAACTACGAAGATTGCCCAATGCACGACAGATAAATCGGTCTCAACAGCATACCTCTCTTCCACTTTTACACCTGATTTCTATTTTTGATGAAGTCGTGGTTCCGGACATCAAAGCCGACGCCAAAAATATGGTTTATCCCAATTACTCTATATGACATTGTGCGTTGACCATCCATTGTCCAATAATAGGTGGGGACTGATAAGTACTGTTTCAACTATTAGGTGTTCGTAATAGTGTTCCAAGGGCGGAATTATTGAAATCATGGGACTAAGCAATGCATTGCCGGGGAAATAACTCGAACCCATCAAGCTTGATGTCCAGGTTGCTGGCGAATGCCACCCATCAATTCGAGGATATCTAGAAAGACTTACTCAAAAGTCTGTCGTGTCGTCGGTGATCAGACACGTACCTTGCAATCTCGCTTCTTTCTTTTGTCTCGGAGTCTCCGTACGTTTGGTTCCAGCAAACGCCTAAACGTGCGATCAGTGAAGCGTGCCATAGCCAGCAAGTAGTCATCAACACTTGCCTGTTGAATCAGAAGCTTCTTTCTCTCTTGTATCTCGATGACCTAATGAAAATTTCAGTAAGATAGAACACCCAATTCAGCCAACGTACTTTGGATTCGACAGTGTTCTCGGCGATCAGCTGGTAAACGTGAACCGGTCGCTTTTGTCCAATACTTCTTCAAGTCAGTTTGGTTAATGGGAGAAGACACGTGCTGCAGCTCACCGATTACATCTGTCGATTGCTTGACTTTCAATACCCTCCTGTTATGTACGTTAAGTTGTTGCTACAGAAGGGTAGACTGAAGAACCTGCCTGCCACCAGCTAATACGGGTGGATCAAGGTCAGTTCGCTGGAATTAGCTACCATGGAGAAACGCACGGGTCCATCCTACGATACCAAGTAAATTGAAGTTTCAGCGACCAGGGCACAACACTTACAAAATAACATTATTGGCGACAGTTAGGTTCAGACCTAATGATCCAGCTTTCAAAGAAATCAACATCACTCTGGGAATCCTGCTTCCAAAAGAGGAGCCATCGAATCTAGCTTTCTGGCCGGTTCGTGGGCCGTATGTTGCTTTCGCTTTACCCTTATTCTTAGGCTTCGACTTTCCCTTGCCTTTCTTTGCCATAGTAGAGATGTCCTCCTCAAAGTCGTCGTCATCATCGTCAGCATCATCTACGATGAAGCTGGAATCATCGTCCTCCAGAAGGACATCCTCTTCCACTAAAGTTGTTTGTGTCGACGTACGTCTTCTGCGTAGCGGAAGGGGGGTCTCGATGTCGACCGCCAGATCCTCTTCAGCTTCAAGCGGAATAGAGAACTGCTCAAGGACCTCTTTCCGTCGCCTTGCTGACAGCTGACCATCGAACCGCACATACGGGATGCTACAACGCAATTAACGTCAACTTGAAAAGCGATTAGTAGTAAGATCATACCCATGCTCCTCGAGGGCCTCGCCAATCTAAATGCAGTGACATGAGCATAATTACAACGCCTTGAGGCTTCAGGCATACCTTATCCAGGAATGAAGTAAACTGGGAGAAAACAAGGCTCTTCTCCTCACCGGGGATGAGTTGGAGTAGGTGGATCAACTGATCGATCTTTGCAGACGATCCGGTTCGGAGTGTGCTATCATAAGTTTCGTTCTCATCATGACGAACAGGCAGTTGAGTAAGTTCAGTGAGAGGTGGCGGTTCTATTAAATCACCCATTCCAATGGTACGGCGATCCTAGAGATATGTCAGCAAACTGAAGACTGCTATAGACATAGCTGTACCATAGGACATTTCGGATCTCTGGCAATCACTTCAGAAATGCTTGGGAAATTAAATTAGAATACTGTTGCTGTCGAGGACTATCACAAATCCTAACCATGCGAAACAGAAAGGGTGGGAACAAGCTGTGATCCTTGGATCGTTTAGGACGTCGAAGCAGATAGGACACTCTTCACTATCTTCAATAGCTTTGGCGAGGAGACTCTGCAGAAGACGCCTCTGATCTTGAGTAACCGGGAGAGTGGCACGTGCAGCTTCTTCGTTATCCTCTGTAGCACGAAGTTGTTCCAAGTAGTTCGGAGGAAGAAGGCCTGGATGCAGAGCTACTTGTCGTAGCCGTGTTAACATACTAAGGACGTTTGTCGTGAACTATAAGGAGAACCCAAGTCAACACAATTGTCCTTACGATCAATGAATACGTACCGCAGTGGTCATCCCTCCTTGTTGGTTCATGAACTTCTCCACTCGCTGCTGAGAGACTGACCCAATGGCATCATAGAGAGCCTATATGACATTGAGTGTGGCCGATGTTGCAAGAGCAGAGAAAACTTACTCGTGCTTCATCTCCCAGTGGAACCGGAATGACAGTAATGTCGACCTAACGGAGAAATTAGAGCCACTGTATGTTTTGCAGCAAACAACAGTCGTCACTACCGGAGGTAAAGGCACGAGTGGCTTCCCAAATCTGTCTTGCATCTACGAAACCCAGATTCGATCAGAATTGTCCGTCTGTAATCTGCAGTGCCTCACCTCCTTTGTGCGACGAATACAGGCGTGACTCATCAGAGCCTACAGCCGTAGTGATCAGTAGGATTCGACACAGGGTGGTAGACTACTCACTCGCAACAATTCTGCACCAGAGGGATCTCCATCTTTCAGAGGACGTAGGAGCAGGCGCTTATAAAAGTCCTCCTTGTCGAGTGGACGACAAATCTGAAGGAAGGTCAAGATAGATCCAAGATCCTGCAGGTATTTGTGGTTTAGTCAACTTTCTTCCACCATGGCTTCGGGAAACACACCCTTGGAGAATTAATCTGAAAATACGGGATTGTAGATGAACCATTTGGCATTCGAAATTTGTACACTCACGATGGGGGTGCCAGACAATGCCCATCTGCGTTGGGCCGTGAGTCTGCAAACAGCTTTAGCCATCTTCGTCTTCGGATTACGAATCGTGTGTCCTTCGTCAAGGATGACTCGCTAATTAAACGACAGATAGGTTACAACTAGTGTCCATGTCATTATTCACTCACCTTCCACTTCACGTCAAACAGCGCCCTCTCAACCTTCTTTTTCTTCTTAGATGGTCCATCACCAACCATGGTTGCAGAAACGTCGGACTCTCCAGTGACCGTCTGGTAAGTGGTGATGACGATATCATACTGCGAGAGTTGTTGAGGTGACATGTCGCGTGTTGCACCATAATAGGTGCAACTTGAGATTGCACCCCTGACACAATGTTCTTCAATCTGTTTCTCCCAGTTGGATATGACCGAAAGTGGAACGACTGGTATCCTTAATCAGCAGAAAGACCCTCGAATGAGAAAGCAAAAGACGTTACCAATAAGCGTGCTCTTCGAATGATCAGTAGGAATGTCCTTCTTAGTTGCAAGAATGAGAGCCAGCATGGAAAGCGTTTTCCCCTGCATGCAAGCTTAATATCACGTCTAAGTGTTTGAGAGTCCTACTGACCAGCCCCATACTATCTGCAAGAATGGCGCCGCGGCCCAGCAGAGGAGGTGACGATATCTCTTGAGGAGTTTTCGTTGCGACTACCACATCGATGAGCAAAGTACAGCAAGCGACGTCACACACTCAACTGTTAAAATAATGGGGCTGATATAGTTGAATGAATGACTGAAAGCTTAGAAGCAAAATTAACTCACCTTCGAGCCAATTTTTCTGTACTGCCAAAACTGAACTGGCTTGTCGGACTCCTTGGTTGGCAAAGACGGGTATTCATGATCGATACACCACTGCAGCGCTTGGCTCTGCATGCGAGAATCAAATAGATGAAACCTACATAAGCGACATCACCTACCTGGTGCTTGAGTAAATCAACAACCAAATCACCATTGGCAACGCCAGGGGGTGCGGGATGGACCGGAAGATTAAGAATGTCGTCGACAGAACATAACGCATCTAGGAGAGAGGCACGTCTTCCTTCATTGTCTACTTTCTCTAGACTGCCCAACATCTGTTTGAGCTCAGATGCGTTCTGCAGAGCTTCGAGATGCTTTCTAACGACCTCTTGCTGCTTTTTAACAGCATCTTGCTGGGACTTCGATTGCGTTGCTGTGGCTCCATACCTTTGGCTCGACGACGGCTGATATGTGGATGAAGAACTTGCTGCTGAAGGCCCAGCTGCAGCAGCATATGCAGTAGATGATACTTGTCCAGCCGCGCCTCCTACTCCGCGAGGTGGAAATCCGCGCTGACGAGGAGTAGCCCAAATTAACTGGGGTTCTAGCTGGTCTCTCTTGTCAGACGGACCATAAATCTTCAGTGTCCTGTGAATAGTGAGCATTCTTCCGACACATGTAATGTAACAGATCCCTACATCGATAGTGAGTAGCTAAATCCAGACACTAGGTATTTTATTGTTTCAGGGAATCTTGCCTGTATTGTATATGCAACAGACTTACAGTTTCCTTCGTGCATCACACCTTCAACTGTAATCGCGCCGCGATCCAACAGAGGGGCAAGCTTCGCAGCCGTCTGCTTCGGTACATGCCCAACCTTAGTACCCCCAATATTCTTGACCTCAATGGCATTCCTGGAGCAACATTAGCCTTCAACTCGATATCGATACTTTGCTACAAATACCTGTCGTATTTGTTTTGCGGGTCTCTAACTAGCCTGACTTCCTCCCCAGGACCAACGAGGCCTTGGAAACCATGTCAGCGAATGCATATGTAAAGAAAATCTGCGGAAAGATTCACCATTGTAGTATTGGACACCGACAATACTGGAACTCAAGGTGCAATACAAGACATCTACAGGGTCGGCTTCAATGATGGTGACCTCATCATCCTCATCATCCTCAATATTGTATATGATGGGATTACAGGTGGCCCGTATAGTCGGCTTTACAGAACTCAGCCGGGAGTTTGTCGGGATTGCCTGCTCAAATCGAGCTTTGCGCTTTTTCCGACTCGGAGCAGGCGCTTGGGAGGTGGAAGGTGCAACATGAGCAGCAACAGGGGTAGCTACTTTGGCAGTTTGAGGAATATCCGCTGGATCCACTCGTTGGTTCGCAATCGCTCGCCGGACCTTCGTTTGATCCTCCGGACTGAAGAAGTTAATACAAACCCAACGTGCACACCATAGGGGATCTCTTACCGAATGTTGCCAAAGCCGATTATTGTGCTTTGGTCCACCACTGCAAGGCTTCTCAAGATATCCGGAGTGACACATCCCCTGTGAATTTTTGTAGTCAGCATAAACATTCGGTAATGCACGGTAAATAGAAGCACTGCTTACCAGTGACGCCAGGCAACTGTTTCACCATATTCTCCTGGAACAAGTTGCCCATATCTCAAGCTTCCGACCGGAATTGGGGAGCCATTGCAAGGAGCGGGGCCCTTGCAAACCGATCGGGTGCTCCTACTATACTAAGCTCCTATAAGCCGTGTTGTCAGCACAATGGACAACGTTAATGCTCACATCGATAGAATGCTTTGGCGGCGTCATTGACAGTAAACACGTAGGTGTCTTCTGAACGCGTTGTACTAGCTTCTAACTTCTCTGTGGCGTTGCAGTGGCAGGAAAGCAGTATATTTGCACGACTTTGGCGCCATCGCCGCGACGCGACGCGCCACTGATTACGTGATACGCGTCTCTTGTCTCTTACCACACCCGAGTACATTAGCAGAAACTCCAAGGAAATGGTTCAATTTGATCCGAACGTGCGCATGGGCAGTCCAAGCAGTCTCCCATATGATCCAGACCAGGATGCCGCTGAAAAACGCGACATTCGGAAAAAATATCGTGCTCTTGAAAAGAGGACAGGAGGTCCGTGATCGGCGCTACTCCGCATGAGCTAGAAGCTTATTGTCATGGTCTTTCTGGAAAAGAACAACTTCGCCCACAAGACATAAGGGCTGCTGAACTCGTCGAACAAGTGGAAGAAGCTGATGAGCTGTTCCAAAAAGGTGTGTCTTCTTTTCGTTTCTCGGTTCGTGTGACGGAAGACATTTTCAGTGAAAAATCCGACCGAGGCTACCCTTGACTCTACTGTACTGCGGAATGTATCAAGTATTAGTGCACAGAAGGCCCGTGCAATGAAGCTTGGCTCTGCCGCCTTCGACATTGATGACTTTGTCTCCAAACTTGCTATATTTATGGGCGGCAGGCACGACCTTGCAGATGATGCTTCGGAACTAGATGACATTGGTGACTGCGTAATGGATTGGGAGAAAGTCGGTCGGAGAGCACTCGCAAAAAGCAGAAGGGTCCCAGTAATGGGATTCATGTTGGTTATTTCTCAAAAATTCAGACTTCGCACTCAGCCCACTGCAGGCTTGGACCTCTTTCAGTAGAACAAAAAAAGCGCGCCCCGGTCAAACGTGCCAAGCTTGAGAAGAGCAAAGAGGAAGAACGCAGACCTCAGGAAATCAAAGAAGAAGACATTCAGCGGTCAGAGAACGAAACCACGAAGAACGTAATCAAGGTAGGTTTGTAGGAGCCCCCTTAGTGCATTAGATAAAATCTCCCAATAGGTCAGAGAAATCCTTGAAGAGTCGGGTTCTGTCAACCTCTTCCGCTTTGTAATTAACCCCAACGACTTTGCACAATCGGTTGAAAACATATTTTACCTTTCTTTCCTCATCCGAGATGGGCTTTGTGCCCTCGAAATCGATGAAAACGGAGAACCAATCATATGTGAGCATTGCCCCTTTGAGTGTATTGGCCGTACACTCAATATCTGTAGTCTTATGCGAAGCGCCTAGTGCACAAGACCGCGCAGACGGGGGTAACGTGCCACCAAATAGTTATGGAGTTTGACATGGCTACATGGAGGGTAAAATACCTCCATTCTGTGTTGGTTCACACTCACTTACCTGGCAAACAGCGTGCTATAGAAGTTTTCGAGATCACTGAGTCTATGATACCTCAGAGACCGGCAGCTAAGACGAGATTGGGAGGGAAGTGGTATGGCTGAGATTTGAACTAGGCTCTGCTGGAGATATTGTTACACCGAATAATCTTCCATCGTACTGTAAAGTTGTATTTATGACAAACTCCATTGCAATAGGTATAATTGTGATAGGTATAATTGTGATAATGACAGGGTATCGATTTAGGTGTTTGAGTGTAATAAGTAGATTGCCGTTCCCTTCCCATTAACTGAATCATCAATACCTCGTGCTATATAATAAACGAACGAATGAATAAAGAAATGTCCAAATATGCAAGTTGTCACGTCTAGCAAGACGTGCGAGGCTTGAAGGGGAATTTCTTTTTCCCAGCATCGTCGTAGATGCCATAGCCAGGCTCCTGCTCGTCGCTGTAGATATGAGCGAACCAACCGATACCGCCCTGAGGACCGAGTTTAAGATCCTCGCAATGGCTGTCGAGCATAGAAAAGTAGCCCTGCGTCAAGTTCATTAGACTACCGAAGAGGTTAAATTTCATGATGCGACTGACCTCCTCGTTAGCTACCGAGGGCTGGGCAAGAATGCTATTAGGCTGAACGCCAGGCGAAGTGACGGAGGGCCAGCCATTCTGAGAAGTGGAGCGCTTTAGCAAAAGAAAAAAAAATTGCACTCGACTATGACAGACACACCTCATCAAAGTACATCTTCTTGCCATTGCCATGTTGGATAAACCAGTTCATGTCAGTCTCAACGAGCGGCCATGCAGCAGCACCAAACGTTGCAAGGGCCGAGAAAAAGGGGAGCATATGAACATTGATAAAGTCAATAGCATCGAGGACGTCTTGAGCGCCACCACGCTCCTGGTATCCATATGCGAGTTCGCTGACAGTGACAGGGATGCCGACACCAAGGAGCTTGGATTTCAAAGACGTGACCTGAGATGCAAGCTCCGAATGTGGCAGTACGTCATCGAACAGAGGCTCAGAACCAAATTGGACGCCTCGGGTGACGAACTTGGCCTTGGGGTTACTGGTGAGCGAAGAAACCAACGAGTCACGGCGAGTCATCCACTGATCGCCTCCATCGAATCCAAACTGTGTACCACAAAAACTGTCAAAATCACGACTGCCATTTCCATTTGAAAAGTCTCACCCAAATCAGAGCGTGAACGCCAAGACCTGTGGCCCATGCAGCGCTGACGACATCATCACTGAGATGAAAACCAGTCAGCTCGGGAACAATTAGAACTGAAAATGCATTACTAGAAACCATTTCTATCACAAGCACCGTAAAGGCGGATGTATCTGGATCCAAAGGTGTTCTTGATGTCAGCAAAGTCACTGTTGAGCTTGGTTAGAGATTGGCCTGGAGTAACATCAGCTCATGGATCTCAGGAGAAAAGATGGTCGCACAAGCAGTGACTTCATAACTGAATCCAAGGAATGCATATTCGGTATTTGGAGAACACCACCAACCATCGGTCGAGCTGGGAACACTAGACGGCATGACAAAACTCGCAGACGGGAAACACGAAGAGGAGCTGCCGTTGGTGCTCGGGGCGGGTGCAGGAGGTGCACTACCAACAGAAATGACGCCAGATGACGGGTGGGTACTGGAGTTGCCGTTAGACCTGCCACTGTGAGGATGGCAGCTTCGAGGAACGTGGCGTGCAGAAACGAGATTCAGAGACAGAAGGAGGAGGGCGCATATAGTGCGTGTCATATTGTAAAGAGTGTGTTGTTAGAATGTGTGGTTGAACGGTCAACGTTGAACCTTGGATCCGAGCTAAGAGCTCAAGGGTATAGAGAACGGCTGGAAGTGCAAGTTAATCATTGTAAATGCTGCAGCTATATACTCGTGGCCACAAAAGAATAAGCAAACGCCAAGCTTACCACGGTCCACAAGGGTTCCACGAGTAATGAACAGTTCTTCTTTGTTCTCATTGGCGCGCTCAATGTTCAACGAGCGCTAAGATCACGAGATATGAATTGCTTCCGCAGGACAATATGTAAATGCGGTCCGCCGATCAGGTGGGTTAATTCGGGTCAACACCAGCCAGCACCTTGCCAGCAAAGACTCGGACTATCTTCCAAAACATATAACCTACTGATTCATCGTGTATGGTACTCTGATTCAAGCATCCACTAGTCTCCCGTCACTACGTAGACCAATAGATGGAAGACCGTCGTCGACGTCACTCACTCGAGAATATATTCACACCTGTCAGAATGCGTTCCCGCCTCTAACATACACGTCGTGACACTGGCATGGTCGTCAATCGATCGATGAGCGTCTGATCGTAGCCGCTGAAGCGCTGACTGTCGACTCCTATCTACATTGACTCGGATAGACTCGGAGATACCGCCGGCGTTTGCGTCCGAGATGTCGAAATGATACACCCGATCTGGCCTGTGCCGAATATCCCGACCGTTGGGCTGCAATGAGTTGTGGAAGGACTGCTTGGAACTCGTACTTATGTGAAGCGAAATTACATGATCATTGACTAGTACTAAGGTCCAAACCGGACCGTTTGATCACTTGCTAAAACTTTGAAGTTTGGTGAGTACTTCAAGCTGAGGTGTTAAACTTTGCAGTTGTTCAAGTGTTGATTTTGCCCTGTGTAGGTTGCTTCATGTCGTCAGTGCATGTCATCACAAGCATGAACAATATCGTTTCCAATCGGAGAAACGTTCGTTCATCTCGGGTGCAACTCTGCACTTACTCGGATCCCAGTCGTTGCTACTAGTCATGGTATCACCCAACTGTACTAGCAGCTGCGTACGGAAACCTACCTTTTCCGCGTCGTACACCATGATGTTGCTGCTACTTGCTACCTCCCTTACGCTCCTGTCTTCCGCCTATGCGTCCAAGCCTGAGGTTGCTGGTGCCTGGTATACCGGCTGGCATGCTACTGAGGGATACCCGCTGTCTGATATTAGTTGGGACAAGTACAACACGATGTACTATTCTTTTGCGTAGGTGGAAGCTACCATAGTACCGTGGCAGACCTATGACGACAACGTTGATCGACGATTTCTAGAATAACCACTTCAAATGTGAACAGTATATCACTTGAAGGGTCAAATGGCTGGTTGCTTCCTGCCTTTGTGTCAGAAGCACATGCACACGTAAGAATGATAACTCGTGTACATGTTTGATTACTGATCCGATGACATGTCAGGGTGTAGAAGCCCACATTTCCATCGGAGGTTGGGACGGCGGCATCTACTTTTCTTCCAACGTCGCAACAGCGGAGAATCGCACTGCATTCGTCAACACGGTGATAGACTTTGTCAAACAGTATGATCTAGATGGTGTCAACCTCGAGTACGTATGTCAGCCATCAAATAAATATCTCTGACCCATTTTTGATTTAGCTGGGAGTATCCAAATGAACAAGGCATTGGCTGTAATATTGTCAACTCTAATGACACCGCGAACTTTCTCTCCTTTCTCCAAGAACTTCGTAAGGATTGCTCTAATCTCACCATCTCGGCAGCAGTGTCTTTGACACCATTTCGTGATTCCAATGGCAATCCGTCGACTGACGTCTCTGCCTTTGCGAAGGTTCTTGACTACATTGCTATCATGGACTATGATGTTTGGGGTTCCGAGACATGGTCCCCTGCTGTTGGACCTAACGCCCCACTCGATGATTCCTGTGCAAGCCCATCTGAGCAGCAAGGTTCGGCTGTTTCCGCAGTGAAGGCATGGTCAAATGCAGGCATGCCCGTTGATCAGATTGTCTTGGGTGTTCCATCGTATGGACACTCTTATAGTGTCAACTCCTCTGATGCATTCGTGCCGGGCACGAAAATGCTAGCCGCTTACCCCACCTTCAATTCATCTAATCAGCCCGTAGGGGATGCATGGGATAATAGTACCGGGGGCGTGGATTCCTGTGGTGTCTACCAAGGATCTGGAGGTACCTTTAATTTCTGGGGACTGGTCGACGGTGGCTTCCTCAACTCGGAAGGTACGACTGCCCAAGGCATCTACTATCGATTTGACTTGTGCAGCCAAACGGTGCGTACACCCCTGAACAAGGAACTACTTCTGTTTCTCATGGACTTGCTGTCAGCCCTACGTTTACAATGAAACGTCGGAGGTTATGATTTCCTATGACAACGCAGAGTCGTTCACAGCCAAGGGCACATTCATCAAAAACACTGGGCTGCTAGGGTATGCTATGTGGGAGGCGGGTGGAGACTACAACAATATCCTCGTTGACGCCATTAATGGCGCTGTGTAGACTCGTCCGCTCTGTTGCACAAGTATACCCATATACCCACGTCATGGATCACCCTCTTGTTGTTGTCTTCTGCCACGTCACAGTTACCCTATAACAAAGTCGTTTTCAAAAGCTAAGACACCCTGAGTGACGTTCCAAGACGAGGAAGAATCCGTCACTAGGGTTGGAAGCTACCCAACGCAACGGACTCCTGAAAGGTTAAACCTCCTTTCCGACTCCCACTGCGTTAGTGGAGGAGGGCTCTTGTCGAACTCAAACGTGTTCCCATCCCCTAAAACCTCTGCCGACTCTACCCGTTTTCGCTGTGTGATTCCCGACTGTGGGGAGAGGGTTCTGTTGGCAGCAAACGTCTTGTTCTCTACCAAATCGACTGTGGCAGTTTGCCACGTATGCTGCCCCTCTTACCCTCTCGTTGGTTATCATCGCTTCTGACTCCAATGGGCATTCGCCTTCAAGCTCACTCTAGATCCTACGAAGCCACTAGAGGTCATGGGGTCATGGGCGGGTCAATGCTAGATGTCCGGCCGTGCGAATTTGAGTTTGAGAAGAGGATTCCGGAGACGGAGCTTAGGCGCATGATGCAAGATTATCCTGAAGTTGCATGAGATACTTTGATGTCTGGATGGGTTAGAGAGAGAACGAAGAAACAGTCCCCAATGAATCAATATCGATGCATCCCTCCAGGGCCTGCAGTATGTTTTCATTTGGCCTGAGCCGATTCTGAATTACTCATTATGCATTTCCTGTTTCCAAGAGTATCTCCATGTCTCCATTCTCACATACTACAGCTTGTGATAATATATATTTATGCATGATACTATCACGCAGTCTGACATTCATATTGCTATGGGTTTGCGAACACAGATGAGTCAGGACATTTGGCACTTGAACGCCATGCAGTACTTTGAAGTTTCCCGAGTCGCTTGAGCTGTGCGCATTCTTGTATTCAATAGGTCACCGGTGCTGTCCGGGGTAAATACACTATTACTATGGTTCCGATAGACTCCGATGCGATTCTGAATGTGGATTGTATCTTGTCAATAAGACTCAGCTATCATGATAGGTATACATCTTCAAAACTTCACTCAAGAGCAAGTTAGTACTCTCGAATACATTTTCACTTACTTCGTATGTGGCAGGATCCTTAGATCTTGATTCTCAGTTACCTGTCAATATCATGTGCACGTTAGGCTGGCCCAACAAATGGGCGCTTCGAATGGATTCTAAAAGCGGGTGAGCGCTTTGGGGTCAGCGTCTACATCGTGACGACCTTCATTGTCTAACCTGCCATCACCAATCATCAATGGTTCGCGAATGCAATGCCTGTGGCGAGTCCTCTAGCACTCTCAAGCGCTGCTCTGGCTGTCACAAAGTCTGGTACTGCTCTGTCGTTTGCCAAAAGTCTCATTGGGTACCGCATATCTTTGCCTGCAAACCCCGTCGCCCCATCACCACCGCAGACCATCTAGCGCTCGCAGTCAGAAACAATCTTTTCCCGCAAGATACACAGACTTGCGAGGATTATGGGTTTGAACGTGCATTCACGGTGGAGAACAGGTCCAAACTTCTTGGCTTGTACATCGGTATGTAAATGTGGAGTTGACTCAGTCGACCAAGTTCCTGCAATTATCATCACAATGCCCCTAAAGCTTGTCTCATTTTCAGGGCTGATGGACTCGGGACTCATAGGAATTCCCCCAAAGACTATCAATGATTGGCGGGTCAAGGGCGTGCTTGCAGAAGAGATCAAAGCAGCATACTACAAGATTCCCGCCGAATTCAGAGGCGAATACTTCCCTTGGTTCCTGCAAAACCAGCACATTCTTAATCCGTCTGCTGCTGATAACCAGTCGAATGACAAAGGGGACGCCATGGTTTTGCACGCATGGCGCTTTACCGGCGGTGCAGAAACAGACACACCTACGGACATAAGAGCCCGCATAAATAACATGCCTGAGGACAGGCGAATATGTCATTTGTTCTATACGATACTCTTGAGCAAATGGCATCCTGCACCGTTCGATGACCTCTGGATCCCCTTCGGTTTCTGCTCATGCGCCTGCGAAGAGGAGGAGACGTATCTGGGCGGACGTTATCAGGTCCTCATTACCAAATGCACATTCGACGAATTCTGTGACGCCTTCAGCTCTTCACGTATTCTCGATCTCTTCCGCAAGAATGGAATTGACGTGGATGTTCGCTACCTTGCGGATGTCTTGCAAAACCACGATATGCACAAGTCTGTCTGGGACCTCAAGCAGTTTGCCATCCAGACTGATGAACAAAATCCGGAGGGCAGAATGGTGAATTCTGTTGCGTGCGATTATGGGTTCATGAATTGCAGGAAAAATGCTGAGGTACAGGCGCTGAAGAAAGTTTATAAGACATTTTTTGAGCGCCATGATGTGGATCCGCTAATGCTGCACGATGCTGCGATACGCGGAAACATCTTTGGGTATCTGGGGAGTTTGATGAAGTTGAACAGGAAGTACGAGCGCCTTATGAAGAATCCGTATCCGCTCCCTGTAGTGGAGTGAGATCACAGGCAAATGACTTGGTTGCATGTCATCTTCGAACTCTCACGCACAGTGTTTTTTCTTGACCCCTTCAAGTTAGTGTGCTCTCAGACTTCGTTGCTAGTGCTGTCTCATTTCCTCAATGATCAACAGATGTATAATTATACCTCGTAGTCTTGGATTCAAAGACACTTGAGTCTGTCCAAGAACGACGCAAAGCGGAATATAAGGCCCGCAATAGCTAGACTCCGTGCACTTCAAACTCGAATAAATAAGTTGTTTACAAGCGTTTTTTCTGACTTGGAAGAGTCTCCTCCATGCAGCCGCTTGCAGCGCCCCACCTGTCCATCAAGATAAGCTGTAGCGCATACGAATGGCGGGAGCCTAGAAGCATACGAACTTGTTTGTCGGGTGCGTGAAAGACGCGGGAACCACCTTGTTAGAACTGCAAGGCATCCGATGCCTGGAAAACGTTTCAACGTCTAACGGGGAAGGGGGTCTGTTACTAGTAGTTGCACTGGTGCTTCCGGTCTGCAAACGTTACTGGGGTGGCTCCGCCGAGCCTGTGATGTTTCAAAGCCAGAAGCCATTTGAGACGTATAGTCGGTTTTGGCCAGGCGCATTGCTGTACCGCTCTGGCGGCTTATGAATTTGTAAATTCCTGGTTGCATGGCTGCCAGTGTGGCACAATGGAGAGGAGACAAAGAGACCGAACTTGAGAGAGGCGTTGGCGCAAGTCCAGCAAGCGAAGACTTCTTTTAAGGGTTCACGGGGTACACGAGTCTGGATACCCTGACAACTCGTGGTACAGCAGAAAAACGTGGTTGAAGGTGTCACAGCCAAAAAGGGATAACCTTGTAATGAGCATGTATCCGAGTCCATGTTTTGAAATTACAATTACATGGATCGGTCACGCTTTAGCAGTTTGTTCGATACCGCAACAAAAACAAGTTGTACTGCATTGACTCGTCAGTTCTCTCTCGGTACCAATCTTATTTCACGGCTTACATTGACTTATATGTCGAGAAATGTACGTCTTGGTCGTGAATTTATCCGTTTCTGAATCTTAGTGATTTACAAGATGTTCAGCAACCAGGATCGGTACGCGTGATCGGCTTATCTTTACAGAGTCAGTCCCTACATCACACCTGCCTAGTATGGGTGTGGTCACACCATGTAACGGAACGCGGTGGTCCTGTCTTCCATAGATGGGCCTGAAATTTTCTGCTCGGACTCATGTATGTTACTATGACTGCCTCGGGCCTCAAAAAACGGAAGAATCGTGCATCCGACGCAGATCATGATGTACCCAGGAAGAAGAAACCGAAACAGGACGCGGGGAAGCTGTGCACCACACCTTCGACAAGTGAATTCCGGGTGACGAAAACACCCAAATATTAGACAGCATGATCATGCGGTGAGTTGGTACATCTCGTAGACAAATTTGTGATACTGAACTGAATACATAGATATATCCCGTCCTTGTGCGGTGTTCTCTTGACTCACTCAAATTCGCATTTCCCGAGTCCAACAGCGAGCATCAATGCCGACTGTCCTTTCGCGATCTGCGATGTCACTTTCGATGCTACGATCTGGAGCCTAATTATATCTATGAAACTTGGTACGTGTTTCGTTTACCTTGTACCGCTTGAATCTAATAATATTCTTCAATAGTTGGTAAAGTTATCCTATATTCTCCCGATCACGTCTCGCTACTCCTCCACCGTATGTTTAACGTTTCCATACCACGACGTCACATTCCACAAGACCTCTGGGAATTCGAATATGGAGAAGGGTCATCCGTCGAGGAAGAAGGGGATGGAGGACTGAAGGGTGATGTTGTTGAGGAGGCGGGAGGCGATGCGGTACCGGAGGCGAGCGGACAGTGGGTACACCGTGTGACGGGGACGAAGCTTGGCGGAACAGATGAGTATCTAGAATTTACGGTTATTGGGTGAGTGGATGTCATTTTCAATGAAAGGAACGTTGATCGACTTTTATGACAGAAAAACTGTGGCGAATGAAATGCTCTCCCTTCAAGGATCTATACATATTACAGCTAGATCCCTTTTCCGAAGAATACTCACAATCAGGCAAGAGCTCACGCAAAAAAAGTGCCAAATAAATTCGGATTACCGCTCTGGCGTCTCAGAGGCTTCGTACATAAATCGTTGAGGGCCCGTCCTCGACAACTCGTCCAACGCTTCTCGCGCTGCCAGTGTGTGCGTCGGTCACTCTTCAATGTTGTTATCTTCTAATGCACCCTGTCCTCGCTGTCTTCTCTTGCCAACGTGTGATCTCCTCCGTCCCTGTCCTCGCTCACCTTCACAAATTTGTGTTCAAATTCCAGTATGACTGTCCTGTCCTTGGCCAAGAACCCTCGTCACTCGAGACCATTCCCTTCTGCAGTTTTGGCTTGGAATCACTTCTGATTTTTCGCCGTTACGTCGTTGTCGAGTGCAAATGGGACGTTGTGAGGCAACTCTGTCATGCACGACAGCCTTGCGTCGTATATGTGCTCTGCTGGGGCAGCGGGCCCTCGCCAGTCTCCGTTGCTTGTCGGGTGGTATTCTCGCACTGAGATGACATCGACTGTGCAAAGTACGGCTGGATCCCAAGGCGCCTCCTTACACACTACATATCGTCTCTTTCCCATCTTTATCCACTCGACGTTGTTGAGAAGCCGCTCATCTCCCGCTTAATTTCCTTTGGCTAGCATACCTTCCCGAATGGCTTGAAGACGGTCTGCTGCGGACTGCCGCCATCGAGTATCTCGTTACCATTTTTGAGTTGGCGCTTGGGACTCTCGGACGCTACTTTGTAAGTGCCAGTGATGGCCGCCATTGAATCTTTTTCGGTGTCTCGGTCAGCAGGAGCGTCGACGAGGGAGTTATCACTTACGTGCACTAAGGAGTCTAAGGTGAGTAGGCACTAAGTTGTATCTCCTACAGGATACTAAATCCACACGTCGGCCTTGCTGCAGATATATGGTGTCCCGCATGCAAACTAGTGTTTCAGGAGTAGTGCGATGGTCGCTTGTAATGTGCTTTGCCCTGTTGCAGCTGATTCTATTTCTTGTCTCATCAATATCTTCTCGCATTGATCTTGTCCTGATAGGCGACCACATGAATGCAACGAATCATTGGCTCGATGGCTGTGGTAATATCGTAATTCAGCTTGAGGGAGAAGCAGCTTTTCGTTCCTGCCGGCATCATTCAATGGCCGGCAACTACCCTCTCGGTACATTCGATTACACGACATCCCCTGACCACTGCCATAAGTTGTGACCGCTGGTGGATATTGTAAGCAACCAGCTTACGCCTTTACCACTTTTGTTTACTTGTGGAGCTGGACAAACAAGAGGATTCCGCTTGTTACGATATTTAGGCGCGCAAAGTACCCCCGAATGGCCGTCCATCGACATCCGACGCTCTGCCTGACACCATTGTAGTACTCTCGCCATGCCTGGAAACCGCCGTCACATTCCAGAAGCCGCAAAACAAGACAAGCTCCATAAGTGAACACAAGCGGTAAGGGGAACAAAATGAAATCTGGTCTATCGACATGAGAATAGCTGTTACTGTGATCCAATCACAATTAGACAGATAACATTACACGAAAAAACTAGTCAAAAGGAAGGTGATTGCTGAAGGATAGGCACCAATCGGTTGCAGCAAGTAAAGACGCGTATAAAGACCACTCTACAGCATAGATCATTCCGATTGTTCATATCCGGCGTCAGCACTTGCGCATATATCAAGACGATGGTACGGTAGCTGCGTCGAGACCCAAAGGAAGCATGTTCTGGTCTCGCAATGCTGCCTTCTCCCAAGACGAAGTGCGCAGCTGTTTCAGAAAGGCAGTCAGTGAGCAACATTGAAGAACTAGCCAATTATAGAAGGACACTAACATGCTCAATCGCCTCGGTAGTTGAAAGGATATTCATGTGATCGGGGATGAAGCCCCCATTCTAATGCAAATGATCAGCTCGGGCCGGATGCTCGAAGGGATAAGGCAGTACCACTTGAGACTCATCAAGATCGCGGAAGGCATGCCGCATGTCCAGAGGGAGTTGCGTAGGTATCACAAGCACATGGACGGTCGGATAAAACGGTTTGGATATTGCCACTCTCTTTGCCATGGCCTAACAACATATTAAATCATGTGGGAGATTTTTTCATAGAAGGGACTCGGATATGACGCTCACCATGACGGTTTGAATTGCTAGAGAGATATCAGTACGTTTGGAACGTGCATTTTTTCCAACCAGGACAAAGAACTCCAAAGAGCAGTCGATAATATACACTGATTGCTGAAGTATAGTTTCTGCCGATATCAACGCAACAGCACGAATCTACATCCATGTCAGATACAAGCCAACCGCATGTCATCGAACAGCATACCGGGTCGCCTTCAACTGTGGCATCCACGATCCAGCATCGAGGGTCACTGGGAGCAGAGGCATTTCTGAATCTCCAATAGTCTGCCTTGGCGTAATCTCCAGAGTCACCAAGGACCATCCAGAACATCTCGTCATCTACATCATTGTCACCTTCTCGAAGTTCCGTGATAGAAGTCCCTTTCATAGCGGAGGCCTGTGCGTAATCTCGGGCAGCGTTGCGTTCCTTCGAAGTTGACCCACAACCATGCCAAACATAGATCTGGTCAAGGATAGAGACACAATAGCTATAGCCCGAACACAGATTTCGGATGCTCTGTAATCAGGAGTTCAAGGTCGATCTAAGTCTGTTCATGCGAGCGGCATACCGAATCCACCTCGTCGATAAAGATGTGTTCCCCGCTCGAGCGCACCACGTGCATTGCTGTATTTTCAGAAGACCAGCGCGCGCGAATGCCCTAAGGAATGGGGATTAATGTAAAAGCATCATAACAACATCATAGGATATTATAATGTACCGACCTGCCGGATCGCAAGCTTTCCGCCCAGAACATGGACAAGTTCTGGAGGTTCTCGTCGTTGGAACACCGTTTCCTGAAAATCATTCTTGTGTTTGACATCTAATTTCTCTCTTAAAAATATACTTACCTGAGTTGATCCATACCTTCTTGCAAGCTCATCTGCCTTCTTCTCCTCTCTTTCGCCAAATTGGCATTGTTTTCCATGCCAGCACCAAACCTTCGTGGAGACGAGTCCACTGTCACGGACCTTTACGCGGTGCACAATCACCAAAACCTCTGTATCATAGAAAATATGGGTATCACGCAGGACGGGAATCGCAGTGCCGTTATTGATGGATAAAATCTCAACAGAGATGGTGTGAAACTTTGGGTCGGGGCTAAATGTTGGAGGAACGAATTTCAAAAGAGCGTCCACATCGACGTTCGGCAGGGACTCGTTTGCGTGATCTGTCAGAAGATTTGAGTCAGTAATTACTTGACGTCGAACAACGTAGCTCAACTCACCGATATGCACAACATCGAGGACTAGAGATGAACTCGACGTAGTGCGCTGGGCAATCGGCTTTACTCCCAAACTACTTTTGGGGCTTTCACTGACAAGTTTAGAATCCAGCAGAGCCTCCCCAGATGATTTTGCCAATGTTCCTGCTGGAGACGACACGGGAGTCTTCTCCTCCTTCAGTGGCGGCATCGTAAAAGAGGAGTATTTCTCAACGCTCGACTTCCTCTTCTCAGCTTGAGAATTCAGAGGTGGAATTCTAGGAGCAGGTGGGCTCAGAGCGCAATCGTTTCCCTGCTGCGCCTCACTCATAGCTTGCGCAACGTCCATGACGGTAGCACGATTTCTCGTGTTAGGAATGCGACCATGTTTCATCAGTGAAGGCGAGACCGCGCGCTCCTCTCTAAGAGGAGGTTTCTCCTTCACCTTCTCGGAACTTGCTGGTGGTGCAGCCGCTAGGCCCGGCAGCGCCAACCTGCCCACAATACCCTGCGGTTTCTGACTCGGAGGAGGCTGGTTTATAGCAGAATTTGAGGATGCAACGGACTTTACACCAATCAATGTCGGTTCTGTCCAGCGGTCTGTAACGCGACCAGTGGTGATCGGCGGTGCGATCGTCGATGGAAGCCGTGACTGAGATTCCGATTGAGATCGGATCATTGGCTGAGGAGGGGAAATTGGAAGCGATTGAGTGTTCGTTGCTGATGTGATCGATTCTGGCGCAATCGGTTGTGGCGAGGTGCCTGGAGGTTGTCCTTCCGGAGAGGTAACATGTGCAGAACCACCAGTTTTGCGAGGTTTCTTTGCTCTATCCTTGGTTGGCTGGTAATTCAGAAGCCGGGAAACAGGGAAAAATCGAACCACGGCCAAAAAAAAAAGTGCGCATTCCGATTAAAAGGCATCATACACCATTAAACGAGACCAAGATATAAAAAAATGTGGATATAAAAAAAATTCCATCAACCATCGATGCGCTGAGCATTACCGGAAAGAACGCACGTGACTCAATGGCTTGTTAGGAGACGACGATACTCGCGCCCTTGCCTCACTCCCATCCGCTTTCACCCCGAGTTCATCAACATTGCGAACGACTGGATCATCACCAGTCTTGGTTGGCTTGATGTATGCAAGCATTGTGGTGGAGGACCCCAAATTATGGTCCGCACTCTCAGGAAGAGTACTGATCTTCCCGGATGGCGTTTTCGGAAAGTTGGGAGTGGATACAGCGCTTTTCAAAGGAAATTCTGTGTCGTGCGTTTTCATTTCTGGTTGCCTGGTTTCTGGCGTCCTTCCGCGGTTTGCCGGGAATGGGGATTGTGGGGGGTGGTGATGGTGTTCCAGCATTGTTTATTGCAGGCTGCCAACGGTCTAAGACGCTTGCTCTTCTAGCATTCTTATCTCGCGTTTCACTGGCGGCTTGAGTTGGGGATCCGAATGTACTCTCTCTTCTCGCAGCTCCTGCTCCTGATTCGAGGCGCCCACTGGCTTGAACAACGCTCTGCACGAAGCCACGACCCTGCAGCCGGCTGATACTTGGCGTTGGATCCTTAGTAGATGAAGTGACCGGCGGACGCAGAAAGGCAGGGGAGACCCCACGTGATGGCTGTGGAGAGTATGTCTGCCGTGCAGGGGATGTGGGAGTGACAGATGGGATTGGAGCAGGCTGTTGCCTAGGTGTCCAAGAGGGCTGAGAAGAGTTTGAACGTGTATAAATTGGGCTCTTTGTGTGACCAGAATCTGCAGCAGGTGTTTTTGCACGATTGGGTTCAGGGTTGGGGGTTTTTGCCCGGGTATGTTCAGGATTAGAGTATGCAGATTCTGTTACCGTCTTGGCACGGACAGATTCAGGATTGGGAGTCTTCACACGAGTTTCAGCAACAGGTGTCTTGGGGCGCGTCTCTGGGGTTTTCGGCCGAGATTCAATGAGAGAACTTGGTGGAACCACAACAGCTTTGGCGCCATAATTCTGAGACAGATGCGAGTGTGGCGTATCTATTTTCAGCTGTGCTGAAATGTTGCCCACGGGAGTGCTTATTCGCCGCTCCCGAACGCCAGGCCCAACAAGTCCCGAGTTCAGAGACTGCGGCTGGCTTTCAAGTTGCTCCACATATCGACGGGCGACCGAGGAAGTACTCGTAGTACGGGATCTCACGATATCTGGTGTGGAAGTGGGAACTCCGCGAACGGGTGTGCCAGCTGAAGGTGGGGATGTAGTAGTTGCGGGAGGTTGTGTACCTCCTTTGACCATCCCCGGCATAGCAATTCCATTTCTTCCGAATATTGGATGTATGGGACCGTGATCCTTGCGCCCATCATGTACGACAGTGGCATCCTGTTGTGGCTCGTGGCGTTTCAGTCGAGGGCCAGCAGCAGTCGATCCACCCATAAATGCAGCCAATGACATGGGGGCTCTCTGAGGCGTGGCATTAGATGATACCGCTGGTTTATGTGAAGGTATAGCTCGAGGTGGCGCAGGTGTAGTAGCATTGCCCGCAAACGAATCATTTGGCGGACTAGATGATGACTCCTGTAACTTGCCTATGCAATCATCGACAAGTTAGAGAATATGGAAGTGTCCATGCCAAGAGATACCGACCCAGATCAATGCCATGCATGCCGATGCCAAAATCACCGCTCATGCCTGATGTACTTCGTCTCATCCTCGCAAGTCGTGCTCGCACGATTTCTTCCTCAAGACGACGCTGTTCTGCCTCATCGTCCGCATCAACCTGGCGTTGCATTGCCTTGATCTTGCTCGTCCACTCTGCGAGGCCATTGTCTGCTGTATTGGAGGTGGAATATACAGGTGCAGGCGGAAGGTCAAAGCGCGGCGAGCGAGGTGTGGTGGCCTGCATCGTGGACACCGACTGACTATATGTCAGACAGAGGAACTATTCGTTGGCTCAGTGAGCAAGGCCTTGGATCACAGCGTATGGGAACAACTCTCGGAACCCTCGAGTCCAGCTACATGTGTGGAGGCTGACGTAATTCCTGATTCTCCTCAATGTTAATTAAAATTATACATCGTTTCTCCTGCTGCAATTGCGAGAGATCGGTGTATTGACGATGTACTCTACGAGTCCAAATTAAAGAATCATATAATGTCCATAACTCTAGGTTGGCAGATAGTTTACCGAGTCGCTCAACAGTCCAAATAACTTCATAAGTCCATAAGTTACGAAACTTAAGCAAAGATTGCAAAGGCGGCTGAAACGGCTACAACAGCAGTAGCACCCATGTTGAGACTACCAACGGAAAGCGCAATAGCACCACTAGTGGTCGTTGATGAGGAATTGCTTGCTGTCTCCTGGATATCAGAAGGCATCTGACCATCTGCCAGAGGATGTGAGTATCTCGACGAAATAAAATGACACAAACATTACCTGTGTAGTTGGTACCACATTCAGATGAAAATGAACTTTGAGCAGTACTAGCAACTTCAGGGAGACCCTGACTAAGGATAGTATAGGCAGCCTTAGTACAGTTGGTGCAGGTGGCACTCGAGGGAATTCCAGTGCTCTGACCGGACACCAATTTTGTGACAAGTGCGACTATGTTATTCAGCGAAATAGTGGTCGTGGCGGACTGGGCGCTCGTCAGCAGCTCAGGAACACAAAGAGTGCTCGTTGAAGTGCTACAAATTGAATTAGACAAGGGGGGAAAGTAAACGATAGTTGACAAACTGACTCTTTCAAACACATAAGCTGTCGAACAGTAGGGTAGGCGGCCTGAATGGATGTGACAATATCAGTAGAATTGGTAGTCACTCCAAGACTCGAGAGTTCGGTAGAACATCCCGAAACGAGGTCTGTTACGACAGTTTGGAGCGTCGAATTACTGCAGGCGGCTTGAGAGCACAAGCCAGAAAGCCAGGTGTTGACACCGGGAATAATCGAACTTGAGTTCGAATTCGTGACGACGAGCGAGACAAGCCCAGATGGATTCAAACATGCGGCACTGGACGAGGCTGCAGTGTTAAGTAGTGCAGTCTGGCACTGCGAAGAGAGTTCTCTGAACACAAAAAAGATATCAGCCCACAATCTTTCCCCCCTAAATTTTTGTCTTACGTACGATTGAGCAACGGCGAAACCAGCGCCAGCTAGAAGAACAGCAAAGTTGAAGAACATCGTAAATTTAGAGGCTTTGAAGCACTAAGTTAACGGCCGAGGGGGAAATTTTTGAAAAGAATAGTTAAAAGATTAGAGGGAGAAGGTGTGAAAGGCTGCTGCGAGGGCATCTGTGCTTTATATGATCCATGGTGGAATGACGAACAATGTTTTCGGATGCAATAGATCCTGCGCAGCATAGGCGCAAGGCTGCGCGACCATTGTCACGGTTATCTTCCGACGCTATTTCAGAGTCTGATCGATATCCGTGAGCAAGTTAAGATTCTTTCCCCTTCGCGCTAGCTATGCAGCAGCGACCACTGTTTTTGTCACAATGAAGAGACTGCTGTATCGACTCTTCATTGTATAAGGGTGACTATCTGTTTTACCTCGCAACATGCATGTCCTATATAAATAGGGAGAACAACGGGACACTAACAACGGTGTTGTGTGAACATCTCAACCGCCGCATCTGTTGGCATGGTGGTATTTGTATTGTATGTTTTGGCGATATACTTACTGTCCGGCAGTGTCAGATGATACCAAACAGTGGTGGGAGGAGCGGCAAGTGGTGGAGGACAGCAGAGGACAGGCGCTCATCATAGTTTCCGGCGTCGATCCTATCACGGCAGGATCACGGCATGAAAATGAATTCCGAAACCTATACTTATTTGATATAAATAGGGAATATAATTAGTCTCCTCCCACTCCAACTGGGAATTTAAAGGCTGTATCATAGGATCTGGTGATTGTCGGCAGCTGGAGAACTGCAGGACAACCAGGACTCCGAGGGTAGTACTTGACTGTTTTCGCCTTTAAAACTTTCATGTGTCGAAGACCTTCTAATATCATAACTTGAATCCTTCTCTTCATGGATGACTTCTTCGATGCCGGCGTGGTATCCTATAAACCTCAAAGTCCGAATCTTCAAATGCCTCGAGGTTGTTGAATATAATCTCCAGCTGTTTGATGTCGATTTTTCTGTTGTGAGCTTGGAACGTTAACGTAAAACCGCGGAAGATCCCATAAGAGAAGGTTCTGTCAAACAGTGCATCGAACGCAATTGCGATTCCTTATCCTTTCACAATTCATTTCTATCAGCCCTTAAAGATCGTCCGAATAACTCGTTCTTCTCGTTCTCCCCTCTTTCTCTCTCTTTCTCTCTCATTTGTACAGAACTGGGATTTAGTCTTGTATCATAGTACTAGTATCGTACCCTGCGTAGGTTCCGCGTAGGACACCCTCATTTCACTTGTCCCAAGATCTGTAAGGTCTGCGTATCTATCTGGTCATCGCTACCATAATTCTGATGCCCTTGACGCGTCGAAAGACCATATTCGACGCGTTGAAATCTCTCTAGTCACCGAAACTGTGATGGCTAAAAGTCGCACAGTCAGCCCCGCATCGCCTTCCCCGCTAGAGCGCTCATCATCGCGACCCGCCGCGGACCACCTTCCACCAAGGCCCTCTAGAAGCCTGGTAAAAAAGCCGACATCGCGAGCAGAAGGAGTGGTCTGTAAGAAGCGCAAGCGGTCCACGGAAGTACGCGAACGCAAGGATTCCACTGACGGAGACAGGATGTGTCTTGCCCAGAGGCTGCGTCATGATGATGATGCCTTCATTGGTGACCGCCATGCGCGGTCTGCACTTTGGCGTGCGCCTTCCTACCGTAAGGAGCAACGTCGTAGTAGTTCCCCTGCACTCAACAACCACAAGGATAGCAAAGGGCCCTCGCTCCATATTGTCAAATCTTCCGATCGCCGCACTTCTGACGATAAGGGCAAAGAAAAAAACGTCTTTGACCTCCCTGAATAATAGATGCACTGGATCTGTAAACGCCCGTCATGACGTGCAGAACCCTTCATCGCACGGCGTGCCATCTGTACAGTCCGTGGATAGATTTTTGGACAGCATCGACTTGAGCATTACTCCTTCATGCAATCCGGTACTTGCTAAAAGCAAGGTTCCCGCGACACCAATTCAACAAGTCCTTCCCCCGACTCCCGTATCCATCGCACCCACTTCCCTGCCTTTGCCAGCATCTTCTACAGTTGACCTTCGACCAATCCCCTTCACTTTCGGACCGCAGAGGCTTAGTCTTTTGCATCACGGGCACCCCTTAAACTACGACTTGAATCTACTTCCTGATGACCCTATTGGTCCTATCACATTGCTTGGAGCAACTCAGAGCGAACCTGGCGCATATCTCGTTGCCGCAGCACACTATAGGCGGACTGGCCGTTCTCGTGCAGCGTGCAAAGTGATCAGAGCCTTGCTTGGCAAGCACGCCCCTGCCATTCTTGCGGGTGGTGACTTGACTGGGGAAAACAAAGAAAATGGTAAATTTATCGTCATGGAATTTTAATTGATTATGTTGGGCACTGACGACTCTCAAAGGTCCCTTCCATCAGGTTTCCTCATCACCAGCGAAATCCCCCGCACCTCCTGTATTTACACCCATAGACGTCAACGCCCCAGCTCACGAAGCCGCTGTCTTGCGATCTGCCATTCTCGTTCTCGCAGCCTGTCAGCTGGACATAAGTCGCGATTCTTCATCTCCCGAAGAGAAGATCGCATATGCTAACACTGCTCAAGAACTTTTCCGTACAATATACGGAACGAAAAACAACTTCCTTGCTTCCGAGTCAGGAAATACTAGTACAGATGTAAACGCCCTAGGATTGGCTTTTTCAGATCGCGCCCGAATTCCTTCTACCGTCAACAGCAACCTACCAACTTCTATGTCCAAGCATACATCAGGCGTCCCCACTGCTCCTGCTTCTACTCGTATTCTAGCTCTGGAGGATGAGCTCCGTCTCACGCGCACAGCCAAGTCTACAATTGAGGCCGACCTTGCCGCTGCGAGGAAGCGCCAGGAACACACCGACCTGTCTATCAGAGATGCTGAGTCCCGTTCTCGCGATGCCCTCCGATTGCTTGAGACCGAGAGGGATGAAGTCCATATCTTGAAGCGTCGACTCGCGGAGACGGAGCAGAAGGTGTCAGAAATGGAGCAGTCAGCTGCTGGTGCCGAGTCACGCGTGTGGGTGAGGCTGCGGGACATGATTTATGACCAGTTTGGAAGCACGCGAGGTTTTTGATGTGTGAGCTAAGTGTCACAGCTCACGTTCTTCTTTTTCTTCTTTTTCAGAACATTGCGGGGTTATAGGATCAGGACCAGTCATGTGGTGCATCCCATCACAACCCCATCACCATCATGATCACCATCGTCATCGCCACTTGTACATTATACCATTTTCTGCAGCATTCGAGATACCGTGTTTCACAGTCCACAGTAGTGTATGTCCCCCGTATGCATTTCAGAACTTGTAATCATCCTCCATGTATGGAATTAGCACAGCAAGAGAACAGGAGAATACGTACCCATTGAAACTGCGTGATTTGAGGAAGCTGAACGCCCGTTCTCTTCATTCCCCACCCACCTGTAACTGAGTCAAGACTGTCATCCGCTTAACTGTTACGCCGAAAGGCACTGATTTATCGCGCACAGTATCTATATAGATTATCCAGACTTGTAAGCCAGCGTGCTTACACCAGCGCTAAGCCGCCAAGGACCCTTATGACCCGCGCGTCAGGTTGCTTATTCAGACCCGCCTTACGGCAGATGGTCACTAAGTCTGGTAATTTATGGTAAGGGCAATATTCCCAGGCTGCTAACTGCTGTTTCCATGTTCAACTTCATTTCTGTACGCCCATCTGCCACAGCCTGCCACTCGCTTGACCCTCGTGCAGTGCCCCACCTCTCCCTTCGGCCTTCTTGCTCCAGTTTTTTCCCGACTGGCACATAATGATCTGCGTTATTATCCGCAGGTAATATGGGGAATGTCATTATTTTTTTGACTGATTAATATACATCAGGACATGATGCACAATTGTAAGTACCCTCACTGAGCCTTGGATCCTCACCGTTATTCTGGTGGCTTGTGCAGTTGCAACGTTCATTGACATGGCGGATTGCATGTGCTACCGCAGCGCTGTTGTTTCCTAGTATTGAGCAGGAACAGCCACACTTATTCGTTTATAATCTGATGGTCTAGGGGAGACTAGCTGCAGGTCACCAAGTTTTACATTTTCTTCCCAGAGTCTTACCTATGGCATGATGATCTAGTGACTTGCCAGCTTGTCCATGCTGGACTGGCCGTTTCGTTGCTCGTGGAACTATCCTAGACGTCATTCTGCTCTTTGTGCTGATTCCGCACCATTCATGCTCCAGGCCAATGTACATTTACATCCCAAGAGTCGCCTTGTCGAGTTCTCTCCATTCTGTGTCATCTCCGGCGTCCGTCAAAGAAGGTCAGAAGATTGTCCAAAATAGGCGAGGGTTACCCGGCATTCACATTTGAATCCGCGGATAGTTTGTGCCTCAGCTGATCAGCCGAATATCTTCTGCCCGCATCTCCCCATCAAATTCTAGTCCGTTTGGAGCTGTTTAGATTTGGACAAGCACCACCTGATAGCTGGGCTTCTTGCGCCCCGGCGCCCACCACACATGGATAGGATTGCGGGGAAAATCGGGCATTTAGTTGAGCATGAAGACGTGGCAAATGTCTGCTTCGTCCGAAACCAACGGTATGGACGGGTTCGTTTTGTATAGCCTGTCCGCAGCTCGGTGACCTACATTTCGATGAACCTTAGTGGTCATTTCTCATGTCATCTCAGATATAATATTAGTACTAGTAAGTACTTGTCTATAGCCATAAAGTACGCAGATCACCAGGCTAGTTTGCGTTATGTGTAAAATATATAGTTCCTAACTATCTGTGTAAACGGACAGGGCCGGCCGGTACCGCATGGGAAATGGAGCGTGGTATATTGCCGCGATATTGCCGTGGATTTCATCGCCTCATTTCCTGCCTCAAACTTTACGCTCTGTTCCTGTTCTTTGATATTGCTATACATCCTGTCTTTGAGTTGGTAGTGCACCAGGTTGTCAGTCGGTTATCGACGACGGTGTCAAGCTCAATTGCTCAAGAGGAGCTTTGCTTCTTTCTTGTTATTCACTGGACTCTCACCGTCAATTTTTGGTCGAGTTATTTCAAGCGTTATGGCTGCGGTCTCGACCATTATTCAACCTCCACGACCTGAGTGTAGTCCTGTTCCGTCGACTCTGCCCCCGAATCTTCATGTCAATATCTTTCAACGTAGCCTCGCCATTTCTGATCTCGATTTCAAGGACAACCGATATCCCACTCTCTCCCTGGACAAGAGCTTCCATAAAACCAGTCCAATGATTATTGGGTCCGCAGATTCGCAGACTTGGGGAGCAACTGAACGCCAACGTCCTTCATCTCGTTCAGAATCAATGGCACAAGCGCCACAGGACAAAGAGGATTTCAATGCTGATGGCCCACAGCTCAATGGCGTATCTAGCTCCTTGTCGCAGGGAACCGCCCACCGTATCGGTTATAGTCTTGACGATAACGTTCCGGCATCCGGCAGCGGAGGGCTGATGAATTCACATCTTTTCGATGACTCGTTCAAGTCCGCTGGGGATTCCTTTACAACTCTACCTTCACCTCCACAACCACTCCGCGATGTTCCGGTTTCCCTCAAACCTGCCAGCAACCAACAGCCCTCTTATCCCCCACTCGATGCTCCAGGTCCATCCAGATTGCCACCCCAAAATGGGATATCCGCAAAACGATCCTACAGTCCCACTAGAGGCATCACGATTCCCATTTCTTCTAATCCACGTGCATACGCACAACATCCCACTTACATCACCCCTGCTGCTGCCCCAGATCCGATCAATCCCATCCTCTCCCCAAATCCCCCTACCCCTCCCGAGGAAATATGTGTAGAGTGTGCAATGCGTGACCAGGACATGGCAGACGTTATCGTTGTCGGTCCTGGGATGTGGGAGCGTGAAAGTGATGTACTCTACGAGGAGTTACTTCGCAGAGAACAGGAGGACGAAGCAGCTGGAGTTGTATCATCCGAATGCTCTTCGAAACCTAGAGCACGAGGCGGACGCTTAACTGAACAAAACATTAAAATATGGCACACGATGGTAAGCGAATTTGATTGGCGCATTATTAGTAATTCTAATCATTCGAGCTAGACTCCTCGAGAACCAGCGTCTAAACAGCAGACTCTGGAACAGTACGTGAAGGCACAGCGGAGTCTTCTCGAGGCCGAGGCACTTGCACACGCACGTGCTATGCAAGAATCGATGCAACTGGAGCACAAGATGCGAGACACGTACTCACAATTCCGTCGTTCAGCCTATGATTTGAACGGCGGAGTAGACGACACTGCTTTCCGTCTCAAGCCACCTGGTCAGAACGGAGCCCTCGGCCACCATATCCGGAGTCCTTCACGTGACTTCACAGTTCTAGAGAATGGTCTCATTGTTGAGCATGTCGACATTCGTAAGGAAGAAAAAGAGGAAGAGCGCCGCCGTAGGAATGAGAAGCGGGATCGTCGTGCCCGGAAGTCTTCCAAAAGTTCTGTGGTGGATGTCACCTCCCTTTATTCCGTCCACAGTCTAGGTCCGCATACTGACAGTGGTCTTGGACCAATGCAAAGCTCGCGGTACTCTGCTATAAGCTCAATCAGGCCGGTCAGCGCTCTGACTGCGCCAACTGACAGGCAGCCGAGTTTGGGCCAGGTTTATTCGCAAGCATCATTCTCAGATGCGCACAGCCGAGGATCTGCTTCTCCACGGCGCTCGCGCTTCTTTGGCTTCAAGAATTTGAGTACTGCATGGCGTAGCCATGATAGTCTCGCTCCTTCGGGGGTATCGGGCAGTATGATTGATATGCAGTATGTATTTTCATTCATAAAAAAGAATATCATTCTCATGATATATTTATAGCGTGGCCTTGCAACATGAAAGTAATGGACTTCGCGTACGATCGCCTGTTGGCGACCGGAATATGATATCTACCCCCAGACATAGCCAACTGTGGCCACCAGTGGAACCTCAGGGACCCCCTGAAACGCCGGTCGACGAGAAAGACAAATCGAAGAAGAAGCGCAAGGGCCTTGCAAAGATATGGAAGCTCGTCAGGGGAAACAAGGAGGATTCACAGAGCCTCACGAGCAGTCGTGACTTGGCTCGGTCTCAAGATACAGAGCGGAATGAGGACGACCTGCCTTTGGCGCCTCCACCCCCTTTGTCATATCTGGTTGAGAGGGGACCAGGAGAGCACCTGGGAAGCAGTGGGCGCCTCGTGTCCACTCCCTCGCTTCCTTCAACATCCTCGCCGCGCAATCAATTTTCTTCTTCAGGCATGTCCTCTTCGACAGCGCCGTCTAGCCTCCTTCCCTCACCTGATTCTTCACGTCCATCAGGCATAGATCGCGATGCTGACCGCAAAAGCAGTGTGCAAATCGATGATAAAGAGAATTATGCCGTTGTTGCTGACGAGAGCGGCAGACTGAAGTTACTTCATCCTGTCACTTCCGAGCCTGATATCCGTCAGAAGCTCCAGCAGAACGCTTTTGCTTCCACCAATGGCATGACACTGCCCAGATCGACCAAACCACAAGTCATGCTCTCTCGGGAGAAGTCTTTGCCACCTCTTCCCGGTGAAGCTAAGCTTCGGCCAAACAATCCTGCTGCGGAATCACGGCCACAGACACTATACACATACGATCCTCGTCAGGTCGGTCAGGAATCCAGTGATCTTACTCTACCGCATGCCCCATTCCGCGCAGAACCCAGACGACAGTCTTTCAGTGGTTCCACCTCCCGCCCAAACCTGGGTATTCAGACTATGATGCCCCTGGGTGCACACGATCCTTCAAAAGGTCCTGGCGGTATGTACAATGAATTTGGCATCTCCAGACGCTCGCTCGGCCGCTTGGAGCACATCGATGAAAATCCTCAGCCATTCACGCCCAGTAAGCGGAGGAGCAAGTTTGGGTTTGCATCCTTGCTGGGCAGGAAATCTACACAACCAGAGCCGGTCAATGGTAGCAACTCGCATGAATTCCCGACGTCACTCTTCGAGGGTGAAGATAACCTCACGACAGCATATACCCATTCCGTGTCTCGCCAAAGCGCAGGTCCGCGTATGTCTGTCACCTCCCGTAAGGCGCTGGAGGAGCGAGTCGAGCAAGACCGAGAATTTATTGCATATCGCTATCCCTCCCATGACCAGCGTCTTGATATCCTGCGGTAACGCAAAACCATCGTTCACGCCCCCTTTCACATTCCTTGCTATTTCCTCGCATGACATCCTTATCTTGTTTAGTGTCTGTATATCATCCTGCGTCACATCCTCCATCTCTGCATTTTACTTAGCTTTCTACATGCATCGTTACCAGGGACAAATGCTCGTGTTCCTGCTCCAGGACTTTGACTGCATGTTTTTCGTATGTAATCATCACGGTCATTTCTGCTTACTTTCACATAGCTTCCACATGTAAATGAATGCATTCACCACTAGTGTTCACCGCTTGTAATTTCCTATTGGGCAAACACGTGACCTATACTAACTTCGTCGCGCGACGCGTTTCACTCCTTGAGCAATATCCTCTACGTTTCTCCTGTAAAGCAAACAAGTCGGAATACTATCTCGGTTCGAATAATGGTATGGAATCCTTGTGTCGTTATTGGTGGGTCATGCAACATTTTCAGGCACCACGAGGTCTGTCTTTGGAAGAGAAACGCACTAAGCTACTGGAGATATTCCACGAGTCGGTGAGTTGATATCACCTTTGCATTTGATCCTCCTCTGATGGAATATGGATGTCAGAAAGATTTCTATCAAGTGTGACCTATCTTATTTCTCATTAGACGTACTGACATTTGATTGTCCTATAGTTGAAGGAGCTTGAGAAGCTCGGTCCCAAGCTCAAGGGAATTGGTATGACTATTTGTCACATTAATTGGATAACGCTCACAGGATCCCAAGTTTCTCAGACGGTTAAAGAAGTCTTACAGTCTCTCGTCGACGACGGTCTTGTCCAGGGTGATAAAATTGGCGCTTCAAACTGTATGCTTCCAAACCTGGATATATGCGTTTGATATGCGCAAGAACCCGAATGCTAACCGTGTTTTCAAGTTTTCTGGAGCTTCCCTTCGCAAAGAGGAACCATTGTTGAATTGTTCGCTTCTTAAGATGGTGGCTATACTGACCAGCGCACGCCATAGGTCCAAAATCGCCTTGACAACGTGAAAGAGACGAGGACTAGCTATGAGGCTCAGCTAGCTGAGCTAAAAACAGCTATCGAGCACGAGAGAACACTCAGACCCCTAAGCGTTGGTTTCATTTTCATCTGACGAATAATAAATGATCCCGGAGAAACTAGGACTCTCGCGCGGCAGCGTTGGAGCAGCTTACTTCCATGAAAAAGCAGCTAGCTGTTCTACAAGAAGAAATCGATGCTTACGGCGCTTGCGATCCTGTGAAAGTGGAGGAGAAAAGGAGAGCTGTCACACTGGCACACGAGGCGGCAGTACGGTGGACAGGTCAGGACATGTCCGTCAGATCATTTTTTATCTAAAATAAACAACCCTTCAGACAACTATTCCATCCTTCTTTCACATTTCACTCGCCAAACTGGGATGGACGCACAAGACATCAGGAGGTATCTGGAGATCGGCGATGATTATGAGGATATCTTCTGAAGTTTTGTCCATTCGTAATAATTATACTATGTCTGAATCATTTGTACAAAGGCTTTCTCTGTCGTCACTAAATGTGCTATTACGTCCTCTCTCCATTGATATAACCACCGGTCGCGATGCAACTTTGAAGGTGGACAATTCTCTGATCGATGAGGCAGACCCACTATCCCGTGAGTTGAGGCTCGCAAGGAAGGTATTGTAGTATAGCGAGCAAAGAGGTAAGTCGAACAAGGCGTACACCCCAGTATTTGGAAAACCAAGATACTGAAAAGCACCCTGAGCACGATAAATGTCCGAATTATCATGGTGACTCACTGTAATCATGTCGAGAAGAGCGAATAAAGCGGCCCAAATTCCACTCAACATTGAGAAAATGATCAAGCGCTGGATCATCTCGCTCAATCTGTTCACAAAAACAAAATATTCAGCAGGAATCAGGTTTCTTCCAGAAGAAAACTTACGCAAATGACATGGCTTGTCTGTGCAAGATACGCAGGTATTTGGCCAAAAAAAAAGTAATCGCGATATCAACAAAGGCCATGACGGCGAGATAAGAAACCACGACTCCCTTTCAATAAGGTGAGGCTGCATCAAATGGGATAGACTTGGCACTTGATTATCACCTTCAGCGATGCGATAAAGAAAATATTGTTCCCACTTTCAAAACTGCGACGCGTTCCTGCCAGTAGATCTGATATTCGAGTAAAACTCTCACCTCTTAGCAACGCAATCTATGAATGATGTTAGTCACAAAAACATCAAAGGGCCACAAACGCACAAAATGCAGCCCCGAGTTCAAAAAGGGCCAAAGGGATCTGTTTGGAGAATCATCTTAAGTGTAGGCTTTCATATACAGTTGAACTGATCCTGACCCAGAGCAAGGGGAGCACCCTTGATCTCGTTACGCTGACTTCACCAAGGCATTAGTTAAGTACGTCAGTCTACAAACCGCGTAGACCTACGTCCTTGTGCTTTGACGACAAAAATTCCTTGCACACAAACAGAAACAATGGCCTAATTATCGCAGGAGTGAGTACACACGACGAAAGGCTCAGATTATGATCTCACCGAGAGGAGAAACCCGGTCTGTACGGCATTAGTGCAATATATGATCGTAATGCTCGACGACTCACTGAGGACGCCCTACAACAATATTAACGTCATGCAAAAAAGTGGTACGACATGCAGGATACTTACGGAAGGACCACCTCAAAAAATGAAGAATCTCCGAAGTGAGTGACTAGGTAGGCGTACGCTGCACTCGATGTCTGGAGATTGTCGGATCAGAGACTAACATCTTGCTTACCTCCATGCGCTACCAGTGCTGTCTGTACAGCGTTCATCGTACTAAAACCACAATATTAGCAGGAGACGTTGAAAGGCTGGCAGGTGGCGAACAATATAACAGCAACCTTTGGTAAACTCAGGACTGTTAATGGAACAGAGACAACGAAGAGAGACTCACCACAGTTTTAAGCCATCGATCATCTCTGACATAACTGCAAATTGGGTCAAGCAAGCACTTGCACACTCGCAGAGTTTACCAACCGGGTAAAATAGGAAAAGCTAGAAAAAGGTGAGGATGCGATTCAACATATGCGTGATTGCTCACGTTTGCATGCAAGACACTCCCAAGAGCATGGCGCAAAGAATTGTTGAGAGAAAATAAGTTCCATACGTTATTCCGATAGGAAACGGCAGCATCGCGATCAACGCGTCAGAAAGTGAGGATCCCGGGACACCAAAAGACAGGGAAAAGAGGTAGCATAAATTCTGGACACGCTTTTTGAGGTGGGGATCTGGGGCAATTCAGATCAGCGTCGCTTGCCGTCACCGTCACTATAAAATTAGACACTTGATAAGACTTGTTCCACTTATGGATACCCAGAAAGAAAGGCTGTGGACACCCCGTCGGAGAAGAAAATTGGCAACTTGCCAATCCGTCACCACTGCAGAAGAGTTTCGAGGACAACTTTAAGTAGTGAATATCATCGCCCAGTGACTTATGTACCGCCTCTCGCATAACGCTGCCTTCGGCGGGCTTTGGGGCTATATCCATATCCCTGAAGCAGGCCAAAAACCTCCGTAGCCGTGATGAGGCACTCGACACAGGGTACGAACCCGTATTTTGCCGTACTCCAAGACATACGTGTCACGTCAGGGATATGGGAGCAAAGCACTGGCAGTGCCAGTTGTGACTTGTCGAACACGGTATCATTTCATATGTTGCGGCAGACCTAGAAATCTTAGACCTGTTTAGAGTTACACCTGAATTATTACGGGGGGCTTGAAAACGTAAATTTCTGAATATGATACCTATAATTAATTTCAAATAGAGCAGTGCTGGGAATTGGCCTGGAAAGCGACATAAAATTAAACTCGGATGCGAGAACTGCATGCGCATACCAGCGCTGGTAGAGTTTCCGCATGAAACCAAAAACCAGCAGCGTGAAAATGGTCAAATAACGACGTACGTGAGATATAATCATGAAGCAAACATTTAATCACAAATGTCAAAGAGGCACCCACGTGTGTCACGGGTACGTCAACCATTACGGGCCATTACGTCGAGAGATGAGGCCTGAGGCCTAGGTCCATCATGATAGGGGTTCCCATGATGTTGTCATTGAATAAATAAAGAAGCGAGAAGCTGGAAATCAGAGCGCTGTTAAGGCAACCCGCGGCACTTGTCGTTATCGATGTGGTTCACCAACAAATATTCACAGCCCGCGACGTCTAGTTTCCGACGACGTGATCACATCGGACAGGTGTAATCACCTGGCCTTCCCAATAAGTAACTATACTCAATCCTGTGTATAGAGATACACACCTAGGTTCGAAGGTTCGCAGGGTGTCAGAATCGAGGCGCGACTCAAACAACAACAAAGACATAGATACTGAAAAAAATGACACATTTCGAATTGACCAGCACGACGTTAGAGGAAAATGAGGGTGCGGCTCTCCGACATCAATAAAATTTTAAAACCGCTGCCTTGTCACGTGGCTTACAAACCCCAAACAGAAGGTATGTGTGAGCTTGTAAAGTAACTAACAAGGGCATTCACGCACTCGGAGATGCAAAACGGGACACTGCGGGTCCCTTAGACTAGAAAGTAGTGTCCTACATAGAGTACAACTCTGCAAAGGACAGAAATCGGAAACAAAAAAACAAAAAAAAGTAACTAACAGAAGTACGAAAGTGTGGATGAGATCGTAACATGTACGCAAGTCGTAGCAGATATGTGCCAGGCTTGTAATAATACAGTGACCAACAAAAGTGCATGGTTAAGATCGCGTATATATATACATACTTTGGCGAATAATTTGGAGGTTGTACACTTTACTGATAAGTTACCAGAATGTCAACCCTGGCCATGGAAAGGAGATGAATGGGTCCAGTGGCTTGGCCAAATAGTCAGAGCACGCATAATGCTATCCTAGTACTCACTGGCGTGTGGATATCAACTACTACTTATACTTATAGGCGCTCGGGTTTTACTTTTTGAAGTCAGCGACTCTCCCCATTTGGTAACTCAGTTTGTTGATGAACTTTAGGCTGCCAATATTGTATCAGCTCACGGTCTCTCCTTAAGCTTCTAGTCCGATTATGAATGTGCATATCAGATTATAATGATGATAATCATCGAAATCCCCGGGAGACAAGAAAGAGATGGAAAAGCGGATTTGTGATAATTGTGCCACTGGGACGAACCTTGCCTGCTTTGGATCGGTTGGCACGCTCTCTGCATTCCAAGTGGTATATCCCGAGAAAGCCACTTCCATCGATGTGGTTCAACATTAAATCTCTTGAACTGATACTTCCATCTCGCCGCCATCGGCGCAGCAACGGGAAAGCTACATCCTATCGCGGCTTTGCACTTCATCAGCCCTGATTTACTCCATGCCATCACCTTTGACTCTTAAAATGTCGAGCTCTCGTCGTTTAGCTGCACTGTTCACTAATGACCGAGATTCCAGCCATGAGAAGTCCCGCTGTCCAGATTCGAGTCTCTCCAGCCCACTCGTTGAACGCCGAAATCCAAAGGATGGAAATCGCGCCGAGTTTCTTTCGGATGGCGGCAACAAAATCTCGGAATATCTCAATCTTGACCTACCTTGTCCATACCTTCAACCTCATCCTGTATCTTCTTCATCCGCGATCCATTCGTCAAACTATTCCCCTTCACCGTCCCCGTTCGCCCATAACGTCGAAATGCGATCCCTCTTGCTCTCGTATGAAAATGAATATCATTCTCCATCTTCAATAATCGAATCTCCTCTACCAGTTGCATCTGTTCCTGCTCTTTGCCCAGCATCTCTTTTGGGCCGTAACTACTCCCCTCAATTCCCGGAAGATCACATGCTCCTCGAGACCTTTGTTCATGATTACCGCCTTTGCGATGAACTCGGCTCAGGTGGATATGGTTTTGTAATGACCGCGGTCGACCGCCAGGAGAATGTTGAGGTCGCTGTCAAATTCATCATTAAAGAAAAGGTCCCGGAGCAGGCGTGGACGGAGGACGAGGTCTATGGTCGAATTCCCGTAGAAGTCCTGGTACTTCATCTCGTAGAGCACGAAAATATCATCAAGTGTCTCGAATTCTTCGAGGACGAACTCTTTTTCTACCTTGTGAGTCATACTTGTGCGATATTTTTTTGCGCCGCTCAGTGAACAGCAGGTTCAAGAACTTCATGGTTCTCCGTGGCATAAACGCAAAAAATCGCATGATGTTCATGCACATTCTCCCCTCAATGACATTATCATCCCGCACTTCAGCTCGCCACCCCTCGTATTATCTCCTGCTGCATCTGAATTTTCGGTTCCAGATTCTGAGCCAGAAACTCCCCCGCAGGATTCAGGACATCTCCCGGCCTCGATTCTCGTGGAAGGATGCGATTCACCCCTAAGCGATGACTTGCAGTACCACTCACTTCATCTCACGCGCAAAACGTCTACCCTCGAGCCACCTCGTCCTTGTTATACGCGCCGCCCCTCGCACGACCTTTTTGAATGCATAGAACAAACAAAATACAAGCGCCTCTCAGAGAAACAAGCCCGGTATATCATGGCCCAGGTGGTTGAGGCAGTACATTACCTCGATAGTCAAGGAATCTATCACAGAGACATTAAAGACGAAAACCTTGTCATCGACAAAGACTTCAAGGTGCGGTTCTATTTTACCAAATTGTTATTTTCCACTAACGGCGTGTCTAGGTCAAACTCATAGACTTTGGCAGTGCCGCAATAGAGAACCCCAATGAACCGTCCCCATACTACAAACTCTTCTTTGGTACTACTGCATACGCCGCCTCTGAAGTGCTCCTGAAGCGATCTTACCAAGCCGCGCCCGCCGAGATCTGGACCCTCGGTGTACTGATGTCATACTTGTTGACCGGGATGTCTCCATTCCCCACCGAAGCGGACGCCATTGCGGGGCACATCGTCCTCTCCGAGCTGCCAGGGAAGGGGCTCGGCGGCTCATGCCTGCATCTCATGAGCAGGTGTCTCGAACCCAACCCTCAGCTACGTGCCAAAATCAACGAGGTGCGCGGACATCAATGGCTGAAGGGCGCTTTGGATGTGTAGCTCTTACCCTCTTACCCTCTGTCAGCCCATTTTCTTCTGTTTTACATATACCTTGACATGAGAACACCAGCTTAGAATACATACCCACTAGTATTCATGTACTCGCTATACTACTTTGTCGTATCTTGTATTTGGATTTGACAACTTGATGTGGCGGTGTAATAGTACTGACCCCGCAAACAGCCTGATCATGAGGTTAGACTTTAGGTAATTCAAATTACATAACTGCCGAAAGTCAAATTGTGACCAAATTGAGACACTGGATCCTTTGCGGCAAATTTCTCCAGGAGTGACTCAAGGCCGCTTATTTTTATGGGGAGTTTCATAAGACCTCGAGGTGTCCAGTCGGACAAAATGTTCCAGCGTCGCACGCCTACCAACTCACACGGTCCCGACACCAGTACCATGAATATCGGAGACGTCAGCGCATCTACTCTTCGTAGGAAATCATTGAAAGATATTGTTCGGTATGTCCACTGGTTGAAGTGCGAAGGCCTTACTTACCATCCTCAGACATTTTACTCCAGCATGGTTTGCTGTCACGATGGGTAAGTCAAAATGCGCCTAGTTATACGTTGTGTTGACAATATCTTGTGTAGGGACTGGTTCAATTGCCATACTTTTCCACAACTTTCCTTATGCAAATGATTCGCCAGTAATGCGAGGGTTTGCACTCGGCTTTTTCTTCCTCAATCTCGTGCTCTTCATGCTTTTCAGCGCCATCACTGCGACTCGATACATTTTCTTTCCTGGCATCTGGTCTCACATGATACGACATCCTGTACAGAGCTTGTATATCGGCACATTTCCGATGGGTGCAACTACGTTAATAAATGTCGCCAGTAGCGATATATTCCAGACATATAGTTTTGGAGGCAAGCCGTTTATCTATACGGTGTGGGCATGTTGGTGGATCAACGTTGCAATTTCAATGGCATGCTGCTTTGGCATGATGCACGTTATGTAAGTACCGGGTTCACGAATAGCGAAGATGAGCTGGAGTTGACGTAAGTCCCACAGGATTACTCTCCAACAGCATTCGCTTAAGTCTATGACGACTGCCTGGCTTCTTCCTGTCGTAACCCTTGTCGTCGGATCTTCTTCTGGAGGCGTGCTCGTGCCAGCGCTTCAGGTCTATTCCCCCTCGTATGCGTTGTTGACGGCGACGTTCTCCGCGTGCATGGTTACAATAGGTCTCAGCCTTTCCCTTATGCTACTCACGATATACATCCTTCGGCTGGTTGTATACGGTTACCCCACGGGTGCATCAATCCTGTCCGTTTTTCTTCCCGTCGGTCCTTGTGGTCAGGCAGCATATTCGCTCTTAATGCTGGGGTCCTCTTTCCGTTCACTATTACCTCTGAATTATGGTGATGCCGGCGGATTATTGCGACAGCCTGGAACTGGTGAAGTAGTGGAGGTGATATGTGTGGTTGGTTCTATGGTTCTATGGTCACTGGCGAGTATGTGGATACTCTTTGCGATGCTCGGTCTTGGCTACGCCCTTCGTCGGGAACGCATTGAATTCCGATTGTCATTCTGGGGAACAGTTTTTCCTAACGTGCGTATCTACAGCTTTTTAATAGGGGATGCGCTCAATCCGATATTTCACAGGGAGTATACGCAAATCTCAACTTGGCCTTGGCAACAACATTTTCGTCGACGTTCTTTCGTGTGTGGGGTTCAATATATTCGGTGGGGACGCTGATATTGTGGGTGTGTATTGCCTTGCCTACAATACAAATGGTCCCAAGCGGTCGTATATTTGACGCCCCGTGTCTGGAAGAGGTCACGATAGGGGAACCGAGGAGGAATGAGGAGAGAAGCGCAAACGATTTAAAAAACTGATGTCGGAGAGATTTAGATTTGTTTAAACCCCCCTAGATGCAATTTCGGAGGTGAGCCATCTCGCAGGTCTACCTGCCTTCTACTAGTAACGAAATATCGAAATATCTACTTGGCTTGTACCCCAATACTTCCGGACGGCAGCAAAATGCGTCTTCCAAGCAGATTCCTCTTTCATTTTTCTCAAGATCGCACATGGGGGCAGGTCTAAAAATTACCACCAATTCATGCTGAGTTGATTATTCCGATTCTCCCTTTTTTTTCTCCCACAGTACCGACGGAGAGCCGAGTAGAGAGTGAAGACTGCGGTAGCATTGAAGATGTGTCACAAGGTGATTCAATACTTTCCCACCAATGGCCGCATGTCTCATCATATAGACTTGAAATAGACTTACAAGATGTAAGTAGCGGATCTCCGCATAAGCTGTGCTGTCAACTTTTGTGGGACGCCGAAGGAATGCCAAGTAATCCAATGGCTACGATTGGCTACGGTTGCACTGGCAAAGCCGTCTGTAAGTAGGTTAATAATGACCGGTTTGGCGTAATTTTGTGGTGTATGTATATCAAATTGACGTATAGAGTCTAGTCAGTGATGTCACCCGTAACGCCACGTCTAAGGAGAGGGACAGGTCTAGATTTGCTGTGCTGTGGTACCTTCTTGGATCTCCGCTACGTAGTGCTGTAGTCATTAGTGAGTACCTGCAAATTGTTTGTTTGGTCGTATAATTTGACCAGAGGTTTCCTGGCCAAAATGCAGCTTGTACTCTCTCGCTAGAGGCAGAGAATCGAGGGGCACTTGTCTCTTCCTGTTCAACTAATCAGAAGTCATTCTGTCTGTCCACAACCTGGCGTCATTGCAAATGCTCATGGAAAAAAAAAAACTTTGTCGAATGAAAAACTCTAATTCTGGAACATCGAACGGCATCATTCTAACTGTACAGCTGGCTTTGAGCTGGCGCGAACTGGAATTCATGGGTGATGCGAGTCCAAATGTCATATACAAGTTGTTGTGAATGGGGGAACCGTGGGTCATACCTTGCGGTCGTGCGAGCATATCCCTGATATCTAGTCTGTTTCCAGAATTCGAACAGCCTCGTTAATATGCTGGGGGCGCCTCCGCGTAAATCATGGAGGGAATGTATACGGTACGTGCGACACTATGTCTATGGAGGTCTCCTGATCGATATGCAACAGGAATTTTACCTGGGCCTGGCATACAGTGATTATGGGCACTGGGGGCACGTCTGCCCTGCTCCACGCATTTCCGTACGGGAACGGTAGTCCGGCGATCAAGGTCGTGACTTTGATCGTTTTTTCCCTTAATCTCCTGCTCTTTATCTTGTTTACTGGGGCGACCATCGCGAGATACATAATGTTCCCTGACACCTGGTCCAAGATGATCCGACATCCAACTCAGGGCCCACTCATGGGCGCATTTCCAGCAGGAGCTACGACGTTGATTAATATAGCATTGGTAAGCTTGCTGTTGTTCGTTTGTGTTTACCTTCAATGGTCTTACCCTGGTCATAGGTAGCCAATCAAGAATGGAACTTTGGAGGTACTGGGTTTTTATATACCCTCTGGGGTTGCTGGTGGCTCGACTCCATTGTGTCGTACCTTATCGCTTTTGGAATGCTTCATGCGATGTAAGTGCAGAAGTTCGAATTTTAATGGCGTATCACTGATAATGTGGCTGACAGGATGGTGGAGCAGAAACACACCCTAGATACCATGACTGCTTTATGGCTACTGCCAGCTATCAGTCTTATCGTTGCATCTTCGACCGGCGGTTTACTCTCCACTGCACTTAAAGCTCAGTCGGTGAAGTTCGCCATCTTAACGGCGCTGTTCTCGTTGACTATGGTTATCATTGGTCTCAGTCTCGCGTTGATGATGATAACGGTGTACCTTGTACGCCTTGTCATAAGCGGTCCGCCAGAGAAGCTGCTCATTTTGTCTACTTTCGTCACATTGGGTCCCTTTGGTCAAGGAGGATACTCGCTGCTTATTAATGGCCAGAACCTGTCCGAAATCCTTCCGCTGTACGTCTCGGGCACTTTCCCGGACGTGGCAGCTGGAGGGCAGATGATATTCTCGTTCTGTTTCTGCGGAGCTTACATCTTATGGTCGATGGGCATCTGTTGGATCATTATTTCCTCCAACTCCATATTCAGCGTGCTCAAAAAGGAGGGGAGCATACCCTTTTCCATCACGTATCAAGGATTGATTTTCCCGAATGCCGTATTTGCCCTTCTTTCGGTGCAGCTTGGGAATGTACTCAATAGCGACGTTTTCCGTGGATTTGGTGCAGCGTGGACAGGTCAGAATGTCCGTCATTATCCTTTTCTAGACCTGACCGTTTCTGATAGTTATTGTCTTTATTCTGTGGCTGAGTATCTTTGCAAGAACCAGCCTAGCAGTCATCGACAGGTCCATATTTGTTGCGCCAGATATCGCAGTTCCACTCTTGCCACTTGATATGAACGACTGTATAAATCCTGCGGGAACCAGTCATACTATGCCAGCTATGCATCAATTACATCCCCGACTCTCACGTTAGTGGGAGGAGGGCTTTATCGAACGCAAAAAGTTCCCATCACAAACGTCGAGACGTGCGAGAATGCTGTGTTTCCTTCTGTATCATAAGATAGGGCTCATGCACAACCCACTAATGTCACGTGCCAAAGAGTGACTTTGCGTGATTTTCCAGTATAAAGTTAATGGCCCTCGTAAATCTCAATTTTCAGAAAAAATAATTCCGCAGTGTTCTGCGGATTTGAATTCTGAACAACCCTACCGGCTGAATTTTTGAAAAACTCAAATTTTTAATGGCCATTAAGAAAATGGATGCTATGAGCAGCGGAACGGAAGTTGTGTGCGTGACTAGTCAGGGAACGCTACCGAAGTAGTACTCTGCACCCTCAAACGACTCTGCCAAGGGCTGAACATGCCTAAACGTGGGCTAGGCCACCTGAATACTCTCGGTGGATATGCTGAAAGGAATACAAAGAAGACTAGGATCAGCAAAGAGCGGAAGAAAGAGAAGGAAAATGTGCCGGTGAGCTACATACCACACATCTGTTTTCTTTCATATGTCAGTGTCCACAGCCCACCCGCATCGGTCCAAACCTCGCTGGAATCCCATTCCTAAACTGAGCATTTCAGCCCTCCACTGCAAGACTTACTCAACAGCTTACCTACAGCAATACCGTGGTCACCGAGTGCTTCCTGACTCAATCCTTGCGGAACTTGAGGAAGCTGAAATATAACATTTTGGTACCGACCTATTTCTGACTATTGTTCACTATATAGTTAGCCATATACCTTGCCATTCATACCATACATATTTCGATAGCATACTTTATACTGTACAGACACACAACACTACGTACTAGTAGTGCTTGATACTTGGTTCTTTCTGCATAAAGGTCACATCGGGTCACACAGTTAGTCACAACGCGTCACACATTGGTTGGTTGTGCATGAGCCCTATCTTATATCCATCCTACAGTTCTGCATCCGTAAATGGCCGATGTAGAATACTGACTTGATGGATGTATTTGTTCTGAACACAACTCGTATTGTGAACTTATATACATTGCCTTCATCCATATCTTTCATCACGCCTGCACACGTGCTTGATGTCAATTGAACCAGATCCAACTTATTACCTCCGGACAGTGAGTTCAACTACTACAGAATGTATCTCTTAAGATCTCCATCACGCACTGCAGCATGCTGATGGACATGGAGGGGTTCATGACTGGAAGCTGAAAGACATGCCTGACCCCCACGGGCGCTACGGGACCATATGGATCTCTTCAGACTCGAGAACGAGTGAAATCACATTCGAAATGCAATCTAGAGCGCTCCAGGCTAGGTCTAGAATGCTCTAGCCAGGTCTGGATCGGCTTTTGATTGAAATTGTGCAGGAGGTAAAACGTCCAAACCTCCGATCGGCGGTGTGTAAGCAGATGCGCACATCGGTTCGAATGGCTTCGATTTGAACAACCTTCTATTCTTTCGGTTATCAGCGCAGCTTCTCGGTGGTTCGTACCTGGGCCAAGTCAGTGCTGTCTCGGGCTGCTTCAAGTTATTTGCTCACCACCTCTTGCTGATACCATCCCCAGTGCAGACATCGTCCTTCATCCTACGTCTGTATACTGCCGCCGTCCGCCGCACTTCTGGTACCCTCAAGCTCAAGCGCGATGTGCACTTTCGCCACACAGCGAGAATGCTATCGTTGGCATGTAGTATTCGGTTAGTTTTTGCCATCATGAGCTCAGAGACTGACCACTGGCAGTGACCAGTGGTCGGTGGTTACATACAGTAGTCAGTTTTTAGTAAACGCTACGCGTTTGCAACGGGTTCCCTGTACATTGAGTTTGATCGTACTTCGAAGCACGCGCCTGAGACTTGCGAAAACTCCTACATTATGATCATTGTCATCTTTTGTCAGATTAGCGTTTTTTTTTGCTTTGATAAAAAAAAAATCGTGCTACCTGGTCCTGCCCTATTGTCCAGCCTGCAACCTTCGCAGCGCTACCACAGCTATAAATGTCGTTCAACGCCTATGCTGTGGCCCGTCAGTACGGAACGAACGTTTGTAAGTGCCGTCATATGTAGATTGCAAGGTGACTCACACGGTAATACCGCCCATCAAACGTTTTGCCATTTGTCATGTATTGCCAGGACGAGTGGGGGAACGGCAGTTGTTGACGACTTCTGTTACCCTGGTCGGCTGGAAAGTGATATGGGAACACAACGATCGTTTAGCACAGTGCCCTCCCCACTAATTTGGAAGTCAGACATTGAGCGAAGCAAAAGTTCACGGATGTCAATCAGTATTTAACCTCTGTCACGAATCTAGCAGCTCTGTAGAAATTTGAATTAGATCGACTTGGACCACGTATACATTGATAGCTGACACCTTGGGACAAATAGAATTGAAGAGTTGTATCTCAATTCTGCCAGCACTGTCATATGTTCAAAACACCCTCTTCTGTGGAGTATAAAAACAGACAGCACCAACAATCTGTCTACAAGTGAAATCAACTCACCATCATGTTTACCCGCCTCTCTACTGTTTTCGTTGTTCTCCTCGGCTTGATGGCCCTTGTCAGCACTGGAGTGCCAGTAAGCCTCGCCTCGGGTAAAATCTCATCATGTTGTCATACGACGTCCACAGGTCCCTGACAAGCGTGACACTTCCACGAGGGTGGTCCGAGTAAGCCTAGCTCTGCATCAGATCTCACCTTGTTGGTCTTACAATGTGCATAGGCCAATTATGTAGCACTTGCGCGCGTAAGTCTCGCTTCGCACAGAACGTGTCAACTCACCATATAGTGTACGCAGGAAGAGTCTCCAGAACCAAACCCAGGCACGCCAGTAGTAGTTGGGCGTGTAAGCTTTGTTTCGCACCCAATCCCACAATGTCAAACTGACCATATGTGGCATACAGGAACTTGAAGAGTCTCTGGAACCAGACCCATGTACGAGTGGCAAAGTAGCCGTCCTACTCTTAGTAAGACTTGTTTCGCATCAAATATCATCGTGTTGAACATTGTACACAGGGCAACTACTATGCAGAATCAGACCTTTCTTTGGAAACATAAGTAGCTAAATAGTGCTCACGGGGATATAAGGCAAATTGAAATACTAGGGAGTGAAGTTCCGAAGTCCAACAGGGTGCATGTATAAAACAAATGCTGTAGGCATGATCACAAATATTAAACTCACCCTGTCCATCCGAATCGTGGTAATCCACGTGTACTCATGGTACACAAGCTGTTGTCTTTAACTACCTGGCAGAATAATCTTGACGGAGCATCTTAAAGTGGTTGTGCAAAGAGTACCAGACGCTGGATGTCGAACAGTGGGGCATGGCCTATGAGATATTGATCTCGAAGGCACTCAGCGACGAGCGTGGTTGAGGTTGAGATTGAACGTTCTGAACGTTGAACAGCCGAATGACATTGATGAAATGGAAGATGTGACAGTGTCCACTCTGGGAAATATGCCGGTTCAGTCTTATTGGTCAGGTCTTACCACTTACACCTGGTCTCCAAATAATATTCAGCATACTATGTTATAATATGTTGAAGTTGACTAGGACTGCCTGCTGCCATGATCAGACTGATAATGCTGCATGAAGGCCTTTGGTGTTCATATTCAATGTAACATGTACGGCCTTGACGGAGTTTCGTTTCGACACAGCCACATAAGTGACAGCCTCGCAGCTATATTAAGCTTATAACGTGGTGCCGGTAAGCGGCGAGTGCTGAATACGCGTGGCCTCAACTCTCAAAGGCTCACTAGAGGCTCATATCAACTACACGCGACGAACAGACATTGAAAAGGCCTTCATATAGGCGTCTGATTTCTTCGATTCATCATGCCCCACTCTGCTGTTTATCAACAGTTGCCTCAAGACGTTGTAGATGAAACTATCGTCGAGGAACAAAACACCGAGGATCATGCCAAGGCTGCCCGCGGACGCAGTGCCCGGGCGCACAAACCAGGACATATAGACCTGCGAAAGTTGGATAACGCATTCAAAAGGTGGGTCAGGGGCCTGCTGAGTTACAATGGCAGTCTCGAGCTAACACACGTCTTCAGGTGGACAGAATCTATTGCACAGAAAGTTAAACGGAAGAAGAAAGTCGAAGACTACTCTCGCAAGGAGATATGGCAGAGTGTCTTTGAGCCTTGTGCGCCACCTTCTGCTGTTGGGAGCGGAAGTGAGTTCATGGTAAGCCTCGTGGTTTTTACTCTCAAAATGCATGCTCTGCATGGCTCCTAGTGTCCCGTTTTGATAGTGACGTCTTGTTCCACAGGTCAAAACACTTGATCACAAGCCTCTCATGTCCCAGGCGACTTTCGACAAGTAAGCTGGGATTATAGGAATCCAATGCCGAGCTCATGGTCAACAGTTTAACACAATCAGTGCGAAATGCCATATCAGCTGGAATTCACCCAAAGATGATCGTGAAAGGATCTTCTGGATCCTACTTTGCTCGTGCGAAAGTTGATGGGAGAGTTCAGACAGTTGCGTGAGTATCGTGCTTCAGTCACATTCGCGACAACCAACTCAACATATATCATATGTAGTGTATTCAAGCCCAAAGATGAGGAACCTTATGGGCGCTTGAACCCTAAAGTGCGTGTCTTTATAATCGACCAGACTTTCACTTAGAGATTTTTCAGACTACTAAGTGGTTACATCGGCAATTTAGATGGATAATTCCATTCGGGCGGGCTTGTTTGATACCCAATCTCAGGTAATTTCATACAACTTCGAACAGCAGCTACCCCCGCGTGACACTTACCGTCCCTAGTTACATCTCAGAGGCTGCAGGATCCCTGCTTGACGAACGCCTTGGGCTTAATATTGTCCCTCGTACACAACTCGTCTCACTATCTAGCCCTGTGAGTCCATGTTATACTTTCTGGAATTCCTGGCTAAATCATCATGCTTCAGGCCTTCTTCTATGATTGGATTGACAGAAGTGCAGCCAAGAAAGGTAAACCACTACCTGAAAAGATAGGAAGCATGCAGTATTTCTTGCATGGATACACTGGTTGTGTTTATTTTACTTACTTGTTGTACATGGACTCATCTCCAAATTATCAGATGCATCAGATTTCCTACGGAAGCACCCCTGGCCCGGCCGCTCTATCGCAGACACATTTGACGATTCATCGCACCGCAAAGGTCTCCCCACGAAACGATTTCTTAGCGCGCTGAAAATAATATGCGGAAGGACTGGCGACGAAGACATAGACGATGAGGACCCAGAGGAAGAACGTGCTCTTTTCGACGTTACTGAAGACAACGAATCTGGACGTCCGTTCTATTGGTCGCGAGCACTTCAACAAAGTTTTAGAGAAGAGCTAGAAAAGTACGTTAGTCGTCTCACGTTCCGTCCCAGGTTCTCATGCTGCATCTCACTCTGAACTAGGCTTGTGATACTTGGTGATACCCTCTCTGTTATGTTCTTCCTGGTGGCTGACCCCGCGAACAGACTACCTGATGCTAAATACCGACCGTGGAGCTGATAACTACATGATCAAATACTGTGAAGGCAGCCACGAAAAGCTGGTTGATGTTGCCCCTCAGCCTTCAGCTCACCCCCAGATGCCACAGATGCGCCGCGCTGAGACACATTCTCCATCCTCACAGTCTACCGTGACTTTCGCCAATGTCATCCCTCCATCTCAAGCTAACGCTGCTTCGTCTGACTATATACGTCAGCCGCATATACATATTGCAGCCATAGACAATTCGCTCTCGTTCCCTCATGAGCATCCTCGAGGCTGGCGGTCGTATACCTATGGGTGGTTGTATCTCCCTGTCAACTTGATTGGGCGTCCTTTCAGTGAAAAGACGCGAGCGCATTTCTTACCCCTCTTGACCTCTAAAACTTGGTGGGAGGAAACAACCTTCCAGCTTCGTAAACTCTTTGCAGTCGACCCTGACTTCCATCCCAAAATGTTCCAGGTCAGTTGTAAGAGTACCTTGATGAAAATCATACTATATCATCCTTGATTTCAGAGACAACTAGCTGTCATCAAAGGTCAAGCTTACAACATTATCGAGTCTTTGAAACATGTGGTGAGCCAGAACTGTTGGCCAGTTCGTTTGAATTTGTTCGACTAATCAATCTACCGCTAGGATGAAGGTGAGCTCCAGAGGCGGTCAAATACATAATTTCGGTGTTCATTATTGCAGGTCCGCTGGAGTTGACCCGTCGTACAAGAGCACTTGTTTGGGACGATGAAATTGAAATCATGGAAGAAGCACCTCGTCCTCCTGGTGTTGGTCTTTCACCTGCATCACCACGCCCGTCCATCAGCACCATGCCATTACCACGGCGTACACGCAGTCAAAGTTACTCTGCTGAGTTCCCTCCACCCGTCCGCCGGAGATCATCAGAAGCCGACCGCCCCGTTCCGTTCTCTGCCAAGTTTCAGAAGGTACACCCGGGTACGACAGGTGTCACGGTTCTTGAGCATCTTGAACGCTTGGACGTTGTCGAAGCCGGGCTGCAACGGCTTGGCGTCGAAGAACCGGTCATCGAGGAGGACGAAGAGGAAGAAGTCGATGTTGGAATGTCGTCTGCACCGCAACCGTCCCTTATTCCCACTGGCGATGCGCTCCCACCCGATGATCTATCGGCTTCACAGCAACTCACCCCACCTGGTAGTCCGGGCGGGCTTACCTCTGTGACGGAGGTATACTCACTCGCCAACTCTGTGACGGAGGAGGATCTGGCAGTCATGTCCAAGTCAATGTCTCATGTCGAGTCACCATTCACACCTCAGCATAATAGGTGGAACAGCCATGCTGGGCGGATGTATCACCAGCCCGACCATAGCCTAGACTGGATGAACGTCGACGAACTTGAACAGCAGAAGCGAACCGTTATTGTCGAGGTATGTCCAGTGCCCCTATTGGTGACAACAATCTGATCCGCCCAAGCGATTTGAGACGGTCGCTGCGAAACCTCTTCTCAGTTGCTGGTGAAATATACACACATTTCTTTCATAGAGGGGTCCGGTTTGTCGTGTTATGGTTCAGGTTGCTATCGTAATTTGCTATCTGGTATAAATGTCCAAAGATCTTGAAATGCATTATATACATTTAATAAGTCGAACGTTCGCATCCTCGTCTGGCAAGCTCAATGCAAGAATGATATTATATCCGATCAGTCGCCCTCAGTCATGAGCCACGATGCGAAGTCATCCAGCCGCTGCTTTTCTGCTTCGTCGTTATCTCCGTCCAAGTCGTCGCCCGCTCCGCTGCGTTTGAAGCGCTGTTTGCCCGAATACAAAAACGCTTCAATACGTCTTCCAGCGAAGAACCTGTTGTTCATTTTCTATGATAAAGTCGATCAGCACTTGCCAAGGGGTAAGCGAGAGAGACCTACAATCACACAGGCCTGAGCACTCAGCGAGTCTCTGAACTTGACTGTCATCACTCCGTCGGCTTCTTTCTACAAGGCAGATCAGATATGGCTGTGGAGTATAAAACATGCAACATACATCAAACAGAACGACATTTGTCACTTCTCCTAGTGATGAACATTCCTCACGCACGTCATTCTTCAGATCAAGTAACAGAGACGCGTCTTCGTCGAGCTCTTGGAGAGAGAACATGTGCTTGAGAACCACTACACGGCAGTTCCTGTTAACCGCGTTCTTTTCGTCTTCCTCATTCTTGGCGGGGCCAAAGCCATCCTCGTCATCCCATTCTTCAATTTTTCTGCAGGCGGATTAGAGATATGACAATGCGGTCCGAGAGAGGAGGAGCATACTTCTGCATCTTGCCGATCCTTCTGGTAATCTTCTTCTTGTCCACTGTCTTCCGTGGTTTCGCTTCCCCTCCTGCCCCGCCTGAATGCTTGTGACGAAATTCCGCCTTCTGCACACTCATGACCGTTGATGCATCGCCTATCCGGAGTTCCGCGTCATCTAGGAGGTTGACTGCCAAAGTCACTGATTCTTCTTTGAAATAAACTACCAATGCTTCTCCACTAAATGATCCGTCCTCGCGTGCGTACAGCTTCACTTTTGGTTCGCCTTCGTCATCTTCCTCGATAACTCCGAACTTGGCAAAGCGCTCGATGATTTCGTCCACTTCAGTATCCGCAGGGAGACCAGTGACGTAGACTGCCGTATTTTTGGATTTGGCTGGCTTGTCGTTCTTGCCACGCTTCGCAGAAGGCTCTGCTGGAGGTGTATAGGAGGTGTAGTTTTCAGGCTCCTTCCTCTTCTTTGCGCGTTTGAGCACAGGCGCGGCTGGTGTCTGCAGACGTTATTAGTTTAAGGAGTCACCGTGTTGAACAGTATTACTTGACCTCTTCATCCACGCCAGCGACTGAATATGCGGCTTGTTGCTTTTTGATCAGTTCCTCATCCAGCTGCCAAAGTTGCTTGCCTCACGATCACCGGCGCCCCACGAAGTTCACACTCACCACCGGCATCCATGCACCCTTGGCGGAATCAAACTCGAGCTCAGTACCGTCTTCATTCTCTAGCCTCCATGTTTCTGTCTCTCTTGAAAAGTGGATGCGGTCGTCATTGGCGAAAGCGGCTGCTTGAGCGGATGCGGATGCGCCCGCGGCTGCTGATGGTGGTGCGTCGTACATCTCAGGCGGTTGTTTGTACGTGTTTGATTCTAAGGCCTTGACACAGCTTTGTAAAACGTCACTCGTCTTGGTAATTGATGCCGGTCTGGACTCTGAAAGAGTACGCGTATTGACGGGACTACGGATACCCTTTCAAACAACCAAAATACTGGTCCGCGTATCTGATTGGTAATACTACTGGTGAGATCAGACCGGTATCTTGATAATGCGCAACTATACGTGGATTGGTTTTGTCACACCCGAGATGCAGGACTTAGTATTCCCCTTCCACACTAGAGTCTAGACGCTTACTCATATAGGTCCGAATAATCACCACCACTTAACACTAAATTCATAAGTAATTGACGCCGTCCCTACTAACTTGCAGGAACTCTTTTCGTACCTGCGCTTCATTCCCGATCTCTCCCAAACTAGCTTATGTTCAACGTCACGTCAACCTAACAAGCTTTGTGGCTTCCTTGTATTGGACAGGATCTCACTGTTTGTACTAAAGAGATTGACGCACCTGGGCCCGGCGAATTTCTCGTCAAAATCGGTCTGAACCCTTTGGATTGGAAAATCCAAGGAACGAATTCATTTTCGTCAAGTCGTACCCGGTAGTCATTGGTGAAGAGGCTGCTGGCAATGTGGAAGCTGGCAATGAGGATGTCGCTGTTTTCAAGTAAGGGAATAGGGTGTAAGTGACGTCAAAAATAGAACTGGACGTTTCTTCGACAGATTTTTTCAAGCGAACATAAGGAACAAATTTATCACCTTCCACTCCGACAAAACCAATTCCCGCACGCTGACACTTCCTTAGATTCTGGATAATATTTCTTTCGACCAAACGGCTTCCGTGCAGGTTGGCATAATCCCATTCGTCGTTGCCTTGTATGCGCAGCAGTCTGAAGGACTGGCTCACCTTGCGCCATGGCAGAGGGTGGGAATGGCCAGCATGCCAGACAGCCTATCCTCTACGTGGGTGGTACATCAACCGTCGTGTGTCATCACCGCAGCTTCGTTTCACAAAACTGGACTTCTGTCCTCGCCCGGCGCTACTCATGTGCTCCATGACAAGCTCTCGACTACTCGTTGAAAGACGCAATTGCCAAGATCACCTCCTATCACTTTGACTTTTGACGCCAACTCTCTTCCTGACACACAGCAAACCGTTCATGATATCGTTACTGCTGTAGGAATGGTCATCACAATGGGAGTACCTCAGGTGGATAATGAAAACGAAACCGAGGTAAACCAGCAAGTGTTTGGCGGTTTCCGCCCACCTCCCAACCGTGAGCTGGGTAAGAGCCCCACTGTACCAACCGACCTCGATGGTGTCTCCTCTCTCCTCTGGTCTGCAGAGACTGAAAAATGATCTTGTCAACGGAAAGAAACTAGTAGTTCGCCCTTGGAAGACTGCGTGAAGACCAGAGTCTAAGTACAAGGTCTATCCATCGTGTACGTTGTAAAAAGAATTGAAGACATTGGTTTTTCTTTTGCGCACAACAAAGGCATAAACGCGCGTGATAATATCCTGAAAACGATGCGCAAGTTCTCATGTTCGTCAATGGAATGTTGTCCTTGAGGTTGATTTCATTTCCGGAACAACATCTGAGAAGAGGACAGCAGCGTTCATGTGCCAAGAATACACTGGCACATTGTCACAGGACACGTTGGAGACTTATGATTGGCGTTTTCAGCTCATTTAATTTGCGTTTATGAGATGCGTGAAGTATTCACGCAAAGGTATTGCGCGTTGCAACCAACCGCGTAACACCGCTGACCTTTGACATCGTAGTTTCCTCACACGTGTGCACCTAATTATTAACAAAGTTCTTCTGGATGAATCTCCAAGATCATATCGGGTTATATGTCCGCTATACAAGACCGTCCCAGAAAACCATCGCGTCGATGTGTCCAAGTTATAATTATCGCTTCCAAATACCACCTCCCTCTTGCGTCCCCAGGCTAGACTCGTGGCCAACCCGTTATGCCACACCCTGGCTCGACAAACGCACCGTTCCTTCCGAGGAAGTACGTGAATTCGGTTGGAAAGTGAAGAGCAGTTATCGCCAATGGAACTGCAAGAGTAATACACAGTTTATTGGGTTGGTCAAAAATAGGATATCCTGCAGATGGGCATACCGCTCAGGGATGCCTGATCGAGTATTCCAGTTTCCAAAGAGTCCATGAATAATAGAGAAGACGTGGGTACGCTATGCACATTCGATTAATATGACATTGTCCCCACAGAAATTGTGATGAGCTCAAATATTGCGGTCATTACTTATTAATAATACCATCGATGCACACCTGTACTCAGTACTCAGCTTTCGACCAATGTGTCGTTCGGGCGAGCTGCGTCTTTCCCATTTGTATGAGCTTCCTTCACACCTCTCTTCCATGGCGTTTGATATTAATCTATGCCAACAGCCTTGGAAGAGCGGCAGAGGGTGCACGCCGGTGGTTTATCATGATGGTACATCCGTTGGGAATCCGGCAGGCGCGCCCCCATCTGTTCGTGTCTGAGGTTCTAAGATCCATGTATCAGTGAGCTCTAGAAAATTCTCAACCCAAAGAAGTAAATTAACAGTGGTTCAACCGCACCGAACACGACTGTCACACAGCTCAGTGACTGAGTAACGTACCCTAAATGAAAATGTTGCTAGGCTTCAGTCCATAAAAAAGCACAAAGAAACTCCTGTACACTCCATACACCCGAAGGTGCCTATTCACATCGAAAGCATCTCCGCCTGCTGGATCATTATCCGCGGCGCGGAAGATATGATGGTTATCTCTTGGTTCATCGCCAACAATAAGAAGTGGAAAATTCCTCGAGTTGGATGCAAAAGTCGACTACTTGTATAGCAACATTGGGAAATAGGCATTGGGATCATGAGGGGCGTCCGGCGCGAGCTCGGCTTTCCACTTCTTGAAGGGTGTGGGCACCTTCGGGGGGAGTTTCGACTGGTCATACACCTTGTGCACAGATGTGATTGCAGCAATGGCGCCTGTCAAATCTATGATCTCCTGGGTCTTTGTAGGGACATCCACTTTCTCTCCTTCTTTGGCTTCTGATGGTGCGGGAATTCTATGGTTACATATTAGTGGGAACTGCCACGCAGAGGGTACGGGAACGTACGCCTGAGCTTCAAAGTGCTGGATGAGAAGTGACGATAGGTCGGGCTGCGTGACCACAGAAAGTTGGGGATATGCCCTTCGAACGTCTCTCTTCCAGTACGGATTCTGGGCGGGGTCGGAAGCTGACAAGAAAAGGGATGAGCAGAGCCTATAGTGAGCTACAATGTCCTACCCTTGGTTGCCGGAGCTGAGTACTTCTCTGGTCTGGAACCAGGCTGCGGCCATCTGTAGATTCCGGCTAATGGAATGCCACTCGAGATTTCAGGATTGACGACCAGAGCATCGCCTGGTAAAAGGCGTTCACAGACATTCGATAAGTCGAAAAATGAAGCAACTCACGGAATTTCTTCCAAAAACCTTTCGGATGAACATGGTAGAGAGTCGACTCCGCAGCTTTTTTCGTAGCCTGCCATCTGTGAAGTTCGAGTTGAAGTTCGGGGAACCGCGGAGTATAGCGAGCGGGAGATGATTACATAAGTATGTTTTTGACTGTCTCCAACCCAGTCCCCGACTTTATTGACCGGTCAATTGCTTCATTTGATTCCTTCTGCTGAAGGCTTGTACACAACGTTAACGTTCCGTGATTTGTGCAATTGTACATTTCTCTACTTGTTTCTGGTGTCCGGCCAGCTTTCCCAGAGTCATTTTCAGCACCCTTTACAGCAACCTAGACTACAGCTTCTCCTAAGCTCCTTCAGACGTACACGGGAACAGTCTTCTGGTCAATGCCATCCATCCAGTCCTGCCTGTTTAGAATCTTGTTGGCTTTATTCCGCTTGTCGAGGTCGCCCTAAATTACAGGTAGTATCCTCATACGTTTGACTGGCCCTTCCACATTTCCTATTTACGTGTACCGTAATATCAATTGTAAGTCACTGCTCCATGTCTTTCTTGACGCATGCGGAGGATTGGTGGCAGCCAAGGCGCTGAGCAGCAGTGCGGAGAGGAAGCCAACAGCGCACTAAGTTAGGTTATCCACATGGAACGAAGGCGCATGAGCAACCCAGACAGGATCAGGATTTAATGTGGTTACGTGACAAATGCATGTCCGAAAGAACCGCGCTAGGCTGAGGGGAAAAGCACTCTCGACAGAGATAAACCCTACTTAATAATAGTTTATTTCGCCACTGTATTTTGAACGTACAGGACAAAATAAACTGCGATACATAAACTAGCATCCGCAGGAGAAAGGTAGATTTGGCAGCTGAAGGCATGAATTGCAGGGGTCCGTTGGTGACCACGCGCAGAAAGTCATTCTTTCGCCTCAAGGTGAATAACAGCCGTACCAGCGCGCCTTTGAGGTGTCGATCGTATTCAGCTGGCGTGGCCGACGCACACACTGGTGGCCCGAGAAGCGTTAGACAAATTGTCAGGGACACATCACACCAGCCCGCTGGCGGCGTTCACTTTCAACAGTGAAAGAATCGCTCTCCGATGTGATCTTCTGTCCTTGCTGTCTTCTCTTGTCAACGTGCGATCTTCTTCGTCGGTGCTCTCACCTTAACAAACTTGTGTTCAAATTTCAGTCTGACCATTCTGTACAGAGTCCAGACTGGCTTTAGCCAAGATTCTTCGGCAAGGTAGTTATGTGGTAGAACAGTCATCCTAGTAAGGTAAGCATTTTCCCACAACAGATTTTTTACAGAAAAAACGGACGTTTGCGTCTGACAAAACCGTGGGAGTCGGGTCGGGGACTATACAGGCGAAGGGAATTAAGTTAAGGTTTGCAAGACCGGGTACACAGAAATTAGACGTACGGAACTGACAAAGACCCTCCCCCCACTCACGTGGGAGTCGGGGATCATACCCTGAGTAACTGTTCTATGGTATATCATAGGTCCACGCCAACACGTCTGCCATTATGTGTAGCACGGCTTCGTCCAGAGCACACCAGACCCCAGTACTCTGCCTTTTCAGCAGGTTCCATTTGAAGATCATATAGTATGCCAGCTGCCGCCTGGCTGACAATGGTAATTTTGCACCTCATCGCGGCTGCCTTTCTGCAGTTTGATTATGCCTGTTCTAGTGCTTCCAACTCCGAAGCAAAAGCTTACGCACGGTGGTGTACAATGGTAGGCTAATCTGACTGAGACCTAAGATGACAGATCCTTGACTACGTCACGATTGTCGTCGGCAACCTAAAATCACGCAATAGCATAACGCCATCCTCATCACTTGCCTGGTGAATCGCGTGCGCGGTGGCCTTGCGATATAAGCCTTGCATGCGTGTTGTGTGGACCCTTAGGCTGTTTTTCTTCATTCCGAGTCAGCGTGCTATCATGGGTTTCACACTGATCCACAGTCATGCTGAGCCCGTTAGCTCAGAGTCACAGCACCCCCTACTAGATATTGGTCTCGTGACTCATGATACTGAGTCTGAGCATGACTCGGACGATCTAGACGTCGACTTCGGGGCCATCAAAACTGAGCGTGACCCTCACGAGCTCCCCACGTTCAATTCTAAAAGTCTCACAAAGCCCCCATGTCCCGTCCTCTATCTACCTCCGCTACTTTCTTCTCTACCTCACGAGCTCGGGGTACTACTGCATACATCACTAGAACAGCAGCCGATGCTCTCCGAGACCCGTCTACCTGATATAGACCCCGCATCGCTGTCGTTGCACAAAGCTTTGCACCATTTCCGTCCGGCGACTCCGTATTACGCCGAATTACCATACGACGAAGCTTTCAATTGGACAGAGCTTGAACTTCCGGAAGACGAGGAGCGTGAGTGGTATTGTGTTGCCTTTCGCAGCAAGCGATTGCCTGGGAGCGACAGTGGACGTAAGTGGCCATCTTTCGTACCCGGACTTCGACTAATTCTCCTCGCATGCACAGTCCTCTATGATGCCGACAAGTTAGCTCACGAGGAGGCCGTGCTTAACGGTGGTGTATGCAACTGACTCCTTTTCAGTGGCTCTTTCTGACCTTACCCCCTAGCTTATCATGTATTGGTATGGTGTGCCGAATCCAGAAACGGGCATGAACCTTGCAACGTGCATATGGCAGTCCCGGAAACATGCAGTGGCTGCCAACTCGCGCCCGCACCACATCCGTGCGATGATGCTCGCAGCCGCTTCATACGAGATATATACTCTGGAGCGACACAAGCTGCGAAAGTCACGGGGAGAACGTGGAGTGACCATCGAACCGTTTGACGGTGCTGAAGTTGGTTGGTAATTCTCCAATACCGGCTTACTTGGATTTATATACCCTCGCAATACTTTTATTCCATAGAATACTTCTAACTGAAACTTACAGCTATCTTCATATCGATAGGCCAGAATCTAGAAAATTCACTTAGCCGCTTTTGTTTATTATTGGAGCGACACCAAACGGAGGCGCTCATGCTAGCTACTCTTTTTTTTACGGTAAGTCATTAACCTTGTGGGACTTATGAGGGGCGGTACAGATACTGTGACGAGACTTGGAATCACGGCGCGCACCCACATCTGTGACCAGTTGTACATGCTGATGGTGGTACTGTACTACTAGTACGCAGGTGACCTTCATGGTTAAGTAACGAAGCCCTCGTCATGCAAGACACTATAATGCTGTTAGAGGTAAGTCATGCTCGTCATCGGGTGAGACTCCACTTAGTTTCTCTGGCACTTTAGCGAGATCGTCTCTTCGTCTCCGTTGAAAACGTATATATTTTCGACAGTTTGCGTGCATGATGATGACGGTCGGCAGTCGTTGTAGTAGTACTCACTTGATGTAATGATGACGACTTGCGCGACTTACAAAAGTAGCTAGCATGAGCGCCTTTGTTTGGTGTCGCTCCAATGATAAACAAAAGCGGCTAAGTGAAATTTCTAGATTCTGGCCTATCGATATGAAGATACTTAGTCCTGCCATCCGCTCGGCGCCTAGACTCGTAACCAGTCTGACTATGCGTTAATTTGAGATGGTGAGATTTTTTTGACGTACGGGAAAGCAGGCAGCTAAAAGTAAGTATTTTAGCATTTTCATCTTCGATTCCGGTGTTCACATCTTCATTTCGTCAATCGCAGATGCAAGACACACCCCGCAAGGCGCAATAGGATCGGATATTGCGGGCATTCGGAATGCTACTTCCAGCTCTTCGACAGACAAACTTACCCGAGAACATCGTATGACAGCCTTCCATGCCTCCGCCTCCTTCGGGTCCAACACAAGGGAACGCGGGAGGCGTTAACCTCTCGTGATCACTTATATCCAATTTCTATACATTTGGCTGATTTTCGATAAACTTAACGCACATCCCCTGTACTTTGACTATGCCTGTTCTAGAGGTTCCGACCGAAGCAAAAGCTTATGCACGGTGGTGCACAATGGTAGGTTACTCTTCAGTGTTCAATACTGAGACCAAAGACGGACAGAAGAGGATCATTCTTTGGCGATGGTCGTCGTCAACCTAAAATCACGCAATAGCATAACGCCATCCTCATCACTTACCTGGTGAATCGTGTGCGCTGGCTTTGCAATATAAGCTTTGTATGCGTGCTGTGCGAACCCTTAGGTTGTTTTTCTTCATTTCGAGTCAGCGTGCTATCATGGGTTTCACACTTATCCACAGTCATGCTGAACCCGTTAGCTCAGAGTCACAGCGCCCCCTACTAGATATTGGTCTCGTGACTGATGGCACTGAGTCTGAGCATGACTCGGACGATCTAGACGCCGACCTCGGGGCCATCAAAACTGAGCGTGACCCTCACGAGCTCCCCACGTTCAATTCTAAAAGTCTCACAAAGCCCCCATGTCCCGTCCTCTATCTACCTCCGCTACTTTCTTCTCCACCTCACGAGCTCGGGGTACTACTGCATACATCACTAGAACAGCAGCCGATGCTCTCCGATACCCGTCTACCTGATATAGACCCCGCATTGCTGTCGTTGCACAAAGCTTTGCATCATTTCCGTCCGGCGACTCCGTATTACGCTGAAGTACCATACGACGAAGCTTTCAATTGGACAGAGCTTGAACCCTCGGAAAACGAGGAGCGTGATTGGTATTGTGTTGCTTTTCGCAGCAAGCGATTACCTGGGAGTGAAAGTGGACGCCAGTAGCCATCATTCGTACTCGTACCTTTGACTGATTCTCCTCGCATGCACAGCCCTCTATGATGCCGACAAGTTAGCTCACGAGGAGGCGGTGCTTAATGGTGGTGTATGCAGCCAATCCCTTGTCGCAGTGGCTCTTTCCGACCTTACCCCCTAGCTTATCATGTATTGGTATGGTGTGCCAGATCCAGATCCAGACATGAACCTTGCAACGTGCATCTGGCAGTCCCGGAAACATGCAGTGGCTGCCAACTCCCGCCCGCGCCATATCCGTGCGATGATGCTCGCAGCTGCTTCATACGAGATATATATTCTCTGGAGCGATACAAGCTGCGAAAGTCACAGGGAGAACGTGGGGTGACCATCGAACCGTTTGACGGTGCTGAAGTTGTTTGGTAATTCTCCAATACCAGCTTTCTTGGATTTATATACCCTCGCAATACTTTCATTCCATAGAATACGTCTAACTTAGACTTCAGGAACGTTGCATAGAGTTCGAGTTTGCTAATGGAAATACAGGTGTAGAATGCTCAAATTCGTTAATGGTCATCCGCCCATGACTCAATTGTGTCATGACTAGTGTCTGAACGCTGCGAAAGCAATCCCTCAATCTCATCACGGCCAACGCTGCCCCTCCCTGCAAGCGACCGACGTGATAACATCCATGAGACAGTCGATCGTTGTTCTTGCCGAGGCGGGATCGGCGTACTGCGTGTTTGGCTTGGTCGATCTTTTTTCGGTGTTGCTGGTTGTGACGCCTGAGTTGGGCGTGTGGGCGTGAAAGGTTGCTCGTGGCTCTTTGTGGTGCATGTTGTGTTTTCTGCGGTAAGCTTTGGCGAGATGAGTTTGCATACGATGAGACTTTTTGTTTCATATGGGCTTACTTCTTGTACATCGGCAATACCAGGGACATCAGGGGATGATGTTGCTCCCTGGAGCGGTGAAATAAAAATTCCCGAAGCGGGAGCGAAGACCACTGCGCCGTTTTGGCCATTCAACTCAGGTGATGGAGATTCTTGGTTGGCATGTCCAGATATAGGTGAATTGCGAAAGGGTCCACCATGAAGGTCGTATTCTACGGGTGCGTTAGATGCTTCTGCCATTGTTGCTCGATCGTCAGCGACACTACGGAAAGCATGAGGGGAATGCGACAAAAGGACATCAGGGTCTGCGAGGATGGGAGGAACTGTGATGAAAATTCTAGAAGGAGGAGCGAAGACCACTGCATCGCTTTGGCCATTCGACTGAGGAGATGAAGATCGTTGGATGACGTGTCGAGATACAGGTGAACCGCGAACGCGTCCATCATAAAGGTCGGATTCTACGTGTGCGCCAGGTGCCCCCGCCATTGCTACTTGATCGTCAGCGATACCACAGAAGGAATGAGGCGAATGCGACAAGGGGACGTCAGACTCTTCAAAGACAGGAGGAATTGTAGCCGAAGAATACATGGCATAAGTCCGCTTGTTGGCCAAGCTGGGTTCAGGCAAAGTCTTCCTCAAGAATGGCTGCCAGCGGAAATCAAGTGCGTCCAAATCAAGCTCGTACGACTCTGGCTCCAGAGGGTCGGACAGCGATGGATCTTCAGTAGGAGAATCGAAGTACACTGGTCGAGAAACGGTAAATGCCGGTCCAGGGGTGGAAAACATATTCATCGTCAGCTCGTTCTCTTGAAAATCAGGCGTCGGTAAGTGAGGTCCAAGATCGTTAGAAGCAACAGACGATCCGCGGCGGAAGGAGGTCAAGTAAGTTTCCGACTCTGCAACAGTTGGACGACAAACAGGGGACGATGTGAAATTGGCATGATTGACGCTTGCGTCGTGAGACAAAAGGGGTGGTTTTGGTTTTACGTCCGTCGAGGTCTTCTGTGATTCTGATAGGCAGGCTAAGTTAGGTGCAGCATTTGAAATAACAGTGTGTCGTAGAGCGGCGAGCGAGCCGGGAGTGGAAAATGGGCGGAACTCAAGGGTATCTTCTCCGAGGTGGAACTCCGCGTTGACAGTCGTCCGGCTACAAGGCAGCAACCCAACGTCGCGGAAGGCGGAGTCAACAGACGGTGGACGTGAAGCTCCATGAGCTGCATCATTATCTTCCTGTACATCGGCATCGAACGGGGAGAATGCAAACATGCGATTTGTCCTGGCTTCTTGAGAACATGGTCGAGGTTCGTTTCGAGTTCTGGCTTCAATCATGTCTTTGTGACCCAGAGAAGGAGGAAGCAACTCCCGAAGTGGATGCTCGGATTCCAAGGCACTGAACGTACTCGCGAGCCACATAGGTAGGGCCTTTGTCGGTGCCTGTACTAGAGAGCCCTGATACGGCAATAGCCAAGTTTGGGTTCTCAGGAGCATAAAGGCGCGCGCATATAGCGTACCTTTCGATATGCTTTGAGGTCACGTTGCACCAGGGGAGACTTGGCTGGGTTTGACACCCTTTGATTCATCTTCAACACAGAGAGGTCACTTCCAAGTCTATATTCATGGCTGTATGCGTCCACAGGCGTCTTAGGAAGATCATAACTGCTGACGGAGGAGGACCCGGAGGAACGCGCACGCTTTCGACGCGTTTTCGGATCAGAACTGTACAAATGTGTAACGTTCACTTGGGCCAGCATCCGATCAAAACGAGTATTAAGTCCCAGGGTTTTTCTGCGTTTCAGAAGTCCTGGCGCAATCTCTGACAAAACGTTGGACAATAGCATCACTTCAATTTGCAATAGAAACTTTGAACATACCAGCTCTTCCTACTCCTCTGTATATCATCGGTGAAAAACTGAGACTCTCGTGAGGTATTCCGGCGAGCGGGGCAATCGAATATGAATTCTAGGCTCACCTAGCATGGCTCAAAGAGCCAATATTCGAGGCACTGTCGGCCTCGGAGCCGTCATATTGAAACATTAGTGATCGGTAACCTGGCATTGTCAGCCTGAGTAGTGTCCCCGGGATAAATTGGATTAGTATTGACTTACATAAGGCCATACTTTGTTTCAAATCACATGCCGGCATAATATTAAGATAGTCTAGTGAAAGCGTGTACATGTGTCGGATTGGTTCTTTCTGTTATCCGAGTAGGGTGTGAGTATCTTTGTTATCAGGTATTGCGTGGCCCTGACGCACGGAATCCGAACACCAGGCAGCCAGGGAAGGTCGTGGTCAACGATTGGTAGAAGGAAGGAGGCGTTTACTTCCGCTTTCATTTTACCATAAAGATACATTCTTCAGCACTCCAGTTGACCTGGTTTTAAAGTACATGGATTACAGGAAACAGGTATCACCCTCACCCACTGGAGAAGACGACCCTCCGGTGGAAAGCTTCAAGCAAGCATTTCGTTCTACCGAAGCTGAGCTCCCGCTTTACTTGCATACGAGGGAGCCAAAAGGTCGACGTAGATGGCAGAAGGGTGCATTTGCTGCCTTGCTTGCTATATGTCTAGCGACGCTTTCGTTACGGATACATGCTCAATCCCAGACACAACTCCGTAACCCTGCATATCTCATAGAAGCAGAACACGGTGCCATTGCTACCGAGAATAAACGGTGTTCAGACATTGGTGTCGCCGTCTTAAAGGAAGGAGGAAATGCTGTAGATGCCGCTATCAGTGCCGTTTTTTGTGTCGGTGTGGTCAATATGTTTTCGTGCGTTATCTGTGTTTTCGAAATTCATGTTTTTGATAAAAATCAGCTCGGGCATAGGTGGAGGGGGATTCATGACAGTTCGCATTCCACCCTCGTCCGAGGGTGGTAGTTCGGAAGTATATACCATTGATTTCAGGGAAACCGCGCCGGGCTTGTCAAACAGTACCATGTACAAGGATGATCCGACGGCTGCGCGATGGGGTGGATTAGCAATTGGTGTTCCTGGTGAAATCCGTGGACTCCAGGAAGCGCATAGACGCTGGGGGAAATTGCCATGGGCTAGACTCGTGCAGCCAAACGCAGACCTTGCTGCTGAATGGACGGTTGATAAAGAGCTAGCGCGACGTCTGCAGGTAAAATGCTGGACATGTGAATCTGAGGCGTTGATTGATTACATGCCCTCCAGATGTTTTCAGGAAGTATCCTTTCTAATGATGACTGGACAGCTATTTTCGCTCCGGAAGGACGGATGTTGCTTGAAGGCGAAATTATTAGACGTACGAATTACTCACGCACGCTTTCTGCTATCGCATCGGAAGGACCTGCTGTGTTCTACAAGGTTTGACATTCGATGTGTATCATGTTGGAGCTACAGTCAAGTTATTTTTGAACAGGGTCCCATAGCTGACTCCATCATACGCAAGATACAGGCCACTGGAGGAATAATGACAAATGGAGATCTAGAGAATTACACTGTGAAAGTGGATCACGCTCTTCAAGGGACGTATCGTGATAAGAAAGTGTACACTAGCCACGCGCCGACTTCAGGACCCGTGCTTCTTCATATTCTGAACATCTTAGAACGCTACGATCTCATTAGCGAAGGCCGAACTGGCTTGAACATTCACCGCTTTATAGAGGCATTGAAGTGTGAGCACCTACCTGCTTGCTTTAAATAGTTATTGAAGAACTAACGGTGTCACGTTAGTCGGTTTTGCAGCTCGGTGAGTCCTTTCTCCATGTTTCTTACAACCGATCTCACATTCCACTAGCACAAAGATTGGTGACTTGCCATATGTTACTAACGGAACAGCTCGCATTGCCGAAATATCCACGAAAGCCTTTGCAGATGCTGTGGCACTTAACCTCACTGATGTACGTTTTTCTGTGTTCTGTTACTCTGCCGTATCTGGATGATGCTTTAGGATTGTACGCATCCCCCCGAATACTATAATCCAGAGTTCGACGTCAAAATTGATCACGGAACGAGTCATACATCTGTGGTCGACAAGGACGGAATGGCTGTAGCATTCACGACCACCGTGAATCTCATATTCGGATCCATGGTGCTCGACCCCGAAACCGGTATTATCCTGAACGATGAGGTGAGTTCTCACATGTTCCCAATAACAACTTCTAACTATGCAAGTGAGATGGATGATTTTTCAGTTCCAGGCAGCCCTAACGGCTTCGGACTCTGGCCTTCACCATGTGCGCAGCTCCTCTCCTCCCCATTATCCCAAATTAACAATCCCCAGACAATTACCCCGAGCCCGGCAAACGCCCCCTATCTTCAACAATACCCACGATAATCGAAAACTTCGACGGGTCCTTCTACCTCTCCATCGGCGGATCAGGCGGAGGCCGGATCTTCGGGGCTGTCGTGCAAGTCATCCTTAACCTCGATTGGGGAATGGACGTCAGCGCCGCGATCGAAAGCGGGCGCGTCCACGATCAACTATACCCACTCGAAGTAGACGCTGATGACATCGTGCCTGGCGCCATACTAAACTCTCTGATAGAACGGGGACATAATATCACAGGCATGTCGAATGTCGTCATCATTTATCAGAAAGAGTACTCACGGATTGTCGTATTAGTGTCAGATATCAATCGTGTGGCTGCTGTTGTGCAAGCGGTGACGAAGAAGGATGGCAGGATATTTGGTATGTGGTGTTTTGACGTTATGTTTTGTGATTGATGGTGATTGATGATGTACAGCGGCCAGTGATTCGAGGAAGAATGGTATCGCCGCGGGGTATTAGCCGTCCGACGTGCGGCGTACGTATACCTACCTAAGTAGCAAGCAAGTTAATCGTCATGTTCCTGGTTGAATTTACGCCATATCTCAAGCTTAGATGAGATCAAATCCAACACCGAGTTCTAGTGTTTCCGCGGGGTATTAACTTCCTGCAGTCCGGCGTCGGAACTCATTACGTAGCAAGTACATCACCTTTCATGAGATCAAATCCGAGTTTAGTGTTTGGCATTACCCTTAGAATCAAACACTCCCAAACAACTCCAAACTGACACGTCTCTTGTCACGTAGCATGTAAAGTAGTTGCATCCAACCATTAACACCCCCATCAAGTACTGAATTGAGATGGCCAGCACAGACTGGGACCTCATTTCTTCATACGCAGGTCTTCTGTGCTTGGCTTCTATCTCTATATACGCCGGAGCACATGGTTCACTTCCAGTGCGTTGATATGGACCGTCATTAGTTAATTCCTAAAGGAATTGAACTTTTCTAGGCTCCTAAGAAGCAAAAAAGCAATGGGCCGGATAAATCGGTAGTGCAAAGTGACGAAGATGACGAGGATGACGAGGGTGTGGAAGATAGGCTCTCGTCTGGTGACGCGTGGCTTTTCCCAGTTGTAAGTCCTCCTCACAACACACGTAATTATAATCGAAGCTGAAATGTAATGGTAGGCAGGCTCAGTAGCGCTTTTCGGGATGTACACTATAATGAAATTCTTCGGAAAAGAATGGATAAATTGGTTGCTCGCGTGGTATTTTTCGATCGCTGGCGTTGGCAGTGTGTGGAAGGTAAGTCGTGTTTTTGGTGATACGTCGCGGTTGTGTAATCGAGTTGCGTGTTTCTCAGAGTGCTGCGTCGCTTATGAGATTCGCGGTCCGTGATGAACGGTGGAAGAAGTTCGATCGGAATAGAGTGTTGGTTCTGAAGGGTCCACGAGGTATGTGGTTTCATATGATGTTTTGCTTGAGGAACCGGTTTAATCTGCGCGTAGAATTGCTTTCGGTGTCGTTACGCACTCCGACAATTGCGTTGTTTCCACTCGCTTTGATACCCTCTGTGCTATTCAATACCTCGGAAACGAATCGCAAATCTGCGCTTATAACAGATATCCTGGCGCTTTCATTTTCGCACAATGCTTTATGTCTCCTGAAAATAGACTCGTTCAAGACGGGATGTATTCTTCTGTCTGGACTGTTCTTTTATGATATATATTGGGTGTTTGGTACGGACGTCGTAAGTGGTTGGTTAATATAATGTTTCCCAGACTATGCTGACGCGTTCTAGATGCTTACGGTAGCCACGTCTCTTGACGTCCCAATTAAACTGCTCTGGCCCAAATCACTCAGTTTTGCCAGCGAGCGCGGTTATACATTACTCGGACTAGGGGACATTGTCATTCCCGGTACATTCGTTGCCTTGGCACTACGTTATGACTACGCACGTGCAGGTGGGAAAGGCACATTTAGGAAGCCATACTTTTATGCGACCCTGGCAGCGTACTTTACTGGCCTCGTCACGACTATGACAGTTATGCACGTGTTTGGTAAAGCCCAGCCTGCATTGCTTTATTTGAGGTACGTTCCATAGTTATTATGGGTTGGAAAGCTATGGTGACAGTTGTTTTTGTGCGGTTTAGCCCCGCTTGTATATTATCATTGTTGATTGTAGGGATTATTAGAGGGGAATTAGGCGATGCTTGGAAGTGGATTGATGATGGTGAGATGAAGAAGGTTGTGGGGGATGGGAGCGGAAAGGGTCATGAGGGTGATGGGAGTGTGGAGCAGGATGATGGGAGGAGGAAGAATAAGTAAAAGTAAGAAGCGGGTGCAATGATTATCTGATGGATTTACGTCGGGGGTACGTGTGTTTGAGTTGGAGTAGAGGAGGGATATCGCACGGATGCCTGTTTAAGTTTGAATTGGGTTGCTTACCTTGTGGTTAATAATTTGAATTATAAATGGAGTGTGATGGTGGCGCTGTAGATGACTTGCCTGAGATTTGAGAAGTAGTGAGAGTGGGAGATCTGAGAATCGGAGTCGGGTGGGATGACGTGGTTCTATAGGATGTTCGGACCGGAGTAGATCAAAAACGGCACAGGGCGGTGATGACGGGGTGGGATTCTAGAGCTGAACGAGGCACGAGGCTGTTGACATTACTGAAATTAACAATTTATTTTAATTATATGTATATACCCTTTGCCTGTGGGGATTATACGGTAGTTGATGGTTAAAATTAGGCAATGGGAGATCCGACCGGCTTGGCACTACCCAAAGTGTGAGAAAAAGTTGAGCAGGAGAAGAAAGTGGGTGACGGCTTGTAGACTAAAATAAGCTAACAGATGAAAATTATATTTGATGTAAGATCGTCCTTTGAGCATACGCCACAGTGACCCCGAACACTTGATGAACATGTGAATTTTATAAGGGCAGAGGGGATACTATATGTTTAATTTAACTTGTTTCTGGGGTCATGGCTAAGTTGGGTGTACCTTCTCTCCTCCTTTCCATCCCAATTTTTTATGTTCTAGTACTTTGATCACGGATGTCCCCATCAACAAATTCATCTGACGATAATAAAAATATCGTTACTTCATGGCCGGTATCCGAACCTCCGACCCACCATACTACTACTACTACTACTACTTCTTCATTCTCATCTGACCCTAGCTCTAGCTACTATCCATCCATGCTCCATCATTCAGATGATTCTCGCCACATCTCAACAAACGAGTGGAATTCTTTATTCTCTGCACCTTTAAATCCTTCAGTCTTTGCAACATTGGCTGCTAATGGCGTATTTCCAGTACCACGTCCAGATCATCATTCAAGGCATTACACAGAACATCCTTCATCATCTTGGTCACATGCCCCAACTTCCATCTCCGGTCATTACCCTCTCAGACCGTCCTTAACTAGGGTTCACTCCTCCACTCAACCCTCCGAACAACCAATGTCTGCTCGTCCACCCCATGACTCTCGTCCTCGTCGTACAATCGTAAGTAATTCATTCATAAACAATCATCCGCAGTATAATATTTCAAACATTTTTAATAGAACAACGATACTTTGAGCCTCAATTTATCTAGAGGCACAAACTCACGCCCAGATGCAAGCACGAACTCATTTCCTCTCCTATCCCCCTCAGCGACTGATTTTTCAAATTTCGATCATCCCGCTGAGCGCTCTAACTCTGGTCTACCGCCATCCCTATGGATGTCCCCCGCTTCTACAACTCCTTCAACTCCGTTGTATTCCCCCCTCACTCAGCTCACAATACCTCCGTATCCGGAGCCTTCCCCCCTCTCGTCAAACAAACTTTCTTCTCCCACAGAGACAATCGAGTCAAAATCCGCAATATTCAGCGACATTTTTTCAGATGATCTCTTTGGTTCCCCACATCCAGATCATCCTCCGAGCACCTTTACCTCTCCTAGACTTTCCGGTTCACCCGACCTAGAATCTCCTTTTGACGAAAGTGACCCAGAAAAACTTGCCAAACAAGATCCTCTTGCAACTCAAGTCTGGAAGATGTACGCACGGCAAAAGGCGAATTTACCTCACGCTCAGAGAATGGAAAATATCACCTGGAGGATGATGGCTCTCGCTTTAAAGAAGAAGAAAGAAGAAGAGGAAGCAGCAAACGCCAACTCAGATATTAAATCAGAAGCTGTTACGACTCCCATCCCTGACCCTGACGAGGAAAGAGGTCGTAGAATCGACAAGGGCAAGGCAAAGGTCCAAGTCATCGGGTTTGACGGTACAAATCAAGATGGCGTAGAAGATGACGAGTGAGTTCTAAATTATTACGTGATGTCTGACATCCTTTTAACGCTCATCTAGTGTCGTAGCTATGGACTGGCGTGCCATGAGCAGATCTCGCTCTCGCATATCAATGGACTGGAGACCTCAATCTCGTTCCCGTTCAAGGCCACCGCAGTCCGCAGCAGTCTTTGATCATCATGGTGTGGTCACTGATTCTCGATATCATTTCCCCTCCGTGAGCCACCCAACAACCAACGGTGATAGGGACAGACGGAATAGCTATTCAAGTAGGGAATCACATCTCGAAGGCCTCGCTTCCTCGCCTAGTATTCCAATACCTGGGACGTCTGCTCATCGCTCTTATCCGGGGTCCTCTTCGGCACCCCGCTCTGGACTTTCTGGTACCCTTCCAGCCGTTTATGAAGGTCAAGTCGACCACGATTCAGTCTCTTTCACCAACGGGCTCCATCACGACCAACAACTCGGTCAACTCAACAACTCCCTCTCTACCCTCAATACCCCCGCTTTCCACCCGTCTTCGCTCCCCTCTTTCGGTTTCCACGGAGGTTCGAAACTGCTACCAGATCAGTCACCCAAAGCACGTGCCTTCCCCAGGCACGTGCGAAAAACGAGCTTCGATCATACTGTTAAGCGGGAGGGTCTATTTACCGGTGTCAGCGGCAGACATCAGGTCAATGGCAAGCCCTTGTCGCCCGATAGTCTAATTGGGCAGAAACGGAGAGCAGAAGCACCTCATGCAGAGAGCATGCTGCGCGCAGACCCCTCCAATGTAGACGGCAATCCCCGCACCACTCAGGAGCCAGATCAGTACGTGAGCACCAGTCCCTTCCCTTCCACCCCTTTCAATTTCTGCTTCCCGCGGGACTATGGGATGTTTGATATGCACGGTGGCTCACACAACGAATTCTCGCATATGCTCCACGCCACAGACGATTCTCATTCGTCGTTCCATGATTCTGTTTCACATCCTCTCAACGGTTCTACATATGGGTCTTCTTCGGGCGTTAATGGGGGTCTCTCGGCTGCCGCTGCGGCCGCAAGTGTAGCAATGGCCGAAGGTTATCGGAATCTCAGCGCCGCTGCCAATTTTCCGTCAGACGACTACAGCCATCTCCTTGGACTTCCGTTTGGAAACATCGACACAAGCGTCAATCTCGCACAAGGCCCATATACGGTTGATCCCACACAGATTCTTCCAGTGGAGCATGGCGACGGGGTCTTACAGAGCTACCATCCTAGTCCATCAAGCGACGGATGGGGCAATGGCATTACGTCCAGTTCGACCGCATCCCCTGAACCATATTTAACCTCTAGCGCTTCCTCACCTCCATCTGTCGAAGGTACCACTACGGGCCCCAACTCACGGAATCAGATGCGGAAAATTGCGTCTACGAAACGTATCGCCCAGGAAATCAGGCGCAAGAAATCAGTTTCTGCGCTGAGCCCCACACTCGGGACTGTATCACGATCAGCGACGAGTACCCCTGATCTGAGTACAAGAGACGGGAGCGGTGGGAATCTGAAAGGTAGTAGTGATGATGGTGACCAGCCGCCCACATCATGTACGAACTGCCAGACTACGAATACGCCGCTTTGGAGACGTGATCCCGAAGGGCAGCCTTTGTGTGCGTGATTTCCGCCGGTAATTTTGGGGTATTGACTCACTTTACGCACAGGCAACGCATGCGGGTTGTTTTTTGTGAGTTTTTGACGTACTTGATGCTTCGTTTTGATGCTGATTCCGAGAAAAGAAACTGCATGGTGTCGTTCGTCCGTTGTCGTTGAAGACGGACGTGATCAAGAAACGGTTCGTAATTAATTATTATTATTTGGGTGATGTCTGATGTCGTCATGGTAGGAACCGAGCTTCTGGTGCGCCCAACGGAAACGCACGCAAAGGGGGCGCTGGATTGCCCAAACTTGCATCGTCGAATACTCGGCCCCGTGCGTCGACGACTAGCACGGTGCCGACTGGATTTGCAAATGGCCGCGGGGCGACGAATGCGAATAGAGTGGGGCTGGGCCCGTCTCCCCCCGTCGCGATGAAGAGACAACGGCGGACGTCAACGAGTGGGCACATGCCTAGTGCAACGACATCTGGGTGACGTGGCTGGTTTATGAGACTTGATTTGATGATTGCCCGATGTATGATTTTCCCTGTTATGTGGTCCGAATTATATTTTTTTTGTTCTTGCGCGGATCGCAGGATGGTACGTAGATATTCCATTTGACTATAGATTATTTTCCATTCCATCCGCTTCATCTCTTTGCTTGCCTGCATACGTGTACATCATGTTCTGTCTTGCATGATTATGTCTTCCAGTACGATGGTTTATTCCCAAAGAGGTGTAGAATACGACGACCCTAGCAGCTTCCCTAGGTTGGACACGCGAAATTGTATCAGAAAATTGCAAAGCGCTTCCATTCCGCTTGGCAAAGTGCAAAGTTCTAGTTCCAAACTGTTTTGACTCTTTGTTTTTTTTTTTGAAAACTTTCGTTTTGATTCCGAACGCTATCACGAGTCCCATTAAATTTCATTCAACCTGGCTTCATTCTTCAAATATGCGCCTCCTCCTCCCCATCAACGCTCCCTGACTCCGATGCCGACATCCTCCTTCTCCAATGGCCAGCTCCAGCCTGTAGCTTCAAAAGACTTTAAAGAATCCCGCCGTATCTCTCGCACCGACCTCAATTTCGAACAGGCATTGAAGCATGGGGGCACAGTGAAGCTTAGAGAGAGCCTTGATATCAATACACTGGGCGTATCTAACAGCCCTGCTCCCCCTGCGCATGAATTCACTTCGGCTTCAGCTCGACCCCCATCAAGGGAATCGCGGACGCTGTTGACACGCGCTCACGCACCGCCTACACCTGTCATCGTCCCACCCACACCATCCCCAGGCCCTTGTCCCGGCCCCTCCTCCGCAAGATGTCCCTCTACGACCAGCTCCAACGAGGTTTTCTTCGATGCCGAAGACCCTGATATGCAGACTAGAAGACGGAGCTTGTACCGTGCGCCTGGTACGAGCAGCAGCCCCGACCTCGCCACGCTCGTGCGGAAAGCAAAAGAGAGGGGAGGGGTGGTTCCGCAGGTTGAGAAACGCGCGGAGCCGCCGTTGCCGGTACATGGAGGGGGGGCGTCGAGACTTGGAGTTGGGCCTTCGCGTCCGAGATCGTCAACTTCTGCGGGATCCCCTCCTTCTGCTTCTTCGTCTTCTTCGCCTGGGAATCCGGTGGTGAATGTGTCGCCTGCGGTAGTGAGGCCGTCGAAGCTTGGTCAGAGGGAGTTGTCGAGTCCAAGTTCGGATTGGGTTATGGCTAGCCCGAGGACGAGGAGTGGGAGTATGAAGGATAGGGATAATGGTGATAAAGATAAGGTGCGTTTCTTTCTTTCTTTCTTTTGTGTTGCGACTGGGAATTGAATGTGGTGGTTAGGCACCGGTTAGATCTGTAAGAGCCAAGACAAGTGCGTTTCTGGGTAAGATGCTGGGTCAGTCCACGACGCGGGACCGGTCGGTGAGTGTGGTTACTTTCTTTGGGATCAATATAAGCTCATAAGATGATTTGTTTAGCGGACGGATGCTTCTGTCACTGGGTCTCCGCGCTCAAGACCGTCTTTCGTAGACAGTTTTGCACCCCCTGTTCCCCCGCTGCCAGACGACGCCTCTCGCTCTGCCGTATCCCCCACCTGTGATACTTTTGCAAGCTCCTGTTCGAGTTCTACAGATCACAAACCCCTACCTCCCATCCGTCTTGGTCCAGCCACTGATAATTCAGACGATCGGTCTCTTGTTGTAATTGGTGCCGTGTCACGAACACGAGACCGCGGGCCGTCTCCTGGCACGCGTCTTAACGACAAACCAAAGCCAGAGGGCAGGCTTATTTGTCATAACAAGCGACGAAGCATGAGCGTGAACGACATCAATTTACAAAATCTAAATGCTCCTTCCTCTCCTGCGCCCACGCTTCCTCCCAAGGACTCTGCCCCTACCGAGCTTCAGGCTTGGGAGTCTTCTTCCTCGCTTCACGGGATTCTTAGTGATTTGAAAGGTGTTTTGTCTCAACTGGATCCGGACTCTGGTTCATCGCTTGACTTGCGAGACCCTTCTACGCCTGCGAGACGTGCTGCTTATATGCGGTCAAAGATACAGACCCCTGAATTTAGGTATCAAGGGGATTCTCAAAAATCTCCGGTAATGCCTCCCGTTCCGCCGTCTACTCCGATTGTGACGTTGCCCACTCAGTCATCGCTGGATTTTAATACGGATATAAGACCCCCTTCAAGAGGCGGGCTTTCAGTGGAACCTATCGTCCCGCCACGTTCGTCTTCCCTTCAAACGCCTTCACGGTCTCGTTCCGGATCTGGAGCACTTGGTTCGCCGAGAGTAACCGCGCTTCGGCACGGGTCGAGCCCTTTGTCGGGTCCTTTAAGGAGCAAAGGATACGGCAACCAGATGCAGTCTTCGTACCGCGACATGTCTCGTCTTCGCGTCCAACATCACTCTGTAGCTTCGAGCTCTGAGCCGTCTTTGGTCCCTGTGGTTGATGATGTTCGGCCACGTTGAGTTTTGGTTATTTTTGTGCGTGGGTAATGCTAATGACGTCCTTTTAGCTTCTTCTCATGCTCATCAGGAGCTAACGACCAATGATCTCGTTCTTAACCGATATGCATCTAATCCGTCGTTTGTACGGACGGAAGATTCGGATGAAGAGAGGGGGAAGGATTTGGCTGCGAAGTGTTATACCGAGGATGAGGATTTCTTGGCGAAGGAGAAGATTGCGGAGTGGTTAGGCGGACAGTGAGTATTTCGTTTCTCGTTTCATAACTCTACTGAGAACATGCTACAACAGTGGACAAGTCAACAAGACAGCACTGCATCACTACATGAACTACTTTGACTTTACGGGGCTAAGGCTTGATATCGCGTTTAGGTGGGTGATAATTGAAATACTGGTGTAACGCATTAATCTCCCTTTAGACGTCTTTGTGCAAAGTTGTATCTCAAGGCTGAGACCCAACAAGTGGATCGAATTCTTGAAGAGCTCAGTCGACGATTCTGGGATTGCAATCCTACGCGTCTATATGGGAGTGCTAGTGCGTCAATAGCCATATACTCATTACTTGCGTTAACATACTCTTCAGGCGTCATCCATGCGGTCGTCTACTCTATTCTCCTATTAAACACCGACCTCCACATCGCAGATATTGCAAACAGGATGTCGAGGAGTCAATTCGTCCGCAACACGATGATGGCCATTCAGTCGCAGAGTCACCCGAGTCAATATGGTTCCAGTCCAGATCTGAACGATGACAATAGCAGCGGGCCGCTGACGGCATCTGACGGCACCGAGACGCAGTCCCTCGCTCGGTCAAAGAGAAGTGGTAGTATTGCAAGCTGGAACAGTATCTCCAAAGATACATTCTTCGCTTCAGCTCCGCCTTCTTCTGCCGTTTCGACAACGCAGCCCTCGCTTAATAGCAGTACCACGTCTTTCCACCATTCCTCTGGTCCAGAATCGAAACCTCCGAGTACTGCTCCCTCGACTGCCACGTTTGACAGGAGCTGGGAGATAGACATGGAAAACCTGCTCAAGGTAGCTACACCGTGATTTTGGACAAACCTTCTGGCTCACGGATTCTCTTAGGAAATGTATGCTGCAGTCAAGAGCCAGCAGATCTTGCAACCCCTAGGAACCACGTTCATCGCTCGTGTTTCAACGTCATCTCTCGCTCCAGGGGCACCGCATCTCATCAGTCGCAATCGCAGCTACCGCGGACCATCGGACCGGCTCACCACACTCAAGCGGGGTAGTATCCGGGGTATTCAGTCGATTCTCACGCCGAGCTACAGTCCTTACAGCAGCAACAGCAGTATTGATGGGCGTGTCAGCCCGTCACCGAGTTATGCGACCTCGGCTCGTGAGGTAGGCTTACGAGATATTTGACTACATGGAGTACTGACAGACTGGCGTAGGGCATGCAAAGTTCTATGGGTAATTTCCTCACCCCTTCTCTTGGTTTCGCGTCCAATTTGTCGCATACGATCATCAAGGAAGCGCAGGAGGACGAAGACCGCAGCTACCGCAGTCATGAATCTAGCTCGACGACTATTAGTATCACAGATGAAGAACTTGCGCTTCTCGGGGCGCCATGGGCAAAGGAGGGGATGCTTTGTCGTAAGCAGTACTGGGAGTCCGCGGGCAAGAGAGCAAAGTCTAAGAACTGGATGGACGTTTTCGTGGTCATTCAAAGAGGGGAGCTGAATATGTTCACGTTTGGAGACCATGGTGGAGGGTTCTCTGCCGTAGTTGGTGGTGGTAATTGGCTGGTGTGTATTTTTTTTTTCGTTTTCCGATTGTTAGTTGATACCCTCTCATAGGAAAACGCCCATTCCGTTGGCACAGTGCAGCTGTCTCATTCGCTAGCCCACTCCTTGCCTCCACCAGGCTACAACAAACAACGTCCCCACTGCATGGTGCTAACCTTGTCCAACGGCGGCGTATTCTTTTTCCAAGCTGGTACAGAGGAGCTCGTCAACGAGTGGGTCTCGACGTGCAACTACTGGGCGGCACGTACCAGCAAAGAGCCATTAGCAGGTGGCGTCTCCAACATGGAGTATGGCTGGAATCGTGTTGCCGATGCTTTGAATGGACGCTCTGCATCAGACGACCAGAAACTCGAACACGATCGCACCGATTCGATGAGCGTACGCAGCGGGCGGAGTACCCGAAGCAAACTCGGGTGGAAAGAGAGTGCCGCTACCGTCCGCGCTCATTCGCCGTGGTCGGAGAGATTGTTCATCAATGATTGGAAGCCTCCTATTCCACCCTCGATATCTAGCATTCATGACGAGGAAACCCAGCTTGAAGCACTTCAGAAATATGTGTACATGTTGAAGAAGGATCTAAAGTATCATAATGAACTGAGGGAACCAATGAACGCTCTGGTTTGTCATTTTAATCTCCCCACTCGCACCCAGCTGATTTATGTTTTAGTACACACCGCGTTCAACGAACGGAACGAAAGCCCAGAGTAATTGGGAAAAGAAGTCGCAATTCCTGCTCACTGAAATTGTGAAGTACGATTCCTACGTCGACTCACTACAATTCGCCATGAATCTGCGTCTGAAGAAGAGAGGCGAAAAGGCGCTAGAACGCGCTCTGGTTGTTGCGGTACCTGATGACAATGACCCCGCGACAGCATCTGGTAACTGGAGAGGTTACTCAGAGGAGACGATCCCCGAGGACGATGAGCCACCGGCGAATGGAATACCCAGAATTTCCCCATTTCATCGCAGGGAGACGGCGGAGGAAGGGTAGTAAATATATTAATTCCTGCTAATATGCGATCGAACCTTGTTTTGATGTAGACGTGCTTCTAGGAATATTTATGTATGGTATTATTTTCCTTATGATACTGATGTCTTACTCTAGGATGATTTGAATATTAGTATTTCTCAAACGGACCCAAATGAAATAAAATCATGCCAACCAGCATGGACCGTACTGGCGTTCCCATAAATTTCAGTACTCGACAGGTAAATAGATTGCCGTACCTTTGCAGCAGATATGAGGGCCTGAAGGCCACTAGCTGAGGCCTCTGGACTCCACTGTGATTGACCTTGATCTGCGGTATACCACACCGATCCGACATCGTACGCAGAATTGATCGCGTGGCGTACAATACCCAAATGCTGAAAGTCAAGGAAATGGCTGTATTTGGCGATGCGAGAAATGTCATCGGCGTTGTCCAAGTAATACTGGACGTGTTTAGTCCAGATACCCTATGGAACCTGTTAGCCAAGAAATGTCTCACTCGGAGGATCCCACCTTGAAAATTTGCTATTGGTAGGGAAATTATCAGGCGCGTGTATAAATACTTTGCGGAAAAGCAGTACCTGATCGTGGTCGCATGTTGTATCATTAGAAACCGCCAAGTCACAAGACTCTTTCAGTATGCCATTGCCAGTGAGTGAGCCGTGGAATTTTATAGTTGCGTCCAAGCTGACTTCAGCCTGATCTAACAAACTTGTGTTGCCCGTTGCAGCATAAAGAGCTGCAAGACCTGAAGCGACAACAGCCTTCCGTGCAGGCGGTTTGCATTAGTTGCTTGTCAAGACGGCGATCAAATGTTTGACATACTTGATTATAGGTCCAGGTGGTCTAGCTCGTTCTGTGATTAGCAATCATGCATGGATACTGCAGTGGTAATGAGATGCACTAACTTGCCCATTATTTTGACATGTCTTCAAATCAAGGCCATCATTGAACAGCCCACTGGGGCCACGCATTCCGGAAGCGAATACTGTAAATACAGGCTCATAACGTCACATCGAGGAGTAAATATGAAATACAAACACCAAGACCATTCCTGTAATTTTCGTATCAGCGTTTGTTGTTGAGAACGACCATGTAATAATCACCTGGTTCGCATTTTCAAGGTACGTTTCGTTCTTCGTCCGCAGGTACCCAGCAGCCGAAGTCAGCAAAAACAGTTCATTGGTGATGGCATTTTTATACGTGTGATCAGTAGACCACCACACTAAACAATCCAACAAAATCAGTTACAGGTGGGAAAGAGCGTGATCAGCATTACCTCCACCTCCGCAGGTGTCATCCCATTCCCTTGCAATCATGTCATAGATTTTGGCCGCACTAGACTGTGATCCAACATCAGGAAGGCTTTAAAAATAGGGAGAAACCTACCATATATGCACTGCTATCTTGACCTCTCGCAGACTTGTAGTCAGCAATTTTCCACAGCGCTAAAATGATCCACTTTGAGAATGATCAGCTGGCGCTCCTTACGCGGCAGACAAACCTCCCACCTGGGCATCATCATTGCTACCACCAAGGAAATTCGTCCAGTTTGTGTTAGGCTCTAAGGCTGCCTTTCCTATGTACGAGGTATCTGCGATGTTTTCATAGTCGTCACTGCCAGTTGCCAACATCAGGTTGTGCAGGTCCTCCAATGTATTCTTAAAGGTAAATCGAATGTTTGTGCGAGGTCAAGATGTTGTATGTAGCTGACACCGTACCGCATTAGTCCACAATTCGCCGTGGTTGTACTGGCCTATGGAAGCATTGTAGTAATGCAGCTGCAGCTGGTCTGCGACAAGCTAGACAGAATGATGGATATGGCGCTTTCAACACCATGTTCGACGGCATGGTCAGCAGAAAAACGTGCTTTCGCGTCGCTCAAGGCCGTAGTACACTGCCACTTGGAGTCCGAAGCTACTCCAGTCTCCAGCAAGGTAGTGATCGCAGCGAGGAAGCTGAACAACACCAGAGCCATGGGGAAATGCAACAATGCTCAGTGTCAGAGCATTTAGAGCATTTTATATTCGCATTGTGCGTACGTACAAGTTTAACTAGCCATTTATTCATATCGTAAGTCGGTTGGATCCAACGATGTGACCGGTCGCAGTTATATACGTGTCATCTTCTTCGCCCTCATCGACTCGAAGCCCCTGAGTGTGCCAGCGCAACTGGTGGTAAATTTGATCTCGAAAATCCGGACCTTTGGGCAGGTTCAAGCTCAGTGCTCTGGAATCTCATCGGAGGTTCGTACAGAAACCGTCGAGGGCCCGACTTCGCTTAGTGGTAGTTTGCCACTCTATTACGTAGTTACTAGTGAGGTAAGTACGAGCGGAGGAAATAGAGTTTGGTGTTGCACCTCTGCTGTGACGATCGTTCAAACGTTCCGTGCTTCGTCGAGATAGTGTTTCATTTTTTCCACCCTCTCCCTCTTCCATCGCACGATGGCACAATTCAGCGCCTCGCCAACGCTTAAACCTGTAATCCTAACTTGTTTCTAGGCCCTGAATTTGGGACAAATTCAATAGCCAAGATACAGCGAGGCGGTCCCACCCGCCCTCGCAGCTCACCTTTTTCTTCTTAGGCTAAAGCCCCATGGAAGGCCGGGAGGCGCTGCGCGCCTCCGCCCGAAAACTCTCCCGCTTAATCACACCCGTAGCACATCCATTCAAGTTGATTCCTCTCCGCACGAACGACACGTCAATGTGAAATTCAAAGACGCTATAACGGGATTTTTTTTTCAAACTCGGCGGGACCACATCTCTGAGGACACAAGCTGTTACTGTGGTGATCATTGTAACCGACAACAACTTTTTTTGGCTGTTGCATATACGGATTTATGATATTGCGGTTGGCACAAGAATATGTTTGTAGGATGTTGTGAGACTCTGGGACATTTGTAGCATCGGATCCGACGAGACGTGCTGGGGTGTTTTGAGAGAAACATGGGCATTCTGAATATGAAGTTCATCCATCAAATAAGGACACCAAGAGACGTACACAAGTTCTTTCGCTGTAGAGATGATACTATGTAGCTAAGTATGTACTACCTTAGACTATTGATCCGTTGCTATCACGCATTCATCAACTGTACAGTTTTTCCTAAATGTTCCCACACATCGGTCGACGTATAGTGCCTAAACTTTAACGTTTGAAGTCAAAATTTCTCTTCCTACTAGTAACTTGAACGTGCCAGTGGAAGTCGGGGAATGTACGCTCTGATATCTATCCTGTCCATGCAACACACCTTGTGACTTAACACCACACCATCTGATTGACGTAGCCTAGTCGATCAGGGTGTACACTTCATTTGGGGACCTGTCGGTCAATTAAGAAGTTAGAACAGGTCTTCAAGTCGAGTGTACACTCTGACAGTGTTCATTCGGGGTCCCGCCGCCAATAACATATAGGCGTATTCATTACGATCCATAAACAACAAATACTATAACAGGTCAGACCTTTGCTATGACTACAACCCTCATCCTGAGGTAAGTTAGGCTTTTTGAGCCGTTTTCCAAGTATGACCTTTTAAATAATAAATCTCATGATATAGGTTAGTAACTCCAGTGGATTCTCTGAGGTGATGGGCCTATTGTGCATCACCTCCACATGCTTGCTCTTGCTGCTCTGCGCTAGCACGTATTGCCTCTCGCGAGCCGTTCTCTCTCTTGTCGCCGCTTGCGAACCCATGCCATGCCACTCCAATCATCGCCATCGCCTCCTGCTGGATCAGATGCACCCACGCCATCCTTCCTTTGCCTCGCAGCATCATCATGGCCCCCACCGACGACAACCTTCTGGACGTGACCGTGGGAAAGCAGGGCAGGGGTACCTTTGGCGAGGACGGAATACTTTGAATCGCCACTGCAGTTGACGCTGCCCATGCCGCCGTACCCCCATTCCACAAACTCGGGTTCATCATGCACGTTGGCAGAGAGGTTTGTGAGCGGTTGGCGTTTTGAACGGTAGACTCGTCCGTTAAGCATGTGCCTACCAGTTGTAGGGACTTTTGGGTGCGTTGGGGGTGAGGTGGGGTGGGAGGGGCTGGTGCTGGGGAAGTGGTTTTGGGGCATTGCATGGTGGTCGCCACCTGAGGCGAGGGAGTTAGTGGATGAACGGGTTTGGGAGCTAGATGAGGAGGGGGCGGTGGAGAGATATCTTGGTTGACTGTCATTAGAGGGGATGGACGCGGATTGGGAGAGTGGGGCACCGAAGTCATATGGTTGAGGATGATGGGGGGTTGGGTCAATGGAAGAGCGTTTGAACAAGTTGAATTGGCGGGAAAGGGATGGCTTTGGTTTTGGATCGGAGGGTGCACTGCGTTGGACGTTGACGGTGTTGGAGGACAGTGGAGGGTGTGTGCGCGAGTGGGTGTCCATGATGTCATTTTTTTTTGAATTGTCATCTTGAGCGGTGGGCTCAGGCAGGGGTGCGAATCTAATGCGACGCATTGGGACACTGCCAGTGGCGCTGTGCGTGTGCGAGCAAGAAGAATTACTTGCTCTCGAGGTTGACGAGGGTGGCATGTGTTGGGCGGTGAGGACAGTTGACTGCGTAGCTGGTGTGCGTAAAACAGCGGCCATAATGTTGGATGGTGCTGCAGGAAGGAAGTCAAGATCAATTGGGAGCTCTGTTCAAATGGAGAACGCAAAGCTAAATAATGAATTGAAACTGACTCAGTCCCCGGGGTACAATAACCGCTAGTAGTTACTAAGATCCGAGTAGACTCTGATCTTGTCCAGATGATCTTTGCCCAGATCAAAATGATTAGCTTCCGCTATCATGCGCCTATGCACAGTTTCTCGATCTTATGATCTTGCAAGCATCAAGGTACAAAGCATGTATAGAAGTTCAAGGTAAGGACTAGTACTCCAGTGATTCATCTTAGTGATAAGAGTATAGCCACCTCAGTCGCAACCAGTGTCAACGTGGACAGCATCCTTCTCTTTACTCCACAGACCCACGGTGATTCATATATCGGAGCTATGAACACTTCTCCCATGCCTGTACTAGTCCAGCACCGGTTAAAACTCCTGAAGGCACCCGTCTCCAATCCTCCACCAACCGGCTCTTTCTTCCGCATCTACCCCAATCATTACAGAAGCATTTCCGCTGCGCAAGGGTCGCCATCACTATAATTGTCCCCAAGTAGAACTTTCTCGAATTGTCATATTTCAAAATCACCCTATGTTATGGGTGCAATGACACCTCTCGCAAACTTGCCAAGAGTAGATTGTTCCTCTTAATGGTACACGAACTTCCTCCCAGGTATGTAGACGAGTCCAGCAAATCCCTCGAGGCCTCCCTACAACTTTGTCACGCCTATCCGAACCGTTCTAATACGTGAACATCGGACAATGGCATCTCATGACCTATCACATCGTATCTTGCAACGCCTGCAAGACACAAATCAGAGTCCGCTGCTCAGATCGGGGGACATATTCGAAATTAATACATTCATAAATATCATAGTCTCGGGATATGGATCACATCTGTCCATAGAACTTTTCTGACCGTGTTTCAGGTGTATTTTCTTCTCTCCGACTTAAAAATATTACCCCCGCACTACAGAGCCAAGATCACTTGGACGGAATAGTATACAGCCCGAGTCCCTCATTTTTAGACATGACTTGCGCGAGCCTACAATGTCACACGCAGCTCGCAAGATTCATATGTTTGATTCCTGTGCTTGGCGATTCTATTATGGGCGGCTTCCCTAGGGGCATCATAACGTCAAGTGGAACCGTGGATGTGGCAGTTCGGAGGGGACGTTGTTTCCTCCCTGCCTGCACGCCACCCGCAGCTTGGCTTCTTTCCACTTTCAAGCAAAGTTCAGGCAGTGAGTGTTACATCCAGTCAACACTGATCAGTTTGAGTGCTTTTAGTGCTGCCGTACCCCTCTGTCCGTCTGATGACGTCGGTTCTCTTAGCGCATTAACGTCTGGGCGCTAATCTGGGGTCAGGTGTTGGCCACGTGGAACGAATTCTCGCCATTGCCAGTAGACGACCGATCAACCGGCGAGTGTTGATGCGGCTTGACGCAACTGGAGTCGGGATAATCTATGTAGGACCTTATGTCGATGGAATCAATTAATAGTCCTTACCATCGCTGCACCACTTTAGACCACTGGCAGTCTTCACGTCATACGCATCATATTCTCCGCTCTGTCAAAGAAAAATTTACTAGATTTATTGTTGGCGCAGTATATCCAATGAACTCTGGCGACTTGGGACTTTGTTTCCCACCAATGCAGGTCAGGTGTTTGGCAGCCAAATTCATTTTTGCCTTTTCGAGCGAACGAGGTCTAACTGCAAGCCTTCCTTAATGGTCGACACTGCTTGCCAGCATCAGAACGTCGATTCGCTCTCGAGCAGAATAGCCCACTGGTAGTACTTCAGGAACTACTCGTCATCCGTCTCTTCACTATTCGCCCTGTCTGAATATGACTTGCGACGACATACCTCCCGCGAGAGACTTCTGAGATTTAGTGTTCACCCGCGCGTTTAGAGAGTCGTACCGTCTCTCAGACCTATCATCCGGCTGCCATCAGTCACAAAGATCCAGTGAAGGTTTCTCACGTCATTTTTGACGGGGGAAAAATGTAGTTAGCTATGCGGCACTTGGAGTATGTAAGATTCATTCTGCGTTTGGGGAGATTTCAGCAGTTATCACATCAGTATTTCCATGTCGTTATCGGACCTGGCTCCCGAATTCCACAGCTGGTAGTCACTTGATGTCCATTCCTGCAAGTTATACCGGTTAATATGAGGATAAACGGCAGCCGAGTGCGAAGAAACACTCGGAAAAAATGACAAACGAGCAATATTAAAAAGTTGAAGTAGCCTAGGACCGTTGCGGGCCGCAACCAGGGTACTCCAGTTCTTGGGGCTGCAAGTGTAACAGTGTTCAGTGTGCTGCCTCTCAGATAGCAGTGAACACGGGTGAAATTATAACAAACGTCGTACAAAATAGTGATTCAGGGTCATTCGAGAATGCATTTGACTTGGCAATCCCGTTCCAACATAGTTACTGGATCAGAATCTAGGTAGTTGGGATGTCGGTGATGGCTATAGTGCGACGAAGTTGACAGCCTGATAGCAAGCTGGCGGTGTAAACTTGGCTTCGAGGAACAGCCATAAATCATGATAGGCCTCCCCACTCCCCATCAAGTTACGCCATGTCGTCAATTTTCATACATTAGATCGCCAGTCCGCGTCACGATCGCGAAGGATGAGTTGTTACTGTCAGATTATACTTTGAGTCTTTCACATAGAAGTCATGTCCATGGGCATCATGGATCCAATAGTAGATGGCGCCCGCGACCACAATTCTGCACACGTGGAGTGTGACACGATGTCTGCTCATGCTTCTATGAAGGGCATATGTCAGGATAATGTAACCTTTTTTTATAAAAAAAATAGAACGGGCTGGAACTGATGTATTTCAACACGGCTAAAGTAGCAACAGGCATGTTTTGCAGGGCAAGCTGGTAAGTTATTGCCAATGCCAGCCAAGAGCTGGATCCGAGTGTTTGATATGGAGAGAAAGGACATAGTTGTGTTAATGCCTAAAGTGATGCAGTTGTTCCAGAGTCTTGGAATGCACAAGCCGTTTGCTGTCTTCTAGCCACGTCAGATGCTAGATTGGTTCAATGTAGGGAGAGAAGAAAAACAGGCATCGACAATTTAAGAACGGGAAATACCATGCGATCCTGCAAATATTGATCGGCGCCCCTCATTCGTGGGCACGAATGCGTTGCGTCACGGTGCGGTTGTATCCCGAGTCATTTGATCAACGCAGAAGCGACTACGTAACATTGTATATATACATACAGTATTAGCCTCGTACAGTTCTGGTTACAAACGTGATCTACTAACCAAAAAATGTTCTTTTCGAACCAGTCACGGCTTCGTGCTCGGAAGAAAATTATTTGTGACCAACGACAGACTTTGCTTGATAAGGCTCCTCCAAGTACTTAAGTTCTTCTGCGGTAAGAGTGATATTAATGGCGCCTGAAGAAGAATCATATCAAGATGTCTGCTCTTTGATTGCAACACATACCGAGAAGATCCTGCAGGTTCTTAAGAGACGTTGTCCCAACGATTGGCGCCGTGACGGCGTCTTGTGCCATCGACCAAGCAAGAGCTATTTGCGCCATGCTTGCACCTTTCTTCTTCGCAATTTCCTCGAGGCTATGCATATCGCTTCAGAATCTGCTAGATCGAGGGTTGACGCTATTCTCACCGGTTCATAATGTCTTTGTCAGACTCATGCTGGACGTATGAGTTGATGGTCCTATACGTTATTTATGAATGATTCGTGGATAGATTCGGATGATGACAACTAACAAGTCGGTCTTTCCACGAATTGTTTGCTGGCCAAGAGGGCGGGTGAGTAGTCCTCGGGCAAGTGGTGACCAGGGGATGCATCCAACGCCAAACATCTATTATGATAATCAGGGGACAATGAAGAGACAAAGACAACCAAAACAGACCTTGAGTGTGGGGAACATTTCTCGTTCCTCTTCGCGATAGATCAAACTGTGGTGATTCTGCATAGAAATGAAAGGTGTGAGGTGGTTTGTAATCGCGTAATCTAAACAGATCCATGCTGTTAAATTTCGACTCGCTCACACCAAAGTCATGATCTCACTTTGCATTGCTTGGACTGAAGATGCATTGTAAGACCGGAAACATGCACAAAATGGATGTCAAGACGCACATTGGTAAGCCCAGCATGAAGACATGCCAATGTACCGGACATAGCCAGCCTGCACGACGTCATGGAGAGCTTGCATCTAAGTATGATGCAGGTCGGTCAATAGACAATGAAAAGGCATGGCGCTGACATACCGTCTCTTCAATCGGCGTCTCCGTGTCAAAGCGATGGCCTGAAAATCAATCAACCTTGAATCCTTGACCGAACACATGGTCAAGACAAACACTGCAGAACATCAACATAATCAAGTTGCAAACGCTCTAGACTCTTCTTGATGGATGCGAAAATGTGCTATTTGTGTAACATCAGACAGTGTAACAATTTAAACAAATCCACAGGAGCCAGCACACCTTGCGACTCAAACCCCTTTGATTAACATAGCCTAGTTGATCAGGATGTGTAGCTGACTTGAAGACCTTTTCACCCGGGGTGCGGCCAACAACATTATAGACCTAGAGGATTATTTGTTAAGACCTGTAAACGACCAATACATTGCAGGTCTGACCTTTGTCATGACTACGATCTCATCACGAGGTAAGTTGAGCTTTTTGATCGCATTTCCGAGTACGACCTCAGAAAGTCCATTGGAGTACATCTGACCATATCAATAAGTAATTCATGCCCAAGGTGAAGAGGTGTTCTATCTTACGTCCGCCGTGTCAAAGGTGTTGATGCCCGCGTCATAACTTCGATATCGATGGTAAAGACACACTTTGGCATCGAAGTTACGTGACAACAGCACTCACGCAGCTTTGACGTGAACGACAGCTTCTTCCTCTCCAAGAACCCAATCTTGCCACTCGCTAGTACCTATATTGAAGAATCAGGCGACTTTGGTCATGTGCGCGAGTAAACGCTCTACACACCATACTGCATTGTTCCCAGAATGATCTTGGAAACTTTGAGCCCAGAGTTCCCCAGGCGAACTTCATAGTACGCGGTCTATTAGTAGAATCGGTAAACGAGTAACCAATAACATACCATAAGGCATCCCCTTCTGTGTAGTCGACATAATCGCTATTGGTTGGGTTGGGGGCGAAGACGATATTCTGAGAGTTCAGAACTACCGCTTTATAAATTAATGCCATCGGAACATTATCAGCGGCACAACAGCGGCAAGTCGCTCACGGGACCTTCAAGATAGCCCGGTTTGCGGGAAGAGCAAGGAATATCTTCTTATTTTTATTTGTTATCTTGGCTTCAAGTCATTCCCTCGGGCCGCAGCCGGCGGATGTATTAGAACATTGCTGCGCACTGCTGAAAATAAATGATCGTGTTTGGTGAATGGGTGATTGATCGATTACCGTGTAACTAGAAGGGTAAGTAATACATCATCCTGTTGCTACTAGTGCAGGTTAGAGTAAGCATCATTCAAGAACGACAAAGCCGCAAAGCACTTGCTACTTACGTGACTGCCTTTCAGCTTAGGCTTTCAAAAGCTTCGGTCGCTGCATGGTGGCATATTATTGAGTTCATGTAGCAGTATAACATCATTAATAGATATTTGACACTACAAAGAAGACACTGCAGTAGACGAAATCGAGATTACAATCATCATGAAGCGATATCAGCTTCACCGGTAGTCATCGTATCCTCTACAGTTTTCGTATCCGTATGATCTGGTGAGGTGGATTTTTCTTGCTTCGGGTCCGCGTCTTCAGGGGACATACTGACCCCAGTAGCGAAAGATCCCGCGAGGGAGCTCACTGTAGTTATGGCCATGTCCAATACTGCTTCAACACGCTTACGCATGGTGTCACTTGGACACGACACCACCTACAATGGGTTGATTGAGCAGGGTAATGAAAACCTCAACGTCAATACGTACCAAGGTTACTAGATTTATGTGTGCGTCAGCTTCTCCTGAGTCATCCATCCGCACGATCAATGCTGGCTCGCTCTTGTCGCCTTGGTCTTGGTCTTGTTCATCACCTACTTCGGGCATATGCAGCTCCACATCACCGAAATGGGCATCCAAGAACCATGCAATCCGCTGGATTCTAGTGATAGACTGATCACCTTCATGATGGTCCGAGTGAGGGTGGTGAGTATGTGAATGTTGCTGTGATGTTACTAAACAAACTTATCAACATCCACAACAAATCATGCAATGCATCACCCACATTTTACAGAGGCAGGACTTTTGTCAATGCCCGTAATAAGAGCCAAAACAGAATCGGCAATCATGTCGTTACTTGCGGTCGAGTCCCACTCAAGCGTGAGTTCGTGTTCTGTATTGTGTTTGACATCGACAGCACCCATAACCTGTTAAGGCCTATCAGTGGATTATCCCCATCTACTTTGAATCAGATATCTCTTACCCGAATCACCTTCACGCCATCTTTGTCCAAACCCTCTTCAACACTACCGTACATTCCTTCCAGATGCCACCGCACAAGATCCCAGCCCACGCCAAGGACTACCCTCTGTCGCTGAACGACAGTGCAGGTCGATAATCCAGCAAAGTCTTTCAAATCACGCGGATCGAGAAGGGTATAAGAATAATCCTTGGAAACAAGCAACCCTGATATGATGTCGTTTTCTTGAGGAGCCTTATTAGCCAGAGTACCAATCGCCTAGATGGAATTGCGTCAATTAACCCGTGTCATTTAAGATTAAACCTCGAGACCTTCGCCACACGTTCCCCACGGAAGGACAGCTCGAGAGTTTCAAGATTACGAGGGGTGTGGATCTTCACGTCCTCATCGCGATCCTTGAACTTGGCAGTCATGGCTGCTTTAAGACGCCCCATTGCGGTTTGCTCGCCGTGAACTAGAACCTTTGGTAATAGGACTTGAGTAAGGTGACGTCAAATTTGCACGGGCACTTACTACATGTTGAGCCTTCACTAGCTCGATGAATTCGGAATTCTGAGAGTAGTCCACATGCGCACTAAAAGAAAGATAATCGACTGAAATTTTTCGCGGGATAGTATTGCCCTTCAGTCCAATAATCTCATCCGGTTCAGTCATTATGTCCTGATTTGAAAAAAGTTCAGATCTTGTCACTCAAATATGAGGTGCGGAAAACAAATTTGCCATTAAGAGACACGCAAATCGCGGTACAATTCTACACGTAAGACAACTCACCCGAGCCAGTGTTCCTTCGATAGAGTATCCAGTAATAATGAGTCCATTTCGAGAGTCAGGTGCCCAAAGTTCGAGTAATTCACGACTGGGTCCAGTTTGAAGAAAACCTGGACTTGCCAACACGACGCATGGAGGGCCATCCGCGATTTTCCGTTCCCAGCCGCGTGGCTGTGGAAGATTAGATATATGCCTAAAACAGGGGCGGTTAGGACAGCCTCCGAAAGTATGATAACGTTCTACGCACTTGAATACAAATGGATTGTCTCGCTTCGCGAACCTCGAGCGAATGTTCGAGTTCATTGTATGTATGTACGTCTGATATACAGCCATGCATTTGCGTGCCAAATTAGAAGCATAATAAATGGGCACGCTGTGCAGGTCCGGATGCTTCTTCCAATATTCATCGAGGATAAGGAGAAGTTCCTGAGCTCGTCCGAGAGCAAAAGTGGGTAGAAGGACGTGTCCTCCACGCCTAATAATTGAGTGAACGAGACTCGTAAAACGCAGCTCCTTCTCATCGCGACCTTCTAAGCTCTGAACGCCGTATGTACTTTCGACAATGAGGACATCCGGCCGAACAGGGGGAACTTCTGCCTTGACAAGATGTCGGTCTTCTTCGCGAGAATAGTCCCCCGTGTACAGAATCTTGAGGCCGGCTATATCAATGAGAAACATGCATGCGCCCAATACATGGCCAGCATGATAAGGAATGAACGAAACTCCAGGACAAGGTGTAATCAATTGATGGGCAGAGACCGGGATAATCGACGACATCGACATGTTCATTTCAAGGGGAGTGAATAGAGCATCGGAGGACGACGAACTGTCGTTGTTTATTGGGTCAGTTGTTTTCACATCAGTACCGAACATACCTCGTTCGAACAAAATCCTGCATCATGAACTTGTGCACAGCTTTCGTAGGATGCGTCATGTACACCTTACCCTTACCATCCCTGAAGTTGGTCTAATATAACCGGTCAAGTCTGAGTCGGTCAGAGATAAAATATAGCCTGCCTTTTCCATGATGTAAGTGAGGGCAGCAGCATGATCAAGGTGAAAGCTGAAGATCGAATTAAGTTGTCAAAATAATTCTAGGGGACGTATCGCGCACTGAGTGATCAAAATCGCGTCTACCGTGCTCCAATCAAGTTCATCCACAAATGGAAGCGAAGCCATGCCGCTGTACGCAGGGTGCACTCCTGTGTCACAGACAATGGTTTTCCCCCTGTACTGCAGCACGCAGCAGGATCTTCCCACCTCTTGACCTGCACCAAGGAGCGTAACACTCAGCGTTGGTGAGTCTGCCATAACTTTGCTCGCCCTTTAACGTCTGCGTCCAATTTGATGATATGGCAATCCAGAACAGTCTCAAGGTTCACAATATAGCCAGACTTAAGATTACAGGGAAAGCAGAAGAAATGGTGAATTTCTCAACCTCGTAGCAGAGAGAGCTGGGTTAGAAAACCAGATTCAAAGTTAAACAAGGAACGATACTGACGTAAGCGACGACTCTTTGTACTAGCATCTCGAAGGCTATGGGCAAGACTAGCAAGACTCAAAATAAACGCGCAGTTCTTGGTCCACAGGAAATCCGCAGGAGCGCAGCCAAATCTTCTTCAAAGAAGAAGCAAAAGCAGCGCTTCAGGGAACAGATCGACCAAGCTAGACATGCTCTTGATTCGAATGCTCGAACACTGTACGAGGTGCGTTGGAATCTAATCCCTCGGTGATCAGACCGGGAAGACCGCCATTCGGTCTTTTTTCATGATTGAAATCATGTGGATTAAATTTGGCTTCTCAATGCTTACAAACATATTTTCCAGGCCATCGGGAGACCTACGGCCTTGCACTCCAATCGACCTCCTGCAGATGAAATAGATCATGTAAAGGCTCTCACCGAGACCATCATGAGCCTTTGATCCATATCGCGTGCGAGGATTCTTACTCATGGTCTACATGTTCATTGAATGTCTGTATTGTAGGACCATCATATCTCGCAGCCTCTGCATCGTACTGCACATGAACAAGACATGCGTGTTCATACACGCTTATCTTTGTATGCATGTCCTTCAGAGACAAATTCAAAATGATGACTGTGACAAGGTAGAGCTTTCGACTATTTATCATTTCTGGTGCCTGACTGTTATTGACTTTGGTTGCTTGTTCATATCAGATGCGATGAAGAGTCGTCACCGTCAGGAAGACAACTTCGTATTACCTTGCCCGGGGGACATGAATGAATCAGTTGTGTAGTCTTACGCGCATACCGAGTTACTTTTTGTTGCGTCCGCAAAATGTCTGAGATGATCTAAATGTCCAAATATCACAAACAAATATTAATTTCACGGCCAAAGTCACAAATTACAATAAGCATTGAAGTAATACAGAAAAGTAGGTCCTTGCTGCACCTATCCTACGATACAGTACATACATCAGATCCAGCACAACCACAACCAACCAAACAATCAATCGAGTCCAATATATATATACTCTAATCTAAGCAACTAAAACTAAACATCCTCCCAATTCGCTTTAGGCGAGCTGATCGACAACTTCCCCTGCTGTTTTCGCTGCCTCAAATTCTTCACCTCCGTATTGATCAAATCCCGGAGACGCTCCAGGTCAAGACTGCGTTCCGCGCGAGAGCCCATGAGCACGTTTCGCCAGATACCAGCTGCGGCGACGGAGTTGTCGATGTTGAGCTGCATCGGACGGTGCAGGCGAACCATCTTTTGCATGAGGTGGTCTGGGTTTGCATAAATGGCACCGGGCCATGCTACTCGGATGGCAAACCACCAACCAAGAGGCTGTGAGAGAACTTAGTACTTGCTGGGCATATAAGATATCAGTTTACTCACCCGTCCATCGGGAAGAGTTCGTTCAGGATACGAGTCGTATGTTGTGAGTGCACCATCAGGGAGTGAGAATCTGGTAAAAAAAGACTCATTAAATAGCACAAAGAACTAAAACTAATCGACCAACCTGTGGACGACCCAATGACCTGCATCCGACCGGTGTTTCGCAAGTACAACGATCAATCGCGGAGCGCCCTCGAAACCAAAAGGCGCCCATAAATCCCTCAGCATCCCACATGCATCTCCGTGCCGGCCATTGAATACAGCAGTGCTGATCGCGTCTGCCATGTTCGGAGGGACAAAAAGCCTGTCCACACGCCCGCCCGGAGTATCCGTCATGCGACTTCTCACGTATCGCTTGTACGTCTGCGTCGACCAAATGCTCAGCGCGACCTCGTCCACCTGTTGCCCTCGAGTTGTGCTGCTGAGCGCTGTATCAATCTCGCTCATTGGCCATATGATAGCCCAATTGAGGAGGCGCTGGTGGATGCGCTGCCACGGCGGGAGACTGAGTTCGCTGTAGTCATGACCAGTATTCCGAACTTGCGAGTTCTGAGAAGGTATCATCTCTCGTCGACTGATCTCTTGTCCGGGGATTGGCGGTAGAGGCGGAGAGGGCTGACGGCGCTCGGTGTAGTTGCCTGAGTCGGGAATTTCAGGTAGACCAGATTCAGTAAACGCTCCATGACCCTCCTCGAACTCGTCCTGATCATCTCTCGCGACTTCCCAAGTCTTGTGCGTAATGGCCGACTGGCTTCCTCCAGGCTTCACACGTAACTTGTACAGCTCCTCCTCCAAGAACTGCTGACCTGGAGAGTCGTCTCGATCGCCACTCAAAAACTCGCTTATGCCTCCCCGTGTCTCAGTGATCGTAGTAGCGCCGAACCGTTGCTCAAGTTCAGTGTGATCACCATAGATTTCATCATCCTCTTCAACTACAATTCATCAGGATATTCATCTCGACCGCGTAAGAAGAAGACGTACCGATGATACCAGTTTCATTTTGGTACATCGACTCTGGAATCGTGCCGGTGGGCTGCGTGTTGATATTCACGGTTTGAGTGCGCGGGGTTTGACCGTACTGATCCATGTTTTCTGAATATTCCGTCTCTCGATATTGCTCTCGAGAAGCAGCAGACTCGGCATATGATTGTTGGCTGCGAGGTGGCATGGGCGTGTTCAGTGACTGAGGGCTGAGAGTTTCAAGACGCTCTTGGACTTTTATCATTCCGCTCATAAGCTCTTTGGCCCATTCGGGTGGCTCTTGCTGTTGCGGAGTTGATGTCAGATTCAAACGTCGCAAACAATTAGAGCAACTCACTGTGTTTGGCTGGAAGCCCGCATCCAGATGGACGCTAGGATCATGGTCATGGAACGACTTCCTATACTGTCGCATGGACTGATATGATGTAAGATATCATTTAACAAAAGAGATAACCAGTTGAGCGCACATCTTGGTCATATTTCATGCCCAGCTTCTTGACGCGCTGCCTCAATGCTTTCCGTAGCGCCTTCTTCACCACTTCATGGGTGGTGTTATCGTCCATTTGATGAAGCAAGATGCAAAGATCCATATCGTGGAAGTGGGAGTCAATGATTTCTGGTTCGAGAGTACTAGGGGCGTATGAAGTGCGATTACCAGCACCACATTCGGCCAGTGCCTTTGCCACCATCTCCTCCTCAGCCTGGTTCAGGGAAAACGACGGAGAATGCGGACGAGAGGGTGTGGGCGTTGTTCTGCCATCTTCTTCTACGCGTGCCGGCGAGCGCGCGCGCGACTGCGATTGATGGGTGTGATGTGAATGATGCGACTGATGCGAGACATGGGATTGATGAGTGTGATGGGAATGGTGCGACACATGAGATAGTTTACTGCTGCCTCCGCCGCCATCCAGCTGAGATGTATTCACATTCAACTGAGACAATGCGTTCGACTGTGAGGATGCCTGCCTCTGGACTTGCATTGTTGCAGTAAATAGTAAGGGTTCTTGGGTGGCGGCATGACGATAAGGGGAGAATGGGCGGTTATGATGCGAGGGAGACATTGGGCCGCCAGCAGCGCTCAGTGGACCTCCACGTTTCGATACGGCTCCATCAACGTCACTCATGGGGCCGCCACTCACAACTGAGCGCATCTTCTCCTTTTCCTTAAGTTCCCTCTCCGCCATCCTAGCAGCCTTTAATGGGGCTTGACTGGGAGAGTCAGATGGCGACACGCTTGGTGCATGGCGGTGCGATCGTGGGGAGAGAGGAAGATGGGTGGTTCGGCCTGACGGACTTAGCAATGTGCTGGGAGGTAAAGGAGGGTATTCAGTAGGGACTTGTGATCTTGATCCTGCTCGTGATCGACGAGGGGACAAGGGAGTTTCATCAGGTGCTGCGCTATGTACTGTATGCGCCTTGCTTGGAGTATTGTGGTGCTATAACATCTCCATCAATTACTTGTACGGCTGACGACACGAAAAGACGTACGCCTCTAATGGTATCCCGTGAATCGCTCTCAACTACGGAAGCAGCTGACTTGCGTGATTTTGAAGGAGCACCACTGGCTTGAGAGGTAGATTTGCGTGACTTTGAACCGCTGGGTGTGGATGGAGGTTCGATGTTGATGTTGAAAGTGGTCGGGGAGGTAACAGAGGTTGGAAGAGGTACTCTTGCGGCACCAGCCACTGTAGAACGCTGAATAAAATGAGTACAAGGGTAGAACTGGATATGTGATTATGTGAGCCCGATGGCGACGTACCTCCCAAGCATTCCAGGGAGGTGCTCCGCTACTGGGCCCAAAGTCAGGCAAAGGGCCTTTATTGCCAAAGGAAGGACCAGAATCAAATGACTCATAACGCGGACCTGGGGGATCCTGAGGACCAGGTTCGTGCTGGTAGTAGGTCGTTTAACACCATGGGAAAGCCGGACAAAAATCCAAAATTTTAAATGTAATTGGTACTCACGAATGCAGAATGAGCATTGATGGACATCTCGGTCTTTCGACCATCCTGAACATTTGAGTCTAGATCGGAGGCGCCGTCGTCGTTACCAAAGGCGCTGCGCCTTGTAGACGGAAGGCCATTACGAATGAGAGTAGAAGTGGGGGATCCGAGACCCATAGATTCTCTTTGCATACCCTCTAGGTATAGCAGTACTACAAAATATAAGCCTAAATGAGTTTGGTGCTTGTAAATATTGAAGTGAAAGGCAGACCTTTCTCATTGGGAGCTGCGAAAAAGAAATCAAACGGAATGAACTTGTGAGCTGTAGAAATATATAAAAAATGAAGAAATACACATACCTGGTGTGCTCGAGCGTAGAAGGATCGGCCTAAGGGATTCGGAACCAACTTCGGCGAAAGACATGTTGGGGAATACGAAAGGTTTGATATAAAGATATGAGAAAAATGATAAAAAATCGGGTAAAAGGGGTGTCGCTAGTGTTTAAGTAGATGGCTTTAGTGAGATGTTAGGATGTATAAGAGAGCAGAAGAAAGCACTTATTCAAAAGATACAACAAAATACAAAATCAACCGTGGCGGAAACTTCTAATGCCATCCATCGAATCAATCATATCAGCTTACAAATACGTGCAAATACACCTCCGCCACAATAAACCCATTGTCTTCTACTTCTCGATAATTGTTAACACTTACTTCTTAAGTTACCCTGATGCTCGATATACAGCGTAACAAGGGTTAGTCTCCCAGAGGCAAAACTCGTTCTAGGCAAGGGCCTGACTTTGCCCTAACTTGACGAAATCATTCTCCAGCAAAAGCCTTGACGTGGCGATTCAACCGTGAGTCTTCCATTTCACTTTGTGCAGTACCTTCATGCTGTAGCTCCAAGTATTCTGCTCACCTCTGGCCGTGTGCTACTCGCCACCATGCGGCTGTTTGAGATCAGTGCAATATTTACTTCGAAAACACGCATATGTCACTGCATTTATCATTGCCCTCTACTCAACATTTCCTCATCAGTCCATCGTGCGTGGCGGCCTTTGCTACTTCCTGTAATCATCTAGTCTACTACTGGAATTCACCACAGCTTCGTGGACCTTTATAGAGGGATCAAACAGAGTGCTCCTATCTCAGTCACGTACCGGAGCTCCTTTTTTTCATCACACCCTTGAATCTCGTATTTGCGATTTCAATCTCATGCATCAAGCTCTGTGCATTGCCGAAATTCTAGACCAGATCAGCTGGCACACTAATCGCGGTTCACTTCCTGGCCTTGCATTGACGTGTCGCACGTTTGAAGGTCCAGCACTTGACACCTTATGGAGGAATTTGCCATCGCTAGAGCCGCTGGTCAAATGTATACCAATGCATATCTGGGGCTTCAGTTTCCGAGGAGAAGTGGTAAGCATTTCATATTCGCGCAACATCTCATTCAGTAATTTGTACAGATACTGCTCAGGCCCATCGATACCAAGGCCTGGGCCACTTTTCGCAAATACGCATCCCGCGTGCACTCGATCACACAATCTGGAGATCCATCGCCCATTATTGAACATATTCGTATAATCATGCTGTCTTACCCTTACCCATCTTCGACCATGTTTCCAAATCTTCGATGTTTGGCTTGGAATGTCGATCAAACCCACCTCATCATCGAGTTCTTGCACATGGCATTTGTGCCTTCCTTGGTTTCCTTGGATCTACGAATTACCTCGATTTCGCCCACCTTGATGTCCATCTTATCCACTATCGGGACCGCATGTCCTAATCTCACCTCCTTCCGACCTCAAGTAGACGACCCGACATTGAACCGTGAGATTGCGCCCTTCCTGACACAGGCGATATGTCAGCTCCATCATCTTTCCGCTTTGACCGTATGCGGGCTAGAAGATCTAGGGATGGTACACGTTACACAGCTACAGTCTCTCAAGACACTTTGGCTTTACATAGGGCCATCTTTTCTCAGACGCACAGGGCTGCCACCGCAGTCACTTGGTCTGGAACATCTAGAACTCTTGGGTCTTCAAGCTATCAGACTCAACCATATGACAGACTTCTTACGTTCTCTTCGGACCGTCCGGAGCAAACATATTACGGCCGTCTTTTCCTCTGACGTATTTGGACAGCAATCCGATTCTATGTCCGAGTTCTGCGCCATACTCCTAGAACGATGCGACAACGACACTCTCGAGGGCATAACACTCTGCGAACAATTTTACAACACCTTCCACAATGTATACGTCCAACCAGGCGACTTTGGCCCTCTGCGCCTTCTTCGCAATTTAACACATTTCGATGTCGAGGCAGCATGTACCATCTCAATCTCCGATGACGAACTAAGCGAGTTAGTAAAAGCATGGCCGAAGCTCAAAATATTCAGACTCGGCTGTTATCGCGACCCCGCTAGTACTGTGCTGCCTACCTTCCATGGACTAGTCAATGTGCTTCGGCTTTGCCCTGAATTGGCATCCCTCTCTCTTGTCATCGATACCACGCAGTTTGATGGCATAGACGTCAAATCTCCCGGAAGTGGTATCCGTAACAATGGTCTGCAAGAGCTTGTCCTCGGTAACTCACTAATTGGCTCTCCATTGGACGTGGCTCTTGTCCTCAGCAGTCTCTTGCCCAACCTGCCGGAGGTGAACCTTTCCCCTTGGATTGGTGGCCCATTGGATGCATTGTTCGATAAACCATGGGCGATGGAGCAATGGAAGCTGGTCAATCGCTTACTTGGTGGCTTTCGCATTGTAAGGACGCGGTATTTGGGGCGATAATTGGCTCCTGTTCAAATCACCTATGCCGCGGCCGGTTATGTAGCAGCATTTACTTCGTACTTGTTGATACATGATGGCTATATGTTTGCTGTATTACTATCAATTGAGACTGGTGCTGTGCGCTAACAGGGTTATGCATAATTGGTTAACCACAACGGTGCGAGAGTGATGACCGTGACATTAAAACATTAGCATCACACTATCACGTGATTGTGACCATCGTGAACGCATCACGTGCTCGCACAAGGAAGTCGTGAAGCGTTGTCCAATGTCCTGCACTTCGAATCCTTGACCAGCGACGATGGCAAGCACTTCTAAGGCGATCAGCAACTCGGCCCATCAGCAAGGGCAAACGTGCATCGCGTTTTCGCGTGATGGGAAGTAAGTAGTCGGTTTTAGATCAGAGAGCTGCCGACCCAACCTTCTTTCCCTAGGATTGCATACACGGGAGGCTTAGATACCCTGGTACGAATATGGCACACTGACCAAGGGGAGGACCAAGAACCAGAAGCAGCGTATGAAGCTGATGAGGGTATCACGGCGGTCGCCGCTGCTGTGCGTGGCTCTTCATGTATCCTGGATTCGTCTGAGCTGACAACGGAAAACAGGAAGGCTGCTGGCTCTCTGGAGGCCATGACTCTGACGTGCGAAAGTACATTCCTGGAAAGGCACAGTTCGATGGACTTGTGACGAGCGCTGCTGGAGCATCAATCAGGTGTTTAGCAGTGGATCCCTCTGGCAAGCGCGTTGCTGTTGCTTCTGAGTGCGTTCCTGCATGCATTAGCTGTTGTGTGTATTGACTGTTCTCGTACACTTTAGCGAACTCTCGGTGAAAATCGTTGATTTGGATGAAATAACGAATGTGGTGGTACTAGAAGGGGGACATAAGAAACGTATACGAAAGACGACGTGGCATCCATCGGGCTCCATTTTGGTACGAGCATCGATAATATTCATGCTACTGGTATATTCATGGTTTTTCATTCCTCAGACAACAAGTAGCTCAGATGGGACCATAGTGGCATGGAATATATCCGATACTGAAGCCAAGGTGGAGAACGTTATTGATGGCGTAATACCCGAAGTGGTAGATCCGGAGTGAGGTCTATTCACCTCATTTACAAAAACCTTTTACTGACTCTCCACGAGGTCTCCGGAATTCATGCATGATTGTTCTGCCGTTTGGCACCAGTCAGGACAGTATTTCTTTGCAGCGTCACGAACGCACGGTAAGTGGGTCAGAGCATTGAAGCCACACTCTCACTTGTGATTGAATAGAAATTGTCGCTATTTCGCGGAGTACATGGACTAAAACTTCATCTCTGTCTGATCCAAATACCGTCGGCGCAACGACAGCACTAGCGCTTTCAGCCAATGGCGTATACCTTGCCAGTGCTTGCAAACAAGAGATATTAGTCTGGAGTGTGCAGACAAAACGGGTACTTTGGAAGTAGGCTTTTGTAATAGTCTTTTCTTCCGCACTCGTAACTCGTTGCAGGCACCCAGGCACCCCAAATGCATTTACCATTCAAATTGCTTTCTCACCTACAGAAAACCTCTTGGCATGGACAGATACAGAAGGTGTTCTCTCTCGGTGGCGGGATGCAATTCCAGCAGGCTCACCTGATCCCGTGCGCCAAACGGCTGCAAGCAGCGCTCAAGGGACGACGACAAAGCGAAAGTCCACTCCCCCCTTGTGGGGCGAAGAACCTGCCGCTGATGCGGAGGGCGGTGACTCATATGGCGACGACTGGATCATTGACGACCTTGGTGATGGGATGGAAGACGAGCCTGAAGGTGCAAAAGCGATGCGCGCAGGTGGCGGATTCGTGAAGGAGATGGGTGAGTCAAGATCGACGGGTAAATGTTGACGATGACTTAACAGTATTTTAGTGAGTATCACGAAGGCTCAACCTGCTTTCCAACCAGGGTCAACGCCTATGGAAAATAAAAAGCGTTACCTCGGTAAGAGACTCCTTGACATGTCACGACTCATACTTATTTCGACATAGCATACAATATGGTTGGTGTCATTGAGGTAACGGACCAGGATACTCATCACATCGTCAATGTCGAATTCCACGACCGATCAGCCCGCAAGGGGTACCACTTTACCGATCACTTCAAATATGACCTTGGCTCTCTTGGTTAGCCTCCTGTAACTTCTACAAGCAAGTCTGACGTCCTTACAGGTGAACGAGGTGCACTCTTTGCTTGTCCTCCTGAGCTTGATCACTCGGCACAAGTCATATATAAACCTTACGGCACTTGGTCCACGCAAGGGGATTGGACATACGCCCTCCCAAAGGGTCAGCGTGTCCTTGGCCTCGCGGCAGGTGGCGAGAGGCCAATGCGGTCACTGAGAGATCCTTCGTCGTCTGGAGGTGATATTCAGGGACAAGGGAATATCGTGATCGCAACCAGTTCGGGAGACCTGACGTTCTTGAGCGGCTCTGGTATGGAAAGAATTGTCCTCGGCGTGGAAGGTGAATATGTGACAATGGCTGCTGCCGAGGAATATGTACTTGTGGTGCACCGACCTGGTGCGACCACCATTGATGGTAAGGTCCTTAACCTGTTCAATAACATAAATGTTGAACGATTTGTTCCTCCAGGATCCCAAAGTTTGGTCGCCACGCTGATTTCTTTTGAAGACTTTCAAGTTCTTCAAGAGAAGCCATTACCAATACCCAAAGGTCACACTCTGAGGTGGATCGGAACTACAGATGAGGGGGTACGTGAAATTCCTCGTTGACATTCTCTTCTCAATTGGCTTGCTAGGCCCCAGCAATATACGATTCTGCCGGCTACATACACCTTATGATTCATCACCGGCGCCCGAATCGTGCGGCGTGGGCACGTCTCATGGACACCAACTTACTGGAGCGCAAGCAGGGCAAGGATGAGTCGTATTGGCCTGTCGGCCTGAGTCAAGACACGTTCATGTGTCTGATTCTCAAAGTAGGTGGCTTAGCCTTCGACACCCCCATGTCTACTGACTCCATTTCAAGGGTCGTCAAGAGCACCCTGGCTTCCCCCGACCTCTTATACAAGAGCTTCCCGTCCGCTTACCATTCCGCAATCAAGACCCCGTAGATTCACCTATTGAAGAGCGGTATGCATTTTCTCTGCTTGCATGATACCTGCTGAACACCGAATTATCAGCATTGCTCGGGAGCGAATTCACGTTAACCTTGCTCGTGATGCTCTTGGTGACGAAATAACGTCTCCCGACATCGATAAACGCGAAGTTGAACTAGACAAACAACTGCTCAAGCTCATCCAAGCTTCCTGCAAGGCGGACAAGGCACCGCGTGTGATTGAGCTCGTCAAACGGTTACATTTTCCAAACTCAATTGCAGCTGCAAGTCAACTTGCAGGATTCTACCGCCTCATTGGATTGCAGGAGAAGATAGAAGCAATTAAATCGTGGCGGGAACAGAACGCAACACCGGCAGAAGAGGCGAGGGAGGCGAGACAGGGATTTGCCTATGAGGATGCTCCGTTAGCTCGACCAAAGCCTTTCCAGAACTTCAATCCGCCACCCAAGGTCGACAGACCTGGTCTGACACGATCTGCTGGGATCGTCGAGCAAACGGAGTTCACTGCGTCTAATATCGCGATCAGAGCGAGTCGCTCGCGAGCGCCACAGGCTTCTGCTTCTCGATCAACGTCTCCCGAGGGAAAGAGGAAACGTGACGACAATGATGACGACCTCTCATCTAACGCGTTCGACGGCGAGGTAAAGAGGCGAGCCGTTGGCGAGTCTGATGCCGTGGTGCCGTCACCCAAGCCTAGTGCGTGCATAGCTATTCAACCCGGGCGCGCGTAAATTTTGATCATCCATGGCAGACAACCCATTTTCTCGGAAGACTGGGCAAGAAGTCAAGAAGAATCCTTTTGCAAGAAAATCTGAGCTCAACAAACCTATCCAGAAGAGCGAGAGCTTTTTCAACAAGGTCGAGGTCGCAGAAAAACGTGAGCAACAATGAAACACTGTTTTCTGTCTTCCCTTCGTGATTGTTTAATCGTGATTAACAGGTCCGGCTGCTGCTGCTAAAGGCAAGGAAAAAGACAAGGATAAGAAGGACCTCTCGAGACAGAGTACGCTCTTTGGCTTGCCTTCGAAACTTCCTGCGGAAAAGGAAAAGCGAGCAAAGAAAAAAATCGGTGCTGCGCCCGAGGCTGAAGAGGCAAAGCAAAGCCCTTCGGCAGACTCCCAAGCCATGGATATAGAAACCCAAGATGCCACGCTAGTAGATAGCCAAGCTCACCCTGACCCGTCAGATGTACAGATGGACACCCAGCCTCTAGACATGGACGACGAACCCATTGAATGGCCGGATTCACCACTGGCTGCTGCCGTCGACGATGACAATTAGATCCTACTTGTTTCTCTCGTTTTTCCTTTCATTCATCATTGTAGGCACATTATCAATGAATCTGGATTGTGTATCTAGAGCTATCTAATGACACGTTCGCCCGTAGTTTAAAAAGATAGGTTATGATTAAATCGTATCTGACTAACTTCATCATGCTTCAATACACCGCTTCTTCACAACGCTGAAGCCGCCAAGAAAGATATTAACTGACTGCAATCGTCCATTGAAGTCAAATAAGTCGTGCTGCCAATCATGTGTAACCTGCTCGAGGCGGGCAAGAGACCGCTGAGGATGAGAGCGACGTTTACCGGGGACTCGATGGGTGAATTGCCGAGGGCGAGCAATTGGTGATCCTCGTTGCAGATTCTACCGCCAGGGCGTTTGAATTCCATGCCATCCAGCTTGGTACCATCGATGAGAGTGAAGTCAAAGTGGAGCAGAGCCGAAGCAAAATGATTATTCCGTGGAATGTTGTGTCCTGGAAATCAAGATAGCGGTTGATTTCAAAGACTTGGAGCTTAGGTTAGGCTCTCACAAGTTGGCACAGCCTGCTCCGTCAGACATGGAAATGTCATAGCCATCGTCAATAAGCAACCGGGTAAATCGTGGTATGACGCGAAGACCTCCGTTAATGTGCGAAGATTGACAGAGAGTGGAGGATCCAAGTATGTCGTTATCGCATATCTCTTGAAGGATGGCTAAGAACGGGGAGAGCATCATTGTAATGGCAAGGACACGAGGTCCCAAGGGACGAAAGGACGGCGAGAAGAGCGGGCCTGGAAGCTGCAGGAGACATCCTCACTTGGAGGTTCACTAACATTAGGGAAGGTACGAAAGCCATGCGCAAGAGATCTGCAGCTCTTCGGGTACCATTGGCATTAATCCATGACAACTTGACTAGGTTCGGAAACAATTTGGAGGACACAGGTGCATGACGGTTCCTCTATATGTGCTGCAATGCTAAGTGGCCTTCGAATAAATGTGATATTTTGAAGGAAACGAGTGAGACGTAACGGTACGGGAAGAACGATCTCGATATAGCTGAGTACACAAACGTTGCTGATGCCGGCATTAGGAATACTCTTACGGTAGGATTGTTTTCCTGATTTGAAGTATCCATCCATGGCCCGTCGCCGATATCGTGGCACCTTCGAATCTTCAAGCTCATCAGAATCAGACAATAACACTTCCCCAACTCCTCCAGTAGAGAATATCGAGTCCTCAAAAGGCAAGAGAAAGCTATTAGATAATGACGATGTCAACAAAACGGAGGGTTCAGAACGTCTACGATCGTAAGTTTATTGTATTGTACTATAGTATAGACTTAATCTCGTGTTTTCAGGCAAAAAAAGGTTGTCAGCGGGGACAAGTAAGTATATGCAGCTCTTATCATCTAAATGCCTCACAATGTGCGCCTTGTAACTTAGTGAAGAGCCAAGCCACCCAGAACATCCCCAGGACCCGGGAGAGACACACATCACTGGAGGGCAACAAGTCGTCATTACTGGTATGTCACGGTGATATTGATCTCCGTTCAACACGTCTTGACTGATTTCCAAGCCGTTTGCGCAACTGATCTCGCTTTTGGTCTCCGACGGATCCCTGCTGGCTTCCATGTGGCAGTCAAGACCGACGGCGCTGAATTCCAGACAAGCAACAGGCCTGTACACGTAGATCAGACTGTCGTCGTATGGAATGAACCCATACTTCTGTAAGTTGTCCTTAATCTCATCTTTCCTGCTGGGATTGAGAAAGACTCTAGGCCATACGAGCAATATTCTAAAATTCGAGTCACCGTTTATGCCTCATTTGAGTTGGGTCCCATGCTCTGTCACGGAGAAGTCCTCCGCACATTCGAGATCTCCGTCAGAGAATTACTGGATTGCAGTGAAAAGTCACATCGTTAGTAATGTCCATTTCAAATAACACCTGGCAGATGCTAACGAGTATCACAGCCATAATCTTTCAGCCCAAACAGGGAGAAGCCGTGTCCGCGTGTACCTTACTGTTTATGACAGTTGGGCAGCTACTTTCTGATGAAAACAACGCCGCAGTCCTTTGCCCCCTGACTACTGTAAGTGATCAATGCAGTCTGACAGTCTGATGCTGAGAGCTTGTGATGTGTAGGTTACATTTGATAACATGTATGCGTTACTACTGAAGATGGACACCGGACATCGTCTTCTCGCACGATACCGTAGGACGCAGAACAATAGGGATCTCGACCAGTCTATAAATCACTTTGAACATGCCTTGGATATCTGCCCCATGGATCATCCCTGCCACCTTGCAGTACTGTTCAATCTGGCTACCGCAAAGCTTGTTAATTGCCAGGTTAATGAAACATACCTCAACCTCGACATCCCTGTCTCTGTCTTTCAAGACGCTCTTGATTTACGTCCCTCCTGGTCATCCAGACCGACCCGTCACCCAGCTCTATTTTGCCATTTCTCTGTTGTCTCATTTCGCAAGACGAGGATTTCAAACGGATGCTGATACGGCCAAAGAGTTACTGAGCGAAGTCCTCGATGTTTGCCACACCAACAGCCACATTTACAGAGCAGCTTTGTTTACAATCGAAAAATCTGCTCTGCATCCGGCTGGAAACACTGATGCAAGTAATCTTGCGCAGGAGCGGCCTGCTGCATCCATGCTTCCGTTATCGCCAAATCAACTTGTTCATCGAGCACTGCAGTGTTTGCAAATAGATGATCCCCATGCCTTAGATGAAGTGATACCCCTTTATTACGATGCACTGGGATACTACAATACCATGCATGCTTGCCGAGGACAATTGCTATGTAGTCTGGGTATGATGCTGTGCATTCGCTTCAAGCGTCAAGGCAACGACAAAGATTTGGATCAGGGTATTGCACTTCAGAGTGAAGTGCTGGCTTTGCGCCCTGTCGGTCACACATATTGGTCCAACTCATTGAATAATCTTGCAACTCAACTCTCCACCCACTTTCATCACCGAGGCAATGACGAAGACTTGGATCAGGCCATTGCACTTCACAGGGAAGCACTGACTTTGTGCCCTGTCGGTCACACGGGTCGGTCCTTGTCATTGAGTAATCTTGGTAGTCAACTCTCCGTCTGCTTTGATCACTGAGGCGATGGCGAAGACCTGGATGAGGCTATTGCACTTCAGAGGGAAGCGCTGGCTTTACTCCCTGTCGGTCACACAGATCGGTCCTCGTCATTGAGTCATCTTGCAATTCAACTCTCCATCCGCTTTGATCACCGAGGCAATGGCGAAGACTTGGATCAGGCTATTGAACTTCAGAGGGAAGCACTGGTTTTGTGCCCTGTCAGTCACACAGTTCGGTCTGTGTCATTGAGTAATCTTGCAGCTCGACTCTTCACTCGCTTTCATCACCGAGGCAATGACAAAGACTTAGATCAGGCTATTGCGCTTCACAGAGAAGCGCTAGCTTTATGCCCTGTCAGTCACACAGATTGGTCCTCATCATTGGGTAGTCTTGCGAATGGACTCTCCACCCGCTTTGATCACCGAGGCAACGGCGAAGATTTGGATGAGGCTATTGCGCTTCACAGAGAAGCGCTGGCTTTGCTCCCTGTCAGTCACACAGATCGGTCCATGTCATTGAATAATCTTGCGAGCCAACTCTCCACCTGCTTTCATCACAGAGGCAACGACGAAGACCTGAATCAAGCTATTGCATTCCAGAGGGAAGCACTGGCTTTGTGCCCTGTCAGTCACACAGATCGGTTCAAGTCATTGGGTAGTCTTGTGAATGAACTCTCCATCCGCTTTCATCACCGAGGCGACGACGAAGACCTGAATCAGGCTATTGCACTTCAGAGGGAAGTGCTGGCTTTGTGCCCTGTTGGTCACACAGATCGGCCCAAGTTATTGAATAATTTTGTGAGTGGACTCTCCACCCGCTTCGAGCACCGAGGTAATGGTGAATACCTCAATAAGTCACGAGAGCATCTCCACTGTGCCTTGACTCTGTTAACGCAACATGATCCTCATCGATCAATGGTCCATAATTCACTAGCTACCGTCTATCTGTTGTTCCATCAATCAGGACTTGAAGGCACTGGCGCAGGTGATGCTGACAGTCTTCTGAATGCTGCCATGGATCATCTCAAGGCAGCAGCAAATATTATCTCTGGAGGTTTGCTACATCGCCTACGAGCAAGTCTACGCTTGATTCACCATGCTAGTCAACATTCACATGGTACTGAACTGGAGGCATATGCGACTTTCATGCGGACACTTACATGTCTGTAACAGCCTCAGTGTCGTCTTGTTGTAATGTCATGAAGGGATTCCCAAGTACACTTGCCGTGAATGCTGCGTCATGTGCTCTTCGTAGTGGTGACGTGTGTCGTGCTGTTGAGCTGTTGGAACAAGGCAGGACTCTCATCTGGACCCAGATGACACGACTGCGCACTCCTCTTGATAGCCTCCAGACTCGCGGCGATCATGCAGTGGCCTTGATGAAGAGATTCAGAGATCTCAGCTCCCTCCTCGGTAAACCTCCTGCGAGCCATCTAGAAGGGACTCCAAGAGTTGATGTAGAAGCAGAAGCAACCCGGTATAGACGTCTAGTGGAGGACTGGAATAGAGCTGTAGAGGAGATCCGGAAGATCGAGGACTTCTCTCGCTTCTTACTTCCTCCCATGTTCTCCGATCTTCAAGATGCAGCTCGTGATGGGCCTATCATCGTGCTCATCGCCAGCAAGTCGTCTTGCGATGCCATTATTATCCCACACAAGCAACCTCCGACTAGTATTCAACTCTCTACTAATCTTGAGAAACTCCAGATGTTGGTGATCAAATTCCAACGCACAAGTAGACCAGCACTGACAAAAGCCTTGATGGAGTTGTGGGACGACATCGTCCGCCCAGTGGTCGAGAATCTGGGCAGATATGCATGACGAGGTTCCCGAATATGGTGGTGCCCGACGTCTCTCTTCAATTTCTTGCCGTTGCACGCTGCTGGCAAGTACAGGAGACATGGGCAGTTTCTTTCACAGCTCCACATCTCTTCATACATGCCATCGCTTACTGCGCTGATAAAGGCTCGCAGACAAGACAGGTCCCTGTCGGTGTCCTTTGCTGCCATTGGTCAGAATCTCCCAGCCGGTGCTTCATTCACTCTGGATTGTGTGGAATCTGAACTGGAATTAGTGCAGAGTCTTTTACCTCCTCCCCCAACTGTTTCCTTCACCAAGATAATGAGCGTTGATGCAATGAGATCGATGGCACTATGCGCGCTGCGAGATCATACTTGGCTTCATTTTTTGTGTCACAGGACACAGAATTACGAGGATCCCTTCAATTCGGCCCTTCTCATGCGTGACCAGCCACTTTCACTTCTTGATATCACACAAACGGATCTGTCTCGCCATGAATTTGCATTTCTTTCTGCCTGTGAAACAGCAGTCGGTGACCATGATACTCCTGACGAAGCGATACACCTAGTGGCTGGCCTGCAATTTGCTGGGGTCAAGAGCATCGTTGGGACATTATGGAAGGTCAACGATAGTACTGTGCAACGCTTAGTCGAGGCATTCTACAAAAACTTTTGCGGGGATGGCACAATGAATTCCAAGCGAGCTGCTCAAGTGCTGCACCGAGCAGTCCAGTTGTTGGCCTCTGACATGGACATGCCCTTGGACCAGCGCATAGTGTTCATACATATTGGCATATGATCAATTCCGTGCGTCCTCCCGCCCTGTTGATTAAAGCATTGAGACAATCTGATGACTTGGTGTGTAGCATCCAGTGGGTTTTCAGTGAGGATGAAATATTGGGGAAAGATATATGATGATAGATTCAAACTTTTCAAAGAGACTTGCAATGCAATCTTGTTGCACGAAGCACACCACATCTCGTACAGTCACATAATTGTAACGGAAAGTCACGGTGTAGTCACACTGGCAGTAGGCTTGACACTGTGGATTAGACATTAGGAAGATATATACGAGTGTACCAGTAGCTAGTTGTAGTAATCTAATTGAATATGTATTGCGGACTGCCGGAGTAATATGAACTGTGACTATTAGGATGCCCAAACAGGAATGGCTGTGATACGACAGGAGTGGTTGTTGAGAGTACAGCGGGGCCAACTTGAACATGATGTGACCGGTTTGGATACATAATGGAGAGACTCGGAGATCCTTGCATTTGCGGGAAAAAAGGTGGTTGTGGGTGGAACATATCGTTGGCTGCCGTGGGGAGAGAAGTATTGGCTGAAGGTGTTGAGCTTTCACTCGAAGTCAGGTTGGCAATGGCATCGGGCCTGCCGGTGCGTCGTTTTGAACCATATATCGCTGAAAATCGAGGGTTATCTGCAAGAACTGCGCGAATGTCAGGATCTTTCAAGTGAGCTTTGATCCGTGCTGAGAGATCAGCAATTTTTCCATCTCTCGAGAGTCCAAGTGCTCCAGCGAGTGCTTCCAGATTTTCTTTCCATTTATAAGATGTGAAGGGACTGTCAAACGTTCTTGTCGTGATGCTGTTGTGAATGCGTGCGATACGAGCTTCTTCGTCCAACTTTTTCTTGTCCTCCTCAAGCCCTTCTTTCTCTCTCCTCGCCCCCGCACCTGCCTCGAACGACTCTTTGAACTCCGGAGCTGTAACATAACGAACTTTGACCTTTGTTGTTGTGCAAGTTTTCTTTCTCCTCTCGTTTTCAGCTCTCACCCGCCAGTCTTGATTTTCACGCTGCGCGATAGTACAATGAGCATTCGCAGCGTCAATCAGTGCAGTTTGCATAGCAACGACCTCCATGAGTGTTTGATTTTGAGCGTAAAGTTGCTGGATGTGTTCCCAGAGCTTCTCCTTGCTTGATGCCATGACCTGGACATGTGACATAGGACGTATGAGAGCTTGAGATGGTGCGGGGGTAGATGAGCGTGTGATCATGGAAGTCGAAACTTTGGGTAGAAGCTGAGACGAGCCTGCGACAAGCGATGATGGATGGATGGTGGAAAAGTTCGAGGATCCTGGGAGAACCTGTGCTGTGCTTATGAATTGATCTCGCACAGTCTGTGGGGGTACCTGAAGGAAAATTGAGTTGCGACAAAATTGTTGAGGGAGTGCTTACATTGTGAGCTATGGCAGCACTGCGAAAACTGCCATGAACACCAGTCAAGGTATCACGGATGGCAGCTTGAATGCGAACTTCTTTGGTGGGATCTCGGGGACCTTTCTGCTTCCCACCGACTCGAGTGCGCGCCATACGTGCAGCGAGTAGACGCGTCGAGACGCGTTGCCACTAATGCGTTGAGTTTAAACTCCGCTGCGGCAGTGGACGGCAGGTGACAATGGAGGTGACAAAAGCCTTTGTCACAACCAAACATTTATCTCTCTTGTTTCTTGTCCAAATGCATCTGTCTAAGCTCGTAAGACGATCTTGTGTAGTATTATTTCAAATAGATGTAGTAGGAAAAGTGTGGTTTTTGAGGGATGCACGAAATGTGGTGTGAGCGAGTGGTAACCAATAGTAGTTTGATTATTACAGAGCACATAGAGTATTACGTATGTCACAGGTCACACTACTTCGTATGCTCTCTCCAGATCTGTCGGTCGATTCTATTAGCGCGTTCAATTATTGCTTCAAGCTGAGATGCCCCGTCAAAAACCACTGCCTCTGGGGTACGTTAATGACCACGGCTACACGGCACTGGTGAAGATCAGTCTCTCAAACTTGTCTGTGACTCCGTGTCTGTGTTATCCCCTGAAGACTTGCGGCTTTGCATCAAAACTCTCGGACAATTCGGTCGACAAGCCGATACGAACTTTGCGCTTACTGCCGCAGAAAGCCTTCTCTGGACTGTGTCGGATTCGATCCAGGCAAAGCGCAAGGATGCAGAAATGGAACCTAAATATAGCACGCTGGCGGCTGTGGATGTGTCTGCTGCTGGAAGTTCTGGGTCTTTGTACTGACGCTAGGCACCAAGTTTGTGTAGGTGCCATCCAGACCCTTTTCCGTGCAATGCAACTTACGGCGCCACGCTTACGCTGGATACTTGGAATGACTGCATATGGAAGATCACATTCCCGCTACTCGACGCGATATCTATCGAAACCTGGCGCAGTGCCTTTGAGCCCGGAACTCTGCTGAATTCTGGCCTGGCAGCACTCATCCCGGAACACGTGACAAGAACCAGTGCGTGGCAGTGGGGATTTGGAACAGGTGGGATAACGACTTGCGAAAGATAAAGACTTTCACTGTCACTAAGTACTGATAAGTTCTTCATATCGACAAACTTGACTGAAATCTAGATCATCAACGCATCGCTCATAGGGGTGAGCAAAGGCCTAGATCATCAGCGCCCTTGGCAGCCACGTCTAGCCATGTCTATAAAAATTCTAACGTGGGTTCCGTCCTACGAACACTATACATATATCTCGATGATGATGTTCCCCTACGTGGGACACCGCTCGGAGTCCTTGGCGTCTCTTACTCGTACTCTGCTACTGTCCGCCTACCATGTTGTCTTCGAGGCCCAACAGTCTTGCAGATCTATTTGTGACGGCGCCCAACACTCCTTTAAACCTCGGTCAACCCCTAGAACCTCCCAGAGCATCTTATCTGACATCGGCTCCAGAAACTGCTGCCAGCCCGCGCGATTCGTACGCTGAATCGTCAGATAATGTCTCTCCATCAGTGCAAGAGAATGAGAAACGCCATACCATAGCTTACGGCCAAGAATCGAGAGCAGAACCTGGGTTGGAAAATCCATCCATCTTTAGGCGACCTCTATTTTGGCTCATCGCTTTCGCCGTCGTTGCTGTTGTTGTCGTTGCTGTCGTTCTCCCAATATACTTTGTTGTTATCAAACCTCACAATTATAGTACCAATGGAGCTTCTGTAGGTGGGTCAGGTAGCGGCAACTCCACATCTCCAACTGGAATAACTACGACCGGAGGAAACGGCTCCCTTATCACAGTGGCTGATGGCATGACATTCACTTACTTGAATCCCTTTGGAGGCATCTGTAAGCTCTATCATTTATTTATGGCTTGCAACTATGGTTGCGGTTGAGTTGTTATGAACTGGTGTACCTTCTTCAGTGCCATCTACGGATGCTACACAATTGATATTTAATATGTCTCTTGTGCAGTTAAAGGGTCTATGTTCTGCTAATGCAAATTCCAGAGGGCTGCCTAGTGTTGTCATCTTCTCATATATTCCTCTTGGCCAAACATTTCGTTCTTACTGGTTATTTGCAGGGGTGGACAACCCAAACGACCCTTTCAACAATGACGCTTATCCTAACTCATGGACCCCTCCACTTAACTCTAGCTGGACTTGGGGAGTAGACAAGATTTACGGGTTAGTTTCATTTGGTCACATCTGGGATACATTCACATGTGGAATGCGGACCATGTACAGTGTCAACCTTGGTGGGCTTTTTGTTCTAGAACCCTTCATTACACCCGCCCTTTGGGAGAAGTATCCGGGTGCAATTGACGAGTGGACCCTGAGCACGCTCATGGCGGCGGATACAGCCAGCGGCGGACTCCGACAGATAGAGACCCATTACAGTACCTTTATTGTAAGTACATTTCGCTTAGCTTCTTTGAGCTTTGAGCCAGAATAACGCTTGTAGACCGAGCAGGACATCGCCGAAATTGCTGGAGCTGGATTGAATTGGATCCGTTTACCTATCCCTTTCTGGGCGATTGAGACATGGGACTTCGAGCCCTTCCTCGAGAAAGTCTGTTGGCCGTGAGTACTGCGCTTCTGAACCATTGTATGAACGTTTTTCCATCTTCTGATCGTGGTGACGTCAGCTACATCCTGCGTGTTCTTCAATGGGCACGAAAATATGGGATTAGAGTGAATCTCGATCTGCATACCATCCCCGGATCTCAGAATGGTACGTGGCAGAGTGTGCATCATTACTCATGTTGTGGAAACTCAAGATCGGCATGCAGGATTTAACCACTCCGGCAAAAGCGGCTCTATCAACTTTCTGAATGGAGTCATGGGACTCGCCAACGCCCAGCGTGCGCTTGATTATATTAGGATCATTACCGAGTTCATATCCCAGCCTGAGTGGGTTGATGTTGTCTCCGTGTTCAGCATTGTCAATGAGCCCATGGGCCCTACCATTGGAACAGACCAGATCAAAACGTTGTACGTCTTGATATGCTTGTATGCGCTAGCATGTCCTAATAGCCACCTTGCCGTTTAAGTTATCTCCTTGCGCATGATATGATCCGCAATATCACCGGTTACGGAGAAGGGCACGGGCCCTACATTGCCATTCATGATGGTTATATAGGGACGGAAGCCTGGGCAAATTTCTTGCAAGGTTCTGATCGAATCATACTTGACACCCATCCTTATTTTGCGTTCTTCGAGGGTCAGTCTGATTGGTCGCCCATTGCGACTGGTACTGGGTTAAGCGCTGGAGGCATTTGGCCACAGAAGGCGTGCAATTCATTGAGCCCTGGCATCAATACCAGGTGTGCGTTTTTCGCGCCGAGTGACACCGTTCTAACTTTACCATAGTCAGACCGCATTCGGTATAACCATCGCGGGGGAATTTAGTAACGGTTACAATGATTGTGGATTGTACCTCACAGGTGTTGGGGGTACTGCTAGCTATGGAACAGCGTGTTCTCTCTTCTTAGACTCTTCGCAATGGAACGACACCATGAAAGCAGGTCTTCACGAATTCGCGCTGGCTAGTATGGACACTTTGCAGGACTGGTTTTTCTGGACTTGGAAGGTTGGTCTGAATTTATGCTAGTCAATGCGAGCCTCACTCAAGCTTATCGGTGACTCTTACAGATAGGAAACTCATCCACGACCAATAGTGTCCAGTCTCCCCTGTGGTCTTATCAGTTGGGTCTCCAGAATGGTTGGATCCCTACTGATCCCCGCACTGCCGTAGGCACCTGTGCAGCGTTGGGAGTGATTGGTCCACAGTTCGATGGGGTTTATCAAGCCTATCAAACAGGAGGTCCTGGAGCTGGCACCATCGTCGCCTCCGAGGTCACATCTTATGGCCAGTTTCCACCAACACCTATCAACGGTCTTCCACTTGGAGCAATCCAATCCCTCCTCCCCACCTATACGTCCACTAGTGCAGTTGCAACTCTTCCGCCTCCCACATTCTCTCCGAGTCCTTCTCCATCAGTTAGCGCCGGGAACGGCTGGTTCGATTCGGGAGATACGGGTTTGGCGCCAACACAAGTACAAGGCTGCACGTACCCAAATGCATGGGATGCTGTTAGTTCAGCCATGCCCACAGCGCTTTGTCCTTCTACAGGTGGCGCCACTCACGTCACCACGTCACTTTCGTCTAGTCGTTGACTGTCGAAAATGGCACCAAAGGGTATATCAGGATGCCTGGCATCACGACCCGAGCTTCTGCGTAGTCTAGCGTTTTGTGGAGGCGCCGTTGAGCATACCAAGGTAATCTGAATGTACGGACGCTAGTTTTCTTGATGTTACTCGCACATTGTAATACTTATCGCATTCTAAGTAGTCCTCGATCGCTTATCGAACTGTGTTTTGTTGTTGCCACAGTTGACGTTTTGTACTGCTAGGAATTAGTAGCAGAGGACTCTAACCATTGACTATGTATTTTCAGTGTCGTGCCATGATCCAGATTGAGCAGGACGACTCTAATCTCCTTGTCTTCCCGGTTTCGGTTTTCGAAGGTACCCTTTGCATTTTCCGCAAATTAAAGGTGAGGAATCGGAAGCTGGCAAGCACTCAAAAAGACACTGGCAGTAACATGACAAGCTGCATCAGTATGCCGTTGACATGTTATATATATCCATTTGTATACGCGTTTCTGAGCTTCGTATGTAAGTGAAGGCCAGACATGTCACGCCGATCTGCCTGCAATCTGGGTTTATGGCAAGTTAGCGGGTGTCACAGCGATAGGGGTAAGCTCTGTGGCCGATCATGGCCATGGCCATTAGCTGTCAGACAGCAATATTCAGGTGTTGAAATCCCTTTGTCGTCATAAACCAGTGAGGTAGGTAGTACAAGTGTTGCACGTTCAGGATGATCGTGTGGACTACGCACGTATACAGTGAGCAGCCGTGTGGAATGACGAGCAAATGATTATACTTAGTACTACAAAACTATACAATGTATCAAGAAATGTGCGACAGTCCATTTCGTAATACATTGTATAGTTTTGTCGTCGTAAACCAGTGAGGTAGATAGTACAAGTTCAGGATGATCGTGTCAGTGAGCAGCCGTGTGAAATGACGAGCAAACGATTATACTTAGTACTACAAAACTATACAATGTATCAAGAAATGACACTGCAACAGTCGCGAGCAGAAACGACTCGGAACAACTGCCAATCGCGACAAACGTTGAAGCTTGAAGTCGCGCGAACCGAGTCCTATGCCATTCTGGGGGTATTCTGCACGAACAGTATCGTAAAAGGCGGGACCGTCCTGCAGCTCCACAAGTAAACAAAAGAAGTAAAGGGAACAAAGTGAAATCCGGTCTATCGATATGAAAGTAGCTGTAGTCTGGGCGTCCTGGCACGGACGATTTGGTAGAGAACTGTTGGCACAGTACAGGAGAAAGAAAAAAGCATCGATCATGTGACTCACTGTATTACAGTTTGTCACGCGGACGAAATTTAGTCTGTTGCACTAACATCGACGCAGCAGTAGCACTACTACCATCCTTATGTTCCATTCCTTCCTGCTTCTAATTTCTTTCGATTAGTTTTGAAGGAGTTGTGATGGTGAGTCACCATATTGCTCTTAGGTTGGATTTGCAGACTGACGGGTGCCTATAGTCAGCCCCAAAAATTATCATACAAATTCTCGTCACAGGTGCACAAATTTTCGGAAAGGCGCTATTTGAAGCAGGAAAGCAGGCGGCCAAAAGTGCGTCCTTCAGTATTTTACTTTGATGATTCCGGTATTCACATCTTTCGTTTCGTCAATTGCAGATGCAAAGCATACCCCGGAAGGCGCGATAGGATCAGATATTGCAGGCGTTCGGAATGCTACCTCTGGCTCTTTGACAGATAAACTTACCCGAGAACACCGTATGACACTGGACGAGGCCCATCTTATTCTGAATCTAAAGCAAGGAGAATCCCTTGAGAATGTGTTGAAGGTGAATTCGTACTGCTTTGTCGACTTTTTTTTTTTTGACTGCATGTCATACTGACCGCCATGCCAGAATTACGAACATTTATTCAAGGTAAACGGTCCCCGGCCAGCCCCAGACCCACCGACAACTGGGGCAAAAGCGGGAAAACAGCCTGCTCCGCCTACACATTCTCATTACCTTCAGTCGAAAGTTGTGCGTGCCCGGGAGCGTATCGAGGCAGAGATGCGCGTTGCGAAGGAGGAAGATTCAATGCCTCCGCCTCCTTCGGGTTCAGCACAAGGGAACACGGGAGGCTTGAGTTAACTTCTCTCGTGATTACTTATATCCGCTTTCCATACGTTTTGTTGATTTTAGATAAACCTAATGCACATCCCAATTCACTCACTATCTGCGCGCGCGCTGTTCCAATGATAACGGCGAGGGACCGTCTGCCAAAGTACACGAAAGGCAAGCTCTTACTGTAGACATTCGATAGCTTGAATTCCATTCTACAGACCTCCACAGTTCAGAACGCAACACAATATGTCGGCGGTCTACAACGAATAACAGTCAAGTCATGCTACGTCCCGAATGAGGTGCTCAGACACAATTGTATTGATTCTCGGATCGATGTCTCCAAGGATCTCGAGGGTCTCGTGCTGTTCAGTCGATTATCAACCTGCACCATGGTAGTCAAAAACGGGCAGGTACGTACCCACAAACGCTTTGAAACCTCCCTTCCTTCCGCGCTGAGAGTATAATCACTCTCTTCGGTAACTTCGCAGCTAGACAGGTAGTGGCCATGCCGTTCCCTTTCACCGGGCTCGATTGCCGCATGGACAAGTGTCCGACTGCCCATCTCAGTGGTGCGTGCCACTAACCCTTTGTAAATTCTCACCGCAAACTTGAAGAGTGGATTTGATTCGACTTCTCGCGTAAGACGGGAGTGGCAAGAACCGGGATTGACCGCCGAAACTGCAACCAAAGTTGGTGTAGGAAGTCGAAAAGACAGCTCACGGATGAACATCACTTCGAGGACTGCACATGACGGAGTGGTGAGCACAATAATGCATGCACTCTGTCACTCACGCTTGGATAGGAAGTAGCGGTTCATCATTACGCTGCTGCGTGTTATTAGTGCTCCAGGAAAAGACGTTAATGAAACTTGCCTACGGGTGCAATATGCCTCATCGTTGATTGTTTCGATGATACTAGGCCATTTGTCTGCCCCTTTTAGTCTGTTGGCTAAATAATGACACTCGCTAGACACAATAACCAGTCTTGAGGCATGCTCAGGAGTCCCTGCCTTGACGAGATGAGGCAGCATCAATAGACTCAACAGAGCAGTTGACAAGTAATTCACTTGAAATCTATGGAAATTCTCGAGGTAAAGCAACTGCGATAATTGTAAAGCACTCACGTAGTTTCATAGCCATCGGGGGTTTTCGTGTACTTCATCGTCGATATGCCGGCATTGGCGATAAGAACATTGGCTATGCAGCCCTTCGCTTCAAAATGGTCCACAAAAGAACGCACTGAATCGAATGAGCATAGCTCAAGAGGCCAGGATTCAATACCAGTCATGCCAGACCGGATCTCCACGTCTATACAAGTCATAAAATCCCCTGATAACCTTCAGAAGGTTCATGCATACCTGCTTTTGATCGTTCGCACTTGACTTCGTCTCTGCTGGTGATCAACAGGCTCTTAGGTTTCAGCTGTGCTAAATGCACAGCAGCTTCGTTTCCGAGCCCGACATTAGCACCGACCACGACCAGCGACTGGTCGCTGACGTCCGCAGTGGAGATAGGAAGCTTTGTCCATTGCTCGCGAAGATACCCAAAAATGGTGAGCTTGCCCATTATGCCTTAGCTGTGCAACTTCAGGCTGGGGGGCTAGCCCGTATGGATGGTATATGGTGGCCTTATTATTCCAAAATATAATGGCACCCTTATATACTATTCCCAGGTAGATCGGCTCTCTATTGCCAGAGGCAAGGACCTTTACATCGCTCTGGGATACGCAGAGGTAAGTACTAGCGCGATTTCTGTGCAGCCACAATGTTATACAGTAGCGCCACTGACAGCGCCTCGGACTTCACCGGCAATACTGCGTTTCGGTTTAATTCGTGGGTTATATATTGAACCAGTGCTATGGGCAGCCGCTGTGTCAATGGCCGATCACGCGTGCAAAACTTGGGTTCAGTACTTCAGATTCTTAAATCGGAAAGGAAAGGCGATGGTAAGAATGCAGTGGTCTAAAAAGCTGCTATTGTACGTACAGTATGTCCAGTTTTGAAAATTGGAACACATAATATGTCCGCAACTGCAGACCGTCTTGTGACAAAACCCTCCCCCGCCTATCGCGGGAGTCGGGAAAGCCTGCAAAGTCAAGCTTAGGCGATTTGCGGAGCAACCAGAGTTTTGCCAACCGGTCTGGCAAAACTGGTTGCGCCTGGCCCACGGCAGAACTCATGGGAAGGAAGGGCCCGGGTGGCAGAACCTGGCAGAACTCCAGGGTGTCCGAGATGTAATTTAGATCTGAATTCAATAGAACATGAAAACCAGCGTCCCGAAAGTAAGATGGTGCCTGCTGGAGAACGCCCCCTTGCGTCACTGATCGACGACAATTTAGAGCGCCTGGAACTAGTTGAGAACCGCTCGAATCTGGAAATGCAAATAATGCGGCGACACTGATAATTTATCAGGTGATCGAATCCACTGGGGTCGTGATAACAACCTACTGAATCGTCTTACCAAGCTCTGTACAAATGCAACTGCTCTTCGGCGCCAAGTAGCCCGCTGTCACTTGTTCAACCAAGCTCAAGTTGGAGATTTGGAAGTTTTGAGAAAGTCGCATGAAATACCCAGGCCCGGAGCTTGAAGTCCCAGTCAGACGTCTTCGAGTTCGTTGTTCCTGTTCAAAGGCAAAACAAGAAGTGTGTAAAGTGTTTCGAATGCCACTGATGCTGCTACACTGCTCCAAGTCCTCCATCATCGAGAGCTCTGACTACCTCTCGCACCTGGTCCTCAGTCGACCACTCTATCGACACCGTCACCACACCCTCCTCATTCTCAGGGCTCTCCAGCGTCTTCAACTGACTATCCAACATCTCAACCTTCATGAAATGCCCCTGGCGTTTCATCATTCGGTCCATGAGCACCTCCCGCGAGCCTTTCATATAAACAAAGCACGTCGGAAGCTTTCCCGAGTGCTTCGACTCCTCTGCTTCCGACAGAGTTTCACCCCTTAGTACTGACCGGTAACTCCCCTTTAGCGCCGAGCACGCGATGAGGATACCCGGTTTCTGGTCTTCATCCCTCACAGGACTCGGCACATGCATCCCGTGGTCATCCCCAAGTTGACTCAGAATGCTACTGACAGCCGTCCTGCGGATAGTTTCCAGCCAGGGCCGGCGATCTGCGTCTGTGAGAGGTTCTCCACGTGACATCTTGTCTACATTAGATTGCGGATGAAGGTCGTCGCCGTCGATGAACGGGAGACGGAGAGCCTTTGATAGCGCAGCGCCGAGAGTAGATTTGCCTGTACCAGATACGCCCTGAGAGTATAGTGAGCATGTCGTGAGTGATACCAGTACTTGGAATTGCAAGCGAGAAGTAGACATACCATCACTACCAAGAATACCGCATCGCTTATGTTCCGATCAACAAGAGGCTTGCTCTCCACTGAGGAATTAAAGTCGACAGCCGTATTATTTCCCCCTCTGTCCTCGGAATATGTTGGCGCCTCGGAGTACACACTCGGAAGAGACATGACGAGTCACGATAGCGTTACCACAACGTTGATGCGACTGATGTAGTGCCCTGTGCTTGACCTCGGTGTGACTTTGTGTTCCTTGGCTAACCGGACGTTTGGAAAAATAATCCCACGACAAAATTAGGATGTGATTGATGACGATGGCCGGTGAGGAAGAGGAGATGTAGCCAGGCGAGTACCATATATCACGGACGCAGAACTGATCATGATTCAATACCGTGGGGGAGTCGCCGAGTCGGAGCACGCCAATATTATTGTTTTTTTATTCGGCGTTCAAAGTGTATGCAGGTGCACGGAATCGTAATCTTCCGCAGTCAGGCCACATAGACGGAAGACTCAGCTGCCGACAATCGTGTCTTCTTGACAACGGATGTTTCGGGGAGACCTTCCCATTTTAGTGCCCAACGTTGGGATTCGTTCATCGGAGTAGAGTACAGGTTTCTTTGGCTTTCCGTATAACATTATCCTAAAATCCGTTCATATAAAGGGTGTACAAATCTGCAGTTGCGCGAATTCGCGAAAGAAAACGTGAAGGCCCGTAGTGAAATCGATGAACGGAACGCAGAACTGTTCAACTGAGGGCCAAGAGGGGTCGAGTCTAAGTTACTAGGCAAATGCCGGCGACCCCCCACCTGACCCGACGCGTACGCCAACTCAATCTGAGAGAACGCGTCAGTGACAAGTTCCATCTTAATAGTGCGCTCCTTCCTCCTCATCCCCTGATTAATCAACCATGGTATGTACACTTTATAAGCCTTATTGACATACGAGCGCTCACATCAATCATTTGTGCAGGCCCGAAGATATGACAGTATGTATCCTAGCAGCTACAACTTGCTGAATCGCATATGGATTGACTCGAAACATTGATTTACAGGTCGAACAACAATATTCTCTCCGGAAGGTGCGTAATTAACATTATAAACTGAATGCTTTGATCTGACTCGCTCGCCATACACAGGCCGGCTTTACCAAAGTACGCTCATCAGAGAATCGCAGATGCCTGGCAATCTAACCCTGTTATTCAAGTCGAATATGCCATGGAAGCTATCTCACACGCAGGAACAGTCCTCGGCGTACTCGCAAAGGACGGAGTTGTCCTGGCCGCTGAGAAAGCGTGTCACAGGGAAGCTGCTTGATCTTTCTAGTGCGAAAGAAGGCGGGGGCTATGGCGGCAGTGGAGAGAAAATGTTCTTATTAAACTCGTGAGTACTACCCCCAAGTGCCCAGGAAGCCCTTTTATTTCTGGGTTTTGCAGAAATGTAATCGGAGGCGTTGCAGGCATCACGTCTGATGCGAATTCGCTGGTGAACTACGCGCGGACTGTGGCACAACAACATCTTTTGCAGTATAATGATGATATACCGGTCGAGCTTCTTGCACAACGATTGTGCGATATGAAGCAAGGATATACGCAATTCGGAGGTCTGTTAATCTTTTCCCACCAATTCGTTTGTCTTGGCTTTAACGAGATGTCGTCTAGGTCTACGTCCTTTCGGTGTCTCCCTGCTATATGCAGGCTATGACCCACATTACCATTTCCAACTGTACCATTCCGACCCATCTGGCAACTACTCCGGGTGGAAAGCAACATGCATCGGGGCGAACAATGGCACAGCACAGAGCTTACTGAAGCAAGAATACAAAGACGACTTGGGCGTCGAGGAAGCTATCGGGCTCGTACTGAGGGTAATGAGCAAGACGATGGACAGCACGACTCTTGGAAGCGAAAAGCGTAAGCACGTCCTACTTTCTTACCCAAATACAGTGCTAACCTGTACTCGACAGTCGAATTTGCAGTCCTCACATACGACGAAGCAGCGAAAGCACCAAAAGCCAAGATATACAAGCCTGCAGAAATTGATGCTCTGCTTCGGGCGGAAGGGCTTGCGAAGAAGGATGAGGATGCAGAGATGAAGTAATTGATCATACTCGTAGCTGTATTCGTGTACAACAATTTCTTCAACCTTCGGAGTGAGCAAGGTATATTAATTATGAGGCGTAGAAGGAACCAGCATCGTCATTAATATTCGTCTATGGTCTGTCTACATTAGACCTGGGGCCTTGATAGAAGGAAGACATGGAGTGATAGACGCGATGTAAGCAGGAGTGATATACATATTGATAGCAACTTCTCCCATGTTCACAGATCAATGACATGCCATCCCCTTGTCAGCAGGGCCGTTTAGCTCTATAGTATCACCCAAGATGTAGTGTCCCACAGCGGCACCAAGGATAACTGCAAAAATCAGGTATGCCTGTGCGCAAACGAATCAGTCAGTGTCCGAAAAAACGAGCAGTCAGACATACATTGTACGTCATGAATACAAGCATCAAAAAGAAAGACAAGCCCACGCTGGCTCCATACAGCACAGCGCGCAGCGCACGATAGAGAGGGGGCACGGCGAATCTAAAGACAAAGGAAAGCGAGTCAGTTAAATCAAAGCAAGAGCATATGGATATAGCAGCACCCACCCCTGCTTCCTCGCGACCCTCAACCCATTCAACAAGCCTCTCTCCTCAGCACTGTCACCATGACGTTCAGGCGAGCTCTGCCCACTCGCGGTAAGCGGCGTTCTGCGTCCGCTCTGAATCCTCAATTTCACACCGATGCGCTTATCAAAGTCCTTCGAGAAGACTCGGAGGTACTCGTAGAGCATACCTAGAGCTACGATAGCTAGGAAGGAGAAGAAAAATTGGAGGTTAGAGTGGATGTGCCATTGTCTGAATACGACACATGTGTCAATGATTTGGGTGTTCCTGGATGGGGGTGTAAGTATGGGGTGGGTGGGGTTGGGTGGGGTTGGGTGGGACGTACCAGAGCATGTTCATTGAGCATCTTGCAGCCATGTCATGTGCGCCGTGATCCATTGTGGTTGACGGTGGAGTGCGTAAATTACTGGTGTTTCAGTTGCCAAGGTCTCGAATGAGAATGCTTGGGAGTCTTCCAACTCCGGATACAGTCAAGAGTTGCTACCGTGACGTGGCCCTAGTACAGTTGCGGACAAGCAAAGTCCGCAAATTCGATTAGGAGCTCAGATTTCGCTAACTTTACAAACTACATTTTAATTCAGCGCGAGGCACAAAACTAGCATATGTAGTAGATCCGGGTAGTACGCAGGTACCTCGAGGCAGCTTTCCTATTGTTAACTTTTCATCAAAACCCTTCCATAGATGAGATATTTCGAATCTTCGGAAGCACGCCTCACCAGGACAGAAATTGGGCTTGAGCTATAAAAGGTCAGGGCCTCCCAGGAGGCTTGGCTAGCAGCCGAGCTGCAGAAGCTTAATGCCCGGAAGAAAGCCAGCCAAGAGGAGTACCTGGCTAAGTTGGCGATTTACGACGAGGAGTTGAACTTCGGCCGTGTTGGCGGAGTTTACATGGGAATCGAAATTTGCGGGTAACGACTTGCTGCAGGATTGAGCTTGCCTGTTTAGCAGTATCTGATGAAGAATTGATGTTTCGCGCGACGCGAACTGGTTGGTTTTAGCCACCTTCCTGGTTGTTATTGAGATCCGATCGATATTTGTTCTCGGGAAACTCTGACTAGTAGGATATACTTACAATGAGATCATGAAAGAACCATGTTGTGACCGTCGTCTGCCAGGTAACCCACAACAGAGAGACAGCACCGAACCCACGGTTTGAGATTCTTGATGCGGTTCGCCCTGTTTTCGGTCGGATGATGCCTGCGAAGAAATTATCAGACCCAGCACACCCAAGAAATACACACCTGCTTATCTCGTGCAGCGACTTAGACAGCATGAGAACCACAACAAGAGGAGCCAGTTTGTCCTGGCCATCGGTGGAGTTGGCAGAGAGCGGAAAAGAAAAGTGAGCATGTGGGACAGGCGACCAAGATGTAACCTGTGTTTTGCTGAGTTTCGATTGGAACAACATGAGGACTGCCACGAGAGGAACTACTAGCTTGTCTTGGCCATCGGTGGAGTTTTTGACTCCGTCGTTGGGCAGAGAACGGAAAGGAAAAGTGAGGACAGGCGACCGAGATGTAACCTGGGCTTTCATGTGGTTCAATCACTTCATTCGTCATTGTTGTGAGAACAGTGGAGGAACGAGGCAAGGCGTGCACTGGCAAAGAAATAAGCAGGTCTAATTGTTGGTATATGAATCGAATCTAGAACTTGTCTAGAATCGTCAAAAGCCTGGTGAGATTCAGAATTCATCAGCGTCTGGGATATCGCGTAGCATTAACACGCTGTAATTCAAATACTTGGTTGACTTTGTGAGAGCCTATATGCGCACATGTGTATTATCTTAGAAATTCAGTCATGCATACTAGTATTTCTGCGCATTCCAGGTTCCAGTGTCAACATTCAAATCATCTAAAATACTTGCAGTACTCGGAGGGCCGCCATCGGGATGGCGCGTGACTGAAACGAGGCAACGTGCGAGGATAAACAGATTCGGACATGCGAACAAAGTGCCAAGCAAGGATGCAGAACCAGATTTTGTGATTTTCAAGACGAAACGATGTGAAGGTATGAGTACCTCTACTGTCAATATTACACACCCCTTGCTGAATAATTGACCAAGACGATAGGAAAGCGATAAGAATATTAAAGTAATTTGACGTGAGACACTTAATGTTCCATGCCTTCGTCGTCGTCATCGTCGTGGTCATCCTTTGTGAGGCCGGCCCTTTTGAGGGCTTCCTCGGATGTATAGTCAACGCGTGCGCCCCGGGTGCGGCGAGGAAGAATAGCGCTGGGGTCAATTTCCTCGTGGTCATCTTCCTCTTCCTCCTGTTATGAGAGTTTCAGTGTCACAAAGAGATGAGCTAAGGAAAGTCGTACCTCTTCCATTTCCTCGTCACCTTCTTCTTCGTCTTCTTCTTCTTCCTCCTCCTCTTCCTCTTCCATAGACACGTCCTCTGCGGGAACCTTTGCTTTACTTTTTCCCTTTGAGTCGGGAGACTTTATGACTGTCGTCGCGTCTTTTTTTGCCGGTGAACTAAGACGAGAATTAAATTAGGCAAGCGAAAATGTGCTAACGTTTAACATACCTAGGTTCGGTAGACATGATGGGAATAGTAAGGATATGTGCAGTGAGTGGCAATCGTGTGGAAAAGAGCGCGTTGGCGATGTTTATGATTGTTGACGCGACGTTATTGATTTTAATCGGAGTTGTAAACCCAAAGCGAGCGCTCATCTCCCGGACAACCTACTAGTTCGGTATATGCCGTGGGAGATGTTAACTCAGTTGGGTGGCGGGCCGCTGAGATTAAACTCACGGTGTAAGGTAGGTTCCGAGTGACCTTATAGTGTCAGTTACTTCCATATCGATATTCAAGTTAGTAACCCACTTTCATCGTCATGCATCGGGCGCTTATGTCCCTTTCTATCGGTGATCCTGACAAACCGTCTTTCTCCCCCTTCGTTCCACCACCCATTCAGCGTCTCTCACTTCCTCCTACTACTACTAAATCTACCTCTCCTTCATCATCATCAAATCCTGTCACAAGTCCAAAGAACAAGCAGCCCATCCCAGGTCCATCTACTTCTAATCCGTCTGCCATCTTCCCTTACCTGCATCGCCTTGAAATTCGCGACGACATGGCTTCTCGGCGCCAACAGAGACCTCTTCTCGTACTCAAGTTGTCCTCTCCTTCTTTCCTAGATTCAGTTGCTACAGACCTCGTAGCAGAAACTCCTCTATATTCAGTCGAAACAGTCGGCTCATCTACTACTATATGGCGTTCAGATCCTTGGGATGCTTCTGTGAAAATTGCAGATATTTGTTGGCCAAAGGATCTTCCTCTCAAGGGCAAGGGAAGGGATACCCACGGTGCAATTATACAGATGGGTGAACCTCGCTGGAAAGACACTGACAGCTACCTCAAGTATGGTAGCCTTGGAAAGTATGTCTCTTCTTCACCTATTCAATCCCTCGTCTTATTGTTTTTTTATTACACTAGCTCCCGCAAATTCACATTACCAAACCATCCCCATGTGCTAAAGTGGAAGCGATCTGGTCGCACTTATCAGGTAATATTCGTTTTCCGTGACATATTTCCGCTTACGCTCACACTTACTCATAAGTGCACAACTTCATCATACAAGCGACCCATCGCATCACTCGATACACTACAAGACGACGAAAACAATCCACGACTTAAAGTTTTCGAGAACCTTGGTCCTGTCCATCAATCAGTCCCTCAAGTAGAACACGCTGGAATATCCCTTTCCCTACTAGATAACCTCTTCGTCACCGCTCTACTACTCGTTACAGAGCCCGACGATTGGATGACTCTAAGGCACAACCCAAATTCACACAATACCCCAGCAACAGATTGTATATCCCTTCCTAAATCCACATCCGCTCCTGCATCTGCACGCCAGTGGCGTAAAATCATGTACGGTGAACCTCTATATCCCTCCCTCAAGACCCCCGCAGTCGACACTCGCTGCAATGAAGATGCAGATGTACTTGATATCTCCGGCGCAGCGCCCCCTCCCACATCCATAAATCAATGGCGCAAAATTGTATATGGTGAACCGTTATACCCATCATTACGACCTCACAGTGCAGACGGTCTCGACTTACATGCACGCCCGGGTACTGCATGGGACTCTGCGAGCATCTCCTCCGAGTCTGTGTGCTGTCCCGCAACCCCTTGTTCAGCACCATCAACTGGCTATTATACATCCACATTCTTCGACGACTCAGAAAGAACCGTCCCAAGGATTAATACCAACAGCCGTTATTCAGCTCCCCTCAGCCTGTCCCCTGGAGCAATATCACCCGTCCCAACATCTGATTACATCCCACTATCATCACAGCCTTCCCCTTCGCCACGTGCGGGTACACGGCGAGAACTTCCTGCGCCGCCGTCTTCATGGCATCCCCCTCCTGGATCACAGCCATGGCTTCACCGATCGAGATCGTCACCCCGATTATCATCCATCCCAACTACAACAAGCAGGCGTTCTCGGTTAGTCACAGAAGATGGAGTGCTGGTCCCGCCAACACTGCTAGACAGTGATATGGATAGTGTGGGCGATACACCCCCGTCTCGCAGCCGTGCTCTTTCTTCGGGATCTGTCGTGCGCCGTCGATTACCTACCGTCCCCTCAAACTCCGTATCCCCTACTAGCTCACCTCCTACTCGGCCTAAACGGCTTCCCACGTTAGCACGTACCCTTCCCCCAACGCCTGCCTCCATACCCCGCTGTCCCTCCACGGGACATCGCTATACTTGCTCGTCCAACGTCGTCTCAACGCCGATATCGAGAACGATGCCTACGCGGCCATCAACTGCACAGCAGCCGCGGGGTAGGAACCGTCCAGAGAAGGATCCTGATGAGGTGCTAGGGTGGGTACGTAACGTCACCCGAGCGCACCATCACCGACGGGCTGTCGAGGAGCACGGGGACCTCGAAGAAGCTCCTCCGGCATACAACGCCATTGACTTCTCAACGCCCCCACACTCCCGCGCACCACCCAATCCCAGTTAAACCCCCGTCATTCATTTTTCCTGTTTATGGATATATCATACGTGACGCCAATAATGATAGAAATCTTTCGCGACGAAATTTTGATCAGTCCCTTCTGGAAAATATCTTTGCATTTAATTCCGAGTTTGTTATATTTTCTGTTCTTCTTTCAATTGTTGTTTTGACGCACATCTTTGTTCTTTAATTCCGCTAGCTGAGCAGCCACTCCTTCTCCAACTGACCATGTACCTGATATCCTCAATTGATTGATTGATCGTGCCATAACGTACCACCACGCGCTGATATCGACCTTTACCCCACTCTTACATACATATATTCCGACCCATATACATAGGATGCTTGTTTTATGGACCTGATGCCATCAAAAAGATGTTGTATTGCTCATTACAAGTACACGTTCTGAATGTCATGTTTTTGCTGCTGGGAAGCCACGGGTGAGACAGTGTGATTCCTGTGGATTGATTTCATTTAGACTGATCAAGATGGCTTGGCCCGTGGGGCTGGGTGATTACAGTAATAGTCCTTGTTTTTCGAACGGAAGGGCGTGATTATTTATGGATGGCCAAGGAATTAATATTGGCTGGGAACTTGAGTTGAACGTTTGGGTTCGTGCTAGGGCCACGTACGAGCTCCCACCACCAGGATCTGAGTCATACATGTGCCTTGCCCTGTACATGTTATGACTACACCCGTGGATCGCGGTCAGGGACATCCCGAAGCTAAGTACGTATTCAGAAGAAACTTCCGAGGAAGTGGACTCGGCCCTTAACTTGAACCGTACGTGGATGCTAACGGAATTCGATTCCTTCGGTACCACGACTCGAACGGACTTTCGAAGCAAAAATTTTGATTAAAGACTGTTCGGTGAACTAATACAGCTGCAGTTATCACTGGCACATGTGCCAGCATGTGCCTCAGCGCCTGTACTATGAATACCGCAACTGCGGATCAGTCACCGTGCCCTGCAGGAACATGGATCTAGCCATGGCCAGACTCGGACGTCCTACTAGTAGTACGTACTCCGAGTCATCATCAGGACCTATAGAAGAAAACAAAAAACGATCGATTCATGGCCGTACGTTCCGCCGACTCAGTCCTTTATGTCACAGTTTCTAACATATTACTAACTAGTATACAGCCTGTGCTCGTTCCAGCTTTTCGCATCAACGTGCATGGTAACGTTTTCCAATTAATAGCTACAGCTTTTCGATTGCTATTGTTTTCGTCCCTATCCAATGTGCTCTCCCGTAGCATTTTGTAGCTGTTTAGAGCACAAAGCAAATGTATCATCTGGAGATAGATGCTGCCTGAGATACCTTTACTTTGTGCTCCCAGTGGCGACTCCATTGAGTGCAGTACATGTCACAACACATTGACAGTCAGCGCAAGGACCAGTCACGGTCTTGCGCCGTACAGCAAGTGTAAGTTACCGGTATGTCAATGTCAAGCATCGCTGATCTTTTTTGATGGACATCGGATATGATATATGACGTATGGACAGTGGATATACGGTCCGTAAAACTCAATTGCGAAGGCGTTGCGCTGATCTGTTGATTCTCCAGGATCAAACACGTCTCCAAGTTACTTGCATACTGCTACATATAGTATGTAGACTGCGTCTCCCTCGTTGGTCATCAGCTCCTCGCCCGTCATCGAATTCCCTTTCCAGATGTCCGGTTAACCAACTGACATGTAAAGTATATCACTTGTACGCGCGAGTACACAGATTTTGAGGTACTGGTTCAGCGCCATCTTGATGCGTCATGTCTCCTCCCCCGAGCGTGAGCGTGTCCTCCGAGGCGCCGACATATACCGAGGACGGAGGGGAAATCATGCAGGTGTTGTTAATCGAGACATGAGCGATGCGATGTTCGTAGTGGTGATGGTATGTCTACTTCCTCTTTAACTTCTTACAATTCCAACTGTACTGGCATCCTTGTATTACATGCTCACTGCATATCTGGTACAGGAAAATTTACTCTCAGCGCTGCGCATTCGGGGGCTCGTCCACCGACGGCGAAACCCTCCATCCGCGATCCGATGTTACCTCTCACGGACGCAGACCGACGGCTCCGCAAGACGGCCGTCAGTACAGCTTTGGGATGATCACAGGTTGCATGCGGAGCCAGATACGGAGAAGACCCTCAGACTATGTCGGGCGTAGTGAGCAGCCGAGTCCTGTGAGAGATGAAGATCAGAAGCCGGAAATCATCGTCGGGTGTTCGGCGCTGAAGGGTCGGTGCTAAGGGGTGAAACTCTGTCGGAAACATTGGCAGAGGCGTCGGAGTACTCGGGAATTCGGTCCGTGAGCATGTCGGAAGCTTTGCAAAGCTTCTGACATGGCCACGGACCGAATGATGAAACACGAAGGGCATTTCATGAAGGCTGCTATGTTGTATAGCCAGTTGAAGACGCTGAAACGCCCTGAGAATGAGGAGGGGGTGGCGACGTGTCGATAGAGTGGTTGATTGAAGACCATGTGCGAAAGATGGTCAGGGCTCTCGAGTATGGAGAAGAACAGCAGCATCACTGATAAGTGTTTTTTTACAAGAAGATTGATTTGGCCCAAAATACTATGACCCCCACCAGCCAAAAATGCGAGTCGATGTCTCCGGGATATGTCTGTACTAGGACATGTACTTCGTAGAACTGAATTACTCGACGTGAAATTGAGCATCATTTATGCTCAGACCCATCAAGAGTGGAATTGGGCAAATATTGAGGACTAGTAACAACAAGTCATCTGCGCAGGAAATTGTAATCTGCTGTTTCAGCACGCGGCGGAGTACGAACTACATAGGGTTAGAGCCTGGACAGCTGCGTTTATTTCTCAGTTTATTTCTCAGTTTATTTCTATTGTGGCGTGGCAACGAGTGACAAGCTGTGACTCGCGTGTGACTCTATCAGCGTCCAGACTCCATACTGCCAAGTCATGGCGAAACGGAAGAGTACATCTGCGAACACTGGTACTACTAGTGCAGGCCCAGCTACCACTCACTGGACTGATGAAGAGACCTCCCGCCTCATTCAGTATCTCACACTTCATCGCGCTGAAGGTGGAGATGGTACTAACTTCAAACAGTCAACCTTTACCGCTGCAGCGGCTTATTTATTGAAGCCCCTGGACGGCATTCCAAAGGAGGACCATGTAGCTGGAATCAAAAGGGATGGGCTGTCATGCAAGAACAAATGGATCACGGTACATTTATTATTATTTTTCAAATCGATTCAATTCTGACTACCGCAGTGCAAGAAAAAGCATACCACTATCGTCGATATCAAATCGCAATCAGGCTTTTCGTGGGACGACGAACTTGGCGCAAATATCGGCCCAGCTGACGCTGCACGTTGGACTGCATTTGCAAATGCGCGTCCCAATACAAGGCCATTCCACAACAAAGGTTGGAAACACTTCGACGAGATGGACGACCTTTTGCGCACGCAGATCCCACACGGCACCAATGCTTTTCACGCAGGCCAGGAAACGTTCCAATCACAATACGACATCAGCAACGAAGGCCTGGGTGTTGATGCTGTGGAGAATGAGCCTGTAGCGCCTGACTTGGGAGACTTGGGAGACTTTGGAGACTTGGGAAACTTGGGAGACTTGGGAGACTTGGGAGGCTTGGGAGGCTTGGGAGGCTTAGCGGTTGAGGGAGACATTGAGAGGATTGTGGAGAGAGACTCAACTGGGCTGGATGACGATGAAGACGATATCATTCCTTGGGAAGCGACTCCTCCTCCTCCTCCTCCTCTCTCAAAACGAAAATTCGCTGCCATGTCTTCAACTCCATCGCTTACCCCCAGTGAAAATCGACAAGAATGAGGTAGATACGTGCCGATAGACGTCTAAGTACAAAATGAGACGGATACAAATTGAAGAAATTCGAGAAGGCAAAACTCTAATTTCGTGCAAACGCAAAGAATCTTTCCAAAGGTGAAAAAATGCAAACATGTCAGACCTCGATTGTGTAGTACTTTGCAACTTTGCGACAAATTTTGCACCTGCATGCATTCAATGCACGTGTGTATTTTGCACAAGTCCATAACCGTATTTGCATTATGTTTATTGGAGTCCTAGTACAGTTGAACCACTTGCATCTTCTCATCCACCCACCATGTAATTCGCCCCTGCCGCGACACTGAGTCCAGCTCGATACGACCATTCCCTTGTGTTGCTAGCACAACACGACAACCGCAAGCCCAGGGTGGCGAGCAGTTATTTCGCTTAATGTGACTGCCAGTGTTGTCCTTGAGGAGAGGAACTCGGTCCTTGCTAGTTCTTTGTGCCTCTCCCTTGTGTTTCCTTGGTCACTGGTCTTTCTATCACACTGATTAATCTCTCTACTTCACTCAAACCAATCTCGTCTTCCACGCTTCATTAACCAGTCACGGTAGCATCCCGCACACGAAATCTATTCATTTTCGAATCATCAAACTAATCTACAGCAGCCCTTCGCTCTCTCATCCTTCTCATCCCTTACCTCCCCTGATTGAACCAGTGCGGCACTCACCCTCCCTAGTTCAGGCGCTGTTACATTCGCAATGGGACTGCCCTAACCCGTTATTTTGCCTGGTTGGAGGAAGAACTTAACTTAACGGCGGTGTTGAGCTCAATGAAAGCAAAGCCAGAGCTAAGCTCGAAGAATTCAGATTGTCGGCGTGGGGCGATATTTTCTTTTTGCAGCTCACCTCCTAGTAGTGAGCTGGACTTGTTTCGTGGATTGTCATTCACGACAATCCCATCTACTGGACTTATTGCTGGTGCGCTCCTGATGACATTGACACGACACCTGAAACTCACGAGTCCTCCATCGAGATCCCAGATATATTGGCCACCTCCCCCTCTAATCCCCTGAAACGAGCTGTATCTCCTGATGTTGAAGTTCAACCAATACCAGCACTGAAAAAATAGCGAACTGGCAGTACTACGGGTGTTTATTCCAGCCTCCCAGACTCACCTTCACCAGCCTCGATAAGTTCTGAGATTCCCTGCATTGAATCTTGTGATCAAGAGAATGAGGTAAGTGCCATATTTTTCGTATATTGCTCTCGGTCAAGAAAGAGCTGCTTGTAGTTCCTGTGCTTGCTAAGAAGACTCATCAGCCAAGTGTAAAACCAATGCGTGTTGGCACAAAAGTAACGCCTTGGTACGTCTTAGTTGATATCACGTACTAGTATTTTCTGATCTGTTTTCGTAGTAATCTGTGTGCGCTCGATTGGCAAGCAAATGGTCACCAGCGTGAACCGGTTAGTTCTAATCTTGTTCTCAAACCTCGGCCCAGACCTATTCCACAGCAACTTCCTCCGACTTCTATCGGTTCTCCGCCTTCTCAATCCCACTCTGCTATGATACCGCCCTCCAACGAGAACACACCAGTCTCCGTGCCAGAGGTCCAATCGAACACCGATGCAGTTTCACTAGCT